TTTCTCTTCGGAGGCGCGTTCCCGCACGGCGCTGGCAGTCTGGGTGAATTCCTTCTCGTCGCCCTCCAGGGGCGGAGAGGCCGCGCGGTGGGAGTGCATCAGGCGGGTGTGGCTGGATGGGTCCGGGAACTGATCAGAGGGAGATCCCCGACCGGCGTCACGGGCCTCTTCTTCTTCAAAATCGGGTGTGGACAAGTCCACTTCCGGGCTGGGGCTCCGTTGGCGCGCCATCACATCTTCTTCGTCCTGATCCAGGCTCGAGACGCTAGGCGTAATGTTCTTGCCGTCGACGCTCGAGACCAGCTCGTCGGAAGGTTCCGGAATAGGTTGACGAGGGAAGGTCGTCAGATAATAGTACACTTTGCGTGGGTGGATATTAATCAGTTCCTTAGCCATAGGGCACGGCGCAAGAGCGGTCCATGAGCGCTTCATATAGGCAGCCAGGCGCGAGGAGAGGAGGGCAGCGGGATTAGCGGAACTAGAGGAATTCTGTTAGCATTTGGAAGTCAGGGCTGGGAGGTTGCAAGTCATTTTGCAAAAGTGGAATGGAACGTACTTGGCGACAGTCGCATTCAGCGCAATCAAAACCGCGGCCAGTTCTTTTACCAGATGAGGGCGATTGCCCGTCTTCTCTAGTTGATCAATCACGGCGACAACGATATCATCGTTAATACCTTCGGTATCGATCTTAGGCGCAGCCCCGCGATCCAAGGGTGAAGGAGGTGGCGTGTGGTCGAATAACCCATTCCGAGTGGCGCGCAAAACCGTTTCCCGCTCGGTAGAAGGCTCGGGAGATAATGAGGTATGCGATCGCTTCACTTTCTTTGCAGGAGGCAAATCCTCAGTCGCATGAGCGCCTTTTGAAAAGGAGGGCGAACGACGCGATGAGTTGGGGAGGTGAATGCCTAACGATGGAAGAGAGAGTGATTTGCGACGGGTATTGTACGGCATAATGATGTCGGGTCGGATGATGGGGGGTATTTGGAGAACAAAGGAGGAAGAGAGAGAGGGGAGGAGGGGGGGGGGGGGATGAGAGGCGAAAGAATAAAGGAAGGACCAAGAAACAAAAAGCGTCAAAGGAGGAAGAAGATAATAATAATAAAGTATAATAAAAACAGAGGATAATTAGGAAATGCTTTGAGAGATGAAAGGTTGAAAGGGGGGAGGGGGAGGAGGATGGGAAGAGAGAAAGGGTCATCGAAGATGCGACAAGCTCTCTCACAGTCTCTCTCTCACAGACTACCAGTGCAGGTTCTCTCTCTCTCTCTCTCTCTCTCTTGCACTATACTTTTGGGGCTTTCCACTGAGGAATCTCATAGTGGATTCCCTCGATTTTTTCGCCCTTTTTTTTTTCTCTTTTTTTGCTAACCAATTTCAAAATTTCGGTAATTACCATACAGGATTCGGAATCGCCGTCACGCTGATTGGCCCGTTGGATGAATTTCTGTTTGTCTTGTCTTTTGGTTCTCCCTGGAATGCTTTTCGCCCATGGCTCGCCACCGTACGAGTAGACTTCCGGTTTCAACCTTCAACTGCTCTATACACCAACTATACTACTACTCCTACTTCTGCTACCACTGCTACTCTATCATTATACCACTCTATGTACGATTTCAGTTCACGTTCACTTCTTTTCTTCGAATCCACCTCTACACCGCCAGGCCAAAATCAATTCTCTGCAGGGATGCGACATGCAGCTCGGATTTTTTCTCTCAGATTCCAGGCGGTCAGTGGAGCAGATTTTCATACCATACCATTCATAGCCCGCCCATTCCATCCTCGGCCGTAGTGGCATACCGGTGGAGAGTGAGGAGTGGAGATGCAAGGCAAAGGAAAGACAAAAAGAAAAGAAAAAAACGAGCGATGCTGGTGGGTGGGGACACCATGTGTCCCATCTCCCAAAATGGTTCTGTGGACTCCATCTCGATCCATATTGACTCCGTCGAGACATCCAACCTCCACTAATCATCGTCTTTCGCCCTGAATAATAATATCAACTTGCGCACGCCCCATTGGATGGTCATTTGGTCCTAGGGAAGCACCGGCAGCGTTCGCGTTCGGGGAAACGCAGTTATGCATTCGATCTGTCAATGGTTGCTGGGTGACCAGTCGACTTGTTCGCTGACCGCTGCTCTCTGGCCGCTGGACACGGCACATACAGTACAGACATGCATACATCTAGTTCTATATATCTACGGAGTATATACTCGTAGGGATACTTGTATGTGGTCAGGGCCTCGGCAGTCGATCGAAGCCTCTTTCCCTCCTCGGCTCTCTTCAGCTACGAGTATTCTGTTGCCTCCGAGCAACCCGAAGGAAAAACACCGGGTCCCAAAAAAGATCCCTAGCGTCGCCGTTTGGAAAAAGTGAGTTCCCACCCAGTCCACTGGTGGGTCCCCCCTTCAAGCCCTTCGAGCCCATCCGCGCGTGTACCGAGTCGGAGTACAAAGTATTGTAATCTCAAATACCGCTAGCCCAAAGAATCCATACGGGATGCTCGCAGTAGCGCCCCCGGGGAGGGAGCCTCGCCACCCGATGATGCATCCTCCTCAAGCTGAGCTATAGATTGCCCCCCCCTTTTATTCCGATCGTTATGCCAGTCGTTATTATGATATTCCTCTCCTCTCCACGACAACTTGCCCTTTACGGAGTATCGGCACTGCATATCAATTCCAAGACCGTTTCCCACTACCACACCCCTCTCCACAGAATGAGGGGGCTGACGACTTCGTATTCATTACTCCGTATAGTATGTGTTAAAAAAGTGATGATGCCATGAAATGGTCGATCTTCCCTTTCCCGACGTACGTCGATATGATGGCAATCGCGACGATAGCCCTGATAGCGGCTCCCCACTGGCGGCCTCAGCGCTGCCCGTCGAGCCGACTAAACTATGCATCTAACTTGCCATAACATGATACCCAAGTCAACAGGACATCATCGCTTTCCCTCCCTCCTCTGTACGTATTCATCTAATCATTTTGTTTCATACCCCTGGTTTGCTTGGCAGCAGCAAGGGTGCGGGTGCGAGCATTGCAATTAATGCAGGTCTCTCGCAGGATCGGGGGGAACATCATTCCATAAAGTATATCCTTGCCCCTCATGGGAATAAACCCTACCCTAGGTGACACCCGTGGACTACTACTATTCGCCCCTCTCCTGCCTCCGTTTGCACCTGGGCATGACATCGACCGTCTCAATGAGGCGGAGGTGCCGACCCCAAACCATGGATCTACCTTTTTCCATCTGCCCATTGTTCGAAAGCATCCCGATCGGTCGGCCGAAGGGAGGCAATTTATCTGATCGAAGACCCGAGTCGTTGGCACTGTTACCAGTGACCTACTCGATTGCGTAGACTCCACCTACAATGAACATTTGCATGTAACTACTCGCAGATGTATGTGTGTAGATGTATATGTATGGACAGTATGCAGCGGTTGCTAAATCTCCGCATCTCCACATCTAGATTGTGCGATCCGACCGCCAGCCTGCATCGCATGGCCTGGATGTAGGTGCAAACTCTATCCGGAGTGTCTTGCCAGGTCGAAGGCCTACATACTCTATAGTTTCCTCAGAGTTAAGACCGATCAAGGTTGGATCAAAGCAGATATGCAACCACCACCCCCACACGATGGCATCACTTCGGAAATGTGGGCTACTAGTAGTCAGCCTTGGCCGTCTACTTGTATGTACTATCTTTTCCATCATGTCTCCAAGAAGGCAGATCGAGATGGATATAACTAATCACCAACGGCGCATATGTAGGTACAACAGACCTCCAAGTATCACAGTCCTTGCATCATAACCTCCAGTACTCCGTATCCGTAATCTGCTGCACTATGTATGTATGTACAAAACCAAATTAGCAGGCCAACCGAACCATGATTCAAGACATAGAGAACACACCCCTGCAGGGGATCTGCACCGTGCATATAATATTCGATAAAGATTGGAAGGGCTTTGCATCCGCGTCCCGACCTGTCGTCCTTTTGAGTAAGATTGGACGGGCCCGGCAGAATAATACCTACTAGTATGATCAACCGTCAACCCCTCCCTACCCTTCTCACGAATGTCTCAAAAGTGGGAAAATCTCGTACTAGCCTTGCAAGTATGGTTAGACTTCCAAAAAAAAATTAATTGTCTGTAGCCGAGATACATCCATCCATCGAGCGGGGTCATCAGAATCAGCCTGATCTCAGACAAAGCGATCTGCAAAATGTATGACACCAACTTAACATCATCTGGCAAGGCAGACCTTGTCGCGTCGCTTCTGCTCACCTTTTTCGGCATCAAGATCACTTGAATTCGATAGGGGGCAGGAGAGTACGACGGGAGTCATCACATGCACTCACCCTTAGGGAGGACATTTTGAAACGGTTTGTTGTTAGCGCAGGCTCCGGGCGGGTTTCACATTGGCCCCTAATCATTCTGCGACAGCTTGCGCGGACGTGAGATTGTAACGTCGAGGCGAGCAGTCGATTTGAATCGGGGGGGGGGCTCGTTGGAATTTTGGCATGTGCAATCTACTAGTATCTTGCGTTTGTTTACTGCTTACACATGGGCATGTATGGTTGTTTCGCACTTTTGGTTTCGGGTGTGGTTGTACATGACTGCATCTTAGGACCAGAGGCCGTCACTTGATGTAAATAGTACTACTTAGCAACTTGAACCTCGGGATTTTAAGTACTTGATGTGATTTAAGATGTACTAGTATTTCCCTTTGCTACTGTACGTCTTGAATTAGTACTAGTAGAGTTACTTGGACAACTTACTATGATTTTGAATACTAGTTACTAGTAGTACCTAGCGATAGTATATATGTTCAGCCCCGGGGAACATCAACTTGAAGTTTCATGTTACCAGTACTACTTACTAGTAGTACTAAACCACAATCACTACAACTTGAACTTGAACCGTGGAAGCCTGTCAGGTACATATATTTACAAACCTTCTATATAAGTAATTAATCAACACATACTATAATACAAAATTACTCCCAGCTAAGATCGAGTCTCATCCGGCTTCGGACGAAGAACATATCTCCACGTCGTCCCAAAATGCCACCTCTTCTCCTCAACAACCTCCAGGCCACTCTCCTTCACAATAGCCCCTATATCCCGATTCCACCAACACCCATGCTTATCCGCATGCAGGGGTGCGAGATTGTCCAAGATCCGATTCAGCCAATCGTAATGCGAGCGACCATGTTCCAGCAGCAAAATACGCCCATGCCCCGGCTCCGTAATCTGACCGAGATGCCGCAACGTTCCCACAGGATCCGGCATCGAACAGAGACCCATCGTTTGAACGACAGTATCGTAGTAGACATTCCCCTCGGCCGACCCAGAATTCTGCACCTTCACAGGAGATTCGACCGTCACGGCAGCAGCATCCTGAGCTCGGAACGCGACGCGCGTGAACCCGGGATTCGCCGCCTCGAACTTCTCCTTGGTGATATTCACCATCTGCGGACTCAGGTCCACAAATGTTAGAGACCGACACCCAAGCACAGCGGCGTGTCCTTGCTCATCCACACCGCGTCGTTCCTTCAGATCGTAGTACTCGAGATTCCGACCCGTACCACAACTGACCTCCAGAACATCCCCGCGCGCAAGATGGAGGAGATCTGCTCGTTTCTTCCCAAGACGCATGGCTTTCTCAGAGAGATCTACCTCGGCATCGAAAGTGGGTGCAGTACTATTGTACCGATCTGAGACGTCGCGGGGGATGTCGAGCGCCTGCGCTTTGCGCACTTCCTGCTGATATGAGGTGTAGAGATACCCCGTGTATGTACTGATTGCGAGTATAGTAACTCCCATGAAGGAGAGGACTCGAATTGGGATTCCATGAGGTGCGGCAGCTGATTCCTTCTTCGTGTAGCGTTCTTGAAAGCGCTGGATATCCGCATTGAATTGTTTCCGCGGCGGCGGGGTATTAGGACTATGCTGTTAGTATATTCGGCGATATATAATGGATTCTTGTGAGCCTACCTTGCTCGTTTTTGACGCGTAGCTTTGCTCTGGACTCCTCGACTGGGTATCATGGGCCTGGAGGCTCGCAGGGAGGCGCTGGCTAATCGAGAGGGATGCATAGTCATTGTGCAGCGCATTGAAGCCATCATGTGAGTAGATCCAAGGGGATTGGGGAATGGGAATTCCTTTCTGCCTCACTAGTCAAGCAACCCTCTTCGTGGAAGAGGTCTGGAGGTAGTAATAGACCTCGCGAAGAAAAATCCCTGGGCGCGTCAGAACAAGTCGACTATGGAGACGAGCCAGGTAGAGAGCAAAATCCTAAGAGCAGGTCTCTCTCTTTGTGTTCCTTCTTTTCAACTGATCCTACCACTTCATACAAGCTCATACAAGCTCATCCGCGCGAAGCTCGGTGCGGGACTGTCAAGTCGTGGGGATCCTATGGATCTCGGGGCGGACAGACCGAAAAACGAGTCCGTTATCGGGCTATCAAGCCAGTCTGAGTGGAGCAATGGGAAACGAAGTGCGATGGGAACCACCAGAAACCTCGACCACGATCCTCAACAGAAACCTCTCGGAAATCACACAGGAATTTCAATCGCGATGGTGCTTCCTCCTAGTATCCTCATCGTGGGTGGAGGAGTCTTCGGACGTAAGTCTTTTCTCTACTTCACACGGGACTCTCCCACACAATTTGAACCCCAGAAAATCAGTGCCCCCATGATTTTACCCCAACCCACCAACATCCCCAAAATAATCGCAACCCATTGACCCCTTCCCCCTGATTGAAAACATGTACATTGATTTCTTCAAAAATCACACCCACTGACAAGAAACAGTGTCTACCGCTCTCTCATTGAGACAGCGCCACCCGGAAGCCAAGATCACACTGGTGGAATCGTCACCGACAATTCCAAACCCGCACGGCTCATCCGTCGACACATCACGGATTGTGCGGGCAGACTACGCCAACGCAGCATACTCCAAGCTCGCGGCCGCAGCCATCCAGAAATGGCGCAGCACGGCCTGGGGTCGTCAGGGTCGGTACACGCAGAACGGCCTGCTGCTAGTGTACCCGGCCGACAGCGTCAGTGCAAAGGAGTACGCGCGCAAGAGCTACAACAACGTGCGCCAGATCGAGGGCGATAATGTTGTTTTCCTGCCTAGCCAGAAAGATGTGCTTTCCGTTGTCCCGCCGTATGGTGAGGATTTGGATGTTGCTGGTGGGTATGTGAATTGGGGCTCTGGCTGGTCCGATGCGGGGGCGAGTGTGGCGTTTGCGAAGCAGATGCTTGATGCGGATGGGAAGGTTGAGTTTCGCCATGGAAATGTTGACCGGGTGCTTTTTGACGAGCCTGCGTCTGCGTCTGCGTCTGCATCTGCATTCGCTGCTGGCAAAGGCAAAGGCAAAGGCAAGCCACGTGCAAAGGGTGTTGCGTTGACGAATGGAACGACACTGACAGCTGACCTGGTTGTTTTGGCGACTGGAGCATGGACACCCCGACTTGTTGATCTGCGCGGCAAGGCCGTGGCCACAGGCCAGGCAATTGCGTATATCAAAATTAGTGACGCCGAGCAGCGTGAGCTGGAGAATTTACCTACTATCTTGAACTTTGCTACAGGCATGTTCATCATCCCGCCGCGTGACAATTTGCTCAAGATTGCGCGCCATGCGTATGGTTACCGGAACCCGATCACCGTGCCTGTTCCCGGGGTCGGTGCACCCAAGGAGACGATGGCGGTTAGTCTGCCTGAAACTGGTGGTCCCGTTCCGCTGGAGGGACAAGATGCGTTCAGGGAAGCATTGAAGCAGTTGCTTCCTCGTTTCGTGGAGAGGCCGTTTGCTGATACCAGGATTTGCTGGTATACTGATACGTGAGTACTTTTTTTCTGCATATATGGGACCTTGGGTGGTATTTCCATTGGAAGATATTATCCGTCCGGCCAAGTGCATGATGCTAATCTACTTTTGGGCAGCCCTGATGGAGATTTTATTGTTTCGTACCACCCCGATTACGAGGGACTGTTCCTCGCGACTGGTGGCAGCGGACACGCCTACAAGTTTTTCCCTGTGCTTGGAGACAAAGTTGTTGATGCCATGGAGGGCACTTTGGACCCCGAACTGCAGAAGTTGTGGGAGTGGACGGAGGCAAACACCCCCGCTCCAGGAACCAATATGGATGACCTCTTCGACGGCGATGGAAGCCGATCTGGGGCAAGGAACTCGAATTTGCAAGAGGAGTTGGCTAAGACGAGGAAGGCTTATCGCGAGAGTGCGCTGTAAATTGTCGACACATGCATTCTGGCATGAAAATAGATAGATCTGTATAAATGCGAATTGAACTGAATATACTACTACTTGACCACACTAAGATTGCCCGACCTCAACATGTCGTGAGCATACTACGTAGATTTTGATCAACGTGTTCATGAGATCCATGGATATCAATGCTACTTTAGCATCCTGCTGAACTTCAAAAGTTATTATCCAGAAACTTGACATCGATATCTGGACTACGGCTAGTACGAGGTGATACAAGGAAAGGTTTTTTCAAAGATCTTCATTTGAGATAACGAAGCTAGACGGCAAAAGCCGTCGCAATTTCCCGGTCCACCGGCCGGAACGACGGAATCTAGGACTCGGACGCATCATAATTTTTTTGGGCCCGCGACGAGTTGCCCCATCGACGAGTATGGCTGAAGAACAAGAAAATGGATTAAAAAAGAGGCAGCCATCGACCAGCGCACAAACCGCCTCACTGCGGTGTGCAGCAATCTAAGTGTAAAGAGTCGAATGATGAGACAAACCGGGGATCATTCAAATCGCTAAAACGCCCAACTATGCTTGCATGAAAAATCGTGAGAAAGGAAATAAAAAAGTGGGATAAATCCCGGGGGGGAAGATCGAGGACGGACGGCAGGAAGCAAAGTCCGAGGTTGGAAAACCAGGACAAGCGAATGACAGCCGAAGACGATCGCAGGAGGTGAGAAAATAAAAGTCAGAATGTTAATACATGTGGGTGGAATGCGAAAACGCAAAGATGATCTTCCTTTTCAGGCATCTCTTTAAACTTTACGGAAGTCTAGCGATGTTGTTAGCTAAAGCACGCAAGAACAAAGAAGATAGCGAAAACATACCAGAGAGCACAGGATAGATCAGTTCGAAAGCCTGGTAGATCTCCTCGCGCACTTTGGCGCCTGTGAGGACGATCTTACCGCTAACGAAGATCAGGAGCACGATCTTAGGCTTCATCATACGATAGATCAGACCAGGGAACAATTCAGGCTCGTAGGAACTGAAATTGTGATGGCGAGATGCCAGACCCTCCAGACGGATAGGGAACTTGATATCGCAGGAGCCGACGATGTTTTGGATCTTGAAGTCCGTGAACTTGGCATTGAAGCCAAGCTTTTGGATGATACGCGCGTACTTGCGGGAAGCCAGCTTTGAGTCGTCTTCTGACTTGGCACCGGTGACGACCATCTTGCCCGAGGCAAAGATCAGCGCAGTGGTCTTGGGCTCACGGATACGCATGATCACGGCGGCGAAACGCTAAGCGAGAGAAAAAAAAGACCAGTTCAGCCCCACTGTACCCTGATAGAGACAATCTCAGAGAGGTGTGGAATATACCTTTGGGTTGTACTCGGCGTTGCGAGCGTGCAGCGCAATGGTCTTGAGATCCAAGCGGCAGTCAAGGTTGACAGTAGCCACGATGTTTCTTTTGGGACAAATTTGTTCAGCCAATGTCTCGCTTTCAGAACGAAACACCAAGAGAGAGTATACTCACTGCAAGGTCGGCACGATACCAGAGCCGCCAGTCGTGGCGCCCGGGGTCGCGGCCGGAGTAGCGGGAATCACCCCATTGCCGTTGACGGCATTTCCTCCAACCTGTTGTTGCTGCTGTTCCTGCGCGGGTTGTGCGACGGGCTGTCCCTGAATCTCTTTCACAGAGGAGGGAGGGGTCAGATCGCCTGCACCCCCGGGGAAGGAAAGCGACGAGGCAGAGGTGAAGGCGCGCGCCTGAGTGGCGTTGGACGGGTGGGTGGTGAGAGAATCCATCTTGATAACCAGCTCTCAAGCGCAAGGGTTCGAGGACAGATAAATCAAGTTAAGGTGGATAGAGTGAAGCAACTGAGCGAGAGACGACGAGGGTTAGCGTTGCGATCAACAGATCGAAGTGATGTGAGGATGAGGCAGTGAGGCAACCAAAGGTCCGGTCATGTGTCGAGGGAGGGCGGTGTTTGAGGGCAGAATCACGTTGGTGCGCAGGGAAGGCCTTACCAACTTCGTGGGAGATGGACAACTCAATGTATCCCCCTACAGACTGTTGGATCGTGAGGTGATGGTAACACGAATCTCCAGATCGCAGATAGAATCCCAGACTGTGTTCAAAGGTAAGAAAAGCACACTGAAGTGTTTTCAACAGAAGATCGCGGATGGAAAAAGGATTATAGCAGGATAGCACAAAAACAAGACTTTTTTTTTGCTTCGCGGATGGGGTATTTCTTTTTTTTTCCTCGCTGCTTTTTTTGGAAGTGGGATTTGGGTTCTATCTGCGAAGCGATCTGAATGAGAGTGATGAAGCAAGACCTTAGGGCAGGACAAGCTTCTTGATTTAGGTAAGCCCAACGACCTGGATACTGGAAGTACCTAGGAATGCACTTTTTTTTGGTCCTTTTTTTAAATTTGCGAACAAATTAAAAAAAAAAAGGCTTCTTTCCCGGAGAAGGATCTTCGATATAAGAGAGATCACGTAATTAGTAGAGCAGAAAATAGATCTGCGGGGGATAGGGAAAGAGGGCGGGAAGAAGATAAGGGAGTGCCAAGACCGAGACGGAAATCCCAAAGGTTTTGCGAGAGTGGGAGGTTGGGCCTTTATATAGTGCTGAGTCACAGCCTGCGTCAGGGGAGGCTGGGCCCGCTGGTGGCGGTAAAAGCAGCGAGGACTCGCCCTTCTCGCTTCTCCCTTCTAGCGGCTCGAGGTGGATCCATTCACCAATCATCTTCGCCATGGTCAAGATATCTTATTTATTGGTCAAGATCCAGCCCCACCAACTGCAGCTTTTGTTTGTGACTGGCCCTACCGCCCTTGCTTTATCCTCCGCGGCGCCACGGTTGCAGCCAGTGGGCGTCCAGTCCGCTGCGCTCCTGCAGCTGATAGTCGGACCCATCCCATCCTTCCTGACGCTGTCCAATCATTACCGGGGGCTGTTCTCGGTCACTCCTTGTGCGACGCGCTATCCTCTCGCCGCTTTTACAGGAGGCAACTGAACAAAAATTCGTTGCATCCACCCATCTCTTCCTTCTTCCAGTATCCAGCTGGATATGACCAGGGATCTTAGCCAACTATTGAAACTCACCTTCTCGCCACCACGATGATCGAACTCACCTTCTTTTAGCCCCCCTCCAAGCTAACCAGCTCTTTGTCGCATTTTCGCTCCTTTTTGTTCTTCCCACCTATCCCACTGTTGTGATCTGGTCGAGTTGGAATTCCGCACAAAGAGGACAGGTGGCCGTTTGGAATTTTTTCCAACGGAGCTGGACGATTTGGGCGAGCGGTGGCACCCGCGGACCTGCGGCTCCACCGCTCGCCAAGCCTTTGGACGAATCTCATAACATGCCGATCCAGGCTGTCACCTTTGCGCGTGTTTGCCTGGTTGGATCTGTACATATATTCGACGTCTCAATATTACCGTCCATCGACTCATTTTTTGTATGGGAACGCGGTATGCTGAATACCATACCGCCCCAGATCCAACACTGCCGCGCTGTGACATTCCTGCACCATTGCACCATAATCACACTGAATCACGTCGATCGGTACGGAATATATGTAAGATCGCGACCATTAATTTTCTCCTGGCGGTGTGACAGGTACTCGTACTTCTTCTTTAAGCTTGTTTGCTCGTCGAACTGGAAGTCGGGCGTTTTTGGGTGATGATCATCATGATGTCAACCAAACATGCCCAGTATTTGCACATGTGAAGCACGTGATTATAGAGTACTAAGTATACCTTGAGGTACTGTAGTGCCTGTAATTTCAGGCGGTATACATATTAAGAACATCTTCTGGTCCACTCCAGAGTGACGGTGACAGTTCAACCCACGATATAATCCAGAGACTAGTCTACAAGCTATCCTCCGATCATGATCGACCGCTACTCGATTGCTCGGCGATTCTTGATAATCTGGCGTCGAGCTGTCACTCGGTGAACCGGAAATGGATCCAACACGGAAACGATGATTCGCATCAGCTCGGCGCTGATTGGTCCGTGGCAGCCTCGGGTAGGCGGTTTTCGGCGTTTTGGCAAGCAAAATGTTCGGCTGCGGTCCTAAATTGACATTCGGCTATTCAAGGCAGTTCGACTTGCGAGTCCCTAGATTAAACTCTCTCCATTGCATCTTTATTTGGTCATGCCAGTGGCCTGGTAGTTCATTCTCTTTTTCTCACCAACTTGCCGGTCCCTACTCCCCACGATGGCGACCAACAGTACTGTCCTGCCTCTGCTGAGGCGCGAAATGCGAACTGCTTCGGCCCGCCTTTCTCGAGCTTCCCCCTCCGTCACCGTGCTGGCTTCTCCAGCCCGCTCCCCCGCTACTCTCTTCTCAAACCCCGGTCGACGCATCACCAACCGGTCCGCTTCCTTTCTGCCGCCCAGCCAGACCAGAGCCTTCTCGCAATCGGTATTACGGAGGTTCACTGACGAGAATGGCAACTTTGATCCTCGATCCCTCGATCGCGAGTCCGACGAAGTGGATGTGTGTATCGTTGGTGGTGGTATGTTCTACTAGTAGTAGCCTTATATCACATTCCGGAGCCTGTTTTAACCGTGAGCCCCCATCAATTCAGGTCCCGCCGGTCTTGCCGCCGCCATTCGCTTGAAGCAGCTCGCCAACGACGCAGGCAATGAGGAGTTCCGGGTGATCTTGCTGGAGAAGGCCGGAGAGTTGGGCGCCCATATCGTCTCCGGAAACGTCCTGCAACCTACCGCGCTGAATGAGCTTTTGCCGGACTGGCTGTCCGAGGACAACCCTTCGCGCTTCGAGGGCGCAACCGCCGCCAAGGGCGATAAGATGCGCTTTTTGACCGAGAAATCCTCCTTCCCCCTGCCCACGCCCCCTCAAATGCATAATGAAGGAAACTATATTATTAGTTTGAGCGAGTTGACAAGGTGGCTGGGCGAGCGTGCTGAAGAGCTGGGCGTCGAGGTTTACCCCGGATTTGCGGCCAGTGAGGTGGTCTACAAGCCAGATGGATCAGTGAAGGGTGTTGCGACCAATGACCTTGGCCTCGGACGAGATGGGCAGGCTAAGGATACCTTTGAGCGTGGAATGGAGTTCCACGCCCGCGTTACCCTTCTCGCCGAGGGCTGCCACGGCAGCTTGACTAAGCAGGTTATGAAGAAATTCGACCTGCGTCGCGATAGCCAGCCGCAGACGTATGGTCTTGGAGTCAAGGAAATTTGGGAGATCCAGCCGGAGAAGTTCAACTCCGGTGCGATCACGCACTCGATGGGTTACCCTCTGCCTAAGGATACCTACGGTGGAGGTTGGATGTACCACTTTGGAGATAACATGGTGAGTATCGGTCTGGTAGTAGGATTGGACTACCCCAACCCGTGGCTTTCGCCATATGGAGAGTTTCAGAAGTATAAGCAACACCCCATGATTAAGGAGGTGCTTGAGGGAGGCAAGTGTATTTCTTACGCTGCTCGTGCACTCAACGAGGGTGGCTTTCAGTCCATCCCCAAGTGTGCCTTCCCTGGCGGTGCTTTGATTGGTGACACAGCGGGTTTCCTGAATGTTCCCAAGATTAAGGGTACCCACACTGCAATGAAGTCGGGTATGCTGGCTGCCGAGTCCGCGTTTGCGGCTCTGCAGGGCGAGGACGACGCCGGCACCGTGTTCCTCTTCGACTACGAGAAGGCTCTTCGTGATTCATCCATCTGGAAGGAGCTGAAGGAAGTTCGCAACATTCGTCCATCTTTCAACAGCCCCCTGGGATTTTTCGGTGGCCTGATCTATTCGGGATTAGAAGCCTACGTCCTGAAGGGCCGTGTGCCGTGGACTCTCAGCCACCACGGCACCGATGCCGCCGCTACTAAGCCCGCTTCTGAATACAACAAGATCGAATACCCCAAGCCCGATGGCGAAATTACGTTTGACATTCTGACAAGCGTGAGCCGCACCGGTACCAACCACGAAGAGGACCAGCCGGTCCACCTGCAGGTGGAAGATTGGGACAAGCACAAGGACCTTGCCTGGCCTGCGTATAAGGGCATAGAGAACCGGTTTTGTCCTGCCGGCGTGTACGAGTATGTCGAGGATCCCAGTAAGGAGCACGGTGTTCGATTCCAGATCAACTCGCAAAAGTAAGTCCTGCGCCACTCTCACTCAAGCCCTTTTCCCTTCAAAGATACCATACTGACAGTTGCCTAGCTGCATCCACTGCAAGACCTGCGATATCAAGGTGCCCACTCAAGACATCAACTGGCAGACACCTCAAGGTGGAGAAGGTCCTAAGTATATGATGACATGAGCTTGTTCATGTCAGTAGTTTTGTTTATTTCTTTTTACTATTTTTTTGTTGTTGAAGATAGCCCCGGGCACGAGCCCGCTGTATTGTACATAATTCGAATACCTAGAAAAGCGGCCACTTTTTTTTTGTCAGTCACAGCCACCTCACGGACCTTTTCGTACTTTTGTAGATTTGGTTGCAACTGCTAGTTGGATGTCACAGGATCCGAGACCCTATTCGCCCACCTTGAGGTATGGAGTATGGAATGGGCGGGCAGAACCGTGGAATGAGGGTGGAGAGTCCACGAGGCGGGATCTACCGTGAACCCAGATTTCAACCACTAGTCGCGGTGCTTATTGTTGATTGTTGATTCTTGTTTGCTGATTTGAAAGAAAAAGGGAGCCTTCCATCCGCCACCAGCGCGTACTTTTGATGGGAGACACGTAAATTGCAGCGGTCACAGCAAAAAGGAAATGAGAAAAAGTGAGGCGGCCAGAATTTCCCCAAGCGCCCCGGTGACCGCCAGATCTGCTTTTCCACCTCCCCCCCTCCTTTTCTCTCTGCGCTGCATCTTCCTCCATCTTTCCTCCAGTTTTTTTTTTTTTTTTCATCTGCAGCGTGTGTGTACCCAACTCTCCCAACCCAACCCAACCTCTTTTCCTGTTGGGGAGCTCGACACACCCACCGCCACACCTTCCCACCACCCCCCGTCGGTCTTCGCTGATTTGACCGCGCTCAACGCTCACCCGATCGGGTTCTTTCTCTGGCCACCTTTCTTTTGTTGGCCATTTATTTACATCTTCCCGGGATTTATCGTGCTCTGACCTCTCGGAGTCATGACGGAGGTGTCATCCACCCGACTCTACCTTGGGAATCTTCCCCGCAATGGTAAGCTCGCAGCCCTCCTTTTGCCCATGCATGTCGACTCTGGCGCATTCAAGCCTGCGCCTATGGATTGATTCCCTGCGGCCCCCGCCAAAGCTTCCGTGGCCCACTTTCCCTGGAGGGTCCATTTTCGAGGAGCCCACCTGAGGAGAGGGGAGGAGCTAGTCGTCTTCTGACTTTCATTGTTATCTCTCTCTCTCTCGATTCATGTGAATTATTTTGATTTTTTTTCTGCGATGCGCAGCTGACAAAAACCTGCAGTGACTAAACAGGATATCGAGGAGCATTTCAGTACCCATGGATCGGGTAAGATTACAGAGATCAAGCTGATGAATGGTTTCGGCTTCATTGAGTATGAAGATGCCATGGACGCTCGCGACGTCGTTCCCGGTATGGCCCTTTTTGACACCCACACACATAATCAATGCATCATCCTTGACTAATAACCCATCTAGCCTTCCGTATGTGCCGCCTTTAAAGCCGAATAAACCGTGATCATCGACTTACCACAAATCTATTATAGATGGCAGTGACTTCAAAGGCGAGCGGCTAACCGTGCAGTTTGCTCGTGGCCCTCGGCGCAAGGAGGCATTCCCTGGTCCTCCTTCGGATCGCCCCGCTGCTCCACGCCCGCGTCGTACCATGTTCCGGATGCAAATCTCCGGTCTCCCAGAAACAAGTTGGCAGGTTAGCAGCCCATACCCATTTCTCCTTGGATTCCCCGGACTTCACACCCCCGGCCATTTCTCCCTACTTGAAACCTGCATGCTATCCAGCATATGGTCTTTTGCCGAGTCATTGGCCCTTCACTCTTGGAATCACGGCAATTCTCTCTCGCATTTTATAGCTCTAGCCCGGGTACCTCCCAAGGCAGAGTAAAATAAGCGCTACTGAGGACCAGGAGTTTATCTCCTGTGCCAAAGACCATCTCTGGATACCGCCATGCCTGGACGTAGACATTTGCCCGATTTTCCACTTGGACCTGCCCGGACATCTTTCTTCCTGGACCTGGACTCACCATTCGATAGGACCTTAAAGACTTTGCTCGACAGTCTGGACTGGATGTCGTCTATTCGGAAACTGGCCGTGAACAAGGAAAAGGGTGGGTTTAACATTTCGCACCCCCCCCAGCCAGGCTTGGCTCCCCTTTCCCAAGAACCCCCAATTGACAAGGACAAAAGGTTTGTTGAATTCGAAACCGCCAACGACCTCAAGACGGCCGTGGAGAAGCTAGACCAGCGGGAGTTCAAAGGCTCGCGCGTGACTTGCGTTGCCGATGTAAGGAGCCCATTTTCATTACTATTTCCGTTCCCGGATCGGAGGAGAAACATAAGGACCCCGTCTCATTTCTTTCCAGATCCAGAGCCATGAAGACCGTCCCCCCCCCGGGATCCGTACCGGTCTCGCTCCCCGCGTCGGCCATACCCCCCCCCATGGATGAATATGACCGAAGGTTCCCGGCTCCTCGAGGATACAGCCCCCGGGACCACTATCGTGAACGGTCGCCCATTCCGATTCGTCGTGAGTACTACGAACGTGATGGATATGGACGTCGTACTCCCCCCCACGCCCTCGGATGGAAGACTACCCACCCCCACGTCGTCCCTATGAGGACCCATATGATGCCCGGCCCCCGCCTCCCCCGCGCCATTATGATGATCCATATCTAGCGGCCAGGGCTCCTTACGGCCGTCCTCGCTCGCCACCAAGAGGAGAGTATGTCGCGTATGAGCGCCCCCGCTACTGGTAATCCGGCCGGGGCCCACCCCTTCTACCCTTTGGATGCTTTCTCTGCAGATGCTTCCTCTCTTCTCCCTAACTCCAATACCCGTCACGTATCGTATTGACTTTATTCATTTTATGGTGCCAACGATTCTTTTTCAACTTTCCATCTGCCGAGATTTCAGCGTACTCTTACCCAGAATAGTTCAATGGTTTCCCGAAGCATGTTTCTTCCCTGGGGCTCGGCCTGGACAATCGGCTTTCTCTGGATTCACTTCCGTGGAGCTATATTGACTGCCGTCAATTGTACTGGACTCATTTCTTTATTTCTTCTCGGATGATTTTTGTTCTTGATCTTCTTCTTTTTCATTTCCATTTGCCTTTTGTACAAATATCGAAGCTTCCGAGGACAAGGAAGAAGCAGTTCGACTCCCTCCCCACTGGATTAAAGTTCGACTGTGATGATTACCTTGAGGACCCCGCCGGTAGTGATGGATGGATGTCACGGTCGTACTACTCACGTCCGTTCAGATAGCTATTGCTTAGACCACAATTCGACAGACAAAGTTCCAGAGCGTCACGGTTTCTCCTTTCCTGTAATTGTGAGTTTTTGAAATGAACACGGAATGTAAAGATGTTCTAATAGACTTCTACCAGGGTTCCATGGAAACGTAAATCGCACAAGCACCGTGACCGTTTGAAGCGGCAGCTCCCAATGTATTGCCGTCATGATCTGCAGCCCCGCCCCAAAAAAAACTGCCCGCTCCCCCACTAAACTTCAGAATGGCCCGCCCCTCCATAGCTTCAACTCCGACACCTCCGGAGGCCCCTCAATACCAATCCATCCACTATGGCTGAGCAACGATCTGCCATTCACATTCCTCCGGTCCCACCGGTCCTGGACAGCGTCCGCCTCCGCGATATCCAACTTCCTCTCCCTGCAGCCCCAGACGCATGGCATCGCCTGGACAAAGCTCAACCTTGCACCGCTACCCTGAAGCTTTCTTACTCCTCCGCTATTGCCGCTGCCGCTGCCGATGATGTATCCCTCTCCCTCGACTACGGCAAGCTTTTCCGCCGCTTGGAGTCAGATATCCGCGACATGGCGCATCACACCTCATCGCCCGAACACCCGCACAAGCGCATGGTCAGCGTAGAGGGTACGCAGCGAGAGGAAATGAAGGTCAGCGCCGTGGGCCAGGATCCCCGCGTGACAGCCGGAATTGTCGCGAATTGTGGACTAGGCCTGCTGGACGAAACGGCCGCGGGTGTGCGGAGAATGGCGCATGTCCACCAGAGCCCGCGGCATAGCTTCTCGGGAATCCCGCAGACCCCGGCGCCGGCTTCTTGGCCGATTGAGAATACCTATGGGAAGTGCGAGGTGACCCTGCATTTGCCCAAGGCTCTGCTGCGTGCTGAGGAAGGATTCAAGTATCGTAGTGTGACCGTTTGGGGGTACACTCAGATTCCTGATGCCTCGCAGGCTGGTCAGTCGACGGGTAGGTATCCTGTCGTGTTGGAGGAGGAGTTTTCCCTTGATGGAATCCGATGCTATCCTATTCTGGGCGTCAATTCCCATGAACGTGTTGAGAGGCAGGCTGTTATTATTTACTTGGAATTTAAGGGCCCCGGACAGCTGGCTTGGGGATCGACAGTTGTTGATACCTACCAGGCTATGACGAGGGCCGTCGCAGAGGTATGTATCAGCAACATTTTTTATATACATTTACCTATATATGTGGTATCATATACCATGATACTGCAGGGTCTCATCAGAGCTAACTATTCTACAGAAGGTGGACCAGACCTCATTCCAAACCGTTGAGGCGCTGGCAACTTTCATTGCACGCATTGTGACCGTGGACTTTGGTAATGAGAGAGTCACTGTACGAGTTGAGAAGCCTAGTGCCATGGCATTTGTTGAGAGATCTGGAATTGAGATCACGCGGTCACAAGCATTCTTTGAGAGCCACGAGGTGGCACGGCGGTGATGCCGTGCATGGGGATCGGGATCGGATCGGGAATCGCCTGCAGGAACGGATCGCCCGCGCATGGAATGCCATAAAATGAAGTGATCGAAAGGGGGCAGAATATATAGAGCCGATGACCTTTTTTCCCTCACCCTGATGTCAATGGATTGTTTCCCTACCCCCTGCGTTTCTTGTATGTATCCCTGTGGACTCCCTGTCCGCCTATAAGAGCACAAGTAATCAGTCTCACGTGAGCACCGCATTGAGAATAGCGCCGCCCCGGATTTCCGCCTCAAAGCGAGATGATTTTCAATTCACTTCAGCTACCCAGGCCACCACGCTTTGTTCTTTCCACAGACCTCTGTGGGAACTTTTCTGTGTTTCGCTTACATCTTGAAATCAAACTATTCATCCACTTCTCTATGTGCCTGTCTGCGCCGTACTCGCTCCCTTCGATTTCCTCAGCCAACTCGTTGGTTATCTTGAACCCTATCGCGCCTGACTCCAAGATCTCTCTCGCTCCTCCCAATCTGCCCGACGTGCCCGCATATCCTCACTCCTCCAATTCCGCCTTGGCTTTTGACTTCGCCGTTGGCGAGGTGGTTTGGCTAGGGGTACCGGGTCCGTCCTGAAGAAGGGCGGACGGTAAAACTACTCGAGGGATTTCGAACTGGTTTCGACCAGAGAAAGAGAGACTGAAAGACTGAACCATTGGAAAAACCCAGTTGAAGTATGTTATTCCCCGAATTTATCAACTCGATTTGCGACTCCTTCTCGTTTCTATCCTGTTTGTCGTTGGTGGGGCAAAAGTCCTGGGCAAAAAGCGCTCAGCAAAAGCTCCCATAATTACCCCTCCATACAGATTTGGTGACATGACCGCCCTTGGAAGTGAATAAAGCTGACCAGGCAAAATGAATAAATAGTGGCCGTCTTCTAGACATCTCGAGTACATATTTGCCCTTTAGCACCGCCGTGTGCTACCAGTTGTCTACTGGTTAACCAACTCTTGTCGGCGATTCTATTCGGAACAACGGTGACACCCTTTTCGACCTTTTAAACTCTCCGATTAGCGAATCGAACATCATGTCTTCCCCTGAGGCCCAGGACGACATTTCCGTCGGCGATGTGTTCACTCCACAGGCCGACAGCGCGCAGCCGTCCATCGAAATTTCGACCAATCACCGTGGCCCGGATGTTCACATGGGCGATCAGCTTTCGCCGCGCAAACTTATGGCTGCTTACGGCGAGGGAGAGAATGTCATACAGCCTCCCGCATTCCCAACCCTCTTAACTGGGAGACAGCGCCGGAAGAAGAAGAAGAAGGTGCAGACCGGCCCGGCCGACCCAGCCCTATCGACTGTCCACGGCTTCACCCCGCTTGCTTCTGGCGATGAGGATTCGGACTTTTCCACCACAAGTTCTCGCGCTGCAGACTCACGACCGGCTACTTCCCTCGGTGGAGCGAGTCCACGTGTGCAGCCTACTGCCGGTCATGGGGTGAGCGCATTGAAGCTCCAGTTGGATTCGTTGAGTCTTTCTGGAAAGCCGACGGCTGGTACCTCGGGACTTTGCTCCGCGACTCCCAGCAATGCGAGTGTCTACTCTGACAGTGATCAAACTGAGGTCTTGACCAGCTATGAGGTGCCTCTTGACCAGGATTTCGTCAGTGCGGACGCCGACAAGGAAGAGGTCACCACAGGTTCGAGCCCTTGTGCAGTTGCTGTTAATGGCACCGATATTCGCAGCCAGATCTGCCGGAAGATGACCGCGGAGGATTTTGAGCCCCTGCTCTGCCTCGGCAAAGGCTCTTTCGGAACCGTGTTGCTAGTTCGCCATGTCATCACGGGCAAACTCTATGCACAGAAGCAGTTTCGCAAGGCATCAATCACCGTTCATAAGAAGTTGGTGGAACAGACCAAGACAGAGCGCATGGTACTGGAAAGTATCAATCGTCACCCGTTCGTGGTGAAGTTATTTTATGCTTTCCAAGACCATGAGAAGCTGTACCTCATTTTGGAATACGCCCAAGGTGGCGAGCTATTTACCCACCTTGCAATGGAGCGCATGTTTCAGGAAGATACGGCTGCTTTTTACATGGCGGAGATGGTTCTCGCACTTGAACACCTGCATCAGAATGTCGGCGTGCTTTATCGCGACCTGAAGCCGGAGAACTGTCTCCTCGACCACGAAGGCCACTTATTGCTCACCGACTTTGGCCTTAGCAAGATCGCTCTCAGTGATGATGACCGCTGTAACTCTTCCCTCGGCACGATCGAGTACATGGCGCCAGAAGTTGTCCAGGGCAAGCCCTACGGCAAAGCCTGTGACTGGTGGTCCCTCGGCGCCCTCGGCTTCGACCTCCTCACTGGCTCCCCACCCTTCCGCGCAGGCAATCATGCCAAGCTTCAAGAGAAGATCATCAAGCAGAAACTCGTTATTCCTTACTTCATTGGACCCGACGCCAAAGACCTGCTCATCCGTCTTCTGCGCAAGGACCCCAACAAGCGACTGGGATATCACATGCCCAAGGATATGCAGACTATCAAGAAACACCGTTTCTTCCGCAAGATTGACTGGGCTACTCTCGAGCGCCGCGAGCTCACCCCGCCAATCCAACCCATCGTCACGGACCCGGCCCTGGCGGAGAATTTCTCTGAGGACTTCACTCAGATTCCCCTGAGCCCTTCGCTCGCTGGTGGATTTGATGATCTCTACGATGCGGCTGGCCGGAACCGCCTATCTGGAGTTGCAGGGCAGACTCCTGGCGATGGTGACCCCTTCGGTGGATTTAGCTTCGTGGCACCAAGCTCGCTACTGGACCAGGGGTTAGGCGTGATGACAGCGGGTGTGTAATGTGTTACCCGATACTTCATGCACTTTATTCATTTCCAATCGCCATGCTATTATTTTCCACATTCCATTGGTTCGGCGTTTAGGACTTGCATCCCTTTTGGTTAAGCTTTGTTGCCTGCATTCTTGTCTATGGTATTTGAAACAAATCAGCGAGTCTTGCTCTCAGTAGAATCATTAGCTCTAGCAAACGCAACCGCATTTCGTTTTATCAAAACCAACTCCATCAGCCCTAGACGAGAGCAGCAGAACTGGTATTCTTGAATTTATCATTGAGATCTCGTAACATAAGGTAATGGTGGTATAGTTGCAAAAGCAACTATTGATTTACAATAATTCCATCCAGTAATTCCTCCCCCAATCCCGAAACACAGACTCCATCCATGCCAAATAAAACGATACGGAGAATCAACCTTAATAAAATCTAAACCTCGCCTTCCTCGCTGCCGCCACCTTCATCCCGAGTGGGCGGAGGTACTTGGGAGTCACTAGGTTCAGGCGCAGCACTCCTATATTCTTCGATTTCGCCTTCCTCCGCGCTGGTATTTCCTTTGGGATTGGGTACAGATGTCTCCGTTGGGCTCGCGAGTTCGATTTTCTGGGCAGATGGCGTTTCCATGGCTCGCATTGGAATGCGTGGGCGGGAGGATGGCGCTTGCGTCTGTGAGCTGTCGGCGGGGGTTGTCCCCGGCATTGGGGATACAGTGCGCTGGCGCTTTGGCGAGCGCCCTCCATTCAAAGATGCCGGGGCTGGAGTTGGTTGCTTCTGCTCTTGGGAGTGAGACTCAGGTTCGCGGGAACGCTTGCGGCCGTTTGGTGTACTGGATTCACCGGCCGGCGTTGTGAGTGAGTTGGTAGGGGTGAGTTCAAAGGAGGAGGAGGAGGTTGGGTTGCTGTTGAATAGGCGGGTTGGGTCCGTGGGGTCAGTGTCAGAGAAGGTGAAATCCGGGTAGCCCTTGCTAAGAGTTTGTTGAACACGCTCATAGATTTTCACAATGAGTTTGCAGGATTTGATGAGGTCTTCGATGCGCACGTCGATCTGTTCCCACCATGGTCGGCCTTGGGAGTCGTCTGGGAATGCGACTTGGGTGTGTCGGGCGGCCGCGTAGAGGGCGGCTGCGGCAATGACGCGCGGTGGGAATTGGAGACATAGGACTGTATATGTGGAGTCATTCAGGAAGGCATAGGCTGCGTGTCGGAGGGGTCGGTTCTCTTGGACCCCGAGGAAGAGCGAGTATTCCCACAGCACTTTGTAGGGGGACTCCATTTGCAGGTCGAAACAAAGAAATTCAAGCATAACACTCTCATTTTGCAATATGAGGTCCCGCCATTTCCAGTAATCCTTCGACTGCTCATCAACCACCATATCGGGCTTTTTCATCGCAACACGACAGCATGCAACTACAAAGTCCTTCATCCGTCGCATCGTCTCGTCCACCTTGAATGCAACAAAGAGTGCCACTGCTGCGATCACTTTTGGGTGCATGAGATCCCCTGCCTGGTCTGGGTATTGTCCTCGTAAGGAATATCGCATGAGAAACCGATGCATGAGGACTGAGGCTGTCATCGAAGTCTGTGGAGGCATCCTAAGCATCATGCTAACCTGCCAGATGAACTCAACTGCGCGGTGTCGAATGTAATCCTCCTTTTCCCGTTCGATCTTGTCGAGGCGCGTCGGAGTGCGCTCGAGCTCCTCATCTGTGAACATCCATTTCTCTTGTGCGGCCGCAACAACCGGGTTGGGCAGGCCAGGGATGCGTTGTGAAGTCGCGGACTGGTCCATTTAGAGAGATGTATGAGGTGACAGCGAGCTGGTAGCAATATCAGGAGGATGGGAGGAGGGCGACTGGGTGGTTGACAAGTGAAGCGCGCCCGCGCGCACCTTGAGGCGTCTGGTGTCGTGATATCCTATCCCAGGCTTGAAAGTAGGTTCGTCCAATCGCGCATAACGGGGCCTCTCATCGCACCACCGTGTAGGTATTTGGATATGGTCGCAAATCCGTAAATAGGCCCAGTCGTGATGGGTTCCAAGGTTGCAGAAGGCCTTACAAACCGATGGAGAATTTGGAGTCAAGGCGGCGTTGTCGCAGCGATGAATGAAGCTCGGCGCGGAATAACTCGGGCCGAGACTCCGAAGTATATAAACGTCAGCATTAACTTGAACAACAAGAAATACGGAAATAACCGAGGAAAGCTCATCTAGATCTGAGGGAACCTTGAAAATCTGAGTCTTAATACACTTCCTAGCTAATGCCTGTACTAGTATATAATTCGTCTCCAAGAAACTAGAAGTTCCGAGTCCTTTCAAAGACATCGAGTTTGGACAGTAACTAAAGTAAAAACAAATAATCGAAGACGCAAAATCATTCAATACATTAAAAGTTCCAAGGCCCGAGCTCGATGACAAAATAACTCCAGATCTAGAGCTCTAACCAACTCTCTTAAAAACAAATCCAAATAATCCCATCATGTTGACCTGTTCCTGCCTCTTTTGGCCCCTGATCACCACACACACACACACACACACACAGAGAGAGAGAGAGAGAGAGAGAGAGAGAGAGAGCAAGTATTGAGCGGAGAAGAACACAGTGTAGGCAGCGTAGGATTTAGGCGTGGCAGCCAGGTCCAAATTTGTATGGGCAATGCTAGTAATTTTGGGACACTGTTCTTACGGGTGGACCCATCACCTATTTCTGTGGGCCATAAAGGCACCAAATGCTATTAGCATAGCTACTGGACCAACTGGGGCCATTGAGTGCAGCACATTGCCACTACCTTCTTCTTCTGTTATCAATTCCCCAGTCCGGGGACCCCTGGGCGCGAGGGGTACACCAGGCCCCGTCCCTGTTGGTAGCTTCAGAGGAGACATGAGCCCAGTGCCCTGGGCGCCATAATTTTGCGGAATAGATTGATCGACGGTCATTCGATTTAGTGACCCAGAGGTATCGCTCTCTTCCGATGCGGATTGGCCACAACTGGTAAGAACTGGCTCGCCCCTCCTTGATATCCGTGAAATACACACGACTGCTGGCGTCTGGAGCAGACCCGGTGTATAGCTTGAACCTGGGCCAAAGACTAGCAATTCTGCCATCTTCTGGATCTGGCTGTTAACCATCTCTGGTGACACATTGTATAAGGTCCCACTCCTGGCCCGGGTTTGTCATGACACCACCGTTGTTATCAGCAAATATGGCTGCCTGTATCATCCTCGCATATTCGGCCGCAGAGCTTCCATCGCCTAGTAGGGATTCGGAAACTCCTACACAGAATGGCAATTTGCTTGGGACAGCTCCTGTAGCAGCAGCCTCCAAATTTTGTAGGAGCACGAGATTACCATAAAAGATCGACATTTGGTCGGTGCCAGAATTATCCAGCATTTCGAACTCATGATAAGCCCACTCCAGTGCCCCTGAGATATGAATAGTAACCTTTATCTGTAGATTCAATTCAGTAACTGCCCCGGAACTAGGCATTTTTCTTGGTGAAATACTCACATATGAAGTGTTGCTCTCCATAATACCGACCTTTGGTGCCTGTACTAATGCTTTGCTCATATGAGGATCAAAGGACCTAAAGGTATCTCTCCAGGGCTTCAGACAAGAGAAGATATCGGTCTCGGGAAAGAAAGACTACATTTAAATTAGTATGCTCAACTATTATCATCACCACATCCCCTCTTAGATTGATCGCGCATAAAAATATTGCTACTTCTCCCCATCCGAGCATACTAAGACATTAAATTTTTTTGCATGTTTCAATAGTATAATAAAATTGGAACATCGTGAAGATGAAATAGTTCTCTTTCGGGTTATTTCCTAAACTTGAAGATGTCATCGGCCGGACTCGGTTGGGCTAAGTAGATCTGTGTCCATGGATTCACAGTCAACTTCTGGAAACCGTACAGGCCAAAATAGTTGCGGCCGTTTTATTACTCATTACTATTCCTTTTAGGGAAGTCAATCGACTAACACTATATCTCGACAGACGAAACTTCTCTGGAACTTTCTGCTGTTGACAGTTTCAAATTCGCTTACGCAACACCCAAATGGCACCTGTTACTCTTTTTCTCTTCGAAGAGATGGCAAGCTCTAGCTTCCGCCTCGAAAGCAAGACGTATAACGAAATGGAAAAAACAGGGTTTACAATCGAAACAATTCTTCAAACTCTCAGGCTTACGAAAAAATCCAACGAATATAACTTCTTTCTATTCGGCGGGTTAAACAGGAAAGCAGTCACATTCATCGATAACTCGCATATGCTCGCCTGCTACGATCGTTACAATGATCAGTCGGTGATTACGATTATTGTTCGTTATAACAGCGACCCATCGCCTTATGATGCTCAAGCACCCAGTGCAATGGCGTCGCTCCATGAAAAACGAGTCCAAAGTAAAATAGATGAGCTACAAAACCCGGTTCTGAATCCAGAGCCCTTCCTCGAGCTACTTGAGGTTCATGGCGCATTTCTTGGATACAGGAATTTGCAAAAAGAAAAGATGAATCGGAAAGCGTACCTCGAAATATTGTTTGATGCACATCCGTATTTTGAGGATAAAGTTGGACTCTTTATTAAAGACCTGAGGGAAAGCTGCAACGGCTCAAGAGCCAATCTGAGGTCTACCAGGTTCCCATATTCTCTTGAAAGGCATTACTTCTCTGGTGAGGAATTCGCTGATATCCTAGGGATACCGCTTTTCCCTGGCACTTTGAAGGAACGGTTAGAGGCGATTCCCGAAGAGGAATTTATCGTGTACCCTCGTCTTGTCTCGATTTTCCTGCGAGCTTTCAACTGGAATTGGAGCTGTATTGAGTTAAAAGGGAAAACGCAAGAAAGCAGTTGCAAATATCCAGAAAAAGCTTTCTAAAGTGACTTGGAAGAAGGCATGGAGACAAGTACAATTGTGGAATATGCTCAATAATATTAAGAGACATAGCCTATCTTCAAGTTCTAACTAGAATTTGGGTTTTAGATCGACTTAGAATCAGATGCATTGTCTGCATTCTGAGCTTTCCTATGCTTTCCTCCTATTATTTAGTTACACGACAGATAAAAGAGGCGAATCTAAATATTCAGCCACGGGTTGGACGCTTTTACTTTCAATAAAAGACGGACCAAGATGGTCAAGTTGTACATGTCTTTTAGAGGCTCGCAAGATTGAAAGGATTTACAAGCATGATTATCAAATCAAACCTACTATTCGTCTACTATTCTCCGACCTAGAGATATAACTGGCCAACTTATGAAAAACCCCCGCAATTAGGTGTCTCATAGCCCCCAACGGCGGCTAATGGCTTCTCCTGAGTGGCGGCCCTACTTCTTAGCTTCGCCGCGCCCCACGCATCGCTGGACCGGGCCGCAATGATAATCCCCACCAAACAGATTTTGCCTGGGAAAGCCGGTGAAGTCAGTGTGGACTATCGGAGAGACGTATGATCTGAGATCTTGTTGAAAACAAATCTCACATAATCCTGCATATTCCCAGGAAGTATCAAAGAATGAATATCATGAGATGACTGATTCACGGAAGTAACTAGTAAGAGGTACAAAGTACGACCCTTCATGGGGTACAAGGCAGCCTAGAAGCGGCTGATGCATGAACAGCCCCAGCACTAGTTTTGCTCAGCCATAAATACGAGCCACTCCTGGATCGAAAGGTATTCTCCGCCCCCCCCCCCTTCCCCCCCCCCCCGGAATCAGTGGTTTCGATTTATTTCTACCTTCACTATGGGCTCAAGAATAAAGCGAAAATCGATGAGCCCAGATGAGGAGAGACAGCTTATTGCAAAGCATAAGATCAAATTTCTTGGGCCTCTCCCTGTCTCTCGCTGGCCTGCCCAATATGCGTCCTTGTTTAATCTTTTTCGAAAAATTGAAGACGTCAAGTATGATGGGTACCTCAGGGAAGCAGAGAGGCACGCAGGTGCACCTCAGGGTAGACAAATGAGAGAAACAATCTACAACACTGGGCTTCTCCAGTGTACTGCTGACGATTGTCGCAGATCGGGGGCCCAGGAACAAGATTGGAGAGCAAACACGGAGAATCATCTTTTTCGTCGCTTTAAAGAGGATGTTACATGGTATGGTTCCCGACATCGCTTTATACTGGTTGAAGTTTTGGTTCTAACAAATGAAAAGTCACAGATGTAATAGAAACCAATGGATATCTGAGTTTCAAGCTATTCCATCGTGTCCACGAGCAGCAGACAAGGTCAGTGAGATACGAATGAATAAGACTTTATGCATATGTAGTGAAGATGACATACTCGCAAAAGTAAGTACGCCAAAAATGCTGAGTTGCTAGGACGCGCATCAATGCTTATCATTTTCCTGCTATAGCTTCATGTTGTCAACCAAGCCTTTGCCGGGAAAAGCGGAGCCAAGTTCTATGACCCCAATATACCTGACGCAGGTACTCGAAGGCCGGATTATCTACTAGGCCTTCGCCGATCGCCTTCGCTAAGTCTGGGACAGGAAACTTATCCAGATATAGTATGGTCACCTATCAGGACTATAAGTGACTTACTCCTGCCTTTCCTCATCCTCGAGGCCAAATCAGAAGTATCCGGATTTAACTTCGAGGCCGTGGAACGACAAACTGCTTTTCCAATTAGATTAGCGATCAAGTGTCAGAAGTCCTTTAAAGAAGAATTCCATAATCCAAGCTATTTGCCTTTGGTATGGTTCATTGCATACATAGGAGATTCGTGGAAAGTATACGCTTGTATACCCAATGGGGACACCACAGTAGGTTACTCGTGCAGAGAATGCGAATCGATCAACTAATTTAAATGAAGGAAGTTTTTGAACTATGGAATGGCACCATCCGGCGTGACGACCATGCCTTGCAGCTTTGTTTAATTGTCGACATGATATATGACTGGGCTTCAGACATCTATCGAGAAGACGTTATTAATTGTCTTTCTAACTATGAGTCTGATTTCGACTGTTACAGAAGCGAGACAGAAAGCATCGTCTGGTGTGACGCACAGTCTCAAGTTTCTCATTCCAGAATAGAACAAAGTTATCTTGAGGTATATGATTCCGACGAGGATCGGAATCGACTACCTCTGTCGTTTCGGTCATCGTCACCTCGTCCCCGGGGTCGTTCCCGAGAACACCAGAGCCCGAGGATCTTGATTTGCGAGAAAACCTGCCATGCGATTCTTCACCAGAGATATTTTTTCCAGAATGCGTAAGTCCGCCTATTGTTAGTTCATGGGAGGCCAATTCCATTATTCAAGATGCAAACAAAGTGATTTTCACCTTTCGATCTCTATCTCTGCCTGAAACGTCCGAAGAGCTCGCCATGATCCTATCAATTTCAAGCCCAGCAGACTTGAGGCAGAATGCAGCAAATTTGCTGCAACTGTTTAATCTAGAGCGTCCAATCCAAATCACTGCGAGCTTTATCTCAGCCTTGAAAAATATGTGGACTGGGTCTAGCGATACGGAGGAACACCCTCTGCTCCAGAGCAACGAAACCGTTTACGCCCACACATCGTTCCGGTCATATCTCCGGCCTAGCGACTATGGCATAGTTCGAGAAATCACCTCTATCACCGGGTCTTCCGATGCTCTAAGCTCTCTTTGGAGGATTGCCAAACAAGGCCCACCTAGTTTTCTACGAAACCAGAATTTTCTCCTTCCAGGGTTAGACAAAGTCGCGGTTTTGAAAGGAATGACGGGGTCAAACTCTTTGAGAGCAGCAGTTCGGAATTCATGTCTTACACTGACTATCATGAAAGACCAGTCGAGCTCACCGGTTTTTGACTGGATGAAAGAAGACTCGCATGGCGAATATACTTCAAATTTGTGGATTAACCTTGGTCACCAGTCTTCTGGAATTATCATGTCACCGATTTTCGGATACTCTTGCGCAATGGAAAGGATCTGCAACTCCGATGAATACATTGGTCCAAACTTAGATGAGTTGCTGCGCTGGGCAGACGGGGAGTGTTTCTTTGATCGGGGTGCAGTTATTTTCAAGACGCCACTGAAATCGCGAGACAACTGGCCATGGTACTGTCTGACCGTCTTTGATTATACTGATCAGGAAGATCGGCCAATTCTGGGTCGAAAGCTGTTGCGCCTGCTAGATGGAAGGGTTCTAGTTGAAGGTCATTTGGTACGCAATGTAACGCCAGAGGACCAGGGTTTCATTAGAAATTGGGCCAATGCTCTTTTGGAGGGGGATTTGGTAGAATCGTTTGGAGATTCTTACCTCCACTAGTATTTTGTCTCTTTAGTCTCGAATTTGCGTACCCTGTATAATTACTCGGGCCTATATTGGAATATTACTAGTGTCATCTACCATAATCATTCTTAGTCCCATATATACTAGTACTAACTATCTCCATTTTAACAGCTATTTTAGAGGCACCGAGTAAAGGCCGAGATATTACTGAATGAATACTGTCTTCTCCTCAAGAAAAAATAATTGATCTCCATTGCCGATAGTATGGTATCTCTAGAAATAATACAACCTAACGCCATGCTGATGCCATGCAAATAAATCAAACGATACAGTAATACTTTACTCTTCTTCGCTAACCTCGCTCTCGTCGTCACTTGGCACATTGTACCTCGCAGAGGTTGATGTCTGCGTATATTGTCGAGGCGCGACTTGTTCTTCACGGGCAGTTTCTTCAAAGGCTGCTTCCATTTCTGCCGCCAGGGGATCAAAGTCATCGTCATCCATATCATTGCTACCTCCAGCACCCCCGGAAGTGTGCTCAACGGGTGGAGGGTTGGTGTTTCGAGCAGGAGAAGGAAGACGGAAACTATCCATTTCATCCTCTTCCTCTTCATCTTCATCTCGATCATCGGTCGGAGTGTTGTTAGATGAGAAAAAGGCTGGGTTCACCTTGAAGGCCCGAGACGGAGGTGGCGAACCCATGTCGATGATTAGATCCCCATCGACAATTATGTTAGAGTTTGGAGATTGAATAGTCTGTTGTGATGCGGAGCCAGTGCCGGCATCGGAGAGAATAGACCGAGTGTCTTCATGATCATGTGGGTCCACGCGGGGGGTGGGCGCGGCCGGCGGCTCTGGAGTTGACCGGGGCGGGTTTGAGTTGGTTGGAGCGGTTGGAGCGGCCAGCTTCGTAGGTCGCTTGGGTGCCCGAAGAGGGTTTGCCTGCTTCTTCGGACGAGACATCGACTTTGGGGCTGGGCCCGGGGCCGATTTTGAAGCTGGAGCGGGCCTGGAGGCCTGGAAGACCGGCGTGGTCGCCTTACTGGTGTAGACAGGTTCCGGAGTGGTGGCGGTAGATACCGAGGCCGGCTGGTTCTCCGCGCCGCCCTTTCGAAGGAAATGGCGGAAGTCATAGGGGTTATTGTCATCAGCCTGACCTTCATCTTCGCTGGTGTTGCCAGTGTTGCGATCGTCCGAAGAGGTGTGATCGTCTTCGTGGTAGACCGGGAGAAGCTCCAGGTTCTCGTGGCGGACCTCCTTCTCGGTCTTTCCAGGTCGTGATCGAAGGTTGAAGTTCAGTTTCGTCGAAACTGACTCTAGGACGAAAACCTTGCGGTCGGGGTCGAACACCAAGACCAGGTTGCGTTCGTCGGTCGGGTCCTCGCTGCCCTGGTAGGCATACGTCAAGTTGTGATCGGCGCCCGGGGCCTTATCGGTGACGGAAAGGTCGTAGAGATCGCGCGACAGGGAGGAAGGTGTGATAGTCGAACGCTGGGTTGCTGTTGCGGACTTGGTCTTATAGTTATAGTTGACATTGATCAATCGGCTAGACGCTGTGTCGTTGGCCAGTCTTTCCCCTAGAACAATGGGGTACTCGGCCTGTTTGGTCGGGTCAATCATGGTCGAGATGGTTGGGGCGGCCATGACTCCGCGCTGCTAGGTATAGTCAAGGGGAGGTGGAACTGGGCGACATTCAGAAGAGAAGAAGTAGGAAGGATCAAGGGAGTTTGTAGAGGGAGGAGAAGAGGAGACGAAAGGGAAGCGTGACACAAAAGGATGGGGAAAGGCGAAAGGCGGAGACCCGAGAGTCTTGGCGCTACCAGAAGTTCTATACATAGATTATTACTTAGATTATTACATGGACTTAGTACATTGGCATTGTACTCTCGATACATAGATACTAGTTACTAGTATACTAGATATACTATCCTAGTATAAACTTCACTCGATCATTACTCCCGGTCTATCTACAAAGGTTCAAGTTGGTATCCTGATATCAATGCACCGCGACTCGGCTGGTCAATTGCTCCAGTCGACCGGCTAGCGCTCGGTGCTTGCGCATTACATCCTCCCATTCGCAGCTGAGCTCCTCCTCATCGCTCAACTCCGTCAGAATCATCCCAAAGTCCCCCCCCCAAGGCGACCAAGGCTAGCCGCACAGTACAGAAGCTGTGTGAGCAGACTCTCCCGTGAGCCTCGATCCCGCACGTTGGGAAGATATGCCCGCATGGTGTCGGTGAGTAATTGCACAAGGTACATCGGGAATGTCGCGAGAGCGGGCGGTAGTTTTTGTAAGGGATCACTGGTTCGCGCTGCTTGGGATGCCAATTTTTCGGCCTTGATGATGCCTCTCAGCCCGGACACGGCCGTTTCAGTCTCGGATTGTTCGGAGTCGAATATGTTCTTGTATAGCGAGACGATCGCGAAGCTTTGTTCACGGAAGATCTCAATATATCGTTTCAAGTAGCGGTCGGTTTGTTGGCCATTCGACCAGGTCTCGGATTTTTCCTTTGCAGGAGTCCTTCGCTGTGTTTCTTGATCGGCTAACTCCCGGAGTGGTTCTAATGCCTCCAAGGTCGACACCAAGTGTGCCAGGCGGCAGATCAAGAAAACAGCACCCAGTGCCCCCTCCCCACCCCCCGATGTTGTATCATTATGCAGTGCCTCTAACTCTGGTGCCACTCGTCGCAACCACCCGACGGTTCGCATTCCAGCTGCCAGCCGCAAGTTTTGAGTTCGGAGTCCCGCAATCAGATTGGTTGTCATTTCTTTCATCGCATCCTCCGCCTGTGATACGACATCTTGAATTAGGGGGGAATCGGGGTATAGAGTTTGAAGTCGCTTGATATGTGCATGCAAATCGAGGGCGGAGGAATAGGTGGTGGATGCCGCACCGGCACCGGAGTTGGCAGAGGCGGCAGACACGGCGGTAGAGAGGAGGGATGGTAATTCGAGAATATCAGACAGTCTGTCAACATTGCGGGCCAGCTGCATGGCCTTCTTTCGTCGTTCTAGAGCGGCATTGTCCGTAATCTTGCTGTATTTGGTGGAAAAGCCCACGGTCTCCTCGTCGAGTTTGGGCAGGGCATCGCGTAGCTGTTGCACCTCACTCGTCAATTGGGGAATGTTTGTACGGAGTGTCGACAGGTTATCGGCCGATGTGATGAATGCCCGGTGAGATCGGTTGGAGAGGGCCTGAAGGGAGAGGAGGGTTGAATGCGAGGATTGTGCGAGTGACTGTGGTTCGGTGGATTGGAGAGAGTCGAGGGAGAGAGTGGACAGGCGAGTCAAATACTGCTCGGTGGTGGCATCGTGAGTTTGAGTTGAAGTTGGGGTCTGCAGGTGTGGAGCCAGCAGCTCAAATAACGAGTCGGCCATATGTGTACGAGTATATCTCTCCCTCTAATGGACTCGGAGTCAGGGAGTGACGTTGCGTAAAGGCCGCGCTGTGGATGGACACTTCCGGTGGTGGTCCGTGCGGCTCGGCGCGGCGTCGACTTTCTCTCCTGCTGGAATCTTTCTTGTTTGCTCGAAACAGGAGAACCGGGCTGTTCCAGTTCTTGCTGCTTCTCTTTTTCATATATCTACGTCTCCTTACTTTTCTGGATTTCCCCTTCTTGCACTCGCTCGAATTCTTCCTTCATCAAGTGGCTACCCCTCCCCCGCATCGTGCTTGTTCCCACATATAGCACCCGCAACCATGGGGAAACCACGAGTAAGTGGTTTCATTGTTCTCTGATGAGCTTGATTCGACATGAGACTGATACCTTGCGATAACTAGATGATCATACTCGTTCGCCATGCGCAGTCGGAAGGAAATAAAAACAGAGATATCCACCAAACAACCCCAGATCACCGGGTCAAACTCACACCCGAAGGACATCGTCAGGCACAGGAAGCAGGGCGCCGCTTGCGTGATCTCCTGAACCCCGATGATACCCTTCACTTCTTCACCTCTCCCTACCGTCGCACAAGAGAAACTACAGAGGGAATGCTCGAGTCCTTGACCTCGGACTCGCCCTCCCCGTCTCCGTTCCCCCGACACACAATCAAGGTCTACGAGGAGCCCCGGCTGCGAGAACAGGATTTTGGGAACTTCCAGCCATGCTCTACAGAAATGGAACGCATGTGGATGGAGCGTGCAGACTATGGTCATTTCTTCTATCGTATTCCCAACGGCGAGTCCGCGGCAGATGCATATGACCGAGTGAGTGGGTTCAACGAATCGCTGTGGCGACTATTTGGCGATGAAGACACCGCCAGTGTTTGCGTCCTGGTCACCCACGGTCTCATGACGCGGGTGTTCTTGATGAAATGGTACCATTGGAGTGTTGAGTATTTCGAGGACCTGCGCAATATCAACCATTGCGAATTTGTGATCATGACCCACAATCAGGACAACGGCAAATACACTCTGGAGAATAAGTTGCGTACCTGGTCCGACCTGAAAAAGGAAAGGGAACAAGAGAGGGACCGCGAGCGCAAAAGCAAGGGTACTGACCCAGCTGCTGCTACTTCTCCTATGGACAATGTACCGATTCGAAGAAAATGGGGTGGCTGTCCGGATGGATGTACTCATGGCGTGGCCTCTGGTGCGAAGCAATCCTTACCGACGCAGCTGATAGAGTCTATCAAGCATGAACACAACCGCAATGAGAACTCCCAGGCGGAGCGCAACAATAAAACCGACCAGCCATCTTCAGGGTCTCTCAAATCCCCTGCGAAGTACAACAAGAGCTTTGATAACAGCTTCAGCTTCCCGAAGAGCAACGGGATGTACCAGAATAATGACAATAATAACGATAGTACTCACCAACCGGCTCAAGAGAACCAATACTCGGCTGCAGAAAGCGAGAACACCGATAACATTAACACTCTGCGTGACACCAGCTCCGCAACCAAGGTCAATAGTTCTCGCCCTAGCAGACCGAATCTCCATAGGCTGCAGCGTGACAGCGAAGACCACCTTCTTCATCCACCCGCTACATCCTCATCAACAGCCTGTCTCAAACTAGCACTTCTCCACCTCGGCGGCCGAGACGGAGGCGGCTCCATGAGTGGCGCCAACAGTCTCGCGCCATCAGACGACGAGTGCTCCGACACCGAACACCACATTCCCCGAGGAGCGATTCACAGATCAGTACATTCTCATACCACTTCCCAATCTCACCCGCCACGGTCAGCCATGAATCCATCACAGGACCTTTCAGAAGACGGGGATGACGAACTCAGCACCCACCCCACCGAGGATTCAAGAAAGTCGCGTCCACATGTACACCACCATCACCATCACCACCGACATACCTCGTCCACGCCCTCTCTACCACAGCATCGCATGGCGAATATTCTTGGCGACGGCGACGACATGTCCACGCACTCACGATCGGAACCATCGCCGGGTCGCGACTCCCAGCAGAGTGAGTGCGAAAAGCATGAAGAGAGCCAAAATGAACAGCTTTCGCTAGAGGAACGACATAAAGAAGATCAGAGTTTACGCGGGAGCGTATACTAGATTTCATTATTGACTTGGGCCTCGGCCTGGGCTTTCTGTTAGACCTGCATCTTCTATTCCCCATGCATCAATCGAGTTGGGCCAGGTGGGTTAAATTGGTTAAAGGCTTCGGATTCGATGGCATGCTCATGCGCATGCATTGTTTGTTTTTGTTTTTTGTTTGTTCTTTCTCGGGTTTCTTGGATATGAACCCTGTCTACGGGTTAGGATTATGACGATATGATTAAAATGAGTGATTTAATTTATTGAGGTAGTACAAAATGAGTCTTGTTTTTATGCTTCATCATCAATCTTTTTTTTTCCGAGGCACATAGTACCTATTAGTAATAAGTCCGAGACCTATGGTTGATCAGGTATTTGCTTTGCCTACCTAAGATGCCACCAATCGATGTAACCTACTGACTTTACTACGCTTAACAACTACAAGGATAGGGCAGAAGGACAAAGATAATAGTTTGCCTTGTTTATTTGATTTTTTTTGTATCTTAAAATGAATCATCTTCAAAACCTCAAACTCAAAACACAAAGACCCAGCCAACTCGTCACTTCCGGCCACCGGAATCAGGCCATAAAAATGAGTAGCGAGACGAGTTGGTATGGAACTGGACGAAGGGAATTGACAAAAAGAACAAAGAAGACAAAGCACCAATAGACTACACACAAACCAGGTTGTCGGGAACCTGGCTCGATCCCAAATGGGGTGGGGCAATTGTGCAGGGAAAGGAAGAATGGAGGGACGCAGATATCGATAAATCAGGAACCACCAAGCCCATTCGTTTTATATCCAAGCACCCACCGCCAAACGGGAGATCTGAAGAAGGGAAAGGGCGGGTCGGTATAGACTTCAGCTCGGAGAGAGGAGAGATTCATCAACTGGGTCGTTAAACGAAGAAGTATCAAAAAGACAAGAATTCAGTTTAGTGAAGCGAATCGAGTCAAATGGAATGTAATCGTGGATCGCGGATCGGAGAAAACAAAACAAGGGCGATTGCAGAAGATGAGAGAAGCGAAGTATTAACGCCGGGTAGAGACTGTAGCGTGAGGGAATTGAAAATTGTGAAATAATGTACCGATCTGAAGGGAGGGCGAAAGTGGAAAAGAAGAAATAGAAGCATTCTATGGGTAGTCACCGCCAGACAAGATGCCAGCAAGTTGAAAATGGAGGAAAGAAATGAACCGAAGATATGGACCGAAAAAGGTCATGGGTAATAAACAAGGTCAGATTTTAAGGGTATTCGTGATCGTCGTGACTGCGGCCCCGGCCACCGACCTCGCCTTGGCAGGACAAAAATGATCCGACGAAGCTCAAGTGGTGACACGAACGTCCGACGTAGCGAGGTACAATGTAGACAGCGCGATGAACGAGAGGTGAGATCGTGGATTGGCCGGGGCGTGCCAATGTCGCCGCGGGAGCGTTTTTTCCTCTTTTTTTTTGCATTTTTTTGAGTTTTTCGCTGAGCCGACACGAACCAGCAGATCGCAGAACAAAAAATACTTTTCGGTGGTTGACGCGCAATGCCGATCGCTCAAGCTGTGAGTTGAGTCTTAGGCCAGCGAACCAGAAAATGAAGAGGGCGTAGAAAACGTCGAAGGAACAAAGGACAAAAAAAAGGAGAGAAAAAAGGGACAACGATATCATCGAAAAGGGAACCCATGCAATATCACCCAAACGTCGAAAATGAAAAATTCTAAAGCCGCGGAAGGAACTGGTGAGAAAAAAAGATCAAAAGTAAGAAAAATAAATGGCGAAAAAAGGACGATGAGACCAGGGACGCCAGAGCTGTCGTCGGGTTCAATCGTAATCATAAAGGGAATCAGCAGCAAAGACATCAAGGAGTAAGAAATGTGGCCAGGCTGCAACAATTATGCGGCAATAGGCTGTAGCGCAGGGAAGGCGCTGTTGCACATGTAATGCTCAAGATGCTTGGCACAGTACATGCAAGCACAAGACGATCCATGGCCGGTCCAGACACTCTGAGCGAAGGGCAGACCATACGCCGGAGTATGATGGTAGGACGGGGGTTGCGATCGGGGTGCGGACTGGAGAATGTACTGGGGCGGCGGGGGCATCCAAGCTCGCGAATAGGGCGGAGGCGGGTTCGAGTAGGCCCAAGGACCAACCGAGTAGTAGTCGGGCGTATTCGGTCCACTGTGCGGAGCCGAGGGCGGCGAGTACTCGGAGGCTGCCGGGTTGAGCCAGGAACTTTCAACGTGGGTGCCGCGTTGGTATTGAGGCGGGATAGGACCTTCGGGCGACATGAGGGGCTTGGAGGTGGTCTGCTGACGAACGACGTTGGTGTCCAGAGGCGACAGGGTCTGGCGAGACTCATGTGCACGAACGTTAGCCTTGGCGCTCCAGGTGTCCCAGTGACGACGCCACGAGGCGAAGCCATCCTGTTGTTCATAAATACGATCGTGGATCTTCCAGTCAAAGGCGAAGAGCCACTCGAGCTCCAGTTTGTTCAATTCAGCCACGGGAATGTTGCTAACTTCGGCCCACGACTTGTTCTGGAAAGTGTTATCGTCTCAGGAACTTGCTTCCAAGAAGCAGGGCCACGGTCAGCATGCGATAAATTTGGCCACTGCTTGACTGGAAGACGCGCTGCGAAGAGAGCATTCGCATGCGGCTGGACAGGTAAAAGAGGCCGAGAAGAATAGTCGAGCTTGGCAGGCGTGTCGAAGACAAGATTTGATAGACGTATTTCCGAAACTGCGGGGGAACTGAGGATCCTGGGGAGATGCTTCGCGCGAAGTCAATATCTGAAAGGGTGATTTTGGTGTTGTACAAATCATACATTCCCTGGGTCATTTCCGCCACGAAGTCGGACATGCGATCCATCTCGTAATCCAGATGAGCGGCGACGCCTCCGGTAGCTTTCTCCTCCTTGCGGGGCTGTTCCTGATGCTGTTGTTTCATCGGGGCGATATCCTGGCGACGGTACTGTTGCGGGATCGCACTATCCATGGGGGGAAGCTGGACATTGGAGCGGATCGGAGGCAAAGCGTTTGCCATCGGTCCATACATCTGCTGCTGGCCCATGGCGTGCATATCCCGAGCGTGGATTGGATGTGCCGACGAAGGGTGTAGGTTCATCGCGTTTGGCTTTCCGTAGCACATGGATTGCGAGAACTGTTCGATAAATTCGGAGCCGCTCTGGTGGTAGCGAGGCGGGAACGCAGGGTAGCCGATGGGGTAGAACTGGGGTTCGTCCAGGCGACCGCCGCTGTTGACGTGAGGAGGGGTGGGCAGGCCGTGGCCTGTGGAGTAGAAAGACGGCATATTGAGAGGGGGGTTAGGGGAGAGAGAGACCGGTCAAGACGGGGTGAGGTAGACGAGTTTGCCTGTTATCCGATTCTCCGGGGTCAGCGCCGCGACAAGGCCAGGCGGAAACGAGATAGGGGAGAGACGAACCGTCTACAACTCCGCGACGTCCTGAGTCCGGGAATGTGGAGAGGGGGGGGGGGGCGCGGTTGAAAGAGCGCGTCGCTCCGATGTGGTCGTAGTGAACGTCTCTAGTTGAATGACATTGAGAGAATCTTCAACCAAATGGACCGAAGACAAACGAGAGTGAAGGAGCGTTGGTGGATAGAGATAACCAGACACCAAAAGATCTGTGAAGATGAGTTCGGAAGTTGTCGAGCAAGCAGCAAGGTCTAATCACAGAATCACGAGATGGGTTGGTGGTTTCGTAGGCGGATCCCTAACACCGAAGATATTTTTACTTCCCAGGACACACACACACAGACGTTCTGGGGGGGACCCAAAACGAATAGGGAGAAAAAAGAACACAAAAATGATTCCCTCGCGTAGAGGCAAACCTCAGAAAGAGGTCAGCAACGACACTTAGTGAAAAGCTCGTTGGAAAAGGGGAAAGGGGAGAGGATTGGAGAGATAGAAAAAGGGGAGGTGAGAGAAGGAAGTTGGAGTGGCCAGGACGAGTGTGTGAAGACGTGGAAGTGTGTGTATGGGTATGGTAATCTGGTAACCGTGTGACAGGCCTCGACCCGAGAAGAGTTGCGACTAGTAGCACTTTCCGCCACAACCACTGCTGGTGGCCCGTTTGGGCAGGGAAGTTGTAGGGGGAAAGTTGTCACCCCAATACACCAAAAATACCAGTACTCAACCCGAAACCGCCCCGGTGTGTACAGTGTACAGTCACCATACAATACAGCAGGAGCTACGGAGTACAGAAGCAGAAGCAGCAACAGCAGCAGAGCAGCACAGGCCTACTGGTCTAAGAATAATCTGGCTGGCCTTGACTATACTATATAGGGATGACTGGATTCACCCTCTGGTATTCTATCCGATTTTTAGGGACCCAGCCATGTCCAATGCAACCACCGAAAAAAAAGAAACCCAAAAGAGAAAAAAGAAAAAGAAAAGAAAAAATCTAAAAAAAGGCCCACAGACTCGTGCGGGCCTTACATGACTAATCAACTTTCCCCCCAATGACGGGGTGGAGACTCTTCACGGGCCTGAGCGTGGCTCCTCCAGAACGAAGAAAACATGCCAGCCGTTGCGCGGTGACCGTGACCGTGACCGTGATGGTGACCAGCTGCATCCAAGTACGATTTCACACGACAGCAGTGCCTCCCCAGAGGCAAATCCAATCACACGCTCTACGTCCGTCATCCGCCATCATTATCCACTATCCGACGGCACCCATTGCTATCGCCCCCCGCCATCACCCCGTACAACCAAGTAAGGGCGATGGCTTTTGTTACCAGGACTCTGAGTCACCGGGGCCCGTCAAACCAGTGATCCCTGCGGTGTACAATAGCGTCATGCCGCATGGTGGCAGTGGCAGTCGCAGTGGCAGTGGGTGTGGCCTGTGGGCTGGGAACAGCAGACACCAAAGACACCCAGACACTAGAGAAGGGAGAGAGAGGCAACACCGACATCAGGCGATGGGCGTTGTTCATTGGACCGGCTTCTCTTTGGGCCATTATTCTATTTTGTCTTGAGAGGGGGCGAACAGCTGTACATTACGGAGTACGGAGCACGGATACTGTACGAGTACTCCGTACTGACGCTGTAGGGATTCGGAGTCCTCGACCCGCTGGCGGCACTGCAATATCCTGCCTGCATGGTTGCTGTGTGTCGCTGTCACTCCTGACTCCAATGCATCCCTCACCTCTCACCTATGTATGCACATAACATATATACTCCGTATACTCCGCCATCTAGCCATCAACTTGAACTTACATAGAAACTATCTAAACTCCCCGAATGTATCCATGGTTACGCCTAGGGCAACACAATAAACTCACCAGGACCCAGCCTAGTCCCCTCACTAGTGACTAGTTTACTAGTTCGACTCCTCCCGGTGGACCGTTCTCACCGGCTCCGGCTACGCTCGGCCCAATACTGTAGGTACAGTTGGGCACTTCTCACCTCCTGAACCCCGCCATAGGGAATTTCCGGGCGCGGCCCCTCTTTCTTTGGTGGGGAGGGAGGGGGTTGGCGGAACATACTGTAGAAAAAGGAAAGGAAAGTAAAAGAACTTGCAGTGGGTCTGGATCTAGATTGGATTGGAAATACTACCTACGAGGGACGGAGTACCTGCCGAAAACCTTGAAATCCGGCCGACTCTGCATACTTATTGACAGGGAACTGAAAATCAAATATGGATTAGCATAGACAGATACCTAGATACTATTCAGCTGCCAGGCTTTAGCAATAAATGACGCATAATAAACTAGTAGTATGAGCGCCAAAGGAATACACCTAGGCAGAGCCCGCATAAAATAGAAGGAAACTAGAATATCGTGAAATGATTTGTTGTTTCTATATGCTAGCTTTTTGATTTTTGAGGCATCCGTGACCAATCAAGAGGTGCAAGAGGATTCCAAAGGTGTTGAAAAACAAAAGATGTGAAACAGTCCAGGAGCTCGGCTGCCTGAACAGAACAGAGGGATATCACTAAGATTCAAGAAGAACCCAGACGCGCAAACAAATGACATAGACTCGTATACTCGATAAGTCGTCAGGAGAGAGGGACAAGAAGGGACTATTCCCCTTTCTTGTTTCCCCTCGCCTCCCGGTCGAGCCCATAGTCAGCTCCTAGCTGACAGTAGGAAGATGTGGGTGTAGGGGCGAGTGCGAGTCCAAGTGCAACGAAAATAAAACTCCGGAACCAATGTCCCAAGGTGGTAAACAGTAAAAATAAATGAGTCGTGAGTTCGTGACGGGGGAGAAAAGCATCGGCTTAAGCCTGTGTTGCTCTTCTTCCTTTTTTTACTCGTCCTTTAGGCTTCCGACCAGGCTGCTCAGTACATCCATGATGACCTTTTCGTCTTTGGGTTCTCCACCAGGGAATGAACTTTCCGTGGCATTGCCGAGGACCCGAGCGCGAGCACTGCGGAGGACTTCCCGGATGTAGTTCTTGTCTTCGTAGTCCTCCATAAGCACGGCCTCGAAATCGTCAAGGGCTTTGTTGGCGCGCTCATTGAACGACGACGGCTCCGGTGGTCCGGTTGGTCCCGGGTTGGATTGTGCAGGGTGCGGCTGCTGCTGATGACCCTGAGGTCCGGGCGGTGGTGGACGCGGCTGCTGCGCCTGATGATGCGGAGGTGGCACATGATGAGGCTGCTGCGGATGTGGCTGCGACTGGACCGGTTGCTGATGCTGGTGTGGGTAAGATGGCCCAGCCGGAGGAGGGAACGATTGGTGTTGGGTATTGATATGTGGAGGTTGAGATGGTGGGGGTTTGGGGGCTGAGTAGGGGGGGATTGATGATGATGTTGCTGCTGCGGCGGTGGTGGTCCTTGGCCGGGTTGCGGCGTCTGTGACGGCTGGTTTTGTGCTGCCTGCGGAGAGGGATTGGTGGCGTAGGGTGAGGTGTAGGTAGAGGGGATTGTTCGAGCGAAGGCTGCCGGAAGGCTGCTTCGAATAGTGCTTGGTATCGGGAAAGATGCAGGAGCTGGCACCGGGGCCGGAGCTGGAGCTGGAGCTGGTGCCGGAGTTGGTGCCGGAGCCGGAGCTGATACAGGGACGGGAGCAGAAGCTGCCACCGGCGCAGAAGCTGGGGCTGGAGCCGGAGCAGCGGCGGGTGTCGGTGCTGGTGCTGGTACAGGTGCAGGTACTGGCGCAGGCGCCGAAGCAGCAGGGGGAACAGGAGGAACAGGAGTCGAGACGGGAGGACCTGCAGTCGAGGGGGGGAGGATAGGGGCTTGAATGTTGAGGGGTTGCTGCTGGCACGGAGAAATTCGACGGCATCGTAGAGAATTGGAAAGGCTGGTGCTGGTGCTGGTGCTGATGCGGACGCTGGTTTGGCATTGGTGCCGGATGACCAGAAGGTGGTCCGTAGGAGTGAGGCATGGGAGGCATATACTGCTGGGGCGGAGGGGCAGGAGGAGCCTGGGGAGGCGGAGGTGAAGGACGCCTCTTCTTCTCCTTCTCAACAGATGCGCCAGGTCGAAGTTGCCATGACCATCCCTTGCCATCTCTTTCTGCGTGCATGAATAGGTGTCCATTGCCATTGAGATTGTGCCGCACACTGGATGTCCAACCTTCGGTCTCGCACTTGAAGCGGAAGTATGGATATTTGAGCTTCAACGCACGGTATATCTGTTTCAGGGTCATAGGGGTGCCGGCCTCCGTCAGAGCGTCGAAGATTAGGACCGCATAGTTGTAAGGGGGCTTGGCCAGATCCTCCGGCGAGTAAGCAGACTCCGGAGGATAGTTAGGAGATGGTGACCGTGATGGCTTGCGCTTCTTGACTGGTGGGGGCTTGACATATTCCTCGGGCCGTTGTTCTGTAGAGAATTGGCCACCTTCTGTGGACGGAAGGGGGAAATCCATAGGTGTGCCATCGCCCTTCTTTCTCTTCGTGTATTTGCGCTTCTCGGAAGGTTTGACAGAGGAGGTTGGAGATTCGGCTCCAACAGACTCCTTGGTCGTTATCGTCTTGCCTGCCTTGGAAGCAGAAGTAGGGGGGGAGGAGGAAGAGGAGGTCGGCTGGCTGCCGGTGGAGTGACACCACCATTAGCTTCGCGTTTCGCAGCAATCTTCTGCTCCCGAGCCAACTCGGCCCTTTCACGTTTCGACATGATACCATCCTTTGGAGGTCGGCCGGGTCCACGACGACGGGCCGGCTGATCTTTATCACCTCCCGGTTCGATTGAAGGGACAGGCTTCGTGGGATCGTCATCCTTGGTCTTGAGGGAGAGCTTGGGCTTGGAAAGATCCTTGCTATCAGGACTGTCGCTCAGATCCTTGTCCATGTCGTCGATCTCATGTTCAGCATCAATCTCGTGAGCAGCATCAATCTCGTGAGCAGCATCGATGTCAGCGTCTGCATCCGCATCTGCGCCCTCGTCTTCTAGGTGCTGCTGCGGCTCCTCCATCCGATCCGCTCCAGTCTCGCCGATGGGAACATCGGGTAACAAGAAGCGTATCCGTACACCACCAATTTGGATGTAGTCACCACTATGTAACGGACGAAGCTGACCGGGAGAAAGCCAATCGGCCCCAATAAAAGCACCATTCCGGCCCATGACGTCCATCTCAAAGAGGTTGCGATCAAAATTGTAAGAAATACGAACATGGCGACGGGAGATGCCCCGGTGCCCGGCAGCGGTACCATCAATCGTTGACGGAGGGTGAATAGGAATTGTAGGGCATGAGTCGGGAGATGGGAGTAGGGCTAAAGCATCCACAGGCTTTGCATCCCCATTGTTCTCTGATTGCAAAGATTGCATAGCGAGCGCATTATAATCCGTCACAGTTGTTGTTTGTAATTGGGCAGGGTTGGCACTCAAGGGCATCGCAGAATCATCAAATGAAGATTTCGATGAGCGCCTGCTGATATTTAGGTTGGCTGGAAGATGTGGGGGGACATCCGGATCGAATCCCATGATACCACCGCGGTCACTGACCACGCTTCCCATCATGGCAGCGCTTTCTTCCCGCTTCATCCTATTCGGCGTATGAGAGGCATTGCCGCCACTCGAACTCTTTGCTCGAGAACTCCGCACGGCCTGCCGGAACTGAATTTCTCGCTGATGTGCGGCGCGCGCGGCCCGAACATCTCGTCCCAGGATGAACGAATAGGTATTGACATAAAAATGGCCATCATCAAACTCTAATTTGGCGAACGCTTGGATCTTCGGTTCCGACCCAGCCACCGAAGTTGATCCATCTTGATATCCGAGGGCTGATAGATCAGCTCCTTGCGAGAGATAGGCGGCCGTGAGCAGCTCGTTCTGCTGGAGAGCCTCGAATGCATTTTTGGGGACTGCGGCGAAATCGAAGGGAGGGAGAAGGGATGGTTCCAGGTTTGATTTGGGATTCAAAGGGTCAGATAGGGGTTCCATGGCACTCGCATTCGATGGCCGATGCACGGCCATCCCTCCATCTTGCTGTGGCGCATCAATTTCCGCCAGAATGTCAGTAGCCGGTTTCCCGTGTCCGTTGGGAGTACTATGCATGACCCTTGATACCGAGGTTGAATCTTGCGGGAGCTGGAAATCTAGCGCAATGCTGTTGTGAGCAGATTGATCGACTGCGGGAAAGCCATTTGAGTCGTCCATCTTGACATCCTGCTCGTCCAATTGTTGTCCGGAATGTTGATTTCCCGTCGCATCGGCCGAGTTTGGCGCAGAAGGATTCCCCAGTAGTTGGGCGAGGAGGGCGCCGGCGGCGGATTGAGTGTTGAGGTCCTTCTGGTGCTCGGAAACATTCACGTCGGAGTCATGGGTATCGGTGGGTTCAGTCTTGATTCCCATAGAGGTGGCGGGCAAGGCCTTGGAGGTTGGGGCAGAATTATGCATGTCGCGAGTTGCGGAGGGACTCCTTGAGGCGGTAGGAGATGTAGGGTCGTTCTGGGAGTAGCCATAGTCGTGCATGGGCGTATCTGGACCTGAATCAGGCGGTCGATGGCCCACTGCTGGCGCCGTCATGGTCTGCGACGACATGGCTCTGGGAGGAGACAAGGGAAGAAGCAGCTTTTGCTGGGCGGTTCTCACTGGAAGGCGGTGAAGCTTGCCGGGTTGGTGGCTGCAGACGCCCGTAGATGATCACTGCATCGTGAAGGTGATGGGGAAATAGGAGTTAGAAAACGAGCTAGGAGGGGAGGGGGCTAGAACAGAGAATGGAACTGGTATCGAGGGAGAGAGAGAGAGAGAGAAGGAAAGATTATAGAGGGAGAATATGAATAGATCCAAAGATCCTATCGACCTGCAGAATCGAACTGGACCGACCCCCCCCCTGGAGACGATCCGGGACAAATTTTCTTTCGCCCCGCTCGAACCTGGAGGATCCACTTGGTGCCTGTACACCGATGGTCGACAGTCATGTTATACCCGTGTGTTGAATGGGATATGCATACAATCATGAATTGAGGTGTAGATATTCCAGAGGGTGCTTAGCTAACTCTACCTAAGTATGCCTAGGTATTGATTTATTTTTAATGCAGCGGAGTCGGAGCTGACTTCGAAATATACTACTACTACTAGTAGTAATCAAGGATTCTAGTATTCTGCCCATATATACTCCGTACACTGGCATATGCCAATTGTACATCCCGCGGATTTAAGACGGGTCTCCAGGGCTTAGCTAACCAACCATCAGTAGGCAATGAACCCTTCCTGTCTGATAACTCCCCTCGCGAATAATTTCTTCCTTCCTACCCTCTCAATCCGGCACTACCTCCCTTAACCCTCATGCAGGTCATACATACTGTGGGGGAAGCGGAGTGCAGAACCGAGGGATTGGACCGGGCAACATCTTATCAGCGCACAACCCCTCGCTCCAATCTCCAATTTAACGATCCACCGGCACTGACCCTGACGCACTGGCACATTTCACCTCAATACCATGCCTAAAGCCAAAAAGCCCGACCCCAAAGCGCCCCCGCCAACCCGCAAGTCCCCCGTGGCTCCTCCAAACTGGCCGCCGCTTCGCCCACTCCTCCCTGCCACCGACCTGACCCTCACTCCTCTTCTCACCGACCAGATCTATCTGATTCGCAACTTCTTCCCCGGCACCCTGTGCAAGTCCTACGCCTCATTCCTAGCCTCACTGCCTTTAACTACCACACCCGGCAAGCCAAAGAAGGATGAGGCGGTGCGCGTGAATGACCGGTTCCAGATAGAAGATACGCGGTTTGCGGAGATGGTGTGGAGTGAAACGGCGTTGAAGGAGCTAGTCACCACCCGCTTTGACGAAGATGAATACAACTACGATGATTATGATGATAATGAAGAAAGCAAACCACCCGCAGATCTGTCGCAAAAATGCAAGCAGACCTGGGGCGGAGAGCCATTGGGCCTGAACCCAAATATTCGCATCTATCGATATTCCCCCGGTCAATTCTTTGCACAGCATTGTATGGATATATTACTTCCCCTTTTGTCACCCGCAGGTGTATCCCAGGCTAATAGATCTAGATGACGAATCCAATGCCTTGACCTTCCTGCCACCCTCGTCTACCAAGTCCGTGCCGGCGCGGACAACCTGGACCCTACTCATCTACTTGACCACCTGCTCCGGCGGCGAGACTGTCTTCTATCCTGAACCTACACGTGCAGATCCAAATCCAGAGCCAATATCCGTGGCGCCCGAGGCGGGGCTGGCGTTATTGCATCGCCATGGGGATCATTGTATGCTGCATGAGGGGATGGAGGTCACCAGTGGGGAGAAGTGGGTGCTGAGAAGTGATCTGGTAGTTGCGCGGTGATAGTTGAATACCGTTACTACATATACTGACCGCACTGTTGCATGCACATAACTAATAGAGAACTTTGATGGGCCTATGCCATGATATCGCACTACGAAATGACAAGAATGTAATATACTTCGCATCATTTAAACGTGAAATTCTAGTCAATTTGCTCGGTCCAAGAAGCATGAGATACTCATAAGCAATCAGCAAGATAGTATGACAAGGACGATAGTAGGTCCTAGCCAGAGGGACCACATCGCGTAAAAGAGACAAGATTGTAAGTACAGGAAGTCGTAAAGAGTGGCGAATGGGTTGGGAATAGATAGAGAGATGGAGAAAAGCGGGAAAACAGAAGAAAGAAAAAAAAGCCAAACAAAAGATTTAAACTAGCAGAAGAGAACATGACTTTGAATCGCCGGTCAAGTCTCACAGGAGATAATGTGAGCGATTTAGCGTCGCGTCCTAGCTTCTTCTTGCCGCGCAGGCCTCATCATTCGAATTTTCATCATATCATATCATATTTCATGAAGAAACGGGAGACTTGGCGGATTCCACCTTATAGTCGGTGCGTCGCATAATCTCCTCCACAGGTCCGAGCAGCCTCTTAAACCCATCTCGGCCCAGACGTGCCACCTTCACATCGGTCTTGCTGACAATGCTGGCCGCGCGCGGCTTATCATCTAGCAACGCCAGCTCACCAAAGTAATCCCCACGGCTATAGTTCTTAACCAAAGTTCCATCCTTGAAAGCCTCCGCCTCACCCGACTCCAGCAGATAAAATGCGTCGCCAGGGTCACCCTGAGTGATGATCGTCGAGTCGGCCGGATACTTGATAGTGTCCAGGGCATCGGCGATCTTGGACCGCTCGTAAGTCTTCAGAGAAGAGAGCAGGGGGACCTCTTCGAGGAATGCCTCGTACATGCGGCGGCGCTGGAACGCAGAGTCCATGAGAATGCGGCGGAAGGTGATTCGGTCCAAGGCCCAAAGAGTGCTCTTAGCGTCGGTGGAAATGACGGTCGCAGCACGCGGGGCATTGTACATCAGTGCCAGTTCACCGAATGAGCCGCCGGGCCCATTGGTGGCCACCTTGTTACCTAGCCCATCGGGGCCAGGTTGCACCGAGCCGGAGGAGTGGATGTAGATATCAAAGTGGCCCTTCTCGACGATATAGAAGTAGTCACCCGCGTCACCTTGCGAGATGACCTTGATATCCTTGGCAGGAATCGGCTTCTCGACCAGGGCATCGAGGACAGTCTTGAATTGGTCGTCGTCCAGATGAGAGAAAAGGAAGTTGGTGCTCACCGCCGTCTTGAGACGGGCCAGCTGGTCGTCACTTTTGGGGTGGTGCGGGGGCGTCCAACTATCCGAGCCCGCTGACGTGGGATTCAAGGATTCTGCAGAGACAGAGGTTCGACGACCAAGCGCATAGTTGCTCGGGAATCCCTGGGCGGATCCCGTCGGCAGAGATCCCGGCTCGTCTCCTCCCAATCCCGAACCCGACCCGGAGTCGCCAAAGGGACTCCGCGAGAACAACGACCCTGGTGCGGCACCCCCTTCGCTTTGTGAACCCGCCTCACCAAACGCACCTCCCCCGAAGGCCAGGCTCCCTGAGCCAGCGGCGTTGGATTGCTTGAACGTCACATCTGTAGGTGACGTCACCTCGAATTCTTCGTCTTCTGCGATCTTCTGGATGCTGGGGCCCTTGTCGGATCTGGTGGAGGTGTTGAGGAAAGGGCTAGTGCCCGAAAAGGCGTTTGAGCTCTGGGCCATGACTCTGACGATTCTAAGGGCCGGAGAGGCCGCCACTCCGGCCGAACTGGGCGGGTAGATGGAGATGAGGGAAGAGAGTTGGTATAGAAGATAGGCGGGGGGAGTGTAAGAGAGATGAGATACGGTGGGCGAGAAAGTGAGCAGGTGAAATCTTCCAGATGGATGGTTAGAATGGGAAGGGAGGAATTAACGGGTGAGTAACATTTAGGGAAGAAGAGCAGGCAGACGGAGGGGCTCGGGAGTGGAGACGGGGAGAGTAGCCTTTGAAGAGAGCCTATAGGCAGGCAAAGACGGGAGGGTGAAGACACGGACTCACTTGGAGCTAGAGGAGGAGAGGGGATGATAATTGGCCTCGAAAAATCGGACCTCTGGGGGGAGCAGCAGAGGTTCTCCCGGTGAAAAAAAGGCGAGGAGGGGTAAGAGAGGAGTAAAGTCGGGGCCTGGTCTGAGCTTCTTCCGTCGATCATGGTGATCGACGTCACTTGTTCCCTTGTTGAGTTTTTGCAGGTGGGGAGATTGTACAGAGTTATTCGATGATTCTCTGGTTTACCCTAGGAGATATCGGAGTATCTCTCTATACCTATGACTATGGTGGATGGCCCACTGAACGCTGGAAAGGAGCCCAGTTGGTGTATGTGTGTGGTATGTGGTATGTGTGTGTGCACACGACTAAAAAGAAGCTTCGTCCCCAGCCGTCCTTCCAGGCGTCTTCTAGAACCCGCGGCCAATCCTTTGACACTTCGCCACCGTCTTACTTGAGGTCAAAGTGGCGAAAGATGGGAAAGTACTGAAGTCATCTATCCGTTTTCAGTCTATTCTTCAGCCTTTACGGATACCCGTGATCCTTTTCCGGGACTGAGCACCTGTATTTAAGTTTTATTCATTTTCTTTTCATCCCTGTGGGTTAATTGATTGACCTTTGTTGCAATTTGCTACTTTCTCTTTTCTTCTTTTCTTCTTCTTTTTGTAGATTCTACTGGATTTCTCTTTTAGGTTTTCCCTGGGCGCCCGCAAAGGGCGAGGCGCATCGATCGCCGGACCTTCGCACCTTCCTCCTCTCTGGGGAAGCCGCAGCGGGAACTTGAACCATTGAAATGGGAGACGATCAATTTGATAAACTTGCGGTCGCACAAGATCATCAATATTTTGAAATATTGATATTGATCTTGATCTTGCTCTTGACATCCATATCTATACCTTCCAAATTTTCGCATGAACATAACGTTCCTGTGCTCTGGCCTACAAATGGTCCATGCTGACCAAGGTGTCATGGACCCACGCGAGCTCGCTGTTCCTTCCTTGCTCGCCGCTTGAGGTCGGCGGTGTAGGGAGAGCTAACTAGTACTAGTATGACTACTACAAGTACCCTAGGGTACTACGCCGCTCCCTATCGTAGCTTTAGACTAGGTTCTAGATCAACGTACAAGGTAAAGGATCGAGATAGGGGCAACGAAGGTAGGGTTGCTCAGATCAGGGCAGAACAGGTCTGTGTCACACCCCACCCGATTTCATCCCAAGGAGCTTGCAAGCGCACTTCTCTCCCAACCTCTTCCTCTCTCTCCTCTCCTGACCTTTCACCAAACCCTCAATCTCCTCGGTTCCAGCGGCGGGGCTGTGCACACTAGCAGAAATGGGGACTTTTACATTCCAATGGTAAGTTCCATCTGCCCCCCCTCCCCGCGCGGCATCCGGCCGGGGCTCGGCGCTCTGCTTTCTCTGCGCAGCTGAGCGGAGGCCATATCTGACGCACGGGAAGAGCTCGACTCATCCCGTGGCACAGACATAATGAATTGGATCGCTGACTGGACGGTTCCTCGCATTGATGTGTAGGCCTTACGATGCGAAAGAGGTGTTCGTCACGGGCACTTTCGATGATTGGGGTAAGACGGTGAAACTGGACCGGGTTGGCGGCATCTTTATCAAGGAAGTGTCGCTCCCGGTGCGTGAGAAGATTCAGTACAAGGTATGCCCGTGCCCTGTTCCTTTTTTACGTCTTTGCAATTTATTTGTCTTTTTTTTTTTTTTTTTTTTTCCCCTTTTTTCTTCTTCCCTCCTGTGGCTTGCACGTTGCGGTGAGGGCTGCTGCCTGAGGCGCCGGTCAACCCCAGTTTCGGTTTCCGCTTGTCAATGGCGCAAAAAGCGAATGACGCTTCACCACTCCCGCTGACGTCACTTGGCCTGTCCCGCTTTCCTAAACTATAAAACCAATCACTGTGCCACGCAATGAGGGGAACTTTAGGCTGACATTCAACTCTTTCAAGTTCGTTGTCGACGGTATCTGGACAACTGACAAGCGTGTTCGAGAGGAGAACGACGGAGACGATAATATCAACAACATCCTTCTGCCTGAGGAGATCAAAGACAGCGCCCCAGCCCAACCTGCTACCAACGCAATCATGTCTGGTGTGACCCCCGATTCGACAACCGCGGCCCTGGCTGCGGCTGTCCCCAAGGAGGCCAACGGAAACCTGCCCGGTACCTTCCCCGAGACGCCGGGACAAGAGTCCGAGCAAACGCTATCCGTGAACCCCATCCCAGCCTCGGGTGGCTACGGGAATCCCATCAAGTTGAACCCTGGCGAGAAGGTTCCCGACCCTAGCACAATCCATGGCAACACTGTGGACTCGACTGTGCGACTAGACAAGGAATCTTATGAAAAGGGCGACAGCGTGCCCCTAGGCAGCGCCGGAACCCAGAACGACACCGCTGGATCCAGTGCCTTTACCGTGCCTCCAGTGACAAAGAACCTCATTCCTGAGTCCAGCCTTCCCATCGGCGGACCTGCTCAGCGAGCTGCTTCCACCGAACAAGAGCTTTACCACGCTGGTGGCCCTGCTCAACAGGCCGCTATGGCCGACCCTGGCGTCACCATCCAGTCGGCGGCCCCCACCTCGACCACCGCCGCGCTTGCTGCCGAGGTTCCTCTCGAGAAGAACAAGCAGACGAATGGCACCGAGCCGGTGAAGGAGGTTCCGGAGGTAGTGAAGGAGTCGATTGCGAAAGCTCACCAAGACCCTGAGGCTACTGCCAACAAGGAAGCCGTTGTGGAGAAGAGAGATGTGGAGAATGAGCTCCACACGAAGGTACCTGTGGAGGAATCTGCAGGAGCCCCGGCACCAACTGCGACTGCAGCTACAACGTCTACCGCACCTGGCCATGGCCAAGGCCTTGTTGTTCCCCCAGTGGACTCAGCCGATGTATCACCGACCTCGACTCCTCCCCCCGGACGAGCATCAGCCGTACCCGCCCCCACCTCGGCCCCTGCCACTGAAGACCGGACCGTACCAGCGACCACTGCCAAGCCCACTGAGTCTTCCAACACTGATGCAGCTAAGAGCAGCACCGAGGGCAGCTCCAAGGATGAAAAGAAGAAGAAGCGAATGAGCGGATTCTTCAGCAAGCTCAAGGAAAAGCTCAAGTAGATACACTCTTGTTCTGTTCTGAACTTATGATGGATTGCCTCACTCAAACACTAGACGGTGGCATTAAGAAATGGAGAGGCCGCTCTCTCAATGACAGTACGCACTGCACTACCTGTTTTGTGTTTCATGGTTTCGTTTCGTTCCGGTTTGGTTTAATCGTGTTTTGATCTGGATACCTCATTCGCCCGCACCGCATTGTATTCCAGCAAGCCTTTACTTTTTTGCTGTCCTCTAATACCAATTCGTGATGGACATCCTTGGTCTAGGAATATATCTTAAACTGACTTATGCTTTGATCATTTTTGGGTTGCTAGTATGGTAGGGTAGTACTAGTACTAGGTATTTGTAGCGGTACTATTTATTATTATTTCCATATTTGGTCGACCAGCCTCGATACTCCGTAACTCCGATTCACCCAAATGTCGTTCCAAGGTTATCTCAGGTAGTGGTCCACTCCTTGTTGTAGCCATGGTCAGAATGGTATCGCATTGCTGACTTGACCATTCAGTTTCACCGGGTAGCCCAACACGCTAGATCCATTAGCTTCATCGTTACCTACGCGGAGAAGAGAGGGAAGAGAGTCCACATACTCCCGTCCGGTCTGTGTACAGCCACAGCCACAAAAGATCGAGGCGGGCCAGCAGATCACCTGTAGGAATTCTCGAGTCAGCGAATCAGCTCTCATGGCAACTCAGCCTTGCTGCGCCCAAGCCTTCGAATTCGGATAGATCGGCCATAGAGTATAAGTGATAAGAGGCGTGACACACCGCAGCGACGATAGTAGCACAGAATCCTGGACAAGAATCAGCAATGACCCTGGCTCTCTTTTTTTCTTTTTTTTTCTTTTTTTGCAGTTGGGATTTAGTCCCTGTATGGTTGCGACATACCTAGTGTTGGCCCGACGACTTTACAGTGGCAGGGATTCTGGTCGGTGCCGCATTGAAAGCAGATGGGGAAGATGGGGAAGAATGGGAGGTCGCACATCTTGTGGCCGTCCGTGAACAATGAATATCGTACTCGTAGTTTACAAGAGAGGAATTCGGATCGAAGTTCTTCTCGTAGAAGGGATGTTCTTCCTCGGATCACAGGTAGGTTGAACCGGTTGTGGTTCTCTCATAATGACGCAGTAGAGATCGTGATCCACCGATCGGCTGCGGGGCAGTAAAAAGTACATGGTGTGTGCATACAGTGATGGTGGTAAACAAATGCCATGGGAGAGTACTGTGTATATCAAGACTATAGACAGGAGTAATACAATTCCATACACTAGTATGGATGTAGTATGTACTTCGTACATGGAACTTGAACCAAGAATAGCATCATCGCACCACTTACTGAAAAGTAGGCCAAAGCCACACACAGCCACAGACTCCACCAATCAAACGGCCCACCAGGCCCGTTACAATGAGAAGCCCCTGACAATAATTCTCCGCTTCCTCGAGAGTCACGCTTCATTCTTTCCTTTTTCCTTCTTTCAACGCCCTACCCAGGCAGCAACTTATGCCCAGAATACCAAGCCTGCAACTAGCCTAGACCCTACAAAAGGCCAGCTTGGCACCCACAAACTCCACTCCTTGGAAACCTTCAAATCTCTCAAAGCCACACCACCCCTCACCTGAGCCACTTCCAACCGTTTCGTCTATATACAAACACCACTCAGAACTATACCGCATCGCCGAGAACCACCAACAGCCAACAACCACCAACACCATGGCCAAATCCAAAGTCCTCCCCCTCATCCTCCTCCTCATCTTCGTCGGCATCCTTGCCGCCGTCGGCTTCGTCGTCTACAGCATCGTCCAGGGCGTGAGCAAGACCACGCGCGAGAAGATGGAGAAGAAAAACGTCGTCTTCACCAAGGATGGCATGAAGGTGAACGTGAAGGAGATCAAGGACGAGGCATATAAGGATCGCACGCAGAGGTTTGTCTTTCTGTCCCCTCTGCTCCTTTGTTTACTCCGATCTCAATCTAACAAACACAGTGTCCTCGTCAACATGTGGAACCACACTTCCTTCCCCGCGTACAAGAGCCGTCTTTGGGATATGCAGGGCCAGGAGGAGAAGCCCGGAGCTGAGAAGCGCAAGCCGTATGTTTACTATTCCTTTTCTTTCTTTCTTTTTTTTTTTTTGCGATGATACGTATCCACTGGAGTTGACTTTTCACTAACTTGCGAAAACAGGTACTCAAAGTAAACCATCTATGTCTCTCGATGACAACCTGAAATTCGCGCCCGTATTCTCACAAGTCTACTGGCTGCTGTCTACCTGCATTGTTACTTTTCATGTGGCCGCCTTTTTTTCTATTCCCATTTGCCTTTCATATATACGTGCGTGCGCACTTTTCATCGATCTTCTCATCGATCTTTCCATTTCATCCCATGATATGCTTTCTGTAAATGCGTCATGGTGTACGATAATGCTTTACTCCATACCCGACACTATCGCAGCTGAGTCGGGTTGCGATGGTGTTTGCGACACTTTGTTTGGTTTTGTCTTTCACTTCTTTGCATATACATTTCAAATCTTTCACAGATTTTTGAGAATGAATTAGGCTTTATCGTTCTGAGGTATCGATCTCTTCTACGCTTTCTACGGTAATATTATAATGCATGGTCATATGTAGTTGTTGATAGTACTCTTACTAGTATTTCACAGAATACTAGTATACAATGTCTTCAGTTTCTTTAGATCCTATCTCCTTAGGCAAGAAACTGAAAACCTTTGGTCCATGGGGCTTGCTTTTTGGGGCTTTCCCAACTGGCATATCTTGCAAACTTTTGCACATATCTCACATAGTTTTTTTTGATTTGAGCGACTGCGGTAATAAACAAGAAGGTGCCATCTATTGAAAGCTATGATTCTTTGGTATCTAATCATGTATAACAAAGCATTTTACTGGGAAGCGTAATAGCTCTCATCCTGGTTCAAAAGGCGAAAGGTTTCCGGCTCAGGCTGACCACTACCACCGTACCAGGTAGGCGTGCTCAAGGTCTGAGGTGTATTATCTCGTCCCGTGGCCGTGAAGGCCGATTCAAAGGTCTTAGCCCATTGCACTCGATTATTCAGGCCCTCGAGGTCCCAGAGCTCCTGCAAGAAATGCAGGATCGAGCTGTGCGTGTAGGCGGAATCCTCAGCGTACTTGGTTCCCTCATCGTGAATGAGGTGGTTGGCTGGGACCCAGGGGGAGATCAGGAAAGCGGGAACACTGGGGGACATGTTAGTATAGTTTATTGGATATGGAGTAGTAGATATGTACCGAACGCCCAGACGGGTAAAGTCGTAGGTGACATGGTGGTCGTCGGACATGCCAGTAAACGTGATGCCATCTTCAGGCTGAGGAATGTTCATTGGCGGAGGGACGTGGTCTGCGAAGCCGCCGTGCTCGTCAAAGTTGATGATGAGCAGCCTGCATAATAAATTAGAATCGATGTATATGAGCTGATGGGGGAAGAGACTAACGCGTTATCCCAGTACTTGGACCGGCGGAGTGCGTCGTACAAGTGCTTGAGCATTTGCTCCCCGGTTGCCATGGGACTAGTCGGGTGCATCGAATCTATTGAGCAGCACTCTGGGTTGATATAGGAAAATGTAGGCAGCGTTCCCTCCTCGAGATCACGGTAGAATTCGTCGGCGTGCACTAGCTGGTCCATGGCGTTGTCTTGGGTCCACTGATATGGATGATCAAAACCGGTGCTTTATGAATGTGGTTATTTTGTAGACTGAGTGCTCACCTTATACATATATGCATCCACGATGTCCGTTTCGTAATACTGTGAGAAGGGTTAGCTGTGGGATATCTAATTTGACCGTTCATAATATCTCACATTTTTCCAGCTGATGCCCTTCTTGCTTAACGATTCAAAGATCGATGTCGCGCATGTGGTTCCGGTGACATTGTTCCAGAAGCCAGCAGACTGGTCCGTATTGTCGACAAAGCCGCAAGATGAACCAGAGGTTGCGAATTGCCGATTCACATTGGTCGGGCCGGGGTGCTCAGCGAACTATGAAATTGTCAACTGTGTACACGCTAACAGAGGCATGCTTCAAACTGACATAAGAATCGAAGAAGGCAAAGTTCTGACCAAGCTCCGCTAGTAGGGACGTCTTCTTTTGGTTGTAGGCCTGGATGACAAAGGAGGTGTCTCCCGGAGTTGACGAGTACTTCTCTGACTGGCGCTCCACGAAGCCAGCCATATTGGGGACATCATCCTTGGTCACGTTCCACTTACGAAAGATCTCATAGGTGACGCCGGCGAAATTGTGGTCCGGATCTTTCAGTGGAACCTCGGTCTCGTAGGGCGCCGCACAGATCTTGAGCGGCTCCCCCCACACAGTCCAATTGGGGTTGGTGTACTCGTTGCAGTACGAGACGCCGCGCAGGTTGTCAATGTCTGGGTTGAAGTCCCAGTAGCCTGCGATATTGTCGAACGAGTGATTTTCCAGGGTGAGGTAAATTACATGTTTGATCTATGTGAAAGTTTTTGTTAACCCATACGCACAGACATAGACATGTAGGTACTGGGTACTGAGCATGTCACTCACATTCTCACGGAGTTGACCCCAGGTTTCGGTGCTTCGGGCAGTTGGACGAGCCGATACAGCGGCGATCAAACCGGCCAGGGCGGCGTAGGCCGAGAATTGTTTCACCATGATGATCTTCTTCAGCTCAGAAGATTGCGATTGAGTCAAAGGGACCTCAAAAAGGACTCGAGATGATTGCAATACGCGATCAAGGGGGAGTATGTAGCATTTTATAGAGTGGGGAGTTCTATTCGGACGAAACGACCTTCTTGGGGGGAATCTACCTGAACGGCATCCTCAAGCGCGCCTACTTGGACGGGAAATGAGCTTTCTCATTTTCTCGCTGGGTCCGATGGCAGACCTCATGGTCATCGGCCAGCCCCGGATTGGCGATAACAACTTGTCCGCATCTTCCTCCCCACTCTTAGGGTGAAGCTAGATACACACGAGGGAGAAGTCCGACGCTATCACGGCAACTTCGGCACTGCACTTTCTTCCGAGCAGTATTATTGATGGAGGGCCCCGTGAGATCCACCGTGTCAGTGTTTTTGGGGACACTCAAATCCCTGCAAGGAGGTGGAGAGGTGGGGGAGATTTGATGATAAGGAGAGGGGAGGAGAGAAGAATCCAAACGCGGTCCTGAGTCACCAGCCTGTGGCACGCAGGGGAGGGAATCCGATCGTGTGATCTCGATCGCGTGTAGAAACCGGCAGATGAGGAATGTCAGCGGTCCTAGCATGGGCCTTAACCTTCCACAGTGTAGCAGTAGGTTATTTCTTCTGACAATCGAATTCAACCATGTGAAATAGGCCTGATGTACCTGGAGCAATCAAGACGGGCATGTCAATCACGCGTGTACCTGCTTGGGGGTGGCTCCTCGAGGCTACAGCTGCCCATTTCCACAATTCCAGCTCAAAGGGGGTTAGCGTCGGCCCACTGACGGGAGTACCTGACCAATCAAAATAGAGGTGTATACAAGCCCCGCAGAGGATGACAATCACAACACTTTGATTGGTGGAAGCCCCGGATTTAAGCATCATCAACAACTCCACCTCTACCAACCAAGCTCCACCATCGAGTCGATCCTGCTCGAATCAGCATTGCACGTGCCTGGCGTTGCATTCGGTGGGATCAGGAATGCCAAGCACGTTCTACCTCAATAGGCTGTGATGAGCCCTCACAAGGCTCTTTCTCCGCACCTGTTCATTGCAACGCACCCAAGCGAGGTACGGATACTCACATCGCTCTAAAATCTCGCTTTGACCACGCGAGCCTCTGTTATTATACCTTCTCTTTCCCCCTTGTGAACTATTCGCGTGTTTTCATTCCCACGACGAGATCCATTGGCGATCCATTCTCCGATCTATCCCTGAATTTGCTGCTTCGGAGCATGTCCATCACCTCTTTAACCGGCTTCATGTCAAACTACTCGATTCTCTCCGATCGGAGCTCCTCTGAGGATGAAAAGAATTTACACCAGCGTCTGCAATCCGACATCGAAGCTGCCGATGGACCAGCTCGACAAACTGCGGACAAAATATCCAGCCGCTTTATCGACGGTCGCACCGTTTCGGACGCCATCATCGGCTTGTCTGATGGTATGACTGTACCTTTTGCTTTGACAGCTGGTCTGTCGGCACTGGGTGATACCAAAGTTGTCGTCTTTGGTGGCATGGCTGAACTGATCGCGGGCGCCATCTCAATGGGCTTGGGAGGATATTTGGGTGCGAAGAGTGAAGAGTACGCGTGTCCCGCCACAACAATTGCAAAACAACCCAGCTGACCCGACCCGTTTCTTCTAGGGAATCATACAAGGCAACTTTAAAAGAGACAGAGGCACAGACCGTCACAGATCCCACGTCCGTTACGGGAACTATCCAAGATATCTTCGAGCCGTATGAGCTGCCCTCCGAGCTCGTCTCTCAACTCACCACCCACCTCTCCAACTCGCCCATGCTCCCTTCTTTCCTAATGAACTTCCACCACACCATTCCTGAGCCCTCAAGCTCCCGCGCCGTTATTTGTGCCATTACCATTGCTCTTGGCTACTTCATCGGCGGATTCGTTCCTTTAGTCCCCTACTTCTTCGTTGGTCCCAATGACGCATTCGTCGCTCTACGCTGGTCCATTGCGACGATGGTCGTCGCACTATTTATCTTCGGTTACGGCAAGACCTGCTTCGTGAGCGGATGGAGGGGTCGTCGAAATATCCGTAAGGGCTTTGTCGGTGGCATTCAGATGGTGCTTGTGGGTGGTATCGCGGCTGGTTCGGCGATGGGACTTGTCAAGGCATTCCAAATGATGGCACATGGACCGGAGCATGAGCACGATCATTAAGAGAAGCGATTCAAAAAAGGGCAATGGGTGGACTGTTCGATTCTATCATTTATTATTTTTGGCGTTGACTGCATGGCGTGCAAACACACATAGGTTGGTGCACTGGCGTTTGTCTTCTATTTTTTATTACTGGGATCTTGAATGTGTTGACGGCTGTGAGTAGATCGTTTTGCGGACTAATCAGCCTACCAAAAATCAAATATCCTATCTGAATAGCTATTTTTATGGCGGCTATAACCCTGGATGACGAGGGATAGTTTGCAAAATATTAACCATTATTTTGCGATCCAACACCATCATTCATGAAGTGTGCTAAATTATGCTATCTCATAAGAAAAAGCTACAATTTTCGCACTATCGGCCAGGGGGCCGGTCGCACCGGTCGCTACCCTTCATGGTAATGAGCTATCTCCAGCGGCCCCCAACCTTGGAAGCCGATCAGTACTAAAAATATAGACTATGTCGTCATAAAGCTCTACAAAGCTACAAGCCCCTGGGGCCGCACAGAATTTTCACGGCCCGAATGGAATCGGGGCACGCTTTCGACTGCATAATTCATCCGACATTCCTTCGGGTGGTGCAAGTGACATTGGTGAGATCGAAGTGATCAGAATGGCGGTTCACTGAGTCGAGTGGATCCTTGGGTCCTCTGACCCCGGGGCCGCTGACTTGGCAATATGGTCCGCCTAGGTGCTACTCGCCAGACTCGGAAATGGTCGTCGTGGTGTTATCTTCCTACTGTCTAAGCGCATATTATAGCACTATGTAATTGGTAAATTTTGAATGCTGTTGTCATAGGCATGCCTTGATCCCCAATATGCACAGTCCACATCCGGATCTACGATGCGCATATTGGGCGATCATACAACGTCCTGCATACTTTGCAAATTTACCTATGCAGACAGAGCAGGTTTGTACGTATGGTAGCCAAGTATTACTGTATCTACTATACGGCGGTGTAGTCGTGGCCCCAAGAATCCTGGCTGTGCATGGCCAAGCCGATATACTCAGCAAATGACATAACCGCTGGTATGAAGCAAAGAGTGCATTCATGCCGGGGCTTGGAGCAAGGGACAGCCGAGTCAAATTGACCATAGTTATCCTTCCTACCCGGAAAGAGACAGCATAAACTTATGCCCTATTACATACTTTGAAAGTTCAACCGAGAGTAGGTTGCTATATACATCTAAATCTGGATTCAATATTGTCTTGGAGGTAGGGCCGTTCAAGTTTGTATTTCGTATAGAAGGTCTATTGCCTTCATGAAAGCGTCGGCTATATCTTAATCGCCTCATATAGATGGGTTAAAGACCTTGGTAGCCTCGATTTTCCTCCACCTTTATTGACATACCATTGGAAAATCCGTACCCTTATGCAGAAAGCAGCCTGAGGGGCGTTCACGACTCACATGAGAGATCCTTGCCCACTCGTGGAAGAAGGAAAAATATAACAAAAATTACACTTCACTAACTGAGTAAGATCGAACATGCCAGGACAACATATGCAAAATCCTAACTGGACCAGGTCTTTGCTGCGATGCTGTGATTCTGGGCTCCCCAGCTGCACTTCGAGGTTGTCATCCTTCGATAGGCGCATATCCCAATACTCTGATATAAACGAATTATCTTCAAGTCTGAGAATACTTTGAGTTTCACAATAGCCAGCGACGAAAGCTACTAGTACATCCTGCTACCGTGAAATGTCCAACTAGACTCTCTCAAAGCTATCAAGACTTGGCATTCTTTCCGTGTCAGAGAGAGTCTTAAATAGAAGTATGACCTCAATGATTAAAGTCATTCTAAGTGCTGAGGAATCTGGAACCCGACTAACGGACCCAACCCGTCCTTAAGTATATCAACAGTGTTTGCATCAAAGTCTACATATGCGGAACCCAACTTGATGGCTTGCAGGAACAAAATGACAATTTGGTGGCGGAGGTATCGAGATCTTCCAGGTGATGGATGACCAAGTGCGTTAACTACTTGTCCTAAACTACCAATATCCAGATGGATATGACCATTGAGAACCTTTTTAGAGAGATACCCGGTGCTGTGATGACGGTTTTCTACTAGTAGTGACTACTAGCAGTTACTGGCAGACATTGTTCTTACAAGGGGGTATGAACAACAAACCTGATAGTTGTCTCATACTAGCACGATATCACCATTATGACTTAAATCTGAGGAAAAGGCTGGATATCAAGTGACCAAGGAATCTCCGACAAATCAAAAGACTCCGAACACGGGGGCCACCTGTAGCTAGGTTGAGGTTGTCACTATGCATCGAAGTAAGCATGCACTGCCCTAAAGGGGAAATAGAGCATGGTACTTCTCTGAGCCTCACTATTTACGTTTAGAAAATTGCAGTTATCATCCAGGAGCAACGTGGTCCCTCATACTGCGTACTCCCTACCGTATTAAGTAAGAAATAAAGTTCATCCGGCCGCCTCAGCCTGAAGCTGAGAACCCGACCCCACGCATCTCCATGTTCGGCACGACCCAGCGCTACCCCTAAAAATAGTCAGTAAACCGCCCCCTTTAACGAATCAGACCGCGCAAAAGCCACACTCTCGCACATGCTACCTTTTCGCGAGACGGGAAGCAGTGTCGACTTGCATGGCATGGCGCCGCAGTACATTCCTTCTCTAGGCAAACCCCAATCTTCCTGACGACTATGAGGTCAGCGTATACTCGTACACGAGTCCCCCACAATTACATGTGGCGCAGCGGCCTGGGTGGACACGTCGACTTGGCCCAGTACGTGGACGAGGGTCAACGGGGCCCCGTCGAGGGTCCTTGTACGGCCGTAATTAATCAAAGCGTACAGTCTAAGCCTTGCGTCCTTTCATTCCAGCCCCCACTCCTGGCAGGCAGCCGTCCCAGCACAGCACAAAGCGAATACGACAAATGCGATTGCATATGAATCTGACCACCAGTTGTGTCGAGAGGAGTAATACACGATACTCGAGTATTACGATAACCTTGGCTTTTGGCGAGGTTGAATTTTTGCAGTTTCTGTTGGCGCTCTCCATGAGGGTTTGTAAGAAGTACCTCTGTAAGCGCCCAGGGGGCTGGTGGGTGGATGATTGGGTGGCTTTCGCGCGCGATTCATGTATCTGAAACGAACGTTGGAACTTGAACGTTGGGACGTGCTACATATTCGAGATTCGATTCCCCGTGTGATGTAGTTCGGGAGTTAGATTTCTAATCTGTAGTCATATACGGGTGCTTTGGGATAATTACTGGCGATACCCTAGTATATAGTTGCTTGGAAGTATGAGATTGGCTGGAATAGCTCTCGCTGCTAAGCTGAACTACTTACTACTCGTAGTCATACTAGGACACTGCCAGATGCACCTGCCGTTGTTATGAGTCGAAGAAGGAAGCCACGGAAACAATGAAGCGGGGTATTTCACCTTCACCTTCAGGGTGACGGGGACCTCTCACTTCATCTTCATCTCAGCTATAGTATGGAGAAAGGATGACAGTCATAAAATCCATCACGCTGGCTCTTCACCATGGCTCCAATCCTCGAAACCGTCTCTTCACTTCTTATGCGACGACAGTTCGCCCCCGATACCCCCTTCACCGAAAAGGCGATCGTCCTGATCATATTCGCACACGTCTGTCTACTCTACACAATAGTTTGGTGGATCCTAGCAAACAAAGTCTCGAGTGGGTCACTGGCAGAAACCACCATTTATGTGGTGGTCGATATAAGCTGACTCGAAAAGAGCAGGGACTGGCAACAACCGCCAACGGCGCGACTATATCGAATTCTATCCACCTCCGCTCTCTCGTGGACAATCCCAACACAGGAGAGCCGTTTCTATGCCGACCCATCTGCCAGTGTGATCCCGACGATCCCATCTCTCTGCCGCGCCGACGATGTGACACACGCGTCGTACAAGGCCACCTGCGGCCACAAGATGATGAACCAGTGCGTTTCGAATCGGAGAATTAGCAAGAGGCTGGGGAATCCAGCAATCCAATCTCCAGCTTCTAGCCTTGTCAGGTACCCGGGAGCTTTGGCCCCGAGTGATTGGACCCGGTCGCGCGGGCTGGACAACCTGAAACTTGAAGGGGCGGCAGACTAGCCGTGATCATCCTAGATGATGGCTGTTACTCGGGGGATTTGGACCTGGCCCCAATTACATTACGGGATCCGATGTATCCGCAGAGTACGGAGTACATTACATTGGTACATTTGCAGAGGAACTATGGAGTAACGGAGGTTCGGAGGTACGGAGGCCAGAGAGCGAAGGGTGCAGGAACAAGTGCGTTGCCGTGCAAAGTGCAAAGTGCAAAGTGCACAGTCGGTGGCTGGGAGTGAGACAGGCCCTGCACATCCTCATCTACGCGCCGAGGCCAAGGCGAATGGTGCAGAGTTTGACTGAATTTTTTGTTTAATGTTTTTTGACTTTGCTTTGTCCGGGCGCTAGCTCCACCGGCTTTGAGCTCTCATTTGCGTATTGATATCAATAGTCTGAGTCGCGTACATTCATTAGTTAGAGAATACGGATACGGAGTAGTGACACGCGACTGAATATGAGTATGCTTGTGCTCTACAAAGTAGATATCGAGTTGATCAGATTCTTCTCGTGTCAACAAATGTTAGTCCAGTCCGGTGCCCACTGGTCCACTGGTACCTGACCGACTTAGGATCTCAGGATCCCCTGAGGAAACCGCAAGTAGTACTAGTAATTATGAATGTACTACTCGTATTCGGATACGAAGCTGTATGACCGTTGGTGGGCTAAGCGAAATTAGGACGGGAGACGGTGGACTCCAGTTGGTCTGCAATGCTGAACGATGGGGCGGGTGGACCAATCGGCCGAGCCCAATGGGTTGATATTGAAAATTTGCATTGAAATGTCGTCCCAACGGAGTACCATGGGTACGAGTAGTAATACTTACATTACAGGGACGAAGTACTGTATGCCCTGCACTCAGCCTTGCCCTTGGCTTGTCCACAGTATACATAGTACTGAGTACACTGGAGAGCTGTACATAACTATAGGTAACTATGGTTAAAAAGACCAGGGCCAACCTAGGAACCTAGGTGATGGGTAGTAAGTAACCCCTATGACTGATGGAGGCTACAAAGTACGAGTGATCAGTCGAGTCTACACTACACACTAGGACAATGTAAATGTACATAATTATGCTCGGCCTCGGATAGGTCTGCAATATCCGTGATCTCTCTGCATCTGCCCGATCGGCGTGACTCCGTTCCGCAGCATCCGCCCGGCCAGCCCGGGTATTTTACAGTGCATACCATACTTACACTTACTGGCGACAGAGTATGCATCCATAGACCTAATCTACATCTCAATGAATATTCATCAAATATAGAAATATCTAGGAGGATTTTCAATCTACATCACTCTAGTCTCTACTAAATGCCCATGCCAATACCAATACCAAGACTAATTACCAATACAATACCACTACGCTGCCAATACTGCCAATACTGCCAATATGAAACCCAACACTAGTGACGCCATGGACTCCCAAACCTGGCACGTAAAATTACCTGACAATACCATGCAAATCCTCTCTCCCTCGCTCGCTTTCGTCCCCTTCTTAATCTTAAGTCCTTGCTCCCCCTCTCTCCTTCTCTCTCATCACACTTTTGGGCTCGGCGCCTTGCATTTCCAGACCGGTCTCTCTCTCCCCTTACTCTGCCCATGCCGGTCGACCAGTGATTCTTATCCCGCCTTCGCGAATTCCTTCCGTCTCATCCCGCGGCATCCCTCGACCTTTCCCCCCCCCCCCCCTTCTCTTATCACGAGTTGATCTAGAGTCTCCCCTAGCGGACTCTACCCTCGCCGCAAAGATGTCTACATTCCCGTCATGGAAGGATCGCACACAGAATCAGTTCGGAAAGCTTCAGATTCAGATGCCATGGCGCTCCTTTCAACTTCTGGTGCCCCATCGCATGCGCCGCAAGATCCGCTCAAAGCTTCGGAGTCGTCTATCGCCAACCTCATCTATCTCGACCCTACAGACCTCTCTCTCCCCGGTCGACACGCTTCGATCCCTCCAGACTCATCGTTGGACGATATATGACTTCCAATACTTGCTACTTCTAATCCTCGGCATCTTCTCCCTGAGCGTCATGCAATCCCCTGGCCCGCTCGCGAAGACCGGCATCGCGACCCTAATCCTTTTCTCGCTTCTTCTGCCTCTTACCCGGCAGTTCTTCCTCCCTTTCTTGCCTGTTGCTGGATGGCTCATCTTCTTCTATGCGTGCCAGTGAGTTCTCCCTCTGCTTGTCTGCCCGGGGGTTCGCCTCCCCTTTTTTTTTCCTACCCACGCGCCCCCCGGGATGGTTCCCCGAGCCCAAATCCCTGAAATGGGCGAATTCGCCGCACAGCCGGCAAAATTACGCATGACTGACTCTTCTTTCTTTGATAGGTTCGTTCCGAGCGATTGGCGACCAGCCATTTGGGTTCGCGTGTTACCCGCCATGGAAAATATTTTGTACGGCGCCAACATCAGCAACATCCTGTCCGCCCACCAAAACGTTGTGCTGGACATTCTAGCGTGGATTCCTTACGGCCTGTGCCACTACGGCGCACCCGTTGTTGTCTCCACAATCCTCTTTATCTTCGGTCCCCCGGGCACCACCCCCCTCTTCGCCCGGACTCTCGGATATATCAGCATGTTGGCTGTGACCATTCAGCTGTGCTTCCCCTGCTCGCCACCGTGGTACGAGAATCTGTACGGTCTCGCCCCCGCAGATTACTCTATGCAGGGTAACCCTGCTGGTCTTGCTCGCATTGACAAGTTGCTGGGCATTGATCTCTATACCTCGGGCTTCAAGCAGTCTCCCGTGGTCTTTGGTGCCTTCCCCTCTCTCCACGCGGCGGACTCCACCCTGGCCGCTCTCTTCATGAGCCATGTCTTCCCCCGCATGAAGTTCCTCTGGGTTACCTACACCCTCTGGATGTGGTGGGCTACCATGTACTTGTCTCACCACTATGCTGTCGACCTGGTCTGTGGTGGTCTGCTCGCCACCATTGCATTCTACTTTGCTAAGACCCGATTCCTACCCCGTGTTCAGTCCGATAAGACGTTCCGCTGGGACTACGACTACGTTGAGGTCGGCGACTACTCCCGCGAGTTTGGCTATGACCTCGCTAGTCTGGATGGTGACCTCAACCTGGACAGTGACGAGTGGACCGTCGGTTCCTCATCTTCGGTCTCCTCCGGCTCCCTGAGCCCCGTGGACGATCACTACGCTTGGGAGAGCGAGACTCTGACTTCGAACCACGACCTCGAGGCCGGTCGCTAATACCACAACCACCTTGCATATATCATTTTTCGACTCTGCTCGCTATTTTGCATCTACGCTTTTTTGCTTTTCACTCGGCGTTCTACTTGACGACACTGTTGGGACCATTATCTGCATCGAGCCATTTTCGACACCTAAGGTTTTTAATTACCTGTTGAAAACCTCCGGTTCGCGCGGTTCTCGATCCGCCTTGAGCCGAAGGTTACTTTTTCGCCTTCTGGCTGTACATGCCTTGTCACTTCACCGCTGAAGTGGCACTTTCCGTCTATAATATTAATTCCGGTGGTCAACCCTATTCACCTGCTATGGGTATGCGACTCCCTTCGCACCGCCACCGTTGGAAACCTTCGCTTGTACAGACTCGGACGTTCCTCCTCGCGAGGTCGATCCGAACATTTTTAACTTCAATTCTCACCTTATGTCTTTCGCTACGACTTTTTACACTGGACGAGCCACCCCTTTTTCTTCGCTTCGCGCTCGTCCATATGAACAAACTTTTATTTTATTATTCGTGTCAATCGCTTACGAACTGGCGACTGGGAACTTTGGATACGGTTTTTTATCTTCATGGGAAACTCAAAAAAGAGTTCGGCGCCATTGCTTGCACTACACTCGCTGTGCATAGAAACTGTTTTTGGATATTTTTGGCTTGAGGACATTTGCATCGGCACATAGAAAAGCCTCCGCTCGTTGGCAGGTGAATCCAGCGTTGGCTGTGTGATGATTGCTCCATGGCGTGGAAGTTGTTCGCCCATGCGAGAAGGAGAAGGAGAAGGAGAGGGGATGACTGAGAAGGAAAGGAAGCCGGTTTGGGATGACCGGCACCGGGCGATGGATGGCGCAGAAAAGAGGGAAACTTGACGGAACCCTCTACTTCTCGCACCTCGCTTATCGCTTTTTGCTTCGCTTCTAGCTGGAATGAAGCGCGATTCCAACTGTGGTATACTGCACCGACCGCCCGACTTAATGTGTGACAACCTATAATGTCTTGATCTTTTGAAGGAGAAGGGGGTTGCGGGCGACTCGTGTTGGTCATCGTTAGCATTATTCTTAATCCCTAGATGAAGTTATGAAGAATTGTACATTATCTCATTACTTTTGTTTCCCACGTATTTGTATTCAACTGTAGACCGCCGTAATCAACAGAACTGTCTTGTATACGGAATACGCCAACGGACTCAACAACCCTTGGCAGTGGGGTGGAGATCATTGTCGATCGTTTCGACCTCAAGCCTACATAGCAAGCAAGTGGCTTTTGCTTCTGCAAATCCAGTTCCTAACTCCGTCCCTCCGCGGAAGAGATATGCATCACCCCCGCACCTCGCGCAGATCAGCCAGTCTTGTCTGGCTGTGACTGCTGAAATTTTACCAAAGGTATGTTAATCCCACGGACCCCGGCGCATGTGCCAGCCCGAGGCCGGGGGCTGTGTTTGTGCTGCATAGCCTGTTTAAGACTGGATTGTGATATCGTTGCGGGGGGGAATCGGGGCAGTTTAGGTGCAGGCAGGTATCTGACGAACCAACCAGCCCATATGCTCCAAGGCGTGAGTGTGAATGCCAGTGAGTGAAGTGGGTTCGCTACAACTTGTATTCCAAGGGTTAGTTGGATTTGTCTATGCAAGACGACTTCTAGTCCTTGGTTACTGGAGACACGTCCACATTGCACTGTCAACGAGTGTGTCTTTTATGCGCAGTCGACTGACCCAAGTATGTCTCGGGATGAGGCAGTTGCGGAGGAATATTTGTGAGATAAATGACACGACTCGATTTTGATACACAGTCAGACAAAAGATACAGAGTAGTTCCACATCATGTAATCGCCTCCCAGAATACTTGAGAAAAAAAAACCAACCTACCAGCTTCTAAGGGAATCAATATACGTGCCACATCGAACGAGATTGGCACGTGTATGTCGAAAGAGTAATCGATGGAAACAGTGAAAGAGTAAAATAAGAGGGGGTAAAGCAGACAAATCCGGGCGCCGCTTGAATTCGTGTCATGGTCTATCTATTCATCGTCAAAGATCTGTACGCGCTCCGCATACTCGCGGATATTAGAGAAAAATGTTTCTTCGATCTGGTCGCCTTTGCCGCCGGCGACGCGGAGAACCAGGTCATTTAGAGAGGCACGACCAAGGATATCGACGTGGTCGCCTATTCACGTTCGTTAGACAGATAGAAACAAGGAGAAAAATAAAGTGCCTGCACTCTACTGTAGGGACATACCAGTATTAGGTCCACCGCGGGGGGGAGAATCGATCTGGCTCGTGCGGCATTTCATAGACCTTGATCTTGGACCCGGCTGGGTTGTATCGTTTCATGCGCCAGCCTTTGGCACACATGTATCCTGTACTGAGAAGGTTGACTGTGCCATCACCCTCACCCATAACTACTCCACGGTCGATATCGTCGTTGAGGGTGACAGTTGTGTCTATGCTAACGTTCAGCTTTGTTTGGGGATCGCGCTCCTCTTGGTAAAAGTAGCTGCGCTCGGTGGGTTTGCCAACGCCATAGAAGCAGTAGATCTTCATATCAGGCGCGAGCGGGAGTCGAGCCTCGAGTGGGTTCAACCATGTACGTGGATTCTTTTCGTTGGCCTCGACCTCACGGGTGGTATGCGCCACCCGTGCGAGTAGCTGCTCAGCACCTGGTTCTTATACCAATCTTCACTTTGGTCGAAGAGGTACTGCAGACTCTCTGACGAAGTTAGGTTGCGTCTCGTCCAAGACGAGTTGGTCTCCCGAAAATTCAGAAGGTTTCCAAAACTCATAGATTGACCAGGCTGGTCGTCCGGCGCCCAGGTGGAATTGCCCCAGACGGCTTCGCCGCCTTTAGGGAGCATGCTGGAGATACCTGGCATTGCGCGGAAGATCTCCGCCCGTTCCTCTTTCGAGAGGAACTTCTCAAGGCCATACACAGCGAAGGCATTGAGTTGAGCTGTATCACGCATCTCGCCGGAGAGCACGGCAGTCAGTCCCTTGACGGCACCGAGCATGCAGCCACTGATGTTGACCCACGAATCAATGTGCTTGTTGACCCAGTCCTTTCCACCTTTCCCATATTCTTCGCTCTCAACCCACTTGAAAAAATAGAGCACCACCTGCGAGCCCATACTGTGAGATGTAAGGGTGATCTTTTCGCCCTGAACTTGGACGGCCGTCTCGATATAAGACTTCAGGCGGCTGAAGTACTGATCGCGGATCTCGAGATTGAGATACGATAGTCGCCAATCGTAGGCGGCGGTAAAAGCGTTGGTCGGGTCATATCCAATTGTCGCCAGGTTTTCCAAGATCTTATTCCAGATCCAGTAGCCCGTGATAAAGAAGTCAGTAGCGTCGAAACCTTGCGCCGCACGCAGCTTGACTCCCGGCGGGTCAAGACCTGTCTTTCGATCCAGCATGATATGGTTCTTCCATTCTGCCTTGTCCATCACCAGGGCCCGCATCATACTCCAACTGCCCCATAGTCGTCGCCGGAAGTACTGCCGGGAGGTATCTCCAGTTCCCCAGCTCTCGAGACCGGTAGAGATGACGCCAGGGATCATAACAACAGGATGCTTAGCTTTAACGCCTTGTGATTGAAGGTGTAGTCCGACGGCAAAGGAATCGTAATTGACGGCATCGCGTTCATGTTGCTGTCGCATCTCCCCTCGTAGTTAGCTGGCTGAGACAATATCATGGCTGTTAGAACTAAGGGAAAGGACTCCAGGCATACCGAGAACTCTTTCGCATCTCGCACGATGCCTTGGGGGATTACATCGATCAGGGTATCGATATTCAGATCCATCAACCCGTCCAGGTTGATCACCTCCTGTTGATTGGCGAAGAATAGGGCGATAAAAACACCAAAGAGGCCACCCAGCACGAAAATAAAACCATTTCGACGCTTGCTGCGCGGCTTAATTACCAACTGCTTGACTTTGGCGCCCTCGAACTCGGCTCGAAGCTTCTCTTCCTCCTCCTTGTCTCGGATGGACCGGCTGGTATTGTCGTTGGATGGAGGGGCGTCATCCTTGCCAGTGCGGCGGCGCAACATAGCGACGAGCCAGGGAGGAAAGCGACCAAACCAATGGCAAGAGGAGATGGTAGAGTGACCGAAAGTGGGAAGAGAAAAGAAAAAGAAGGAAGGGGATCAAGTGACAAGCACAGCTGCAGCTGCGCAGCCTGTGGCGGGCAGATCGGCGTCACATGCGGTCAATCGGGCAATTGTTGTCCTCCGCCCGTTCCTTTCCTTTCCTCCCCTCCCCACTTTCTTCGTTCCTCGACCTCGACCTCGACCTCGCCCTCGCCCTAGCCATTATACCCGCCATGAACCAAGATTTCTCTGCGCTCCGATATGTGCGCTATGATAGCGCGCGCGAAAACGAATATGTCGCCGCTATGCGCCAGCTGATCTCCAAGGATCTGTCCGAACCCTACAGCATCTATGTCTACCGCTATTTCCTATATCAATGGGGTGATCTTTGCTTTCTCGCCATGGACGATAAAGATGAGATGGTCGGCGTCGTGGTGTCTAAGCTAGAGCCACACCGTGGTGGGGCTTTGAGAGGGTATATCGCCATGCTAGCGGTGCGCGAGGAGTTTCGAGGTCAGGGCATCGCAACGAAGCTGGTTCGCATGGCGATTGATGCTATGACAGAACGGGATGCGGATGAGGTTTGTATACATTCTTGTGCATCAGTCTGGGGATCTGAACCAGACCCTGCTTGTCTTTCCCTGGCTAACGTTTTCTAATCATGTTTAGATTGTCCTCGAGACCGAAATCACAAATACCGGCGCGATGAAACTGTATGAGAGATTGGGCTTCCTACGCAGCAAACGACTTCACCGATACTACTTGAATGGAAATTCTGCGTATCGCCTCGTGCTTTATCTGAAAGAGGGTGTTAGTGCCATCCGAACTGCCTTTGATCCTTTTGCACCACCTCACCCGGCGCACATGGAGGCGCCCGCTGTACCTCTCCCAGGCAATGGTGTCATTTGATACAAGCTTTTTTCTGGCTGGGAGCATCCTCTTGCATGTCCGGGGAATACCGGCGTTATGAGACATGAGATTCCTTTTATGGAAATGACCTTATAGATAGAGCACTTTGATTGGCGTTTACATGATAGCAACTGCATGGATACTTTTAACTGTACAAAACAAACTCAATGGTAGCGTGAAGGTGGATACTATCTAGGGTACCTAGTACGTAGACTTGATGCCATCCTGCATTCCAAACTGTTACAGTCCGTAATAGGCAATTTATATACTTAGATCGGGCTTCGATCGAGTCGATGACGGTAAGCGGCCTCATCCATGGACTACCTGGGCACTCACTTCTGTGCCTTCCCATTTTGGGGTGCGGCGAAGGTATCGAATACCTGGGATCATTAGTATTTGAGAAAAAAAAAACCTTGAAAAGTTTCAAACTACATCTCACCCTCACTCTCACCCTCACTCTCACCCTCACCAATCGCCATTATGCGAGTTCAACTGAGTCCCCCAAATCCAATCTCTGACGAGATTATAACACCAACTCGATCGCATCACGGTGGCAGCCAGCTCCCTGGGACACCACCATATTAATCGACGACAGTTTCAAGCAGAGTTCCGCGATGTCTTCCAGAAGGCTGGATAAGTAAGATTTGACATGTGCTACTCTGCTACTTGCATGAAGCTAACTTTGTCACAGGGACATGCTTTGCTCATCTTGGCAAAGATGAAGAAGACGGAGCGACCCGTCTAGGACTACTTCTTCATTATGCGGCCAGGGTAAAACATTTCAACAGGTGCCGGGGATATTCCGACCGTCTTGAAATCAAATCTCGGACTACACTTTCAGACAACGCCGTCCAATACCAAGGCAAGGAGTCCTCTGTCTTAAAGGCTCCAGACAATAGTCTCTGGTACGGCAGTGAGGAGGAAGCTGCTGTTCAGCTCGTGGTTTTTGAAACAAATAAGTGCGACTTTGAATGTAGCCAGGAATTGAGATTATGTCCATGCTGCGAAGCACAGGTTTTAGGTAATATCGGTGAGTATTGCCCAGGCGGGTTATGGAAAAATTGTACCTCTGCTGACATTTCTATATAGCGATGGTTTACTCCGAGCGAAAACGTCGTGGAGAGGCGAAAATGTGGTGTTTATGGCCTCTTGACGGATCACAAAGGATTTTTATTCTATCGCGTTGATGATGATGGTGATGTTCGTAACATTCACCCTTTTACCTTTTGTTTTTTTTTCGCATCGATCTAACGTTTTTCTTTTCTTCTCAAGGGGTCCTATCTCGATTTGAGAGTGACAACCTATCAAGCCAGTGATAGGGTAGGCTACGGAGATATTGCTCATTTTCCAACGTTAATTTTTTTGGAAGCCCCATGCACAGGAAAGGGATTATCTGATGATATGTTGCTCTTTGTTGGCCAAGAAAAACCTTGAAGTATCGAGAATTAAGATCGAATATACCTACGATGGTTGAACAGCACAGGGCAATTACTAGTAGTTATTGCATGGTAGTAGTAGACGCTTAAGCGTACTAGTACTAGTAGTTCAAGTTGGTTGACAGATAAACTTTGACAGCTGGGATGACTTGTGCTACCATAGACACTGAAGTCATACTGATTTCGTACCAGATATCTATTTGCCTCTATTTCCTGATGCTGGTTCGTTGCATGTACGACTGAACCTCAGAATTAATCTATTTTATCAAGTTTGCGCGGCGCCCCCTACGTCATGCCCCCATCGCGATCAGATTGATATAGATCCATGTCCTTTGATGGGCCTCGCTGAAGAAAAAGATTTTGCAGAAGAACCGCCATCGGAATATTTTGATTATCCCCTTGAGCTCTTACAAAATCCCCGTTATTCCAAGGTTCCTCCCGACCGATCGAATTCTTGATGCCTCTCAGTCCCGTCACCAGCGGTCTCGGCAAGGGCCTGCCGGCCAACAAAGTTCAGTCAAAGGCGACCGATAATGTCAAAGGGATCGCGAAGGACCCAGTAAAGCAGGTCAATAAAACCACACAGCCTCTGACGGAGCCTGTTCTTCCAGGCCAATTCCCCTCGGACGATGCCCCCAAAAACGATGATAAGCCACAGCCCGAAATCCAGTTTTCAGCTATCTGGACATCCTTCAGTCAGTGGCTATATGGCCTTTTCCCGCAAAGTGTTGATACATTTGAGTGGATCGTGAAATGGCTTGTGGATAGATATTTCCCGCCGCCTAAGCAGGTACAGATGTATGAAGCTGCGTTGAGCCGACCGATCGCTTCTACATTCCTTGTCTGTCAGGCCATCTGCTGTGGGGTCCCACTACTTGTGTTCCTCGTGGGTGTTTTCATCTTCGCTGCCGTGTCTTTGCTGCTCTGGGCAGTTTTGTCCCTGTTGATCCTGGGACCGGTCCTACTGGTTGCCAGTATGATGGGCGTTTCGCTGTGGGGCTGGGGGTGGATTTTATATGGGTTGATGAAATGGGTCGATAAGCGGTTTTTGGGGGGGAATGATCGCTCGCTTTTGGGGGCTTCCGCAGGCTCAGGAGGGGGGTGGTCAAGAGGAGGGTGATGGGGATTCAGTTGAAGGGGCCGAGGAAGAAGAGGGAGGAGAGGTGGGAGAGGTGGGAGAGAAGAAGGATAATTGAGGTGACACAGTACCTTTGTATACCTTTGCAGCTACCACCTACATCATGCATGTAGCTCATATCGAGACAGTCGCTTCGTGCAAGCTGCTACATACATACATAACCACATTAATGTATTTTAAAAAAAGAGGGACCAAGTTCAAATTCATTTCCACAGATTGATCCCAAGAACATCCAGGCTTTTTTGCGTTGAATTTAGCATACGCAAGTCTCATCAAATGCCTCATTTGCAGTCTGGAGAACATACCAACACTGACAAATTCTCAAGGTCTGATAGACTTCATATCAATCAGTATGTTCTCCGAACTGCACGTGAGGCATTTGATGAGAATTGCGTTATCCCTCGAATTCAACGTACTCCGTAAAGAAAGCCTGAATGTTTTGGGGATCGATTTGTGGACTTGAACTTGGCAATGTGTTTCACTCTGCTGTATGAAATAACGAAGGTCCACTTTGCAATTCCAAATCAAAATTCCATCTGCCGGCAGTGGGTATGCAACGCCGCAGATTTCCATCAACGGGAGAGATAGCGTAACCCAGGCCCCTATCCGAGGTAGCATCCCATTGGTTGCCAGCCACGCAAAGCTTACTGCTTGATAGACTTCGCTGCAAGCCGCTGGATCAAGTAAAAGATAAGACGTCCAAGGATTGATTGAGATGGGAATGATTGCGATGGGAATGATTGCCCCGGAAAAACCGGCAAGGCAACCAGCGACGGCCCGAAACGGTTTTCACAGTATCGAGCTCGATCCTCATCTTTCACCATTGTTGCATATCTGTCGCCAGGGGAAACCCTGACAATCTTGCCACCGTACAGAGTGGTCAAGGCCTACATATCCTATGTATGTACTCGGTACCGAAGATGTCGGAAATTCTGCCAGTGTACTCTTACTACGGAGTACTAGTATTCGAGTTGATCCAATCCAATTACGTCGATGCTGGAACGCCCGTAGATCCAGGGCCATGGGCAGGAAACGGGCTACTGCAACGCCTGGATGAGACTAGGATTTTAATCGTGACCAACATCACATGGCAAACAAAATGCGAAATGCGCCTCATATCTGTCAGCGGTCCAGAGTCCGATGGCAGCTTCGACGTCAAGGTCGTGCCTGCACTGACCGAATGCAATCAAGTCAGCCGACAGTCGACATCATGCCGCATGGGCCATTCCCTCAGGCTAAAGAGAATGTAAGGTTCGACGGAGGGAGTTTACACCTCCATAGGATCTTCTTCATCAGCTCGCGAGTCCCGAAATGGCAGAGTACTGGGATGATCTCCACTTGGTGGTCGTGGGGAGGGGGGGTCCTGCTCCTCCGAACTGTACCGGTATGTATGTGCCGCATAGAAAAAGCTGGGCAAGATTGTACAGAGTACGGATACTACATGCATAATTGCCGATCCCGTTGACATCCACGAAGCGGTGACATATCCTTTGTACAACTCCGTTCCATGCCTCATGATGGCTAGTGTGCGGGAGCCTCGAAGAAAAGCGAATAGGGGGGGGGTCACAGCTGAGCTGCGACTGATCTGCGACGGAGCTTAGCGCTGTTTCATGACGGGCGGAATGGGATTCAGGTGGCCCGTGTGGTTGATCGCTGGAGCGTGTTTAGGTCGGACAGGAAGAGGGATTGTCTTGATCTGTGACAGTTTGATGATGAATGTGTGGCAGACCCTCATCTATTCATGTCAGATTAGCGTTGATCTATTGTGTTAGTGTCATGATACACGGTAGCATTCCCTCCCGCCACCCCGGAATATGTCTCAGGTATGGCGTAATCATACAGAACTTGAACGGTCTTTCGATCAGGGGTTCAGTACTCGTAGGATATTCGTAGGATACTCGTATGCGAGTTTTCGATAGGTCTTTGCTAGAGTTCACGGCTGCGGAGAGGGAACTCTCGAGGTCTCCCGCTGGTTCCACTCAGGGGGGATCCACTCTCGCGCGTTTTACCCCTGAGAAGCAAAGCACTGACCAGGAATGCAAGCGTAACTTTAGTTGAGGGGGGAGGGCAAAGGCGACTATGAAAAAAAAAGCAAAGATAAAAAGGCAAAAGCAAAGACATTGCGCGGTGCACCCCCGCAAACTAATCCCAAAAGCAAAGAATCTTTAGGGCGTAGCGTCAAGCTCGGGGACAACGAGAGGCCCTTGGATTTAGCCAATGCGCAGCGCAGGGAGAGGACATCCTGGAGGGAATTTCCTAGGGTACCCTACTCAAACTCGTACTACGAGTAATCATCGGAGGTCACGCTACCCAGGATCCGTAGGAAAATGAGGCATTCTTTTGGTACTCCGTACTCGTACTGCCTACACCCTCCACTGGAATGATGGAAACGAGGCAGCAAAGTGGTCTCTTCATCCACGCGGACCGCACGATGTCGGATGATGGGCCCGGACTGCCAATCCGGCTGAGATCCGCTAGGAGCCTTGCGTCTGAGACATCCGTTGATAGTGTCGAACGATTGATGCACCTGCGGCAGCCAAGTGTTGCCTTTGGTGCAGATAGAAGTGAAGTGGAGTTGCTCGTCTCTTTTTTTGGATTTTGGATTTGGTAGATGCGGATGTGGATGTGGATGTGGATGATGATGATGATGAATGCGCATGGTGGATTGAATTGCGATAAGCATATGTTCATGAGGGTATTCACCCTAGACCTGGGATATGGGATAAGGGATTCCATGGAAGGACCTTCCTGTTCTCCATGAGTCTCCAAATCTCTTGGAGATAGAATTTAATTGTATTGCTGGCCAACATTTCATCCCGAGTTGAATCAATCTGAAACCCCGTTCAGCTTCAACGTTGAGAATGTCGTCCACATGGAGGTCTCGTGGACCAGCGATGTACCCTTGGCCCCTCTCTCTCCCCCAAGGTCATCCCCACCTTGGAAGTCAGTGCGGCAGGGCCCCGGTTTAGCCATTTAATCATTTAATCATTTAATCCCCCAAAAAAAGAGGATTATCATTTTTGGGCTCGGATGCAGGTACCGATTTGATGTTGGGTTGGCAACGAGTCCGTGTAACTGGCCTTTTTTTTCTATCAGACGGCGTGGCACCGTTGGCCCTGGCCCTGACGTAGTTCGGCAAGTTGCGCAAGCACAAAGCCCGAGATCCCAGAAGTGTATCATAATGTGGATCCAACAGGGGTAGACAAAGTACGAGCGTACTCGTACGAGGAGAGAGAGAGGTTTCCCCGAATCCATGGAAAAGGGGAGGTTCGCGGTGGCGAGGTGCATTGGGCCAGGGGTAGGGCAAATGGACCTGTACAGTCAAGAATACCGAGGACAGAGGACACATACATACGGATACTCAGTAATCCCTTGCATCAAGCTGAATAAAATAACCTCTAAAAATTACTCCGTAGTATTAATACTAATACTAACACTAATATTTATATTATTATTATTAATATTAATATTAAATTCTATCCATCAGTAAATACTCGTTCGTATGCTCCACTTATCCTTTTCTTTTTTCCCTTTTTTTCTTCCCCAGAACACTTCGACTAACAAGGAACAAGCAAACTAACGAAATAATTAATCTCCCTTTCCTCCCCCCCCCCCCAAATTCCCCCCCCTCTTCCCCCCCTCCGTTGTTTCCTGGCTCCCTCCATCTTCATATCCCTACGAGACATTCCTTACCATTCTCTGTAATATTCTTCTTCTTCTTCTTCTTCTTCTCCTGCCAATTGATCCCACCCCGATTGCCGCGGTTTGCGCCCAACCACCCCCCTCCCCCCCTCAAAAACCTTCTTCTTCTCGGCGAACCCCTTGTCGGGTGAGAGGAAGACAACCCGACTATCTATCCACCCAGGGATCGAAGATCGAAGAGGTAATACCTTACATTCATCCGGACCGTTTCATTCCGTTCCTCTCTGACCTTTTGAACCTCTCCCCCCAAAGACCTTCTTCCGCCATCCCTCCCTGACCACTTGCGCCGTTGTCTGCAGCGCAGTCGACCAGCCCATCCTTCCTCCAGGAAGGCCTTCACACAGAATCGCACAATGTCTGTTGCGACAATGCTTCAACCAGCATCGAGAATATCCCGAGCCTCCTCTTCGTCCTCTTCCTCGTTTCAACCCGTCGCAAGACAGAACACCATGTCGTCTCACGATACTCGGTCGCTCCGTCAATCCAAGCGGATGTCGGTCACGGCACTGTATCTGTCCATGTCCGCCAAGGATAGAGACTTGGAAATCTCCGATGATCTCGCAAGAGGTACGTTCAATGCAGCTTCCCACTGGCCGTCGCGTCGCCCCAGGGTACTGACTTCCGCACAGCACAGAAACACCTGAGAGAATTGAAATCAAAGATCTCCTCGCAGTCCAAGAAGAACTTCGTATTGGAAAAGGATGTGCGATACCTCGACTCGCGTATTGCGTTGTTGATTCAGAACCGAATGGCCTTGGAGGAGGTAAGTGCATATTCGTTCAGAGCGGAGGGGGAGAGAAGAGAGAGAAAAAAAAGAGCGTGGACTAGTCACTCACACCTATATTCCTCTAGCAAAACGAAGTCGCCAGCCATCTCGATGATACCGCCGACCCGCAAGAGGGTTTCTTTCCCAACGATGAGCGTACCCAGAAGTATGGCAATCTGCTCTTTCTGCTGCAGTCCGAGCCCCGCCACATCGCCCACCTGTGTCGACTAGTCTCAATGGCCGAAATCGATTCGCTCTTGCAGACTGTCATGTTCACCATCTACGGAAACCAGTATGAGAGCCGCGAAGAGCACCTCCTCCTTACCATGTTCCAGTCCGTCCTCACCTATCAATTCGACAATACCCCCGAGTACTCCTCCCTTTTACGCCAAAACACCCCTGTCTCTCGTATGATGACCACCTACACACGCCGTGGCCCTGGACAGAGCTACTTGAAGCAGGTTTTGGCTGATCGGATCAACTCGCTGATTGAATTGCGCGATGTGGATCTGGAAATCAACCCCCTGAAGGTTTATGAATCGATGGTGAAACAGATCGAAGAAGAGACCGGCTCGCTGCCAGACTACCTCGCTCGCTCTGTTACAGCCGAGGATGCTGCCGACAATAAGCAGGTCCAGGCAATCATCGCACCGCGCCTCAAGATGCTGACAGATATAGCCAACGGATTCATTACCACCATCATCGACTCGGTAGATGAAACACCTTACGGTATCCGATGGATCTGCAAACAGATCCGCAGTCTTTCCCGTCGCAAGTACCCCGACGCCCAAGACCAGACCATCTGTACCCTTATCGGCGGTTTCTTCTTCCTGCGGTTCATCAACCCCGCTATTGTTACACCACGCTCCTACATGCTGATCGACGCGACACCTACCGACAAGCCCCGCCGTACTTTGACTCTGATTGCCAAGATGATCCAGAACTTGGCTAACAAGCCTTCATACGCCAAGGAGCCTTACATGTCCAGCCTGCAGCCTTTCATCGAATCAAACAAGGAACGAGTGAACAAGTTTTTGCTTGACCTGTGTGAAGTCCAAGACTTTTACGAGAGTTTGGAGATGGATAACTACGTGGCTTTGTCCAAGCGTGATCTGGAGCTGCAAATCACTCTCAATGAGATGTACGCTACTCACGCGCTTCTCGATAAGCACAGCGATGCCCTCACCCAGGACCACAACTCGCACCTTGCTCTCCTACTACAAGAGCTAGGAACGGCACCCCCACTGGTGCCTCGCAAAGAAAACAGGACCATTACGGTGCCACTTTTCAGCAGATGGGAGATAGCTCTGGATGACCTGACGGCCGCCCTGGATATTACCCAAGAAGAGGTGTTCTTTATGGAGGCCAAGTCAACCTTTGTCCAGATCCTTAGGTCTCTTCCACAAAACTCATCGGTCGCTCGCCGGCCTCTGCGATTGGACCGCATCGCTGAAGCAGCTGCAACCCTCAAAAATGATGCAGTGATGGTGCGTAAAGGCATTCGCACCATGGAATTATTGAGTCAACTCCAGGACATGGGTGTGATCGACCGCTCCGACGAGTTCAGTTTGCTGAGGGACGAGGTGGAGCAAGAATTGGTGCACCTCGGCTCGCTCAAGGAGAAGGTACTGGATGAGACACGCAAGCTAGAAGAAGTTTTTGCCACCATCCGCGATCATAATGCTTATCTAGTGGGCCAACTGGAAACCTACAAGTCCTATCTCCACAACGTGCGCAGCCAATCTGAGGGTAAGCAACGGAAAACGCAGAAGCACCAGGAACTCGGCCCGTACAAGTTCACCCACCAACAGTTGGAAAAGGAGGGCGTCATCCGCCGCAGCAATGTTCCCGAAAACCGTCGCGCGAACATCTACTTCATGTTCAAGAGTCCGTTGCCCGGAACATTTGTGATCAGTCTGCACTATAAGGGCCGCGCGCGTGGTCTGCTTGAGCTTGACCTCAAGCTGGACGATCTCCTGGAGATGCAGAAGGATAGCCTTGAGGATCTTGACCTGGAATATGTTCAGTTCAATGTCACCAAGGTGTTGGCTCTGCTCAACAAGCGATTTGCACGCAAGAAGGGTTGGTAAACGCCAAATGCGCGCCCACCTCGATATGGCTTATCCCTCTCTTATGAAGACTTATGTGACCGAGTAAAGGGTTGCAGCCTACAACCTCTCCCAAACGTCTCGGTTGGCTGTGAACGCCTGCAGCTTATTATTTTGATGATCCGATGGATACGGAACCCCCGTACTCAATGTCTAACTCTCCATCTTCGTCCATCCTCAAACCCGAGATGGACTGAATGAATGCACAGCGATGATCTCGACCATTCTCCTTGTGGAACCCCAGGAGAATTTGTGTCTAGTGTGAATGCCATCGATACACGAACATATGCTCCCGCTGGCTCGGGCATGTCATCGATCTTGATTTCCTCAGGATCTTTTCCTTTGTTCCTCTCTCTCTTTTGCTTTTTTTTACCTGTCGTGGATTTTTGCAATTTATACCCAGCGCATAGTTGTTGCTCACATGTCTTGTTCGGCCAATCTGTCCAATAATCCTATCTGATCTGTTTTTTTTTTATGTTTATGTTCCCATCACCGCTCGGGCCTTCTTCAGGTTCCCCATGCGCTGTGTATAATATCATCTTGCTCATGTATCTTGCCACGCGAGGTCTTTTGGATTCAATACCCGTTTTTTGATATATTTTTTGAGTCTTCGGCTTGTACAGCACAGCACAACAACTATAACTAGAAGCACGTTCAATTTTATCTGGGATACCATAACATTGATCCTCATCTCGGCGATCCTTAAGTGCCGGTCAAATTTTCTCCTTAGCTCCAGACTAGGGCGACTTGTCATGCGGGTTTGGTGGATGATCTTTTCGACACCGCCTCGTGCCCCTCTCGCCCCCTTGAGCTAGTTGCCTACGCTGATCGATCCATGCAGAACTCAATGGCAGATGTAACCCAGTGACCAGGCCGCTTGAAGAGGATTCTAATTTGAAGTTGTTTGCTTGCCCGCAAGCGGCCATAGTATGAACTATGCATGTTCTCTGTAGGGCAACACGATATCGGGGTCTGTACCTAGGTAATAATACTACTGTATTGAAACTGACGAGTACCTAGGGGAAATCGACCAGGATAGTTTCGTGTAATTTTTTTCTGATTTGCTTCCTGCTACTTTTCCCTGTTAATTTGGCCACCATGGGAGTCCTTGGAGACATAGGGGACCTCATGTCAATAGCCCAACGTATTGACCCAATCCACTTGTTATTTAATTCTCCATTATGTACCTCCAAATAAATTAAAGCCCGACCCAGTAACCAACAAGACCCATCTGGGCCTCTCGCCGTGCTGTTGTTTACCCAACGGGCGATCCCCCGTTCATATTGAAGTGGCCACTTACGCCAATTCCCGTCCGCCTTCCTGCATTTCCTCCCCCCCCCTCCACTTTTTGACGTCGCCCCTCTCCCCTCCTCTCCTCTCCTCCTCTTCCTCCTTTCATACACTCACACCTTCACCATGGCCGAGCAAAACTTGTCCACCGACTCCAAGTACGATCAGTACGACTTTCCCACCACCGCGCCGGACGCTGTGCCTGGCCACCCCGGCCACACCACCCCGGAACATGACGCCAAGGTGCACCAGCTCCGGACAATCCTCGAGCAAGAGGGCTACACCGAACGCCTGGACACCCTCACTCTGCTCCGATTCCTGCGCGCTCGCAAGTTCGATGTCAATCTGTCTAAGGAGATGTATGTGGCCGCCAATTCCCTCGAACGCCGGTGGTCCACTTCTCTGAACAGGAGCTGGATTGCCCGCAACACTTGCATTCGTCACAGATGTGTCTAATACTGATTACTTGTAGGTTCGTGAGCACTGAGAAGTGGCGCAAGGAGTTTGGCACCAATGAGCTGCCCGCCACCTTCGAATACCCTGAGAAGGCCGAGGTGTTCCAGTACTACCCTCAATACTACCACAAGACTGACAAGGTGAGTGCCTGGCTGCTTTGATCGTATTCATTTCTTCATGTGAGACGACTCACGAGAGGAGAAGTAAGAAGACTGATCGCAATTTCACGCTATAGGATGGCCGTCCCCTCTACATTGAGAAGTTGGGCAAGATCGACCTCACGGCTATGTACAAGATCACCACCAGTGAGCGCATGCTGCAGAACCTCGTCACCGAGTATGAGAAGATGGCCGACCCACGTCTACCCGCCTGCTCTCGCAAGGCTGGTAAGCTCCTCGAGACCAGCTGTACCGTCATGGACCTGAAGGGAGTCGGTGTCACCAGCATCCCCTCCGTCTACGGATACGTGCGCCAGGCCTCTGAAATCTCCCAGAACTACTACCCCGAGCGTCTGGGCAAGCTGTACATCATCAACGCCCCCTGGGGCTTCAGCTCCGTCTTCAGTGTCGTCAAGGGCTTCCTCGACCCCGTCACTGTCAACAAGATCCATGTTCTCGGCAGCGGATACCAAAAGGAGCTGCTGGCTCAGGTTCCCGCCGAGAACCTGCCCGTCGAGTTCGGTGGTTCCTGCAAGTGTGAAGGTGGCTGCGAGCTGTCTGACATGGGTCCTTGGCAGGAGGCTGAGTGGGCTCGCCCCCCTGCGTGGGCCGTTAAGAAGGAAGCTGCTGCCGCTGCCGCTGCCGCTGCCGATGCCGATGCCGATGTCGATGCCGCTGCCGATGCCACCGTCCAGAACGAGGACAACGGCCCTGAGAAGAAGGACGCCAGCGAGGAGGGCATCCAGGCCAGCGCATAAAATGCTCGATATAGACTCTTTTCATTCGTCCAACCATTCGCATATACCGGGCGCCTGCATCGCTCCTGTGCCAATGACCCTTCGTACTAATTTTAAGAAGAGGGACAATCGACCAGGATTTGTAGGAGAAGTTTCTCGCCGGGGCGAGAGCCAGCTGGCTTTTCTTTTTCCTCGGCTCAACTGTCAATTGCGGAGTACGACTTAATTGTGTTCCACTTTGGCATCTCGAATTTCCACCTGGAAATCCAACGCCTTCTGGAAGTTTTCAACACATCATCACCGACGACCCAACCACAGCCTGTGGACTCTTTTGCCTTTTGTTACTTGCTTTTGATCTAGATATCACTGAAAGTTCTTTCCCCTATATTCCTTAAAGTGTTTTAAATACGCGGTTTCACATCCGCTCTCTCAATATAGAAGGGGGAAGACGGGATGGTGTGGGAGTGTTTTCAAAAAGCGAGTTGGGAGTGGAGGTGAAGACTTGACTTTTTTTTTCAATCTTTGATTTGGAGTGTATACACGGGAGAGCACATAGCAAAAAACACGGCTGGTAGCCCATGAGATTCACCTTGCTTATTGTAAATTGACACGATGGTGTTGCAAAATGTATTGCCATTCCTAACAAAGGAAATAGACTCGACCCAGTGTCTGAAAAGTCGATAGATGAGCCCAGAAGAAACAGAAACAATGGTATCATGATCCTCGCGAAGCCCTCGTTACCAAACGCCTTCCACATTAAAAGACATAAAAAACACCCCAAGTGAATCCGTTAAATATCCGCGAAAACGCTTGCAGACAGAACTCTCACATCTTCTCGACCACCTCAGCAGCACGCCCGGCCCTCTCAGCCTTGCCCACCGTGGTAGCCAGAGCATTACCTTCGGTACCAGGTTCACCGTCAACAGCCCCCTCGCCCTGTAGCCGCTGCAGTGTCCGCAATGCATTTTCATATACATCTGCCATATCACCACTCGCCCACCGATCCGTCTCTTCTTCCGTGCCTAGCGGTATCTGCAAGTCCCATTCTGGGCGTGGCCTCTTTCGATCACCACGGCGTCGAGAGCGCGTTTGTGTCTGACTCTGTGTTTTGGCAACCGACCCCTCGTCAATGTCAACATCCATCGCCTCGGCCTTTTCAGTCGAAGATCCATTCTGTTGTCCCGCCCCCGCGGCTTCTCCAGCTTCGTCAATCTCTTCATCTTCCTCGTCTGCCGCTTCTTCCTCCGTCTTCATGACTTGCGCCAATTGTTGCGCATACTCCTTTGCTGCCTTCCGGGGCGCGTCTCGTCGTAGTTGGGCAACGCCTGTGGTGAGGGATTCTAATTGCGCGTAGAGCGCAGTGACCCGTGATGCTAGCTCTGAGTCGTAGGGTTCATACTCGACTGTTTCCTGTGCGGTGAATGAGGCTGGGAAGGGGAATTGTGGCGAGGATGAATCGATTCCGTTGATGCTGATTGAGGAGGATGCTGTTGTGAAGGTTTGGTTTATATACTAGATGGCTTATTAGTTTCTGGCCTGGGCTCTTTGATGTGCTCGACAGAGTCATTTATCGCCTAGGAGTATTCCTGGTTAACTTACTTCGTTCACTAATTCCTGCACGCGTTCGCGCATCGGATCCGGAGTGTCATCGTCTGTAGCTAAAGGGGGGGAAATTGAGGTCGAGTTTTTGCCGGGAGAGGGCAACTGCATTTGTGTAGAGGTATGTGAAGTCTGCTGGAGACTGTAGCTCGATCTTGCGATACCCTTGTGAGCCCATTTTGGAGGTTGTTGTTTGGTTGTTGCTTGGGCGGGTTGGATTTGCACGCGTTGGAGGGAAAGGCTTGGCGTTGGTCCCCGCAAACGCAAACGATGTCATCGTTCAACGTTTGACCTTCAGTTTTCCCTCCAACTTCCAACTTCACCTTTTCTTCCGATTCTCTTCATTCTTTCAACAGCTTTCATATAACACGATTCATCTTTCTTTACTTTACGCTATTTTCCTTTTTGTTAGATTCCTACAACGTCACCTTCCTACAAGTACCTGCCTCTCTTCTTACATCGTCGTTGCTGCGGGTCAATCAGGCAATGATACGATCACCGTGAAGATAATGCCTACGACCTCGGCGCTTGGAACTCTGTGTTGAAGCGAGGGCCTCTCAGGGGTACAGAAGCAATTCATAGTCAACACCATACCGATCATACTTTAAACAACCATGGAGGACACCGCCAGCATTTCTCTGGTGGACAATACCGCCCCTTCGCAACACCTTAGCAGTGGGGATTTGGAATCTCTACGACGAACCTCTACCGTTGCTCGCCAGAGCAGTCGATCCTCACGCTTGAACCTTGTATCGGTATCCGGACAGCTTGCGAAAAGAAAATATGCGAAATGGCAGCCCGACCGGCTAGGTGTTACATCCGACAATGAAACCTCCCCGAGCAGAGAATCGTCGCGGGCACGGGGGTCGATCTCTGCGGGAAGCACTGGTGGTCCTCCTGCCCGACAGCCTTCACATCAAGATAGTGGGCTAGGGTTTAGGGAGAGTGAAACTATCGACTTTGCACCGACACGCACTCAGAGCCACACCAATGCTACGACACATTCCACGACGACAAATGGACACCCCCCTCCTTCCGATGAGAAAAAGCCGGTTTCGGAGCTGGATATTTTATACGAGAATCAGCGCGGCTCATTTGTCTTCGGGATCCCTCTTTATTCCCAAGGCTCGCTGCTTAATTTAGATCCCAGCCCCTGGATGACCCAAGACCGACGAGAAAGTCCCGTCAATATAACCAATGCTCAGCTGCCAGACCCGAGCTGGGAGTGGTCCTGGCGGACATGGTATGTCGATATGTCTGGCGATGTGGATGAGCAAGGATGGCAATATTCCTTCTCCTTCAGCTCGTCTCAATGGCATGGTACACACCCGTGGTTTCACTCCTGGGTCCGCCGACGACGCTGGGTTAGGCTTCGACATAAGGCCCCGGAGAGACGTGTTCGTGGTCGGTCGGAATTCGAACAAGCACATATGTTGACCGAGGACTATTTTACTATCCATTCTCACAAGGTTCGCAGTCGTGATCAGAGTACGACTGGCCTTTCGAGGGTGGAGTCTGGGTTTTTAAACCGCGTTGATACGAAGGTGGACGAGGAGGTACATTTGGAGGAGATAGGGGATATTCCGACTTTGATGCATGCTTTGAAGCTTTGCTCTATTGATCGGGAGAAGATTGACGCCCTTCGCAAGTTTGTTGAGGAGGGCGGCGAGGAGTTATATTATCTGAACGACAAGGTTAGTCAGACCATCGCGCATAGTACTTTTACTACATCACCCAATACTAATCCCTCACGTTAGATCACGGAGATCATGTCTATGTTCGTGTTTCAAGCGTCCCGCTGGCACTTCGTCACATATCTTGTTGGAATGATCCAACAATTATCTCAATTAATTATGGACTCAGATGACAAGGAGTCCGATAGAATGCAACGAAAGAAAGATAATCTTATTCGGGCAGTGGAATCTGCCAAACAGCATGTTACAGGGCCCGATTTCTTTGCGGATTCCCATGGGGAGTCTGGAGGGGAACTGCTTGGTTTGACACCACTGTCGCAACATAAATACCTGCTATCGAAGCGAGCACAGGCTACTGGTGAGCCCTTGATTGTCATGAAGGGCAAGGAGATCAAGGGTATCCCCAAGGCCGCAGAGGTTGGCCGCGAAGATCATATCTATTGATGATGGCCCTGTATATAACATTTTAGCCGTGCATACACGCAATAATCGGCTCAGTCTCGGAATAAGCCTCAAATACGATCAATTGGCATAAAACGTTTGACTTCATTCATTGTAGTATACTCGTAGTATACTCGTAGTATTATCAGATCGGAGGCAGTCCGGAGTCGGTCACCGCCTGCCCGTCCCGCGGCGACAATTTTCGGAGTTTGGCTGCTCGGTCCTCTTCAACTGCCAGTGCCAACACCATTCCTCTCCATGCCACGGGTGCTACAGGAGCATTTCTCCCTATGTTCTCGAGTGGCCGCCCGTGTCTAAGAAGGCGCCTGTCTGTTGTCTTGGACAATGTCACGGCTGGCTCCGATGAACCCCTTCTCTTCCTCTACCCCCGATGGGCCGCGTCGGCTCTGCAATGCCACCAGACAGCGTCTTTAACGACCACCGCAGCTTCAGCAAATAGATCTCGCACATCCAATCGCACATTTCCATCGGTTGCCCCTCCCTGCGCCCCTTCTATCTCGGTCCGCCGACAATCGAGCCGATGGTTCTCTCCAAATGCTGCGGGTAAAGATGGCGATGGGAGCAGCACGGAAGTGCCACTTGCTGCCAACGAGACGATAAATTCGAGCGAGCAGCACATTGACAATGCAAAAGCCGGATCAAGCCCTGCCAAACAGGCGGAACCTACTATCGAGCCGAAGCGCCCTGTCGGCTTATTTGCGGATATCGAAACCGACACACCAGCGCGAGGTCCTATTACATGGAAAAGCAGAAGACGAAATAGACATCGCCCATCTTCGCGGCCCTTGGCTGCCCCCACACGCGATGTGACTACTCAGAAGGCCAATTCGATAGCTAGGCTGTCCGTCCGGGATCGGAAGAAGCTGCGTTACGGAGCTTACATCAAGGGACGGTCGAAGAACAGCGAAAAACTCTCATACTATCCGATCGGGGGCTGGGATTCAATGAAGGACATATTGGAACGACAAGCACAAGATCCACGAGTGGCGGCCCGGAGAAGTGCCAAACACAAGGAGTTGCAGGTACCCGAAGAGACCATTGGGATGATGTCTGGAATGACCGATACGGCAATCGCAGAGAACATCTTTTATATCAATGTCCGAAACGGATGCCGCGTACAGATTCTGCACCCAAGAGACGGTGATGGCCTCCACCGTAAGGTTATACTATCGGGCTCAGAGCGCGTGATGGAGCTTGTTGAAGACCGCATCAAGCGCGTCCAAGCTCAGCAGGAAATCGGAGATCCTCTCGTCGAGATTTCGAAGCCTCTTTTCCCTGTTCTCAGCTCAATGGAGACCATGCGGCGCAATAAACTTCCAGTGCCCATGATTCGCGGAGTGTGGATTGAGTCAAAATCGGACCGCATGAGCTATCAGGAACTCCTCGACCTTGGCTCATCTATCGGCACCGTGAAAGAATTTGCAGAGCGCATTCAGGATTTAATACGGGCATGTGAACTACCTTCAGGCGAGCGTACAGGCAGCAAACCTCAGCCCGCCCAGCGCGACCAGACTGTACGACGCATTTTAAGACTTTTCCGACAAGATTCGAACAAAGAATACTTTTCTTCCGCAGCTTTGAACCAGGCATTGGCATTCTTATGCGATCAAGAGCTTTTAAAGGCTGCGAGAGCGGTCTTTCTTCGAGCAGAACATGTCGCAACTGCGGACACATACAATATCTTTCTCCGGACCGCAGCTCGACGACAAGATTTGAAAACATTCCGGAGGTTCCTAATCTCTATGGACCGAGCGAGTATTCGCCCGACTCCGGAGACGTGGCTTGTACTTCTCGGGGCAGTGGTCACTCCCAAGGCCAAGGCGTCTCTTATCGCGCACCTGGTGCAGAAGGGGTATATGGCCGAGACAAGAGTGACTCGTACTGCGCTCCAGCTGACAATCCAGGATTCTCTTTTGGTGCATCTGGAGAATGGCCAGAGTATGGATTCGTTCCTTAACCTGATGGTCAAAACACCCGAAGCCAATTGGTTCGGCCCATCGATTCTCTCTCAGATGTTCAGTGCCATTGCCCGCCGGGGGGGACTTCACTGCTGCCAACATCCTCCTCAAATTCTGTCTTACGAATCAGCTTCCGCTCGGAAGTAACCAGCTCACCCTCCTGTTGACCATGTGTCGCAAAGATGTCTTCTCTGCCGTCGACTACCTACTTCCATTACTCCGACAGTCCAACTTTCAGCTTTCGCGGCAAAATATGGACTTTTTCTTTCGAATCGCTTACAAAAGCGAAAAATATAATATCTGCCGGGTCCTGTGGCGGTACGCTTGCGTTTATGGACTAGTGACCCACAGAATGAAGGAGATTGTCCTGAGCTCACTCTGCCGCAATGTCTCCTACCATCATTACGCCAATGACTTCAAGCAAGGTTGGCAATTGTATGCAGGCAAGGTCATCGTTGGACTCGAGCTACACTTCCCTCGCGGGCCGGTGTGGCCAAAAGATATCACCGATTTGATTCCCTCGAGGTTCAGCAACAGGCCCCTTGATTTCCTCTCATCTGGTTTCAAAGCCCAGGGTACAGAACGCGACCTCCAGCACCGCGTGGCTTGGATGCTCATCCACCGTGACCTTGGATTATTAGGAAAATCCCGCTATGCCCCAGTACGAACCCTATCTGTCATGCTCGAGTCGGCCGCCATCCTTGATGCTGATTGGGGGCGCCAACCGAGGAGCCTGGATTGGTTTCTAGACAATGCCATACATGTGCCAATCAAGCGACTACCTTCGGAAGATCGACAACCTCTCTCCTCGACCCCTCTCTCCTCACCCCATGACCTTGCGTCTCTCGAATTATACTCTGCTAAAAGTGCACTGCGGGTTTAATTCAATCGAGCAGCCCTGGTCTTGTATCTATCATCTTTTCATCGGTTGCATTTTCTTGTTGTCCTGTATATATACCTCTTGTACATTATTGAAAATAGAGAGCATAATAGACCCGAACATGATTTATATCACAGCAGACTTTGTCCACATCTCAGCGTGGATGAACAGGCTCATCACCAATCTCCTCCATCTTCTCCTCCAATAATTTAGTCATATGCACAACAACATCCGCATATTTACTCTCATGGTAACAATTAAACAGCTCCAATGGATCCTCCTCCATATCAAAAAGCTCCCATTCCTTCTCCTCCCCACCAGGCCTCGTGCCCTCAATTCCAAAATCCTCATTATACCAATAAATCAACTTATACCGCTGATCCCGCACCGCATAATGCGCATACGCCTCATGGATCACATCCCGATGCATCCAGTATCGATGATACGCAACTTGCTGCCAGTCGACGGGTTTATTCTGTTTCAGCAGGGGGCGGAAACTAACACCCTGCATGTACGACGGTTTCCGACAAGCGGCGAAATCCAACCAAGTCGGAGCAAAATCGACATTACTGATAATATCGTTGCAGATGGATCCGGGGACAACTTCAGCCGGATACCGGATCAAGAAGGGCATGTTGAAACTCTCTTCGTAGACGAGTCGCTTGTCAAACCAGCCGTGCTCGCCTAGGAAGAATCCCTGGTCTGAGGTATAGATAACCATCGTGTTCTCGGCTAGACCCTCGCTCTCGAGGAAGTCCAGCATGCGGCCGACGTTGTCGTCGATGGACTGGATGGTACGTAAGTAGCGCTGCATGTAGCGCTGGAATTTGAATTCGGCTAGTTCGTCGGGAGTAGAGAATGTGAAGACTGTGCCATCGTCTTTGTCGATTAGTTTGAGCGTGGATACATCTTCGGGAGCAGGGATTTTGCGGTCGTGGAACCACCATTTATCTAGCATTTTGGTTCCGACGGTGGAGGCTCCGCCGTCTGGTTGGGCGAGGCCGAGGTCTGTATAGGTTAGATCTTCGGCGACGCGCATTTTTGCGACGGAGGCTGCTTTGGCCCGGTTCTTGTAGTCGTCTGTGAAAGTATCTGGGAGGCGGACAGGGTCCTTGTATAGATGTTTGTGTTTTGGGTCGCATTCCCAGCTGCGGTGGGGTGCTTTGTGGTGGCACATGAGGAAGAAAGGTTTCTTCTCGTCTCTGGATTTAATCCAGTTTAGACTCTTGTCGGTGATGATATCCGTGGCATACCCCGGTTCTCGATGAATGCCGCTGGGACTAATGAATTCCGGGTCGAAGTATTCGCCTTGTCCCGGGACGACTTCCCAATGGTCGAATCCGGTTGGCTCATGATCTTTCCCTTCACCAAGGTGCCATTTTCCGACCATTGCTGTTTGGTAGCCGCCTGTGCGGAGATGTTTTGCGACGTTTGGGATGTGCTTGTTGATTTTGGAGTCGAGGGTCATGACTCCGTTGACGTGGTTGTGGGTTCCGGTGAGGATTGCAGCCCGCGATGGGGTACAGATGCTGTTGGTTACATAGCAGTGATTGAATTTCATGCCTTCGGTAGCGAGGCGATCGAGATTGGGGGTGTGGTTGATTCCTGCGCCGTAGCAGGAGATCGACTTGGCGGCATGGTCATCGGCCATGATGAAGATGATATTAGGGCGTGAGTCGGTCGCCATCCCGAAAATACAGCTTTTGTAGCAACAGATTTTTGGAGAAGACTTGAAGCAGAGGAATAGTGGGATTTGGGGTGAAAGTCTGCTTTTAAATGTTGGGGTGGCATCGCGGTACCCATAGCTCCGAACATACTTGTGGACGGGTCGTGCATAGCGCCATAGTTACAGGTTATTTCTCTTTCTAATAGCCTATAGGATAAATTTGGTTAGTTCATCAATGGGGGCTCATTTATTTACGAATGAGAGTACAATTAGAAGGTGAGTCGCGTGAGCTGGGGATAGCTTTACCCCGCAGATCCACAACGTTGCGGTTGTCGGCGGCTGTCGGTGTTTGGGATCGCGGATTGGTTGGATTTGGGGTGAGCATGGGTTTCTCTTCATTGATGAAGATATACTTTAATCAATTTATTTGTAATCGTGCCAGTGGTTGGGATCATGATATCAAATTCGCTCTGATCATGATGCTCTAGGAGTACTAGTATCCATGAATATATATACTAGTTCTAGCCATGTGCCCAGGTGAAAAGTGGCACCATCTTAAAGTTGAACCACCAAACACTGGAGGGGTTGAATTCCAATGAATTTGAAGCGACTAGTAGGTACCTACAGACTGAGAGCAAGATGCTGGTAATATTATCAAGCAATACGACATGAGTAGTACTATTTTCGTTCAAAATACGGTTAAGATACCGTGGTCTGGCCGTAGCACAACGGTATTTTAGACCAATACTATTTTAGAGACGATATTTTGAACTTAGATCCTGATCTGGCTCTAGGTACCCCATTTGTTAGATGACCGACTGGATTTGCCACCGAGAATCACTTTGATGGATTCAAAGTAGGCTTATTGCTCTGATCTCTTTGGGTCGGAACGCCATGACAACTCTATTCCAAGGTTAGTATAGTACTAATAGCCTCATACTAACTCAAGAGACTAGTGCCGATTGTATAATTGCATACGATCGTAAGTGTCTAGCCACTTGTGTGATCAACAGGATTCGAGGCTATAGATAAACAGACGTTAGCCTAATGCCGTGGCTATGGGCCAACCCAGTGTCCACTTGTGGCATGCATCGAGATCGGCGTACCTGCATACATCTACTAGTACGGAGTACTCCGTACATCATACTACACTGTAGCATATTTTAGAAGAGTAGAGAATGCAAGATCTATGTTCGACTCAGTCAATTAGCCCAGGTCCGTCTAGCCCATAATCTATAATCTACTAGTATAATATCCTCGTATACGGGAATGCCGATTTCGCTTAATCAGAATACACCGAGACTCGGCAAGGCGCATCTGGGCGAGAGAAACGTGGAACTGGAATGCATCGCGTGGCTTGGCCATTTTAGCTAGGAAACCGAGACACGCGACAGATGGAAAGTCTACCAAGTCGACGAAGTCATGGTTAACCACGAGTTTGAGGGGCGTGGGGGAATGGCAGGCGGTGATTGGCCGAGGAAGGGATTAACCACCGCCCCAGACGGCTAACCCGACCAGCACGGGGGCACATGGAGGACAGTGATTGGTCAATTGTGGAGTACTCGATGGAGTAACCCAGTCCTCCGGAACTACGGAGTAGAGTAAATACGGATAACCCTCTGGAGTGGAAACGACGGAGTGACTTTCATGGCAGGAACGACCCAGACAGGAACAAGCAATGGCGAAATATTGACAAGCATCGCCAAGATGCTGGGCATCGTCTTGGTCTTCGTCTTGGCTGCAAGCCATCAATATCAGATTCATTCAAGTCATCTCGCGACTACTTGATACAATCGCTGAGTGACTTCACGTCAATTCATCCAAGGTTGACTCCTGCCACTGTCAATTGACATGAAAGGCACTTGTACGGAGTACTACTCGTATGTATATCACACCCCCGGTGGAGCAACGCTAACACTGATACATGCTTTGACCCTCCTGTTCCAGAAGCTCTCGCCCCTCAATCCATTGCATTATCCTCTGTCCATCAGCGAATGGCAGCATCCAGAACTCTCTCAACCAGCTCGTGATCCATTACGTCCAATGCCCATCCCGAGAAGGTGCGTCCAAAGGACTCTCTCGCCCCGAACTAGCGTTGGCATCAGAGATTACTCGTCTCCACCCGACATCTAGCGCATGCTTCCCACGCGTGCCATTGCCAGATCCCCATTCGTCCTGTGCGCTGACGGGCGGTTGCTACTGTGGTTCGTGGCCTGCTGGCATGGTCTGCCTCTCTCGGTTCCAACGCCCCTCGTAAAAAAGGATAAATATGCTTCGTATCCCTCCCGACTGCCAATCTTTTCTGAATTGTTGCAAGTCTCTCATTCCTCCCCTTGTCTGACCCTAGGATAAGGCGCCTCTTTCATCCATTGTTCCGGTTGTCATTGACCTGTCCGCCACAATGGTTCACATGGAGACTCCCAAGGAGGCTCTCACTCACTTCGAGGAGATGGAGATCCACGAGAAGGCCGCCTTCGACGAGATCATCCGCCCCGCTGATGCCTATGCCCCTAATGGCACTTACTGGGCTGACCTCCCTATCGGCGAGCGTGTTAAGTTCTGTATCACTCAGGATGGTACCGAGGCGAAGAAAGAGTTTGCTTGGTTGTGGGATATGTTCAAGACCGATCCTCTGTCTCCCATCAGCTACTACTTCAAGAACGCCGTTCTTCCGGGAGCTGGTCTCGGTCTCGAGGGGTATGTCTCCCCTCGGCAATGATGCTTCATGGAATATGATATCAAGGTCTCGATACTGACTCTTTTGTCTGTCTAGTTACGTCCTGTTTTCTATCAGCAACGTCAGCTCCCTGTTCAGTGAATCCTTCGCCTCCTGCTGGAAGACCTACGAGGTTTGCGACAAGAACTGGATCGCCGCCATCAACTACCTCGAGGTCGTCGGTATCATTGTCGGTCAGATCCTCGTCGGTTTCTTGGGTGACTGGTTCGTATACACCCTCAAAATATTATTCCCTGCCAAGAAAATACTGACAGGTATGGATAGGATCGGTCGTCGCTGGGGTCTCATTCAAGATGCGACTATCATGTTCATCGGTCTTCTCATGCTGACTGCCGCCTGGGGTGTCACCCAGAACGGTTGGATTATCTGCTACGCCTGGTCTCTTTTCTTCTACTCCATCGGTGTCGGCGGTGAATATCCTATGACTGCCACTATTGGAATGGAGAATGGATATGGTTCCGGTAAGGTGACCACCTCCCAGGATCGTCTGCACCGTGGTCGCTCCGTCGTTGGAGCTTTCCTGATGCAGGGCTGGGGCCAGTTTGCCAACCAGGTTCTCCTCATCCTGCTGCTCCTGATCTTCCACCACGGTAGCGGTAGCCCTCCCTACTCCGCCGTCGCTACTCAGTGGACCTACCGTGTCTCATTTGCCATCCCTGCTGTTGGTACTGCTTGGCTTGTTTACTACCGTGCCTATCACATGAAGGCGGCTAGCAAGCAGCTCGAGGCCCAGAAGAAGAAGGCCGCCGTTACCGGATATGATATGGAGTCTCTGCGCCTGACCTTTAAGCACTTCGGTCCCCGTGTGTTTGCTACCGCCAGTGGTTGGTTCGCTAACGACGTTTTCTTCTATGGTAACAAGCTGTTCCAGAAGAAGTTTATCGGTGTTATTAGCCCTGGCAGTGATGTTACCACCACCTGGACCTGGAACTTGGTCAACATTGTTGTCTCCCTTGCTGGTTACTACTGTGCTGCCTGGTTTGTTGACACTAAGCTTTATGGTCGTAAGTGGATGCAGATTGTCGGCTTCATGCTGTGCTTTATCCTCTTCGTCATCCCGGCTTTCAAGTACGACTACTACGTCAAAGCCGAAAACATCCATTCTTTCCAGACCATGTACTTCCTATCTTCCTTCTTCAACCAATTCGGCCCCAACTGCATTACCTTCCTTGTCGCCGCCGAAGTCTTCCCCACCCCCATCCGTGGAACAGCACACGGTATCTCTGCCGCCGCAGGAAAACTCGGAGCTCTGATCATCGCCGTCGTCGGTTCCTACACCACAGTCCAACAACAATTCCTTATTGTCCCCTGGTTCGGTCTCGCCGGTGCCCTCATCACCTACCTGTGGCTCCCCGATACCACCGGCCTGGATCTGCGTGAACAAGAACGCCGCTGGCAATTCATCCGTGAGGGCCGCGAACACGAGTACCACGGCCCCGCCATCCACAGAAAGCATCTCTCTGTCTGGGAGCGCTGGACAGGCAAGGGCAAGCTCTACGACGCCGAACTCGACTACAAGATGAAGGTGTCGGAGTTCCGTGCCGAGTGGGAGGCCGCCATGGCCATTCGTGCCGAGGAGTCTGAGACTGATCTTGGTATCGATGATATCGATGACAACCTCCTCCAGGGCTCGATGCATAAGTACTTCGAGCGTACTAGCCCTGTCATCCGTAGCATGAACAAGGATGCCCCAGAGCCCCTGTCCCTGCCTGCCGCTGCCAATGAGAAACAGGAGCCTATGTCTCACGAGTAGAGGGATGTGTTGATGCGTGATGTTGTTGGTATAGACTACTTTCTTTTACTTGTTGAACATTCTTTTGGAATAACCATTTATGGTTGTATATTCATGATTTTTTTGTATAAAACATACCCTGTGATGAGACCTGATGAGGTCTTTGAGTTTAATTTATCAGATTGGAAATAATAGCGAGGCTCATTCAACTTTTGAAATGGCCATTGAAATCCCTCTATCATTCAACTTGAAGTTCAAGATGACTCCTTCGTAACAAGATTAAATTAATACTCGTGGAATAAAGCGTAGAAGACCTTGGTAGCGGTTAATGGGAAGCCATAAGGTAATCATATGGCGGAAATTGCTTTTGATTTTCACATATAGTACATTTAATGCGCCACCAGCCACGGAGAGGTGCCACTGCCCACCAAGGCGCCATAATATAACCATGCTATGGAGCACGGTTGACATCAGTTCAACTATGGAATGAATTGAATTCAATCGTCGGGAGCTAATAGGAGTGCACGCTAGCACTGTCACTCAAAGCTCATCTCATGCGGGGGGGGGGGTTATCTGTGTCCGAACTTGGAAGAATTTTGTTCCTCCTTCTCTCCCCCAACAACCAAACTAACTTTCCTCCATATAAGCCCCTCTACATCAATTCACGGAGTCATTGTAAGGCTCCTCATACCCATCGTCCATAAAATTGGCCTGCCGCACTAAGCTATGCACAGCCAAATGGCTATGTCGATAACGGCCTTGGTCAAATGACGGAGACGGGCAACACAATTCTTTATATATTGCCCCCGGTCGATCATGAGATAGTCGCACCAGGTCTTGCATATCCTGAATTATCCTGTCCGTAAAGGGTATGTTGGAAAAAAAACCTTTGCAAGACATCCAATGAGGTTTCGGCATTTTTGATAGCCGTCGCCGTATCTGTTTGCACTTTCCAATCGGGAGAGGCTGCAAGGAAGAGACTCAGCCTCGTTGCATGATAGGCGCAGACTGCGATGTATCGTGGCAAAATTTGTTCTTTGGGTAAGCGTAATAGTTCTCGCATAATGTGGTTAATATGTTGGACATGTTCCTCGCATTTTGCAAGGGCGTGGTCTTTCAGACTCGGCTCAATCGTGTCCATGATGACCCTAGGAGCAACCGCTAGATAGTTTGGAAGAAAAAGTCGATATAGATCGCAGTGCGCCTGATGCCAGGTAGCCGTCACCTGAAGGATGCGGGCGAACCACCTAGAGCTTGCCATATCTTCTACATTGGCAAGTGCCGTGACTTGATGGCCAACAGATAGTTCCACATCTGATTGGTATCGTAGTAAGTCATTTTGTATTTCTTGTATGAGTGCCCCCAGTTGTAGCAAGGGTTGCTCGGATAAGGCGAGCTGCCGCGTAAGCCGCATGATGTCCTTTGAGATCTTCGAAAGCTGAATACAATCTGCCAGCAAGCTCCCATCTTCAGCAGAAGCAGCACTCAAGGATGATCGGCGAGCTGTCAGCTGGCTTTGTGGGATTCCCTCTCTGAAAGCTCCCTCGGAGCTAGGAAGTTGTTGATAAATTATCGCGTTTGGAATAGTTTCGTATTCCGGGAGTCCGACGGAGAAGAAACCGTCAATTGATGTCAGCGCCCATAATACCCTCCTCCTTGTTTCCTGAGCAATGAAGCTTAGTTCTGGTCGCTCGTAGTTCAGCCTTAACGCAGTGGCCGCTCGACCGGCAAGTCCTGCAAGCATATAGGCTCGAGAGAAGCGCCCGAGATGAATATGACAGTGGACTATAAGCATCAAGCACTGCAGTTGTCGAATGCAAGGCCTATCAAGTTGAATCCAAATACCTCGTTCCACAGAGTCGATGCAGAGACTAATTTTATCCGATAGCTTTTGACCTCTTGGAAGCCACAAATCAACCGTGGTAGTAATTGACGTGGCAAGATTGTGGTCCAAGGTGCCACTCTCGCATTGCTGGCGAATTGTAGGCTCATGGAGAAATGCAAATGATGGAATCGGGTAGAGATGTTGAAAGTAGATATTGATACTTTCCAAAAGTTTATCACTGGTTGTAATTAAAGTATCGCCTGAAACTTGTTCGAGTTGTCTGACTTCCACAAGGTTGTCAACGATGTTGTTCGACTGGTTAACCTGCGGGTATTGACACGACCGCTGGCGTCGATGGCAGTTTGCGCATTCGGGGAGTTCGCCGGAGCAGCGTGCTTTTTGTCGACGACATTCAACACAGGCTTGTGTTCCCCGACGCCGCTCAGGGCGATTTTGGACGGTCTCTTTTGGGCTAGGCTGACGGTGAGAGAGAATGGGGGTGTTCTTTTTGAACGAGCAGGCGAAGTCCAAACGCTCGCAGTTATCACAGCAGCCAGGTCGACGATCGCAGCGGACCTGATTCATCGAGATGGTGCTTAACACATCATTCTGCAGAGACTTTTCTTCATGATGAGGGTCTGACCTACCTTGCGACATCGGCACTGGAAACATGGAGGACGCTGGGCACGCCCCATATGGAATAATCAATTGCCTAGTAGAGAATCCTCTACTATCGTCCGGCTATAACACCATAGCAAGTGGATCTAGCGAGAGGGGAATATCAGCGATTCAGGTTGAATCTCTCTAAGTTCAGGGGGGGTCATACTCCGGCAAAACTGCGGCAATTTGATTTTGCGGGGTTACTGTGATGCCATCCGTCGCCGAATCACATCATTAGGCATGCTGTACTTGATGTGTGCCATGTCTACACTGGGCATGGCGATACCTAGTCGTCAATTTGTGACCACTGGTCGAATAATGATTATGAATTTAGCTTGCGGTTAGTATCGGTAGTTTCTTCAGTATCAATGCCGCCACTAAATTGCCCTAGGATCGTGGAATCACCGATGCACGATGGGGTGGATGGCCAAAACTCTGCACGATTTCTGCGGCATGACTATACCGATCCGTCAGATACAGATAGATACATGAAAAACACGAAAACCTGCAGATACACCTTGGAATGATCGCATGATCGCATCACCATTAGACATCGGCCCGCGTTGATAGGCGGGGGAGCATGTGACATTTCCGAAAACACGTGACTTGGTCTCCACTGCGAAGCTTCTCGCCGCAAAAAGTCCCCCCCAGCAGCATCAGACGACTCTCTTCCCCCCCTAATGTATCCATCATCACCGACACAATGAAGTTCTTCGAGAATAAATTCACCTACGACTATTCATTTCCCGCTGTATCCCTCGCCTACTTCCTTCGCTACCCGAACCCCTACTCCCGCCATGTCCTCACCACCGACGTGATCGATCGGTACGTCGACCCGAACACCCACCGCCTCCACACCACCCGACTACACCTAAAGAAATCCAAGGTCCCCTCGGGTATTCTGAAGTTGTTGCCCAAGGGAATGGGTGGGTCCGACAACTCTGGCCAAAGCTATATCCTCGAAACCACTATAGTCGACCCAACCGAGGGCTGGATGGAGACCGAGTCGCGCAACATGGAATGGACCGGTATCCTTAGTGTCGTGGAGAAACAACACTATCAACGTATCCTCACGGATGGAAATATCCAAGCTCTGGATGGGCTCTCAATCGATCAGAAGAGCGAACAAACCACCGTGCGTACCACCGTGACCTTCCGATCTAGACTCGGACAGGGCAAATTCCTTAGCCGAAAGAAGGCCGGCTTTGACAACTCCGATGCGGAAGAAGAGGAACCCAAGAGAGGCTTCTTCTCCTCCTTATCCACAGCCGGTATTCAGCGCACCATTGAACTGATCGGCGTCAAGCGCACGCGAGATGCTGTCCTGAAGAGCAAGCAGGGCATGAATGTCGTCCTTGAACGCCTGCGCAGCGGCGGGATCGTCGGCGTTCTGGAAGGAATGCGAGAGGACCGTGAGGCTTCATTCGGACCCGAGGGTCCCTGGAAGCGTGTCTGGCTACAGGGAAATGGTCGTTCCATTGAAGACGACGACAAATAGATCATGTGCTGCGACGGCTCTACATCTTTGTGACTATTTTCTCACTTAGATGTGACATGGCATCTTCGCGCAATGGTCTTCTATTCATTTGCATTTACTTTTCAGCGCGGAGTTTTTGGTATTTATTATTCTTTTCAAGCTTACGGACACTCTCCCATGACTGTTGTTGTTTTCTTTCTGTTGCCTTTCAACTGCCGCCTTTTGCATGATATGTCGAAATCACTGTACATGGCCAATTCGGTCTGCATCGAGGCAATTGCTTCGCAAGCGTGTGTATCATACTGGAATTCGGAGTGATGGAACTCTTCCTGAGAAATTTATCTGTACAATATTCAACCAAATCAAGCATATCTATCGACATCTATGTTGCACAGTTCCTTTGCATTGAGTGTTAATAACATTCTGGTGACTGTCACCTGATCATTGTGGTGGCCTTGGGCATCAGATATTACTTCTTTGGGCCTACCAGACAAGAAGGCATCGTCTACGTCAAACACCCTCTCCGTCTCCATCACTTGAACAGCGCTTGTTTCTACAACCACTCCACTTATAGTTTCTCATCCTTTGCTTATCTGCCAGTGCACTTTTCGGGAACCTAGTTGTTGTGTGCAAGTCGGGAATCTGTCGACCTGGAGATCTCAGCAACTACATCACGGCAGATCTACGAGTTCACCACCAGCCAGACCTATCGTCTTAGCACCTCTTTCACCCAATGGAAACCACAGCCACCACAGGCTATCCTAATACGAAGGGTGGAGAGTCTGGGCATCCATCAGATTACCTTGCTCAGCTAAGCTGGAATGAGCTCCCTATCTTCATGGCCATTCCCACGGCAGAGGACAGTCTTGATGACACAGCGAGGAAACTCTACAGCCTAGCTGATGCTGTCGCGAATGGCCGTAGCCTAGCACTTTCGGCCAATCAATCTTCTCTTCCTACCAGACAGACTGCCGAAAGCTTCGCCAAGGAGCGTATGCTTCCCCAAGAGAAAGAACACTACGAGATGTGGAAGGCGGGTACAATGTTTCTCCCCCATTTCGACTGGAACTCCAATCAAAGCCCACTGCCACCCAATAGCGAGAAGACCTTTGAGCATCGGGCTGCAGCCATGAACATAATTTGGGGACGTCAAGACGCCACGCCAGAAAATGCGGTCTGGCTAACCAACAATCTGTCAACCCTGCTCCCGCTGGTCAAGTCTATTAACAAACTCCAAAGTGCCGAGACACACTTGCAGAAGTTCGACCCACTCGCGAAACATAGCGAAGCTGAAGTCGCCGAGATTCAGACCCTGCAACTCATCTCTGCGACCGTCGATGCGAACGTGGCACGAGAGAAGGAACGCCTGCACCGGGTGTTTGACTCCATTAACCAGTCACAGGTGACACTGAGGGAACGGCTGAGATCTCTTGGCAAGTAACGAAGGGAATTTCCTTGTTTGGCCTTTCTCTTGGGGGCGGGGGGAAGTGATGGATACGAGATCGCGACTTTTTTTTGGTATTTGTACTAGAGTAGTGAGCAGTGAGCAGGGCCCGACTTGATATTGTCTGATTTCCATAGCCTGGGGCGCCTTTTTCTACGATATACCTCTTTTCGCTCATTTTTGATTTATCCCTGAGCTCCACCGAGCAGACCAATCGCTCGGCGAACCTCTTACAGAGTACGGAGGACAGTATGTATGTACATGTAGCACATGCACAAATGAGGTCACGCCGTCAAGAGGGTCTTAACATCAGCACCAACCCGCCCCGCCGAGACAATTGCAGATTATCGGCCGTATCCAACCGACGGATCTCTCTGGTGATGCTCGTTATTGTTGGTGTCTCCACTAGGGGCAATCCCGAGGAATCCATCGGGCCCGGCACCAATGAGGAGAGCATGTCTTAATCTCCAGCACCTATGACGCAGAGAGGGATGTGCGAGGAGGCTCCTGGCGGAATGCTCCGATTCGATTTAAGCAAGTCTTACGTCAGAGGATTTGCGATCCAAAGGGGCCGAACTGAATGATTGACAGGAATCTAAGGGACTGATCATCATGTCAGATCTGATACTTCGATGGCATCCACTCCGCAGCAGGGGGCACCGGTCCGAGAGAAGGGAAAGAATCAAGAGAGAGAGAGAAAAAAAAAGCAGTTCAGAGATACGGAAAGGGTACAGAGTACATACAGTGTGGCCAAGAAAGCATTCATCCATGCAAAGCCACGGAACTGTCGACAATCCCGGTGTAACCGGACTGGCAACAATTTGGAAAACCAACAAAAATGGAGTTTCCGATAGAGTCAAAGCCGAGAGGCACCAGCGCAACGCTAGCAACCAATCGAGCGAGGCCCGCCAATGTTGATGAAGGCTTTGCATGATTGGGGGAGGCTGGAAATTGGGTGGCCATAGCGGACGCAAAAATCTTCCTCGAAAGTGAAATGGACGGGAGTCATGCGAGATACCCGGTAAACGATCAATGTATCTCAGCTGTGCATCATAGTACAAGATATGTATCCGTACTTTGATACGATAGCTTGGAACAGTCGTCCACCCGAGATTTACACGCCACTAGAAGGGGGACAACAAGGGACTGACAGAGAATGGGCGCCCTAGTAGACCCACGGACGTCCGCCAACTTTGGACCCTCCTTCACTCTTCCATGCCCGAAGATGAGCTCACGAAGGATTGTGAGTGGCTGGACCCTGTACAGCCTGCAACCCTGACTCTAGGATCGCCGGCTGCATTTTCCCAGTTGGGGTGCGGTAATGCGGGGACTCGGTTGTTAGCGTTCGTAGCCAAGAAGCAAAAAGAGAAAAAAGGGAAAAAGAAAAAGAAAAGAGGAGAAAGGATTCCGCAAGTTATGCAGGGCGACCTACGGATGACCTGCTGGTTGGAGGTGTTAGTCGCGATACACCAGGTACCCCCGAGGTACTCCGTTCACCTGCAGGCGTCCACTCTCTCCCTGTTTCTGTTTCTGGTTTCACTGGCATCTCACGGTCAATTGATGGAATTGCATGGGAATGCTCGGAGAAAACACCTTGATTCCTTATGCTATTTCAATCCCAGCATTCGACAGAGACGGTGGTTGCTGGTTCCTACTCTCCCCCTCTCACCTGCCCCCCCCCCCTCTTGGCGTTTGACCTTTGAACCCTTGGTTGTTCCCTTCGGGATTGAAGCAGCTCCATTCTTTGCCTCCGGACTGGCTCCGTCCCTATTATTGTTTCCAGTTTATTTTTATTTTTTATTTGGTTTTCCCTGACATCCACTTCCAAGACCCTTTTTTCTTTTTCTTCTTTCCTATCTTAGTTTTGGTTCCGTCGGTCCCCGGTCTCCATTGGTCGAAACTTAAGGAGGAGTCGGTCATCGATAGCCACAAGGCTAAAAAGAACACCGAGTCCCTAGCGCTGCGGGGACCGTTACCCTGGGACTCTCGTGAAGCGGATGGCTGTTTGACCCTTGATCAAGTTTGCCTGTTGGATAATACTTTACTATTACCATTCCCTCCTACGCCCTTTTATCCGCCCCATCCCCTCCCCTCCCCGCCTGATCTCGATTGATCTCCCCTGTCTGGTGCTAGAATTGATTGTCGAGGGATAATGCGTGGTATCGCTCCGGTCCATTAAACATCATCATCGTGCCTTTGAGGGCCCGTCGTGGTCGCTCTTGCGGAGGAATTGCTCAGTACACCTCGTTTAAACCGAACCGAATCGAATCGAACCGATCGCGAATGATGGCTTCCCTCTCGATGTCTGGGTACTTTGAAAGGACTTGGGTACTGCTCACCGTCCTGGCCCTGCTGCAGTGCAGCTCGGCCCAGTTCTGCTCCTTCTGGACTTCAGACTGTATTGAGCCCCTTGCCCAAGTCGCCGTTCCTTTTAGCTTCCAGCCACTATTTCCCGACCCTATCACCCTATTTTACGGCTTCGATGCGCTCTCGTCAGGTAAAGGTCAGAGTCCCATGACCAAGACCGCGTTCTGGCTGGGATATCAAGATCGGAACATCAACAAAACCGCTATCGATACAAACCGAACAACTGAGATCGGCTTCCGTATTGGGAACATCACAGGCTCGCCGTCCGGCGGTAACAATGGATGTGACGGCCTTTGGAGCGAAAACTGTACCCGGGATCTCAAGAACAGCATTCAGAGGGGCATTTTCCATCTTCCTCCGCCCATCGATCGTCATCGTCGACCGCTGGCAGCTGTTCTTGAGCATATGATGTGGAATCCTCCGAAATTGGAATCGTGTCCACCGCAACTATTCAGGGATGTTGCCTCGATTCCAGTACAGGGTAGGTCACAGCTTAGCCCTGAAACTCCATTATCTACAATCTGTTTCATACTCACACAGTCTAGACTTCATTCGAGAGAGTGTGCCGCAGCAAAATGTCACAGTCATGACTCCTGGTTCGGGATATAATCCTTGGCAAGTATGGTACATTGATGATATGACATCACGCCAACAGGCCTCACAAGTCGCGATTGGGATAATCACCCGCTCTCCGACCTACGACAGCGAACCACCGCACAGTCCCGATGACGTTCAGGTCGAGCTTGTCTGCGTGCAGGCGCCGCGAGCTCCACCTTCGGGTTCGTCAAATAGCGATGATTAGAGAGCATGAGTAGGGACAACTTCGCTGTTATCCCGGGGCTTTTATCTCATATTCTCCCACCCACGGGATATTCCCGACCTGATGGAGATCACATTTGTCTGGCTGTTGATGCCGTCCCGCTCTTCAACCTGTCACCTCCCGAATCCAGTGGCTCTTCAGTCAGCTACATCGACACCTGGTGCTTACGACGGACGCGACAGGCTTGTCCAATGGATTCAAATTGCATTCAAAAGGCTTGATGGGGGGTATGTACACGGAAAACTAAACATGGCTCTTCCCATCCGTCACAATCGCCTATAATCGACTTGGTTCACGCAGCAATCGATCTGGAAATGGACTTTTCGCCATTAATTTCGATTCGGCCACAGGTCAAGATCATTCACAATGTGGGCCAACTGTTGTCTGCAGGTTTCAGATCTCCCGGGCCACGGAAATCCTCCAGAATATCCGCTTGCTCGCTCAACATCACACGATCTGTTTGGATACCGATCCGTGCCAGTCCACGCCATCTGGCAAAGTCCTCTAGATTCCTTTTATCGCCATGTGCATCCTGTGCCTTCTCCCAATGACCCTTGGAGAATCCAAGCATGGTCGTTATACGTTTGTTTGGGATGTCATATACCAGAGAGCACATGGTCCCCGTCTCCTCCAACCAGTTGCATTGCCATAATTCCCCGGGACGAATGCATTGATACTCCGCTCTCTGGAAGTTGATGCGGCCCGCCATTGGCCCGCCGTGGATGGCATAGTTGATGCGGTCCTCATTCTGGAACCACATTTCATATCGCCACTTTTCTGGGTTTCCACGTTCGTCTTGTGCCGCATAATCATAAATCAGATGTCGGTCTCGCAGGTCTGCATCGAAGGTTGACCCTTCGAGAGAGGGTCGGACGGGCATGTTCGTGGCTATGTCGCTTCGCCAGGAAGCTTATATATGAAGGTTCCTTTTTTAAGTCGTCTCGAAGAGACTTGCACTGCATATAGGTTTTCAACGGGAACTCGCTTCAGAGATCTCGGCTTTTGTTTCAAGTTCACATCAATCCAGCGTTCAGCATCCGGAGTTGGGGCAACCTTTTTATCTTTCAAGAATGTTTCACAATAATACCCCACTTGTCCTACACCGGTTTCCTCCCCAATGGCTTCGGTACTTTCTGCATCATCGAACCCTCCGTAGTCCTTCCGTTTTAAGCCTTGGTTTTTTCTTGAGCCGCTGGGCTAGGACGGGTTCGTCGTAGGCGGAGCATATGACATCATGACTGATATTGGACAGACAGGTGGTATCTGGGTAACAAAAATGTGCAAAGGGACTCAGGGAGCTCTTAATGATCTGGGTTCTGCTCCACAAGTTTGAGGTTAAACACCTCTGAACTATAGTCTAGGTGAGAAGGATAGACATGCTTTGACCGAACCTTGGAGATGCAATGAATATCTACTCCCAATTGGGTACCGCCTCCTTGCCTCCGGTATTGCACAAGCATTTTTGTCAGATTGTCTGCGACCTCTGATATATCCGAGTCACCTCTACGGTGTGAAGTGCTGATTGAGGTGAGACCTGGGGTGTCGATCACAAAGTTTAATGACGATCTCGCGGGTCCCTCTGCCGCGGTGTGGATCGTGATTATCCTTACTCGATTTATAACGTGGAGATCATCGGCCAACCGGCTGTGATTCGGATTACAACTTGCACATCTACATACAATATCAAGGTGAGACAGGGTGGGTGTGGTCTTTTAGAGTGGAGCTTGGACTCGGACTTGATATGAGGCTAAAATAGCCCTGGACCCTAGCGCAACGGAGATGGCTACAAGTGCAACTTGAAATGATCAGAAAAGTACTACACTACACTATATATAGTAATAGTATGTAGTATGTAATATGTATGTATGTAGTATGTACTTTGCATCGCGCCTTCTTCTGCAGGATGTGTGCAGTTCCTTCCCATTTGGGAACGATCAACATCAACTATCGACTTCGACTTGCCGAGACTGCATCTCTGAACTCCTGCACGGTAGAGCCCTGCACATGCAAAGATTCATTCTTTTCATTCGTCTTCGTTTTCTTCCAGTCACTTCCGTCATGGCATTCAAATTATTGGCTTCCCCTCGACTCTGGTCTCGGGGGTTGTACCGTTGTACCTGCTAGCCATCATGCAAGCCGTCCTGGGACTCGATGCATTTGCGAACGATACGCTCTCACTCCCAGGGGCTACATCATATGTTGCCGCTGTGGGATTCCCCACCTCGGCCTTCGTGTAAGGTCTAAGAAACTTCATACCTACTTCTTGATTATCGCGAAATTGACTAATCGATGTACAGCTCCTACTACGAATCACCGGCTCTTCCCACCAGAGAGCCCCAGCCCATCATTTACGATCCTGTGCTAGACCTTGTTTTCCCCTACGAGCTGACCAACCCGGATTTCATCCCAGAAAACTCCGATGAGGTCTTCTTCCCCGTTCCGAAAGCCAGGTTGCTTGCTCCGGAAACGCGTGCTCTCATTGACGGTGTCGTGGCCAATGTGTCTGAGATAATCAACGCAAAGAATGAAAATAAAGAGAGCAATTGCGATAAATGCAAGCGAGCGTTGGCTGCTGCCAAGCCCGCTGCTTTGTTCACTCCTCAGATGGTTCCCGGTGCCATAATTGACATGTGCAAGAGCTTTGCCTTCCAAACGAATGAAACTTGTGAAGCGATGTACGCCTGGAACACGCTCGGTCCGACCTGGACTCAGGTACTAGCGTATGCTGATGTGGAGGGTCTTGATGGTGAATTTATTTGCAACAATATTGATGCCAGTTTCTGTCCTTCGCCCCATGCTCAGCCATTGGATGCTCGCGGCTTATTCCCGAAGCCCAAACCAGCAAACCTCTCCATCCCCAAGGCTAGCGGAAACCGAGTAAAGGTACTGCACATGTCTGATTTGCACCTCGACGCTCGCTTCGGGGTCAACTCCGAGGCCGATTGTACGTCGGGCCTGTGCTGTCGAACCGACAACCACAATCAGAACTCTGTGGATGATATTTTGCTACCTGCCTCTCCCTACGGTTCTTTCCACTGTGATTCCCCATATGATCTGGCCCTCGCCGCATTGCAGGCTGTCGGCCCTTTGACTGGCACGGGGAAAGATGAAGATTCATGTGGAATCAAGGGGTCTCTTGCCTTCACCATATACACGGGTGATCTCGAGTCGCATGATCCGCTCCCGCAAAATTCACGGCGATACCTCGAGTACATCGAAACGGCCATATTTGACATGTTCAAGCACTTTCTCACGGGCCCTGTCTTTGTTTCCTTGGGAAATCATGACTCGGCACCCTCTGACATTGATGCAGCGCATAGTCTTCCAGGACGTCTTGGACAACAGATGAGCTGGAACTACAAACATGTGTCTAGTCTCTGGGAGCATGAGGGGTGGATTAGCCATCAGGATGCGAAAGAGGCACCAACCCACTATGGTGGATATTCCATCATGACACATTATGGATTGAGAATCATTTCGCTAAATACAAGTATGCGTGTTATATCTACGGCTCACTTTCTCATTTGTGACCCCGAGGCTAATTGGTAAACAATCTAGATCTCTGGTACAAGCGCAACTTTTTCAACTTCATCAATACAACCGACCCCGATGCCTCTAAGATGCTTTCCTGGCTCATTGAGGAGCTTCAAAAGGCAGAAGACAAGGGCGAACGTGCTTGGATCATAGGTCATATTCTCACTGGGTGGGATGGCTACAATGCGATGCCCAATCCAACAAACCTCTTCTACCAGATTGTCGAGCGGTATTCGCCCCATGTGATAGCCAACATCTTCTTCGGTCATACGCACGAGGATCACTTCAACATCTACTATGTGAATAACGGGACGGATCAAACAGCAGAAACTGCTCTCAACACTGCGTGGATAGGGCCGAGCGTAACGCCTCTGACAAACATAAACAGCGGATTCCGGATGTACGAAATTGATACAGGCGACTTCAACATCTATGAAGCGTACACCTTTTACAGCAATGTATCCGAGTATCCAAGTCTTCAGAACAAGGGTCCAACCTACAAACTCGAATACTCCACCCGCGACACATACGGCCTTGCTGCTGAATGGCCGCAAGACGCACCTCTAAACGCGACCTTCTGGCACCGTGTGACTGAGGGAATGGAAAAAGATCTGAGCTTGGTTAGTTGGCAAAACACTCTCCAGGGGAAAATGAGTGTGAAGAGTCCAAACTGCACGACGGAGGTTTGCCAGAGAGCCAAAATATGTTACATGCGGAGTGGGAGTACGCCACTAGGCTATTTATGCAAGCAAGGGTAAGCTTTTCGACATTCCCAGCTTCGGTCCGATACATCAAAATATATTAACGTGAGGCTGCAGCTATGGTTCCGTGCAAAGTCCATTCACTGAAACTTAGGACGATATCATCGGCATTTCTTATTTATCGTGAATCGGCGCGAGATCTCGATTCTTCGGTGTCGATTCTGGGTTTCCAAAAGCGGACATGCGATGGGTTTTGATTTCAGGTTCTTATTATACCATGTCAGTTGGCAACGGTCGTCATTTTAACTATTACTACTAGTATACCGAGCATGCAAATGTTTAAATTTTGCTTAAGCCAGATTCTATCTCATTAAATGGCTGATTCGGTTGGTTAGAGCTCTGCAGTGTGTTGTGCTACTAGTACTAGTAATACTAAACCCAAGTCAAGGGTTGGACCAGTAACCATAGTACCCTTCCCCGAGGCCTTTCTTCTTTATTAATCGAGCTCTTAGTCTTCATCAGAGTACCCTTTCTTTATTTCGACGTCCCCTTGTATAGACTCATCCCGAGGTTTGATATTCCTTTCATCTTCTTTTCGCAGTAATTGAAGCCATCCATGCGCGCTATCAAGTATATCTGGTACAAAGAATGTTCTTGTATCGAATCAGTAAACACTAGAATGTGCGTGCCCATACTCTGTCCGAGATCATTTTCCCTTTCAAGAATATCACCGTAGAAAATAGGAAATGATTCGCATGGGCGATCCCCCTCCCTTCCCCGTGCTGCTGAGTAACAGTCGGGGGTATAGTTAGTTATACTACTACTCCGCCTGTACCAGCGACTGAACTGGCTCGGTCGCAACACCCACTCATTTGATCATTGACAGGGTCTACCAGTTCTTCAGAGTCGTAGTCGACCTTACAGATTCAATGCTTAATTTGACAATTTCCGGATCGACAGGGTGCCGGCGGCTCCCGGCCTCGTCGATGTATGACGTAGCAAAGGAATCCCGTAGGTTTTCTATATCGTCACGTCACCACACCAAGGGGCCCCTCCGGCCCATCCGCGAATTTATAACCACGCTGGTCCCAGACGCACCTGCAGCTTCCCTCGTCACATTCACCTCTTGCCGCCTTGAACTTCCCCAGGTACTTTACTAGTAACCTGCGCCGACGCGATCCCCTCTCGACTCCACGATCTACCCGCGATCTAAGTAAAAACCACCGCATATCTATTACAATGGGCCTACGGGGTGTTCAGTTGGGCCTCAGAGCCTGGGAGGTACGTGAATCATACAGGTCAAGCTGGATATAATTTTACTTTATGCGGAGGGTCTCGAGCTAACCCCGCCCTCAGTTCCTTTGGACTCTGCTCGTCATGGCCCTCATCGGTAACATGATCAGCGAAGCGTTCTCTGGCAACCCCAGCTCCATCAACTATACCATGTTCCTTTCGGCATTTTCAATGCTATCGCTCTTTTACCTGATACCAGCCACGTACAACCCCGACTGGGCTATTCACCCGATCATTGTGATCGTGGTGGACGCGCTCAACTGCATCTTTTTCTTCTGCGCCGCGATCGCGCTGGCAGCTAAGTTGGAATCCCACTCGTGCAGCAACAAGGTTAGTCATATACAGCTATACGCAGATGGATCTGTGCATCAAAAGAGCGAGAAGAAAGAATAAAAGCTGATCTGTATGTTAGTCATATGTTCTCAACAACGAGATCACCAACGGCTCCTCCAACCCCACGAAGCGCTGCCGGGAAGCCCAGGCCTCGACAGCTTTCCTCTGGTTTGGCTGGGCTGGTTATATGGCCTCCGTTATCATCTCGGTCTTCCTGGCCCGCTCTGCCACGGTGAACCTTCGTGGCCGCAGCGGCAGTCGCCGTCGGCCCAACATGGCACAGGTTTAAATGAACCGGAACAATGAAGCTGGGGAAGAAGCTGCGGGGCTGGCAGGTATTTCTTGGAAAATTGGGGAATTGAAAGAGACGATAGTCAACCGTTGGTCTAGCCTCCTTCCCTTTATTGCACCACGTCGGCTTTGATCCCGAGGTGAAACAAGGAATGATTGGATAGTGGAATTCACGGGCCCTGCATTGGGCTTGGGTGAATGATTGTACGACATGATGCGGCCGATGTCTGTTCTGGGTTGAACGGAAAATGGAAACACGGACGGGACGATTCTTGGGATGGGATATCTTTTTTATGTTCTTTTATAATGTTGCAACGGGCGTCACCTCGATATTGTGTTACTATGATGTCATTAATAATTACTGGTTAATCATTGGGCTTATACCTGTATGAGCATTCAATTTCATTTTATATTTTATATTATCCGAAGAGAATGTGGTGGTTCAAGTTTCTTTAGAGAGTTAGGGTGATAGGTATAGTAGTAACTGTAGTGTGAGAGTCGGCATTGAGCTTGACTCATCTAGCGAACACCATGTCAGCATCGCAATAATTGCCCGATATTACCATCAGTACACAATGGATAATTCTGACACATCTGGTAAATTGCACTGTAGTAACTGTTCATACCACTCATCTTTATCTACTCTATACTTCTTTGCGATAGGGAGCAATTTCTTAGGGCGGGGCACTCTGCACTCTGCACTCCACTCTCCACTTCCACTCTGAAGCAGAAATTGTCCAGAGCTTTGGTGGTCCGCGGCTTTGACACGCCTCCCGTTCTCCATCCCTTTTCCCTCCACACCAACCCCAAGATGCCCATCAGGTGAGATAATCAAATTGCCACAATCGCATGCAGTGTACTGATGGTCCTTAAGTTATTTGATTCTGCTCTCCCGCCAGGGCAAAGTGGTGTGTTCCCCTCGTCACCCACCCCAATCCCCGTCTGGAAGTCGAGTTCCCTCGATCCGAAGCCCAATCTGACTTGCTCTTTCTCCTTTCCAGCGCCTCGCCAAGTGGTTCACCACTCTCTCCCCCCAAGGAGAAGGCCAAGATCATCAAGGATGTGACCCAGCTGGTGCTGTCCCGCCGGACGCGGATGTGCAATTTTCTGGAATACAAAGGTGGCATCCTCTCTCTCCCCTATACCTATACCTCCAGGACCTTTCCCCCCCGACTAATCCCGGATATCTGGTCCAGACTCGAAAGTGGTCTACCGTCGCTATGCATCACTCTTCTTCATCGCGGGATGTTCGTCGACCGACAATGAATTAATCACCCTGGAGGTGGTGCACCGTTATGTGGAGCAGATGGACAAATACTACGGGAATGTGTGTGAGCTGGACATCATTTTCAATTTCCAAAAGGCATATTTCATCCTGGATGAGTTATTATTGGCGGGGGAATTGCAAGAGAGCAGCAAGAAGAATGTGCTACGATGTATCAGCCAGCAGGACAGCTTGGAGGATATGGAGGTAAGCATCTGTTCTACCTTACCCTTTACCAACCACTTATACCCTATACACTATACTCCCCTTGTCATCCACTGCGAATCCCGCACTGGGCTAATACTCCCCAGGTCGAGGAAGATGTGGTCACCAAGATCATGTAGCGGGATTCTTTGTTTGTCTTTGTAGCGTCTATACTAATCAATACCACCATTGTTCTCATGTCAGGATACAGAAGATGTGACGCGCAACCTGGAGCGAGTGGGCTTATAGTCTCTCTCTCTCTCTTTCTCTCTCTCCCCCTCTCTTCCAGCAATCACCTCACTCATCACTTCACTCCTCCCCTCGTTCCATGGATCGACCACCCGTGAGGTCACCACGCCCGCTCACTGGCCAGCCCAACACGTGACATCCCCCCTCTCCGGTCGCAGTCGCCGTGCAATCGGGAATCGGGGGCCATCCTAGGATCCTATATGCCCTATCTCTCTTCTACTAACATCCCCTCCTCTTTTCATCTCCTCCCCTTGGTCGTGGTTGAGTATATCTCTCTTAACTTCCAGCTTCCCCCCCTTCTGCCTGCTTGCGGCTATCGCCGATCGACGACCCCATCTCCGTCTTCGGCGCGACCACCTCGCGTCATCTTCCCATCACTCTCATCAATCATCTGAGGATCAGCGCAATTACTCTTACGTTAAGATCCCAAGGCAATCGCTTTACTGGACCCGACAACTTCTATCATCAACATGAAGGTAAGTTGAGAGTACTATCCCCTTTATCTCTCCTCCGGTCGCCATGTGCGATCGCCCCATCCCCCCCGGATCGCTCCCCGGATCGTTTCCCATATCGCAACTTCACTCGATTCGCGATGCTCACCATCGCTCTATTTAGTTCCTTCCATTGCCCGAGTTAGAGGATGTCACGAGTTCCATGAATTTCGACACAGCCGACTGTCATATCGCCGGTGGCTGTGATCTGTACACTACCAAGGCTGCCCGTTCCGACCGGAAGCTGTACAACCACATCGAGCAATCACTTGAGGCCCAATACGAATCAATCCTCCGCCTATCGGCTTCGCTCTCTCCTCCCAACGCCCACGATGCTGCCGAGACACTGAATCTATCGCGATCCAGTCCGTTCGGCCCCCTGAGTGAGCACTCCAGTCGCCGCACCTTCGCCTACTTGATCGCAACACTCAACGCCAGTCACCCGGACTACGACTTCTCACACGTCCTGCGACCAACCGATTTCCGCCGCGAGAGATACCTCAAGCGGGTGATGAACACTGTCAATTCCACCTTGTTCAACTTGCGCCCCCGCGAGTCGATCGACCTTTCCCCTTCATCCCCTGCCACCCTGTCCGGATCATATAACACAAGCACATCTGCGTGGGGCCCCCGCATGTGGAGAACCGTAGATGAACACATGTCTTTAAAGGAGTGCTCGGTATACTCGTACTCTCCGGAAGAGGACCCGTCCGACGCTGACGACGGTGCCATCTGGAGTCTTCACTACTTCTTCTTCAACCCGCTTCGCAAGCGTGTATGTTATATCTACCTCCGAGCGATTCCCATCCTCAGCCACACACCGGATGAGATGGCTTCCACGCCGACCGGCAAACGGACCTTCAATGACGGATATCTCACACCTGACCTCAGCTCGAGCAAGCGGGCCCGGTATTGGCTTGGGAGCCGGGCTGAATCCTCGCTCCGTGCAAGTGAGGATGACAGTGATGATGAGATGCTACATCATCAATCCAAGTCCTCCCTTCCGGTCGGAAATGATGCCGACCATTATATGCTTAGCGATGAGGAGATTCGCTCCCGCTCTGGTAGCAGAGGGATGGTTCGCGCGATGAGTGAGGAGATTGCAGACTCCATGGAGGTTTAACGACCCTTTTGATACGCCTTACGCCTTGTTTTCTTGGTTGTGTTTAACAGTCTGACCGTTGATCGGTGTTTTGATGCTTCGTTTTTCTTTTTCTTTTTCTTTTTCTTTTACTTTCTTTCTCTTTTTTGTATGGTGCTCGGGGCGTTGGTTTGATTCAATGGACTTGTGGCGCACTTCAACCTGCAGACCTGGCTACAAGCGGCGCTGGCTGAGACTGATACCGATTGCGTTTTGATTTACACTTCTATTCGACCTTTGTGTATACAATTTAATGATATTTTTACCCTTCCGATGTGGTGTTGGTAATGTACCTACCTGTACATGCATTTGGCCACTTAATAAACTCAAATGATTCTACATTTTCGTATCAAATATGCAAATGTATACAACTTGTCGACTCTAGGTCTCCGAATGAACATGGAATGTCGCAAAGTAACTCGCTGGCCCCAAAACCCCCCCCAGGCTATCTATAGATCGGGCCCGTGCACGGGATGGGATGGGGAAAGCTGTCCCTTCTCCGTCCTCCCTGTACTTCCCCCCACCACCCATTGATACCCCTCGAGTAACCCACCATGGCCGATGACGAAGAGCGCGTTAAGGCTGAGAAGCTGGCTGCTGCCAAGAAAAGGGTACGCTCTGTTGAATTCTACAGGCCCGAATTTCGCTAATAAAACCCGGTGTTTTGCAGGTAGCCCAGCTCCAGAAGCAAAAGAAGAAGGCCAACAAGAAGGCCTCAACCGCTACAGACACCCCCAAGGATGATGAGGCATCTAAAGTCGCCGATTCTACCGAGGACACTGCGACAGCGACAGAAGCCCCCGCTTCGGTAGACGCCTCCGCCGAGGAGAAGCCAGAAGAGGACGCATCCGCGGAGCCCGCTCCTTCGTCTTCTTCTCCTCCCGCTGCCGAGACCCCATCGGAAGAAAGCGAGATGCACCAGTTGAATCGCCTGTAGAGCCAATGCCCCCGGCTCCGACTTCTCCTGATCCAGAGGCGGAGGCGCAACCCGCCAAACTCGACACCCCTCGCGCCGGGCATGGCCGCCAGCCCTCTCTGTCGATACAGTCGAAGATGCGCTCGTCTTCTTTCCGCAAGACATCTGTGTCACAAGGAAGCGTTTCCCCTTCACCATCATCCGCACTCAAGTCCCCGCCACAGTCTCTACCTCCTCTAACTGGGGACGGGGAATCTGTGCACGAGGTGTTCCGGAAACAGTCGACGAAGATCGAGGAGCTGGAGAAGGAGAACAAGCGTTTAGAGAAGGAAATTGCTGATGCGACGACTCGCTGGCGCAAAACCGAAGAACAGGTGGAGGATCTACGTGAGGCTAGCGTCGATAGCGTGGAGCTACGAGAGAAATTGAAGCAGGCAGAGGAGAAGGTGGCGGATGTCGAGTCATTGGTATGTTCAACCTAGAGCTCTAGAAGCTCGGATTGAATAGACCGCGAGGACAGGAGCACTGACAAGATAACAGAAGGAGGAGATTGCATCTCTTCAACGGCAGAATTCCCAGCTTCAATCTCGGTCACACCGAAATAATGCTGGACCTTCCAGAGTCCCCGCCGGCAGACTTGGTGCGCCAGCTTGAATCCAAATCGGAGACTATCGAGGCGATGGAATTGGAGATTTCCAATCTACGCGCTCAGGTTACCGATCAATCCTCCTCCAACAGCGCCAACGAGACACAAGTAGCAGCACTAGAAGAGAAGGCATCGCAGAGCAAGGCCGCACTGGAGAAATCTGAGCGTGAATTGGCTGATACGAAGCAAGCCCTGACGCGTGCTTCAGAGAGGGCAGTGAAAGAAGGCGTGGACAAGACTTCCACCGAGACCCTGATCAAATCCCTGCAACGCGAAGTTGAAGACGGCAAAAGCGAAAAGAGCGAAGCAGACAAGAAGATCGAAAATCTGGAAAAGAAACTCCAGGCAATCGGCAACCTGCACAAAGAAACCGAAACCCGGCACCAAACCCGCCTACGCGAGAGCGAAAAGGCAGAGAAAGAGACAGCCGTGCTCCGTAAGAAACTCTCCAGCATCGAGAACGAGAACCTCCGCCTCCGAGAAGAGCGTGACCGCATCAAGAAGCGCGAAGCAGGTGGCGGTGCCGACGACGAGGCCCTCGACGAGCTGGAGGACGAAGAGCGTCAAAGGTTGGAGCGCCGCATCCGCGAGCTGGAAGGCGAGAACTTCGATCTACGCCGCGGAGTCTGGCAAGAGAAGCGCCAGGAACTAGCCGGACAAGGTTTCCCTGAAGAAGGCGCCGAATCGGTCGTCGATGCCGGTGCCAACGCCTTTGACGACGTGGATCTCGTCGGTGGTCGTCCTGATCACGCCCGTCGTCGCAGCATGGCTTTGCAGCAGCAACAGCACCACTCAACTTTCTCCACAGTCCTATCAAGTGGCTTTGCCGCTTTTACCGGCGGTAACCAGAACAACCGCTCCCGAGCTGGCTCGTCAAACCCGCCACATCCTCATGCGCCTGCTACGCGAGGCAGTCTCGAGCTACTCTCCGAGGAGAATCTAGACGATGAGTTTGAATTCGACGAGGCAGAGTTTGCGCGCGCGCAGGCTGAAGAAGAGGCTCGCAAGCGCGTGGAGTGGGTAAGGGAGATCAAGCGCAAACTGCGCGACTGGAATGGGTGGCGGTTGGATCTAGTTGATAGTCGAGCTGGGGCTGAGGGAGCGGGGGTGGGAATGGGGGAGATCTTTGAGGTTTAGTCTTATCTCATTTGTCCTACTATGTATGGTACGATGGGATGGGATGGAATATGATGGGAATTCGTCTTTCTGGGTTGAAGGGTAATTTCACAAGTGTGTTCTAGGCTGGTGGAACTGTGGCATGGACAGGCGCTTTCGTTGTTACTAGTATATATACCATGATCTGTCAACAATACTACTCTTTGCATTGAATTGGAACCTTCTTCCCTCACGGGGTCGGTCGAGTTGAATCTGTTCCAAGTTTAGTTTATAAGAATGTAAATTTTGCATATACTACTAGCACCGATGCATAGTACTATCCGTGGACCCCAGTCACCGAGCGAGAACCTTCAAATTAGAACCTCGGAAGTCGAAAGATTCCACTTAACTACTACTAGTGCAGCAAGGTTGTCAAATCGCCTATTCTCTAAGATAATATTAAGGAAGATAGATATTCAGTTAGTTTTAATCAAGGATCATGATGTTTACGAATTTACAAGCCAGACGAGGGTACTACAAGTAGTAAAGAGTAAGTATAAAGCCGCGAACAATGAAAATGCAATATGAAATAACCTATGACATCTATGAAATACCGAACCAAACAAACTCAATCCGAATAATGCTTCCCAGTCAAAACACCCTCAGATTGACGTCTCCTCTTCCCAACAATCTCCACAACCCACCCGGAGATCTGATAAAGCCAACCACCGGTAACCAGGACACCGGAAATGGTATTAATGACTCGAAGAAGAAGAGCTAAGAATCCCGTCCGCTCCTCGCTGACCAGCAACATAATCGGCTCGATATTGTACTTGAAGAAGATACCAGGGATCAAGGCAGGCGATTCGGGGATCTTTCCGCTCTGGCTCGTGGCCGCGTACTGGTTTGTGAAGATTGTGTTGCGCCCGTAGCGGGCGGTATTGTCCCTGTTCGTCGTGACTATATCCAGGGCACTGCGACCTTTGGAGTAAAGGGTGGGAACGACAGAGAGGAAGTATTGGAATTTGTGGTAGTGGCTGTCACTCTCGGCAATTGTTTTGTCGAGAGGATTTAGGAGAGATGGGTAGTGTGGGCCGAAGGAAAGTTCCGTGATCATATGTGAGAAGTTGAAGACTGTATGAATATTAGCATAACCGTAAACAGCAGCAACGGCATCTTCCTAACGCCTCCCTCCTCCTCTGAAAGGGAAAAACTCACCAGAGTGATCCAAATGCGGCTCACCAATCTCCATATAACCATGTCCACGCGCGGTAATATGGAAATCGCCCTGAACCTTATTCCCCTCCAGACTGCCATAGATCCGACAAGAATCCTTATTATCCCCCCCAGCGCAGGCGGGGCCCCTTGGCAAACTTCTTGCGCGGATTGCGCCGCACCTCGCCCAGGACGTGGTGAACATGCGCGTCCTCCTCCTGCGCGCTCAAACGGTCTGCAGCCTCATGGCTGAGTGTCTGGTACTCGTGTTCGCCGTGGGATTCGTAGTTGCGTTTCTTCATCCACAATTCCCAGTTTGTTTCTTCGCGGGTGAGGAGCTCACCTGCTAGGATGCGGTCACCGGAGGCGTCTTGGATGTTTAGCCGGAGGGTGTCGCAGGGCATGTTGACGACTATGTCGAGATTTAGCTGTAGGTCGTGTGAGACGCCTTTCTCCACGCTGAAGTGGTGGGCTTCGGTGCCGCGCCACCAGGTTCGGAGCTCGTGGAAGCTGAATAGTGTGCACACGGCGAGGATTAGGACGGTCCATTGTCCGCCGCGTCGGGTCGGGGTTGTGTAGGTGGTTTTTGTTTTGGCTGGAGGAAGGATTGTTAGTAGGGGCGGTTCCTTTTATCTTTTATTCAGTGTGTCCTGCGGAGCATTGGTGGACGCGATCTATTCGAGCTGGGGATGTATCCAAAAGATCGGAGGGATGGGGAATCAATGAATAGAAGCGGGACTCACGGAAGGCATCGAAGGTCTTTAGCCCTGATAGAGTAGTCTTCTCCCCAAAGGCATCCTCGTTGAGGCTCTTTTCATTGAAGCCATTCATTGTGGATGTGCGACATGAAGAGCGCGAAAGGGTGCGGAGTAAATCAACATCGACGGGGTGATAAGGCGATGAGGCCAAGTAAGCATTGTCGGACCCCACACTGTAACTGGCCAGGTACACCACTCCAACTACATCATGATACACATACTACTAGTAATATCATGATTTGCACATTTTTACTAGTACTTTTCTACTCTCAACACAATGCTGTAAATCCGAAGCTCACATGAGCGCTATCATAATGCCCTCAAAGAGAGATGCAAGGAATAAAAATGTACAGGAGACTGGCAGGACCAGTCGTAGAGTCATGAGTATAGAGACGAAAGACAAACGAAAGACATGTACCCCGTCACAAATCATCTCAAAGGCCCAGATGCAAATTCTATCCACAAACATAACGGGTATAGGATGAATGTCGTTCTTTTCATCTCCATGGATTCAGTCACATAACGCAACAACATGCCGACATGACACCCACCTGATGCAGGAAAACAAAGTAACAATTATGATTACAGGTGACAACATAAATCTGATAACAGAAGAAAAAAACATGGGGAATAAGGAAGAAGAGGGGAATCGGGAAATAGGGAAAGGGGAAAGGGGGGACGACGGATTATTTCCTCTGTCTGCGGTCAGCGCTCGGTTCTCTTTGCTGTGCTTGTTGTGCGTATCATCTTAACTCACAAGGCTGGTCGCCGCCGCCGCCGTCGCAAGGTCAGGCTTTCCACTGATACTGCGTGCCGATGCCCGAGGCAGCGCAGTACCGGAGATCGTGGAACTATTGGATCCTCGCTTGGCAGGGCTGGAAGGTGGTAACCCACTCACGGTGGAATGGCGCTTCCCACTGCTGCCCTTGACCGGCGAATTGCCGGAGGGGTCGCGGTTGCGAGAGAACGGCCCAGTCTTGAGACTTGGAGGCTCTGGCAGAGGTCGCCCACCGGAGGGGGTACCCCGCTTGGAAGGGGAGTTGGTGGCAGCATACATTCTGGGTCGGGTCTGCGGCTTGATTCCAGTGAGGAACTCATGCTTCAACGCATCGTGGGGGCTGAGGCGGCGCGTAGGATCCCAGCGGAGACAGCGTGAGATGAAATCGAGGAAGGCGTCATCGTCACACTTCAGAGCTTGCCGCAGGTCTTTAGAGCTTGGCCGGCGTCGGCGGCCCTTGGATGAGACGGTAAGGCGAGGTTTGCCCAAGGAATCGAAGAAAAGCTTCTTTCGTGTGCTTTTTTCAATCAAGTGCTTCTCTGGAGGCCCAAACACCTCCATGATACACGCCAGTTGCTCTTGCTCGTTCTCACCCGGGAAGATGGGGTAGCCGGTGAACAACTCGGCCAGGATACATCCAAGACTCCACATGTCGATAGGCATACCATAGGACATTCCAAGAATAACCTCCGGAGACCGGTAGAATCGACTCTGGATATATGTATAGACCTTCTCGTTCTCAAAGCAGCTTGAGCCAAAATCAATCACTCGAATCTCGGAGTTCAGAGGATGAACGAGAAGGATGTTCTCTGGCTTCAAATCACAATGGATGACCTTCTTGGCGTGCAGCAATACCAAACTGCTGAGCATCTGCTTGGTGAACCGCCGGAGAAGCTTCAGATTAAACCCACGGAAGTCATGCGCCTTGATGAATTCGTAAAGGTTCATGCCAAGAAGCTCGGTGGAGATACAGAGATGGCCGCGGAAGTAGAAACTCTGTACAAAGTTGACCACGCTGTGGCGGCGGTCGGGATCCCATTCCTTGAGTTTGGTAAGGAGATTGACTTCAATCAAAGCCTGTTGGTGGAAACGCTTCTTGTTACGAATGATCTTGATTGCGACCAAAGCACCTGTCTTGTGGTCGACACATCGTACAACCTGTCCAAAACTTCCCTTACCAAGGACGTCCACCACTTCGTAGCGGTATGCTAGATGGTCACCCATCACGATGTTATAATCGCCACGATCGTCATCGTATCCAAAGTTTGCCGCACCCGAATGAAGATCTCCAATATGCTTCTTCGCGTTCTGAGTGCCACAGAAGAAAATATCCCGATAATCAATGATTTCGCCGCGTTCGAAAATGTTCAGATTGGCCATCTTGAGGGCCTGAGCAGGACTGACACGGTCCTTTGGTCCAGCCTTGCGACGCAACTCGTCCAATTCCTTGGCTGCTTTTTCGAAATCTCTCCGCTTAGATCCAAGTCTTCGCATTTCCTCGTCAGCGATTACGATATCTGCATCGCCATTTGAATCAACGGCGGATGAAGAAGCCGCGGCGCTAGACCGAGCAGAGCTGATGATCTTGTGAACTGGAGAGACAAAGCTGCCATGAGAGCGATGGGATTGATCGCTGGCATGCGATTCATGAGATCGGCTTGGCTCCAGAGTAAGACTTCGGTCACTGCTGACGCTGGGTTTACGATTACCCGCTTGTTTCGTGATGCTAGATACCGAGGATTGTCGACGGGGCTTGAGATAAGATGTCTTCAGGCTGGGACTAGTGGATGGTACAGACGAAAGATTGTTCCATGTTGCAGATGCCGGGAGCTTGGGTGGTGGCATGTTGTCATACTTGGACGGATCAGTGTCAACTTCGGACTGTTTGCTCCTGGAACTGCTGCGCACCCGGGCTATGTTCAATCGATCTCGAAGAGAAGGATGGGGAACAGCAGAGGTTACGTTCTCCGGCTCTGACGGAGTCGAGATCTGATTGAAGCGTTCAGCAGCCGGAGTGAAGATGGCACTCTGCGTTTGAGGTCGTGGACCTGTCAACTTGTATGACTGGGATCCTTGGCTGGTATAATCTCCACTAGCCTGGTGGCGGAGAGCCTTGTAATCAGGGCCGCTCTTCGGGAGCGTATAGGATGCATATGGGGATATATTACGATTTCCATTCGGCGTATCCGTCGGCCCAAATGCACTGGTGCTGCTAGATGTCCGCAAAGCTGCTGTAGTAGAGCTCAGAGCAAAATGAGAAGTGCTACTGCGGATTTGAGTGGAAGGTGCCTTTTCATCCTCGTCACGATACCAAAAGTTTGCCTTTGATGCCGTCATTGGGGTGGTTGGAGTCTTGGACATGATCTGAGCGGACGGCGTATGAGCCTTCCGCTCCTCGGCTTCCCTGTCCTTCAATGCCTCGATCTTCGCCGTCATGGGCGTACCCAGAGGCAATAAATTCAAAGGAGGTAATTTCAGCGGTTGCAGGCCCTTGCGACCAAGCACTGTAGAAGTTCGTGTCCGTGCCTCTGGGGTCTTCGTGGGCCTTCCGACAGGGGGCTCGACATTCTCGTCGCCGGTGGCATTCTGCGCACTATTTGCTTCCGAGTCGGATTCACGCGCAATATGGAGAAGACCAATATCCGATGATAAGCTAGACTTACGAGGGGCAGGGAATGCAGGTGCATCCAGCTCACCCTTTGGTGATTCGTAGGCCTTGGGAATGGCGGGAACCGGTGGTACTTCTTCCTCGGTATTATTCGTCGATTGCTCAGTGCGAGGTTTGGGTGTCGGCAAGCGGGAGGTGGAGAAATTCTGAGAAAGTCGAGGCTGAAGCGAGCTTCCAGAGTTGCGAACCGAGTTATAGCTAGTGTTTGATGAAACCGACAACCCGGAACTATAGGATTTGCGATTCGGGTCCGGAGTTGTTCGGTTAGAAGAGGGGGTGACACTTTTCCTCGGCAGAAAAGAGGGAGATTGTGTTGATGATACAGGTCGGTAGGGAAGAGGTTCTGTTGGGGCCGGAGGTGTGTGTGGCATAGGAGGTGCAGGAGGCGCAATCGACATACGCTTCATCCGTCGAGCATCGGTGGGACTGATTGTGCGAGCCCCCAGACCAGTGGCATGGGGCATCATCGAGGCACGCTTCGAAGACGATGAAGGTGTCGTCGCTAATGCCTCCGACGGTTCTCTTTGCGGCGTGCGAACAGCATTCGTGGATGAGGACCGTGCATGGTCGGAAGTAGCAGAAGCAGTTAGGTAGGTCCCCTGTGGCTCGCGAGGAGCAGGTTGGAAGGACTTTGCCTTGAGGTTCCGGGCGGATGAAGAAACCTTGGATTCATCGGGAACCGGCTCTGTTTGGGGCATCCGTGGTCGGAGGAAACTATTCGAGTCGGTCCTTGTTGGCTGGTCGGTGATAATTTTGCGGGCACTTAGACTAGCACGTCGAGCGGAGGCATTGGTAGGAGCGAATGCCCCTGAGCTGATAGACTTGCGTGAACCTCGCGTGGCCGCGCTGGGCTGAGCTGAGACTTTGACGGCGAGCCCGAGTATTAACAGTGGACGTTGACAGCCCGGTCGGTGGTGCTTGCTGGGTTCCATTGAACCGCGATACCTCGCTCTTCCGGCGGGCTGAAGCACCCCTCGTGCGCTCCGAGACGCTACCATCATAGCTGTGGTTTGTCCATGAGCTGTTCGTGGACAAATTCGAATTGCGATTTTCAGCCCCCGCACCACGGGAACCAGGCATAGGGAAATTGTTTAAGCTGGGTTCCCCCATGATGCTGTTGTGGAAGTCGTCGAAGTTGATCGGCGCCAAAAATTCCATGTTTTCTGGAGGGGTCTGGTTGGCCTCCTTTGCCAAATTTCCCACACTGGTGGATCTAAGATTATAAGCCTTGGCCGATTCATTTGTCGAGTCGATTGAGGAGTGATCAGAATGAAAGTAGGGACCGGTCGGTTTACTGTATGCCATGATGGTTAGATATCTGAACAGGATCCCTCCGACCTGGGCGACCGCGAGGTAAAAGGTCGCGAAACAGGGGGGGGAAGGAGTGAGGAGATAAAAAAGACTTACCTCCAGCGTGAAGAATCTTGCGGCCGGGGCCCCTGAGGAGGTTTTTGATCTCTAATAGACAGTCTCCTCCGACCCATACCCCCTGAGCGCGGTCCCGCAGCAGTCCGCACGGACTGGGCATCGAGGTTATTCGAGGTATTCATGTTAATCGTCGAGGCGGCTTTCTGGAGGCGTCGGCGGGCAGGAGTTTCAGCTGTTGGGCAAATGTTAGATCCACGATGATATGCCTTTCCGGTAAATCCTATTTGCTTACCTCCAGAGCCGGAGTCGTCGTTTCTAGACGGATCCGACATCCGCGATTGGGGAGCCCCCGGTTGACCCCTCCCCGGCGCCTGCGACAACGACTTGGCCGGCATTGTTCCAAGTCACGAGTGGCAGCAGGACGATAGCCTGGTCAGATCGACCACCGGCGTGGTTGGTGAGACCGACAAATGTCAGGGTTCGCGTGCAATGGCATTCAGGAGAAAGCGGGCTGCTTTGTGAAGATCAAAATAGGGAACAGCCCGAAGCACGATCGCGCGACTGGTCGAATAACGGCTACCGGTCCATTTCGGAGGCGAAACGGGAAATGGCAGTCGATAATGCCAGGGTGACTGGGGGTGGGATTGTTGAAGAGAGGAAAGCTTGGAGGTTTATGTTTTTTTTTTTTGCTGGAAAATAGTTTGGCAGCTTGAGGGGGGGAAGAGATGTTGCTAGGGCAAGTGCACACCAAGGCGGTCGACACGAAGGAATATAAAAGGGTCCACCAACAACAAAGCCACAAAGGGGAGTGGAAAAGAAAAGTAAATGGATGTTCGAGATGTAGTAGGTAGTAGTAGTGTTGACTTTGTTGAGGGTACTACTCCGTACTTTGTGCTGATAGTCGTAGAGTACTAGTTCGTAGTAGAAGTGTCAGTGTCAGTACAAGGTTCCCCCCCTGACTCGAGCTTGTCTGTACAACATGGTACAGCATGGTACAATACCATACCAAAATGACCCACCTTAAGGTGTCGATCTGACAATACGCGGTACGAGTACACCCCAGATCGCATGTGCCTGCTTTGCTCGTGCCCGAGGTTGACTTTGACTTCCTTGCTTCTTCATCTCCGTTATTGTCGTTGTTGTACCGTTGTACTGCTGTACCATCTGATCCTGTTGTACTGCTGATATTGCCGCCCAGCATGGAAGAAGACGCTCAAGTCCTGGCAAATCGTGACGAACCTGTCCCCGTACTGTCCATCTCGAAGCCAAGGCCACAGCGTGATGGATCGCCCGATAGCGCCCACTCGAGATCATCCTCGCAGTCGAAGAACTCGATTCAAGATAGATTGTTCGCCAAGTAGGTTTTACTTTTCTGGGATTGCTTTCTGCTTTTGTTTTATACAAAGAAGAGATTCCAAGGTTGCTGATCGATGAACAGATTGCTGCAACAGGTCATCCCAAAGGACGATGGCGAAGATGAAGCAAACGCCGGGAATCTGCCGTTTGCAACATCTCCCAAACGGCCAGGATTCAGTCTGCCGTTAATGTCAAACAATTTCCGCCGCTTCAACGCACGGTCAGTATGCGAACGGGAGGGGAAGGGAGGGAAGAGATATCGCTTTACCAAGACATTCACTGACGGAGGTATATAGCATCGGAGTAGTTTTTCTATTCCAGAATCGCGTGGAGCGTGTGTTGAGCTGGAAAACCCCAACTCACACCATATCTTTCCTATTTGCTTACTCCTTCATCTGTCTTGATCCCCATCTACTAATCGCCCTACCTCTGGTGGTCCTACTACTATTCATTATGGTCCCGGCCTTCATTACTCGCCACCCTCCTCCACCCTCGACCTCTACCTCAAGCACGACCCCCTACTACTCCTATGAAGGGCCAGCCCTAGCCCCTGCTACAACTATTAAACCTGCCCCGGAGACCTCCAAGGACTTCTTTCGCAACATGCGGGACTTGCAAAATGTCATGGCCGATTTCTCAGACGTCCATGATGCAACCATCTCCGCATTTGCTCCGCTCACTAACTTTGCCAACGAGAAGCTTTCCTCTACAGTCTTTCTAATCGGAACAGTGGCTGCCGCGGGGCTCTTCATGACCGCGCACCTATTACCATTGAGACTGATCATGCTGGCTGGTGGCAATGCAGCAGTCCTGGCAAACAACCCCAAAGTTCGACTCTTTTGCCAAGGATTAATGGAAGATGTTGGAAATGGGTTAGATGATCTAGATCTTCCTCTCCCAGAAGGTGGGAGTAATCAGGACTTCCTCGGGGCTGTAGTCCCGTCATCACCATCTGCCGCCATGTCGACCATTGAGCAGTTGGTGGATATTTCAGTCGACACCGACCCGGAGGAACGGGAGGTAGAGATATTCGAGGTACAGCATCGTGCTCCAGGGACGTCGCAGTCTGGCTGGGAGAATTTCCTGTTCAGCCCCCAACCCTATGACCCGCTGTCCCCATCTCGAATTGCCGGTGACCGACCTCGGGGATGTCGATTTTTCGACGACGTTCGATCTCCCCCTGGTTGGAAGTGGAAGAGCAAGAAATGGGAACTTGATCTTGATTGTCGCGAGTGGGTGGTCGAACGCATGATCACAGGGGTCGGATTTGAGGTCCCTGGAGTGACTGCAGAAGGCAGGGCGGTCATTGATGAAGTGGGAGGTTGGGTCTGGGATCTTCCAACCGAGTCCTCGGCACCTAATGAAGAGAAGGATATGACTACAATGGCTTATGGAGATCTGGATATGGACTTGCAGTCGCATCATCAACCGCAGACTAAGGTTCCAGCTGGAGATTGGGAAGAGGCGGCAGCTGCTTCTTACGGAGTAGGTGAATGGCGACGCAGGCGATGGGTGCGAGTCGTTCAACGCATGAACAATATTCAACCAGGGGGCACCGTCACATATTCGACGCTTGGTCATAACTGAATAATTGATGAAGAGTCATGATATCAATATCCTATTTGTATATATCCTAGTCTATACCCGGTTGACAATTCAAACCACTATACATAGTTCAAGAGAGTCCTCTCAGAGATGCAGATGTATTCCCAAAGAGAAGAAAATAGACGAGATTAAAACGCCGTATCGCCCGAACCGAATGCCAAAAACACAAAGTCCTTTTTCCAATCCTCACAAACTCTCTTTTTTTTCATGTCTGTGCCTTCTTGCACTTATTAACCCGTCTCCGTAGATCACCCACACTTTGCTGCATGGGGTTCAACTTGCGGTCACGCGCCATGGCCGCAAAGTCATCACCATACTTCTCAACCAAGCGAAGCACCCACTCCTCTTCCCGCGTACTCTGATGCCTCGGCTTCTTCGCCTTGACACCTTGACCCTCCGCATCCGCCTGGCGCTCGAGTTGCCGGACAATAGCGGAGCCAGAGGCAGAATGCAGGATCTCCTCGTTGTCAGAGAGGTCATTGAGAGGATCATTGAGCGGGTTCGAGGCCTTGAGCTTGCGACCGCCTACCTCCATCTCGTCCTCTGGGCGGATCACACGCAGGATGGCGCCAGTCTCCGGATCGCGCTCGACCTTTGTCTCGACAACATCGATTTGCACGTTCTTGCCGCTGTCGCCGATGTGTAGCGAGTTCGGGGTCTCGTTAGGATCCATCTTGCTGGGCAGACGTTCGCGACCACCAGTTGGGGCGTTAAGTTTGTGCATGAGACCCAGGTTCTTGTAGTTTTGAGTCAGGGTCAGGCCCTTGTCCCTGCGAAGTGATTGGAATTAGTCCCTGCATTTGCGCATGAATTGGGTATATCTTGAGGGAAGTTCTGCGTACCAGTTGTCGGCGATGATAGCGTTGCCCAGCATGTTGATTTTGCGATTGCCACTCTTGCGACGGTTGTCCTTAGGCCGGGCCTTGGACAAGCCGGACCGGTTCTTCTTTTTCTGTAGGATTTTTCCCATTGTGACTGGTTATGCTGTTATGCTGTGGTTTCGTAAGAGTCCAAGGATTCGGTCGATGCAAATAATTTATCGGCGTTATCGAAACTTTTTGGTCGGCAAACATGCCAAGACCATATGCAAACATGTACTAGTTGCATGCCTGTACAGGGGACACACCCTCAATCTTTATGCTTGTTCATTGTGTAATAGTGATGATTTTTTCTTTATATTCATGTTTCAGTATATAGATTTTAGATTGCCTCTGAGCGATGAAAAGACTAATGGGATCTCGTACAGAGTGTAAACTTATCACCTATACTAGGTATGACCTGAGGCAGTCTTTGTAAGAACGACCTGAGAGGGGTATATGCGTCAAGTATTTATACAAAAGCAACCTGATACTGTCAGAGAAAAGAAGGGAAGAAAGACAATACAAAGAGACGTGTTATATGCCTGGACGACTGGTAGCTGCCAGTAGGCTTGGCAGGGTCCAGGATGGTCCGAGCCGGCGATAAGCTGCCCGCTTAATGGGAAGTGCCCGCCCCCAACTCCGAGAACTGCGGCTTGTTGTTGTCCTCCTTCCTACACCCTTCTCCAATGGCTTCACGATTATTCCCCTCGCGCCGCACGGGTCTTGCACTCGCTGCAGGCTGCTTCCTGTTCTCCGCATTGGCTGCTGCCAATGTTCGCCCTGGAGATCTGTCTGTCAGCCAGATTGAAGAGCAATTGCAGGTATGACTTGCGAGCTGAATGAAAAGTCGCCGGGAGTGGCTTCTTCTCAACCAACTACAGCGTGGCTAATTGCTCTAGAATTGCCCTCTTGTGGAATCTCTCAATGAACACAAACGAGCTACCACCCCGGAAACCGCCAGTCTCATGTCGAGAATCTTCGCCGTCCTCTTTCCATCTACCCCGGCTGTGAACTCCCTCCTCGCGACCTTGTATATCTCCGGCCCACCTAGTACGTCCTGCATCAAATATTGCTACAGAGAAACCTCTAAAAGAAACCCAATACTCATCGCTTCTTGCCAGACTTCCTCCTGGCACTATGCCCTCCCAACATCGACCCTTCCTCTCTATCAGTCATGGTTGCCTTCGCTGTGGGAGGTCTCCTAGGTGACACACTTTTCCACCTGCTGCCAGAGATCTTCCTTGGCGAGGACTCCCCAGACCACGTCAGTTTTGTCATGGTCGAGCCGAACAAGAATCTCCTCCTGGGACTGGGCATCATGGTCGGCTTCTTCACTTTCGTAGCAATGGACAAGGCCCTGCGCATCGCAACCGGCGGCCAAGGCCACGACCACTCACACGGGCACACTCACGAGGACTCCACCACCGCTTCATCTACCGGCGCCAGCACCAATGGCCAATCGGGTGAACTGAAGCAGCGCAAATCAACCAAATCAGCCCAGGATGAGTCCAAGGACGAGACTGCCGAAAAGGAAATCAACCCCAGCGTCAAGATGGCCGGATACCTCAATCTTATTGCGGATTTCACGCACAACATCACCGACGGCCTGGCTCTCTCATCATCCTTCTATGCCTCCCCCACTATTGGTGCAACCACCACCGTTGCCGTCTTCTTCCACGAAATTCCGCATGAGGTCGGTGACTTTGCTCTGCTGGTGCAGTCGGGATTCTCGAAGCGCAAGGCCATGGGTGCGCAGTTTGTCACGGCTGTCGGGGCTTTCTTGGGTACTCTAAATTGGAATTGCGGTCCAGGAGTTTGGCGGACACGGCGATGTACTTGAAGATAGCACCGTCTCTGGTCTCTGGGGAACTAGTCTGTCCTGGGGTGATATGCTTTTGCCTTTTACTGCGGGTACCTTCCTGTACGTCGGTACAGTGGCAGTTATCCCCGAGTTGTTGGAGACGGGCAAGGACAAGGGGGCCGAGATTCGGAAGACTCTTACCCAGTTTTTGGCCGTTGCTGTTGGAGCAGGAATTATGCTTGCGTAAGTCGTCCCGTCCCGTCCCTAATATCTATGATATTTGAAACCTACTAACTCTTTGCCACCTAGAATCTCTTGGGATTAGACTTGCTTTGCTAAAGCATAGCAGCGACAACCCTCTTCCTCCCTGCCATTCCGCATCAGCGTGATCTCAGAGATAATGATGAGAGGATTATCTTAATTTCTAGTGAATAGAATTTAGTTAAAAACCTAGTGGTGTCGACAATTTACAGTTTTGCAGAAAGCATCCGCTGCTGACATCCCCTCCGTGTATTGAGTTCCCAAGGAATAGATAGATGGCACGCCCGACTCAAACAAAAATAACAATGCCTTCGCACGAACAAGAATGAAAGAAAACAACCTGATTGTCCTTGGGATGCCCAAGAGAAAGACGAAGATAGATACCGAAAATGATCCCAGGGGCCTAATTTGGCCTATGTAAACAAAAACGCCGACACATGTTGATGAAAATGCATTCCCTCACAACAGGAACAGATAGGATGCAGACCGCTGCGCTCAACGCGCGATGCATACATTCATACATTCTAGCTACAGGTGGTGGGATTGACCCATTCACTCGTTATAATGATAAATCTAAAAAAAAGGGGGGAAATATTAGCAAAGTCAGATACAATCTAAGCGAATTCCTCAAAAGGTGATATTAACGACTTACGAGGTAATCCGGCAGACCAAAGACCTCGTACCCCAACCGACGAGCCATCTTGGCAAACCCCTCCGTTTCAACGAGGTGGAAGAACGGGAAGGCAGGGAACATGGCGCCGTCGCGGTGGACATCAGCTTTGACCATCAAGGCAGTACCACCGACTCCATCGAGGGCGAGGAGACGTCTAGGGTCAAGGGCCTTGAGGTCGGCCAGGTAGGCCATTAGCGTGCGGTAGGTGGGCAGCTCATGGTATCCCTCTAGTAGGATATCGTCTGGGCCCATTTGCTTGGCGAGTTCCTGGGCCTGCTCGCTGTCTATCCAGGAGTTAAAGTCGTATGGGCGGATATCCCATTTGCGAGACTGAGTATCGTAGTACCGCTGGAAGCAGTTTGGGACAATAACGGGTTGGTTGTGGCTTGTTAGATCCTGAATTAACGAGGTCGGTGTTTCGACGATGTCGGCATCTAACCAGAGGACCCACGAAGTGCTGGGACCTAGGGTAGTGAAGACGAGGCTGTTCCGGGCGCGGCTCATTGACTCGCGACGCTCTTTCTGGGCAGAGAGTTTGTGCCGGACTTTTTCGTCTTGGGAGGTGAGGGGTGGATCGAAGTCTTGACGGAGGATGGAGATGCTTGCGAAGCGATTGTCGATGGGACCATTTTGGGTCTTCGAGATGGCCTTCTCCAGGGCAGCAATTGCGGCATTTCCGGCATTTGTTTTGGGTGCGATGAAGCCGAGGGAAATGAGCTCATGTGGGTAGCTCAGTTTCTCCAGGTTGTCCCAATACTGTTGGTAGAAGCGGGCGAGTGGGGTGAGGATGAGGATGCGCTCGCCGTTGGCGATGGAGTCACTTGTGCTGGTGAGGTTGTTGAGATTGTAATGCACCACGGGCGGGGGAGCTTGGATGCCATTGCTGCGGTAGGATTGCGATTTGAGGAAGGGTTGTGTGGGTGGGGAGAGATGATGCTCGGCGGCGTTTTGTTGGCGTTGACGCGATGAGGCCGCCTCGGCGGGTGTGGAGGGAGCAGAAGGGGTTGAAGGACTGAGTATGAAACAGATGAAGCCGAAGGCAAGCAGTGCAGCCAGAAGCAGGCTAATGGGGCTCGTACGTCGCATCGAGCGTGCGACGGCCATGGCCGTTCCCTTTTCCTGTGGATTGTTTGACCAGGTTAAAGTTGATGCGAGTTCTTGGCTGATGCCAACGTCGCACTTGTTGTCGATCAGCCGTGCCTCAGGCAAGCCAGAGGGTCCAGACCGTCAGACCGTGAGAGGTGAGATGGTGAGACCTGCTCTTCAGAGAAGACCAAAAAGTTGAAACCAAATAGAAACCTGCATGTCTATACCACTGGGAAAGGGAAAAGAGAAGAGGAGAAGAAAAGTCAAGACTCTCGAAATTGAAACTGCCCGTCGCTCTCCGGAAGGAGGATGCCTCCGTACTAAACTACTCCACCCCCCACTCCTCCTAATCTACTACTACTTCTCTACTAGCCAATTAGCCAACCATTGACGAATCATCATCACGGAAACATCCTGAGCCACGCGCTGGCCCAATGACAGCTGGTAGCTGCGAATCGGAGACAATCCCTCTGTTCTGGCGGAATCCCCAAAACAGCTTGCCGGAGGCCGACGGTGGCCGAACGCGGCCAGAAGATCAACATTCCATCTGTGCCGCCACATATTTCAGTTATTAGATCAGATTGTCGACCAATGGCGAATTCAATTGCTATCATATGTGATAAAGTAGCTAATTGAGTGCCGAGGTGGTCATTTTAGCAGCAAACTCGACAGTTACTGTCTTATACTGAATCTTTACTACGTAGTAGTATCCCACCCACAACACCTATATTATACTACTAGTTAGCATATGTAGGCCAAGGAATTTGTTGAACCCACACATTCTCAAGACCATGCATTAGGCAAAACAATCCGCTAGCAAAATGAGTCTAGTCTCTACTTTTCATGATCGCTTCTAGGTATGTACATAGTATACAAATCAGAAATTCATCCGCATCACTCCCTCAAATGCCACCAAGGCCATCGCATTCGCCGGGAATGCTCTGAGGAAGCAGGGTACAAATCCGCGCCAGTATCCTCGCCAGCCACGCTCCTGGAAGACAGTCCGTGCTGCGTCCTTCCAGCCTCGGAACTGCCTCGGTCCGTCATTAAGTTTGCCGCCCATCGGGTCAACCATGAGTCGTTGTTTCACCACGTCCGAGGGGTACGAGGTGAGCCAGAAAATCTGGGCGGAGATTCCGCCTGCCCAGAAGTTTATTAGGGGCGCGGACATGTTGGTGTTTTGTTTCATGTAGCGTGTGAGAACGTCGTATGAGCCCCACCAAAAGAAGAAAAAGGATCGGAATAGGATGGTTGCAAAGAGTCCGCGGTAAACGCCGCGAATGCCATGTGTGCTAAGCTGTCTCTTCGTTAGCTGGCTGTTTGTAGGATATAGGATACCACGTCGGAGTCCTCGTTTCTTTCACATACAATCTTGCGGAGACAGTCAATCGGGCCGCTATACATGCGCTTGGTCTTGTCCGCGGCGTACTGAACTTGAAGCCGGGCCTTGATGTGTTCGACGGGCGCAGCGATAAAAGAGACGGTTGTGCCGGCCATGATACCCGCAATACCGTGACCAAAGGATGGGAGGGTCTTCAGATCAGGTTGGCTGCGGCAGAATGGGATATAAGAGCGTAAATGAGATTGAGAAAAGACGTTCTCGAGCAGTAGCCGCCGGTAGAGCGTCAATGAGCCAAGCATGCTGTTCTCTCGGCGTTAGTTCCTGCTCAAAGCTGCAGCTCACTCATCGGCCCCCAGGAATACTCACACGGAGTCCATGACCATCCATCCGACCAGCGGCGGGGTAGCACCCTTGTAAAAGCCTCTCACACCTTCTTTCCGCACTGTCTGTAGTGTGCAATCCAATGGTCCCTTGAAATGTCCATCTTTGCTGGTCTGAAGGCGGACCTTGACGGTATCGAATCTACCGCGTATGCCGTCAGTTATTGTAGATTTGTTATGGGTCGGTAGGAGCAGGGGGGGCTGGAATAGAACATACGGATGGCCAACTGGAGGTAGCCATTTGTTAGCGGAATGCAAACAACAATTGGGAAAGGGTAATTGGCTCGAAATCAGAGCGGCGCAGTATAGGGTTCGAGGATCAACTTACCACTCAGCTTTGTAATTCCGGAAAACACACCCGCCACGAAACCCTTGTAGTCCTTCTTACTCGTCACAGCGGGCGCAGATGTAGGTGAGTCCTGCACGGGCGCCTGCGCCGATGACATTTTGGATCAAGATTGAAAAGAGTGATGCGTCAGCGGCGCCTTGATCCGATTTAGCGTGGAGCGCGTGCGACGGGGTAGGGTCCGTATCTAACGACGATTCCAACGATCGCGGGGAATGAGAGAGGTGTTGGGAGTGTTGACGGATATTCCGGGGACGTAATTCTGGGGAATCCGGAGCAATTGGGGAGGAGAGGAGGGAGAGTTGAACTGCTTCTTCAAATTAAGCCCTGAAGGGCCCCGCATCGTTCCTCCGGGGAGCGAGGACTGACCTCCGGGATCCGCTTTCAATGCCTCAGGTGTCGATTTTGGTGGCGTTCGACTAGGAACTATACAAAAAAGTATATTCCTGAATCGGCCAAGGTTGGGGGGTTGCTCATTTTCGAAGTCGTACACTCGGCTCATTGCTCGCTTTTGCTGCTGGTGGGTTTCAAAGAGAGAGGGGATGGACTCACCGAAGCCGGGGATGGGTAGTATGTGCAAGTAGTGCTGGGGGGACCTACGGCCTAGAGTCTAGAGTGTACTAATGGCGCAGTGTCAGAGGGGGTAGGAGAGTGTAGGGGTGGGAAAGGCCAAGGTAGGAAAGAAGTGAGCTATTGCCGGTTATTAGTATAATTATCAGGCGAGCTTGCATCCCCAGCAGCTTGAGCGAGCAATGAGCATAGAGTGAGGTTGAGCAGAATCTTGTGGGTCAATGTTAGTTGAAGTGGAAATAGGAGAAAGAAGAAGAATTCGAGGAGGAGGAAGAGGAGGAGGAGGAGGAAAAGGAGGAGGAAGAGGAAACACTGATGATATAAAAGACTCGCGCATAAAAGAAAGCGGATGGAGATATGGATGGAGATGGGGAGAATGAAGGCAAGGAGAAGAAGAGTCTGGGGAGTAAGTCGGAAGGGAAGAAGGGAAGAAAGGAAGAAGGGCTCATTGATATACTGAGAGTCCGCGGGTGCTTGCCTGACGAGCCGCATCCTAAACTGGCTCGCTCTTTCCAGGCCAACCAGGGAAAGGCAACATATTAAATGACTAGACCCATTTGGGATATTGAAACCATGGGAGCGGAGTAGCTTATACAGTACTAGTAGCTTTGAAGTTTGCACACGACAACCTTGGAATATCGTAGGGCTAGCAGATCTTCTCGATTATGTCGATACTAGTATCACTTTTGTTCAACATCAGTCTCACCATCCGTTTGTCGCAAGAACGATTAGTTGGGCCCAATTTCTCTTATCGCCGAGGCATTTATAAATGTGAGCTGACTGCTTGGGCTGTAACAAGAGAACGATGAATTAAGGTTTGTAGGGGAAATGTCCGGCGGCTACGTCTGGCGCCGATGGCTGTACACTTCATCATGCATGATACTAACCTGGGAAGGTTGACACCCGGTCCCAATTGGTCAGAGAAAGCCAATTGACGCCACCGTCCACTATACCCAGAATTCCAGTGCCAGATCTCCATTATAGTAATCGTGGGATGCATTTGAGTGAATATATCCAATGCGCTCTGGTACGAACGTGGTTTTCGTCCGGTCCAAGCCAAACCCCGGATGGTGGATGACTAGAGCAATTCAGGGGTCGGAACCATAGGAATTCAAGTTCCAACCGCAAGTACAAGACCCTTTATGGGAGAAAGAAAGACTACCGATAGATAAATATGTAATGATCAGGCCGGTTTGGACGGTATATGGTTTATGAGTCTCCATTTGTGGAACTCGGGGTATTATAGATACATGAATCGTGATGCAGAAGGAACATAAGATCTGGGGCAAATAGGGGTGTGTACTGTTCAACCGTGCCAAGGAAAAAAACCCCAGGCAAGGCAATGCCAACCTGGTATCTGTTTTTGAAGATGGTATGACCAAATTCCGAGCCAGCAAGGGATTGGGAAGATGAAACGCATGGAAATGACCAAAAGAACACCAATATCTGATGCAGTAGCAGTAGCTGCAGCGGGTTCACGCGGAAGGAATCTTGTGAAGCATAGGGACAGAAGATAAACTAGTGAGGAATGCTAGCCACAGGCTAGTTATCACCGACTGAAGGCCGCCTTGCGCGTACGAGCCTTCTCATTCTCGCGGGCGATCAATTTATCGATCATATCCGGTGTAGGTCCTGACTGCGGCTTTGAGTTCTCACGAGGGGTGCGGTGGTCCGCCGCACTGGAGGTCCCGGCTGCCAGATAGTCATTGCCTTCCAGGGCCAAGGGCGTGACGGGACCCGGGCTGAGGAGAGGATCAAGACGGGGAGCCTCCGGGCTCTGGTGGGAACCGTCGAGAAGGTCACGATATTGCCATGTCATATCGCGGGAACTTGACGAGGGCCGGTAGTTGTGTTGCCGCGTTTGTCGTGGGGATGGAGGTTGGCCAGCAGCGCTGTGACCGGAAGGAGTAGACTGATAGACAGCGGGGTGGAAGCGAGGCAAGTTGCCGATATGAAAGCCTGGCATGGACTTGGCGGAGTTTTGAGTACGAGAGCGCGAGGGTTGCGGGGAACTGGGACGTCTTGGAGACATGACAGGGGAACCGGCTGGTGAGACGAAGGGCGAATGGTCGGAGCGCATTCTTGGATATCGGGAACGATAACCTGTTCGGGAAGTCGCGAGGTGCCTGGACTTTGCCGATGATGAGGCACGCTCCCAGTCTTCAAAGTAGGAGTGTTTATCGAAACGGCCGGTAAGCGGGGTGACGGGAAGATCGTCCTCGTAGAGTGAACCGCGGCGGCGGGGGATTTGAATGGGACGAGTTGACGAAGAAGAGAGAGATAGAGACTCAAAGGCGTCGGTAGGAGGATCCGAGCGCCGGGAGTAGTGCGGACGGTAACGACGAGGGCGTGGGGAAGGCGAAAGAGAGGGGGAAGGTGGGTTATAAGTGGATGAAGTGGCCGTCAGGTCTCGCAAGGAGGAGAGAGAGACGGGGGTGGGGTATCCGTGCTTGAGGAATAAACTCTCAAGATGATCGCGCGGTCGATATGGCAGCGAACGAGGAGAAGCAGAGGAGAGGCCTAAGATGCAGGCGATCAGATATGGAATGAAACCGAGAATGTCACACGTGTCGAGCGGAGACGAGCGGAGACAAGCGGAGAATGTTGGAATTGTGGTGTGTTGGTGTTGGATAAAATAGTAACAAGGGTGAAGAAGAGAAGAAGTCAACTTACTGCCGTGAGAAGTGAGAGAAGAGGGGTAAGAATCGGAAGAGGATTGCGAAGAGGAAGAAGGACGGGAGTATTTTACTTGTTTTCGTCGCATCTGCAAGGTAAGCCATGAATATGTTAGTGCGTCGCTCTTTCCTCAAATTACTGTGGCTTCCTAATCCGGGGGCCGCCTTGTATCTTGGGCCCGCATGTCGTCATTGGCTCCACACACTCTTTTCTTTCCGTCCACACACCACCACTCACCCTCACTACTACTCACACCTCCCTCTGTCCCTTTTTTGCTCTTCCGCCGTACACGCGCCAATGGATATCCTCCGGGGTTTATTCGCTTGACTCACTTTGAATCCAGTCTCATTCCTCCCTCCCGAGACGGTGCGGTTGGTGGCATTCAGCCAGTAACTTCCGTCCTTCCGTTTATTCCGTGATTCTGTTCTAGACCACTTTGCAAACCTGGGTTTTCAACTGTGGGGCACCAAGGCGCAAATCGCAAATCGAGTACCTCGCTAGTCTGCGGGCCGTCGCGACAGGATTGGGGATTGATCTGTAATGTCGTGCTGATACGGGTCACTCTGGAGACAGTCGGGAAGCGAACCGAGAAAAAGAAAAGAAAAAGATGCACTCTCTTCCTTCTTCTATCATCAAACAGCAGGAGAGAGAAAGAAGGAGAGACACAGGGACAGAGAAAGATGAGTCTTCTTTTAAATGAACTATCTGCCAGGCACCGGTGAAACCCCCTTTGCCCAGGTACACCACCATTTCTCCACGCGGCACCGCCGGATGACCTGAGATACTGTATCTACACTTCTTTCCAAGGCACAGCGACACATTGGAGAGTGATATCCCCCCATCACTTTACAATTCCGATCATGCACCGTCCCGATCGAGCTGCAGTGGCTGGCCCCAACTGGGCAAAGGAGGGCGGTGATCCAAACATCAGGCGCGGTTGATCGCCCGGGGTCATGCGTGAAGACGACCATCCCCGGTCATCCCGCAAAGTGATTCGCACGCGTCCGCGTCCTTCGTGGCTGACATCCCGGGCACTAGCGACTGCGCCAACGACCGTTCGGTGCCCGCTAGTCTTGGTCAGTGCTCCATAGAGGGGGATCGATCGCTCATGGTTGTAGTATCCAGCCAACCACTATCCGTCCTCCCCTTCAACCTCTCCGATCAGCCGACACCTATCACCTCGCGAGGAGGGAGGAAACCGCGCACGCTGACTGGCTGTGATCCATATCGCATGTCACCTCTTCTTTACTACTTTACTACTTTACTACTTTACTACTCTAATTCCTTTTTTTTTTTGCTTTTTGCTATTTCCGGTAATTTACTTCTTTCAGGACCCGTGAGTGTGGGTGTCTCGGATAGGCGATGAGTGAGTGACTCGCCGTGATGGTGGCTCTGTTTACTACCCCCACCACCCTCAAAGAAAGAGCTATGAGTCAGGAGGCGTTCAATGCACAGGGTGGAGGCAAGCTGGATTTCTTCAGGGCTAGCTCGAACTGCAAGACTGGATCGATCTGGCATCTAGTCTGGCTGACAGACGGGGACTTGCAGCACCAAGTAACGATCGGCGTTGATTTATCCGAAGGCTGCTTCCCCCTGATACTTGATGACGGAGCGAGCTGAGAAAAACAGAGTTTCCAAATGCAACTCTCCGGGAAGGAATGTAGTCTCAGCCCTCCTTGAGTCGCTGCCAGATGGGAGGCCAGTATTAGGGCTGCCACTGAGATACATACAGAGTAGCAGTTGTCGAAAAGACGGTGGCTCAACGCAGGTTAGATCGGTGTAGCCTTGCTGATGATGCCCCTGCATGACCTCCAGCCCTAATGCATGCCAAATAGTCTCTCCTGGAGTGAAGGGCCGACAGAACAAAAAGAGAAACAAAACCAGGAAGTAGTTAAACGACGAGCCTATCGTCTGAAATGTCTTGGGCGTATTATATGCTGGTTGGCGATCCCGTGAGATGCTCATTCCACGAACCCACACCATCAAACTTTCTAAAAGTAGCGTCTAGCGCGCTCATCAGGAAAACGGCTAATATTAGAGGCGGAAGCAGAGCAGATGAGGGGTTGGCGGCCAGGACCGCCCTCTTGACTGGATACGATGGCCATAGACTGCCCATGTGGCATTCCGGTTCAAGTTTCATTCAGCACATTCCATTCACTACGAGGTCATTTCAGGTAATTTCTGCAATCTGGTGGGGATGCGGGATTTACAGAGGACCGGCGTGGGGAGCCTATGTATTTTCGTTGCCCAATATACGAAAGGTTGGTGCTCTTTTTTGGCAGCTGAATGTTCGACCTGTTTAACCTTCTAACCATTTGTCTCATCTGTGGCTATTGAAATCCGCGGAGCCCCCGTGGGTTTGCGTGAAACATGAGCTGTGGTGACAGCATGAAGTTTATTTTGGCTATGAGGAGTAAGATTATGAGCTCATGATCCCTACTAGAAGTGACAAACATGGATATACCAAAGATAACCTCCGCATAGCTAGAATAGGCACGTTGTTATAGTATGAAACCTCAAAAATCACATTTCTCGGGCTGCCGACAAGAGGAGCCATGAAATTGAGATGAAACTAGTATAGCTTGCTTTTGCTTTTAGACCGCCGGTACCACACGGAACTTCAAGATCTGTACTTTCACTGTCACTCACCGTCCTCATCCCACATTTATTCACACTCTAGGCCGCTCGCTTGAATTCCCCCACCAGCCACTTGTACATGCCATAGAGAGGAGCAAAACCTGTGATTTTTGTATTGTGAGCAGTTTTTACTGTCCACAGACTCGCTCTAGATGCCCGAGTGGACAACACAGAGCTACAGCTGCTGTAGTGGTTGACATACATACCCTCGGCAGTCAGATACTTCTCGACACGGCGGCTTCTAAATAATGAAACAACGTCATATTTCCGGCTGCTATTTTCATATCGGATGGGCTGTCTCGGCACGCTGATATAAATACAATGATTATCGGTGCTGACTGAGCGATGATGGCTCAGTATTGAAGGAACGATCAAGGATGGGTTTCTCCTAATAGGGGTACTTAGATAGAACTGAGTCACCGTCAAAAAATGGCCCTCCATTTCAAGGTTCGATCAGATAGAAGATTTTGTCATCGGTCATAGGTGCCAATAAGTATTATACCTATCCAGGTTTTAACGAGCCTAGTCTTTGTATTAGACAGCCAAGGATAAGCATGAAGTTATTCCATGTTCATGTGTCTAGCAATGTAGACGAATAAGAATTTTGTTTTGAAGTAGTTGAAATTATTCTGGAATTCATAGCGATTCGGAAGATAGTTAAATCCACTACTAGTGATTTATCATTCCAAGTCAATTCAACGCGCGTCACATTTATCGGTCCATAGATTTAAATGCAATATAGTATCATTTAACGGAGGAAATGGCAAGTTCGTGTCCGTAGTTGGTATCTCCATATTGTGCAATTGAAAAGAAGTCGGAAATACATCTCATGATACCATGCACGCCATGTGTAATTGTCTACACCAATACCAAACATATGATTTGGAGTTCTGCCTTCCAAGATCAATTGCAATATTTGATTTGTTAATAAACTCAGAATTTTCCGGAATATAGATCCAATTGCCCCAATTAGCCGAGTTGGTGATCAAAAGAAAAGATCCGAACTCGAATGCAACACCGCTGCAGTCTTGTCGATCATGCCCACCTGTGGATCGCAAATGTCAGACAACCCCTCATCGACAAATCTTGATCCGCCCCAAGCACTCTTAAGAGCAATTACACCATTATTAAGTTACCACCTGCTACAATGGTTATGCCGATTGACTTCTGCTTTCCTGTACGAGAGTTGTCCGATGGCTTGGTTAAGTTGACGCCATTCAATGTAGGTTCCCTCGATTAAAATACGACCTTGTGACTAACATGGGAAAAGGTGAGCAAGCATGCTAAGCCCTTCTTTGACGGGTCCAAGGACCATCCAGAGCTCTACAGGTATATGTCTATCGGACCCTTTGACACAGACCAAGAGTTCGTGACCAAATTTATCGAGAACTTTGTGAATGCACAACCATCAGTTGTGTGCTTCGCGGTAATTGATAAGAGGAAGCCACCTTCAGTGGTCGACCCCGAAGGTGAACTCGCTGGGATGGTTTCATACATGGCTGCCACGGCGGCTCACCTCTCCGCGGAGGTTGGGTACATCATTATTCTCCCTCCATACCAGCGAACTCACGTCACAACCCATGCAATCGGACTCCTTCTTCATTATGCGCTAGATTCCCCGGAGCAAGGTGGTTTAGGCCTTCGTCGGATGCAGTGGCTTGCTGATCCTCCGAATAAGGCGTCGCTGTCCGCAGCGCAGAGGATGGGGTTTCAACTGGAGGGGATCTTACGGTGGAATAAAGTCGTTCCCGATGCCGACGCGAGAGGAAAGGTACACAACGGGCGCGAAAAACCGTCATATGGAGAACAGAAAGATAGAGGTCGGGATACGGCATATCTTTCGCTCTGTTGGGATGATTGGGTGGGTGGGAAGAGAGAGGTCGTAGATGAACTTTTATCTAGATAGCTCAGGTTGGTGACTGCGCTAGAATTATTTGGTCAGATCTCACCGTGGTGTTCGAATGAAATAAAGAAAATTTCCAAATTAGTTCAGGTTGGGACTTCTTTTGTTTTTCTACTTATTTAAATTGAATACTCGATAAGAGAATATGTGAGTACCTTGGTGGAATCCAGATGTGAGGAACTTCAAGGAAATTATTCGACATAGATGCAATATCTCTAGAGCAGAGAGGCTGAAGTAATAAAGCGAGGGCTATGGGGGAGATGCCGTCTTCCTTCACAAATTCTGTACAGTCGAACATGGAATCGGGTAATTATTCTTATATTGGGTTATTGATGATTTGTGTAAATTCTGAAGCTAAGACATATGTCCATACAACCTTCTGTTGGATTGTACTAACAACTGAATGTTCGCGCAAGGTCAACGATACTACTGTCAATCGGCAAAACTCGTATTCATATAAGTCATCTACCCCTCATTTCCAACCACGCGTCCAAACTCACCTCTTGGAATATTCTTTTCAGATCCCCGGAAATCCCATCTTTCTCTTCAAAATGGGAATGAAAGCGCGTTGCCAATGTTCCAAAATCCAGTTTACCACCTCGACCGACAAACCCCTCGCGATTTATGCCTGTCACTGCACTGAATGTAGGCACCAGAGCTCCTCCGCCTTTGGCATTACGGCCATATTCCCCTACTTCGAGCTTCCAGACTCTGTATCAGATCTTGTGGGGAGTTACACTCGAATCACCATAAAGGGTCGCCACATGGAATGCTTATTTTGCAAAGGCTGTGGAGCTCGTTTGTTACATCGATTCCGTGACTATGTCCCCTCACCCGGCGAGAAGCCCGATCCCAGGGCAACATCGAATGTGAAAGGGGGGGTGCCTCGAGGATCTGGACAAGGAATTAATGAGTGGGATTATCCATATTTGGACCAAACACGCGATCGTGGATATTCCCGAAGGAGCAGAGCAGTGGGAAGAGGAACCTGGAATGCCGCCCAATCCCCTGGAGCGATAATTCAAAAATTTGCTCGAATGCTGGTTGATTGGATTGTTTCGCTTTCTTGAATATAGTACATATGTATGTGCATAGAAAACCAGCCAGAAAACAGATTAGACAAATATTCCGAGTGTAGATGTTCTTTTTTAGCCAACAACACAGCTCCAGCCGTTGTCAACAGCAATGCAGGCACCATTGATGATGCTAGCACCCTTGCCATAAGTCAGGTTAGTACATAAGCCGGCGACCTCATCCACATCGCACATGGGGGCTTTGACAGCTTCATAAACTGAACTGAACTTTTGGTACCCCTCCATGTTCATCCCGTTCTTGAATACATCGGCAATGTTGGTATTCATGCCACCCATCATGAGTGCATTGCACTTAATACCCTTGTTACCATAGAATGCAGCGGTGTTTTTCGTCAGTCCGACAAGACCGTGTTTGCTGGCCGTATACGCAGCACCTAAGAGTTGTTAGGCGGTATAGATAGAAGAAATGAGAGGATTCTGCACATACCACCGGCCCATCCAGCACGACCTGCGACGGATGTAATGTTGATGATTCGACCATCTGGGTTGGATTGTTCCAACATGTTGCGAACAGCGAGCTTGCTCAAGACAAAAGGCGCGGTAAGATTGAGAGCCATAACACGGTCCCATTGGTCGATTTCGAGGTCACCGACAGGGTTGAAAGTGTCCATAATGGCGGCATTGTTGACGAGCACATCGATCTTCCCAAATGCTCCGATCAGCTCGGCAAAAAGAGCCTCTACTTCGTTCTTTTTGGTAATGTCAGCCTTAATAGCCTTCAATGGGCCTTTGGAAGACAGTTCTGTCGAAGTCTCCTGGAGACGTTCTTCATTGATATCACAGATGACCACGTTGGCACCGGCCTCAAGGAATTTGGTCGCGATGGCTTTTCCAAGACCGCCACCGCCGCCAGTAATTAGGCATGTCTTGCCGGCAAGGATTTGCTCCGGGGTCTCAATTTTAGTCATTTTGTTGTGAAAGCAGGACTTGTGACTGGGGATGTGATATAAAAATTTCGTGATTTTGCTATGAACAGGGTACAGGGGGAGGCGGTTTAAATAGAAAGCATTGATGGCGTGTAAACGGAAAACGGATGCACTTGTTTCCGCTGAGGACTCGTGGTCTCCTATCCACCTTGACCCAAATGCTGTTTGCTCGGCCGTTGGGTTTTATGGGGGAAATCTGATCGTCCTATCCAAGGATGTTAGAAGTGCCGAGGTGTATTGTCGATACAGCAGTCATCATCGGCATGTATAGAACGAATGGCGCGAACTTACGACTGGAGATAAGGAAAAAGACTTGTGATGAACATCGTACAGTGGCTCGGTAATTTGATCTGGTAATTGGATAAGTATTGAGGCTGAAAATAAGCTTGGTTCATGGACATCTGCATCAATTCTGCAGTTGGAGACATGCATGCTCCAGTTGGGCAGATACGAGGGGGCTGTAATCCAAAAATACGCTCTCTGACTCGTCGGAAAGTGACTGTTCCGAAGCCCTAAGCCCTATCTCCTATTTAGGACACCAGCTTCATTGCCTCAGGCGGCGTCTCGGTCCAACTCCGTTCGTTCATCCGATTGGGGCAGCCATTGTCTGCAGGACAAAACAAGAAGGCCGTGGCATCGGCCAAGGCGAAGCTTGGTCACCCCATCAATCTGGGACTATGACAATGTCGTTCTTGGCTTTATAGTTGAACTAGATCAACAAGGGTAACCTCAGGAGATGGGGAGCGCCTTCGCCGTTTTCTCATTACACAATACTCACAATAAATCCTTCATTGGCAGATATCGACCTCTGGGTCTGACGGATCCCCGACAAATGACAGGCTCTCCGACCCCGGCTTATCGGTAGGCGTCTTGAGGCCCTGTCTTGCCCCCCCCGCAAAAGTCCCGAGAAAGTTCGCAGCTGGACCGGGACTGGCATACCGGTCTCCACCTCAGTCGCGGAGACCTTCTCGATCAGGAAGTCGTAGGGTCCATCTATCTTATCGGACTGATGTGACTATGGGACCTCCATGGGGTTGTCTAGGAGAGTATGGGGAAGGAAAGGTGCATTGGGCGCCTTGGACTGTTTAAAGAATGGGCTGTCACCCGCCACTACCGTTGAATTCTCCATTACGGACTTCTGCATGTCGAAATAGAAAACTTCTGTTGCCACCATGTCGAACGGCGATGAGAACGACCAAGTCTTCAAAGGCACCACTACCGAGGATGTGCGACTCGAGAATCTGGGCTATGAGCAAGGTGGGTATACTCTTGGGAAACAGCTTTATTCATTGGATGGGGAAGTTTACTGACAATCCTCTAGAGCTCAAGCGCTCGTTTGGATTACTCAGTATGATTGGGTTCAGCTTCAGTGTTGTGACATCGTGAGAAACGCTCCAAAGCACGAATAAAACAAAGAGGCATTACTGATGACTATTCAGATGGACCGCTCTAAGCGGTGTGTTTATTGTTGGTGTCAACTCCGGTGGTCCACCTGTAATGGTGTTCAGTTTCATTGGGGTTTCGCTCCTGACCCTGGCTGTGGCGATCCCCATGGCGGAGATGTGTTCTATGTACCCCGTGGCAGGTGGCCAATACTCTTGGGTGGCTGCCTTAACGCCCCCTAGGTATGCGCGAGGCCTGTCATATGTGACTGGATGGTTTATGCTAATTGGTATGACTGCACTCGTCGTTTTCAATCTATCTGGAGGCAAACGCTGACACTTACTAAGGTCTTCTCGCGATGGGAGCCACGAACAATTATATCGCTTCAAATTTTGTACTTGGCATGGCAAACTTGATTTTCCCCGAATATGTTATTGAGCGATGGCAGACCGTCCTGGTGGCCTATTTGGTTGCTATTCTCGGGACCGGTGTGAACATCTGGGGATCCCACCTGCTCCATCGTATCTCCAAATTCATCTTGATTTGGAATGTTGGCTCTTTTATCGTCGTGACTATCACCCTCCTCGCAACAAATGATCACAAGCAACCGGCTTCCTTCGTGTTCCAAGACTTCCAGAATACAACAGGCTGGGGTACAGGCATGGCAGCTATCATCGGTATTTTGCAAGCCTGCTTTGGCATGTGCTGCTACGATGCGCCCTCGCATATGACAGAGGAGATGAAATCGGCATCCAAGGAGGCCCCCAAGGCAATTGTGCTCGCGGTAATTCTGGGCGCTGTTACTGGATTCGTATTCCTTTTGACTCTCTGTTTCTGCATCGGAGATATCGCCGAGACCGCCAACAGCAGCACTGGCGTCCCTGTTATTCAGATCATCTATGACTCTACTGGAAACAAAGCCGCCACATGCATCCTCTCCAGTCTGATCGCAGTTATTGTCATTGTAGCCGGAAACAATATCTTGGCAGAGGGCTCACGATCCGTCTACGCCTTTGCTCGTGACAACGGTCTCCCTTTTTCGAAGTTCTTCAGCAAAGTGGAAAGCAAGAGTCAGGTTCCAGTGAATGCTGTGTTGCTTACTCTTGTGGTGCAGCTAGCCCTCGATTCTATCGAATTTGGCACAACGACCGGCTTCGAGACAGTCATCTCCATCGCGACGGAAGGCTTTTGTAAGTGAATTCGTGGCTCAATATGAGTTGACATCGCTGACGCTGAACAACGCAGATCTTTCTTATGCAATGGCACTCTTTAGTCGACTGGTTGGCTACTTTACTGGCCATGTTACCAAAATGGAAGGACCATATGCCTTCTCCACGCCCGTATCTATCGGTCTCAATATCTTTGGCCTCGTTTTTCTTTTGTTCGCCTCTATCACCTTTAACTTCCCTAGCACGGCGCCGGTTGATCACCAATCCATGAATTATACCAGTGCAGCAATTGGCGTCATTGCTCTTATCAGCCTGATCACTTGGATTACGACAGGGCGGGAGAATTTCACTGGTCCCGGGGCTGTTAGCTTCTTGTCTGGTCAACAATCTGGGCGGATTGCCCCTCAGCCCGAGGAAGCGCAGGATGAGAAGAAAACATAGAGTAAATTCCTCTATTTGTACAGTATATGGAGAAAGAATTCAAACAAATTGTGGACAGGCGGTTCTTCTGAGGAGCTCCAGGTTCTCGCAGATTTAGTATGCTAAGACTCAACGGAAGAGTAAAATATTCAATATCTTCAACATTCAGTACTGTTTGTAATTTATATCTTGAAAAGCAACTTGAACCTAGACCCTCGAATATAGTGGATCCCATGAGCGAGTAAGTAATTTTTCATCGCATTAAATTCTCACTGCCTGCAAGGTTGCCGCCAACCTTGGAAGATACCGCCCTCAAGGTACCAATAGGTATCACCCGTAATCGTCAGTCCTTACCTAGGTAGACTTAAAGCTTCAAGACCTACTAGGCCTACTATTTTGGTGATTCTTTTGTCGACTGTACCTAAACGTATTAGTTCCCCCTGCCAGTATAATGGCAGAGCAAACTTGAAGGCGCCGGATCGTACGCTACTCATCTGCCATTCTTAAATTGCCTTTGAAAGCCTCTATATAATTACCCGGGGCCAGATGGACAATTACAGATCGGATGTAAAACGTGACAGGTTTGGTCATTATGTACTGCTTCATTCCTTCTTAGTCACATCGTCTGGTCAGCCACAAATTCACGAATAGAAGCAAAAAGGATGAGGAAATCTATCTCCAAGAAATAAACCAGAAAAGTAAATTAAGACTCAGTGGATCAGGAGTTCAAAGAACAATAGCTGGAGGTCTATGATGATCTGGGGTTCGATAACAGCGACCTAATGGAAAAAGGCACACAAAATAGGTCACCTTTCGTCTATCATATTTTAAGCCGCATCAGAAATTCGAACAAAAGCCGTGACCGGTTAATTACGATGTAACGGTATGTTAGAGCCCTCCAGGGACATTGAAATATGGACTCTGACAAACCTAGTTCACACTCAGCATGCACAGTGGGTACCTGAAAGCCCTTCGAAGAGGCACCGATTGAGTATCAGCAAGCGACCATTTAGTTGCTGTCGTGATTGGGGCGAAAGAACTCAAATACAACGGCTTTATGAGACCATGACATAGCCAAGAAAATCGCGTCAGGAGTGGGCGCATATGTGGTGATTTAAAGCCACGACGTTTCTTGGTTAATTGAGTTCCTTATAGCATAGTCCACGCAGCAGGTTGCAGGGAGCCATAGGCACCTGGGCAGGGAATCGCGACCGTCACGGCTGACAAGGATTTTCTTAAGAGAGTGCTGTCGAGAATGTAACTCTGGGGCAGAAAGTGAAACAAGGAATTTCAACACCGGATTCTTATTTCACTCCGTGAATGTGATATGTATCATTTGGTATGAGTGATGTATTGTGTGCAGAGGTGATTGACCTGAATATCAATGATTTATAGGGGTAGTGAAACACGTACTAACATGAGGGGTATCAAAGTTGATTTGTTCTCGTTGAATATGCCAGGAAAGCCGAGTCCCGGAATTTATCTCGTGGCTCTCGAGAAGCTACTAGTACCTTTCAAGTTGCAAACCAGCGTGGCCAATGTCGTGGGAGGTGAAAGACAGTACATAATACCGAGAGAAAATATAATTTATGAACTCCCAAAATTGAGGAAATGCCCTCAAAGTTGAATCTTTGTGAGATACAATATTACTATCATGAAATAGAAATTTGGACTACTAGTAGCTACTCATATCCGGGAAAGGAAGCCGAAATCAGCCTTTAGATGCATGCAAGCCTCGCACTCCTATCTACATCGAGCTCATGTATCTCTTGTAGAGGGGGTCAGACGACATCAGACTCGCACTGAATCAAAGCACGCCTAATCGGAATTGACACGTCGAATAGCTGAATATGGAACGACACGATGATAAGTTTTTCGCTGCCTATCATAGACCATGCACGCCTGAAGGGCTTAAAACGCAGTGGACTTGTTGAGGGAAACCATATGCGATTGTCGTGCCGCGTGGCTGCCATTAGCGTGTCATACGGGATTTGACTTGACCTCCGGTAGACTGAAAACCAAACTAGAATACGAGCTTGACATTAAGCCAAGACGGGCCAGAAATTGTATTAGGTCAGGTTTCTGTAGGAATTCAAGACATGAGCCTCGGAATATGTATTAATAGCCCTCTACCCCGGTGATCGGTTGACCTCCGCCCCATCTCGCATAGTGGGATCACTTGTCACCCGCGGTTCCACTTCGAGTACGTACGATCAATTCCTTGCTAGCGCGATTATCTTCTACTCCGAGATCGCCATCAGTTGATGGGCAAACAGGGCGAATCGAAATTTCTAGGCAGATCGTGTATAGCCCCATTATCTCATGGTCATGTCTGCATGTTCGCGTGGCCCTTGCCCCAGGCTATCCACCTTCATTCGGAACAAACCCAATTATTAGCTATGCTCTTCGGCAAGTGCACCCGAAATTCAGTATCTAGGGCTACAGGGGGAAGGGGGATATCGACCAGTAAGCTCATCCAACGAACGTGTGATAATAATCATAAGCCGAGACAGCTACACGAGAAAAACAATTAGGTAGCCATCGCACCCCCTCCTTGGATGGATTCGCCCCCACCCCGCTGGTGTATTGATCTCACCGATCGTTCGGGACCATGCATGATCTGGCCAGGATGTAGACAGGATTATACCGAAGCCACAATATCGGGATACTCTCGGAAGGTCAGCTCTGTACGGTCGTCTAGGTCCTGGCTTACGCATTGGGTTCAAGTTATGGGCAGATTCCTTTGATTGCTTGGGCTACTTAAGCACTATCCATGATTATCTTCTTGGCAACCAACATACGACATTCTCATTTCTCGTAACTAGACCTGTTCATGGGACTCCCATGCACAGGTCTACTCGTAACTATTCACACGATCGCTCAATTCAGCCGCCCACGCTCGCGCCACACCCCCCCCCCCCGGTTCCATTATTTATTCTCCTTTCGACCGGGCTCAGGCCAAAACAGAATTGGTCGAGGGCTCAATAGTACGCAGTGTGACCAGTACCTTATTCGTTCCTGATTGATCTGCCGAACTCCACGACAACGTATACCACCCGTCAGAAGTTGGCTCGGCGTAGAAGGTTGCCCCTTCGACGTTGGTCATAACGTAACGTCCGTATAGCCACCAAATGTCGGTTAACTTTCCACTGCTCCGTTCGGTAGATGAGGAAAAGCCGACTTTGTCCGATCCATCATTCGATATGTAAAGAGCTTGGTCAGTCAAAGACTTGGCCTTGTTCCCGGAGTGCGCAGTAAAGGTGTTTCCATCCGAGCCAGAGACCGTGACTAAGTAAGAGAGGAATTGAATTAGTACCCGGGTGGACATGCATTCGACATCAAGGTGGCCCAAGTGGTGAGATACGCACAGGTGACCGGCAGCACGTCGGTTGAGTTTTTGGACTGAGTTGGATCGCCTATCAAGGCGGCACCTAGAGAGACGCAAAATTGTTGATCAGAAAATCCCTCGCAGGAGAGCCATATTTTCTGAGTTGAGAGTATCCCAACACTTACCACTCCAATAGTAAATCTGCAGTCCACTGATTTTGTCGCCAAAGGCATATATGCCGAACTCTTCGGCACGCTTTTCCAGTAGCCGAGCGAGACCAACAGATCCCAGGGCTACAATGAGTACAGCGATTATAGAAAAAAGGCGAAACATGGTTGATTGTAAAATGTACGCACAAGGGACGTAAAGTAATGCAGGTACATACAACTCTTATCTAACAGCGAAGAAGAGGAGGAAGAGAAAGTAAAAAGGACACGGGGTTCCAGGGGCAATAGAGGGCGGAACTGTGTAAAAACAAAAGGTTTTTGGTTTGGGTTATATCTTCGGGGCGTCGTTGATAATCCCAATGTCTGAGGACTACTAATACTCGGCGTCCCCTTGACCCTCTGAGCATCGCATAAAGATGCCGGAAGTATATTGACTCTACAATCCCGCCCACCAAGACATGATTAGGCCCACAATCTGCAGATCAGCTGCAGGCATGATTTGCTCCCAGATTTTGATTCAGTAAAGTACTTTGCACTGACCTGATTTCGCGGAGTCAACTGTCGACCGACACTTCCCATATGGGGGCAACGCCACCTCAGCCCCCGGCGGCCTAAAGTAAGAGTCTTTTGTGCCCGGGCTTATTCTTTGGATAACACGAGCTCTAGTCAGGACAAACCCTGACTGGTTAATGCCCGGGAAATAGACCTCGTGGGGAAAGCCTTAGCCAGGGTTAAAACCTGAACACCTGAGTTATTCATGTCGAAGTATAGTTGAGATTCGTGATTCTGAGACATGCAGCCCTAGTAGCCTTATCGGGACATCGGGGATACTGTATCATGTAGAAGGATGAGGGGAAAGAAGCATCTCGACCAAGCATACTACGGAAAGATACCCACTAGGGCAATTACTGGCGAAAAGCCTCACAAGGCCAACATGAATGACTAGTGAGATCATCCCATCCGGGCTAGTTGCGTATCTTATCCCGCTTAGCATGATATTGGCCCCTGGTTCCATCTGCATCTCAGGAATTGCGGGTTGCCCTGGCGGCTCGGACACGCCGCACGATAGGTCAAGTGAGATTTTAGAGCATGCCCAGCTCAGCCTTGTTCTGAAAGGTAGTGTCTTGTTCATAAGACCCGAAACTTGAAGGTATTTCGCATATATTCTAGCCTCAGAGCGTCATACATCACTCGCACTGCATGTCCTTTTTATTTTCGAGCCTCCAGTACTATATTTTATGTTTCTGTGCCTTTGTGTTACATGAAAGTGCCTCTTTAAAACATACACTGTTGAGTTCGGGTATAGAGAATTACTATGAGGCCACAGAAATTTCTTTTTCTGGCATATGCACTGGCCGCAGCTGCGTTCACCATCCCGCAGCTTGAGGCACGCAAGTCAAAAAACCCTCAGAAAGCCAAGCCTTGTGCTGGAAATACTGCCCACAAGAGAACAAAGTGGTGTGACTACGATATCAATACGGACTATACACAGACTGTACCAAACACAGGTGTTACCCGTGAATATTGGCTCTCAATTGATGAGATTACCGTCGCCCCAGATGGAGTCGAGCGTTTTGCAATGGCTGTTAATGGGACAATTCCTGGGCCTACAATTCACGCAAACTGGGGCGACAATGTCGTTGTTCACGTTACGAACCATCTGGATGAATCCAGAAACGGAACCAGTATCCATTGGCATGGAATTCGTCAGAACTACACCAACCAGAATGATGGTGTTGTCTCAATAACCCAATGTCCAACGGCACCTGGGTCAAGTATCACATACAAATGGCGTGCTGCCCAGTATGGATCATCTTGGTACCATTCCCACATTGGTCTCCAAGCCTGGGAAGGTGTGTTTGGTGGTATTATCATCAACGGCCCTGCAAGTAAGAACTATGATGTCGACAAAGGCATGCTGTTTCTGAATGATTGGTCTCACCGAACTGCGGATGAACTCTATACCTACGCTCAGGCTGTAGGTCCACCAACTCTCGACACAGGACTCATCAACGGGACAAACAAGTACAACGATTCTGGTTCTTATTTCACTATGCGCGCTAATAAAGGAGAATCCTATCGCCTTCGAGTTCTGAATGCGGCTATTGATACCCACTGGAAATTCATGATTGATAATCACCAACTCACGGTTATTGCTATGGACTTTGTACCAATCAAGCCATATACCACTGAGTACATCAATATCGGAATGGGTAAGTTACTCAGTCAATATGTTGCAAATACGAAAGGAAGATAATATTAATCTTACAACCTAGGACAACGTTATGATGTTATCGTCACTGCGAATCAGCCCAAGGCCAGAAACCACTGGATTCGGGCAGTTCCTCAAACAGATTGCTCGGAGAACGATAATGTGGAGGGCATTAAAGGCATCTTGCACTATTACGGCAAGGTTGGAACCCCCAACACATCACCATGGCTTTTTGATGATATATGCCTTGACGAGGACATGAGCAAACTTGTCCCCGTTGTCCCCAAATCGGTTTCAGCGGCTGGCTGGGATGCCATGACCGATGTTACTGTTGCCAAGAACACAAAAAATCTCTTCCGTTGGTACCTGAACAGCACGACCATGCAGGTTGAATGGGAGGACCCGACTCTGCTACAGATCCATGATGGGACAACAGAGTGGGAGGCTTCGAGCGGTGTCATTAAGCTCCCAAATGCCAACGAGTGGGTCTATCTCCTGATCAATACTTCCATGCCAGTAGCCCATCCAATCCATTTGCATGGTCATGATTTCTTTGTCTTGGCACAAGGTACTGGACCTTGGGATGGGACTACTGTTACATCAAACCCGCCACGCAGAGACACTGCCCTTTTGGCAAGTAGTGGCTACTTACTCATGGCTTGGGAGACAGACAACCCCGGTGCCTGGTTGATGCATTGCCACATTGGGTGGCATACCTCAGAAGGATTTGCCCTTCAATTCATTGAGCGATATGACGAGGCCAAGGAGTTGATAGATTACGATTATGTGAACGATAACTGTCAATCTTGGATTGAATATGATGGGGAATTCAGTATCGAGCAAGAGGACTCGGGTGTTTGAGTGGAATTTGGCGGTTTGTTGAAACTTTGAACATATGTTTAAATATAGCCTCCCCTTATAACTGATCATGCTTATGGTCTGTCAACATTAATATCTCATGGGGAAGTTCATACTTAGTAGCGTAAGCGATTCTCGTGATGAAGGATTAGAAAAAAAAAAGTTCTACGTATGTTGATGATTACGACTCGGACGGAACAAATAACAGTTACAACTCATCCCATATGTAGTTTGAACTTCCATTAGGACTGTGATATAGCCCTAGAAAGAGACGATAGTCCAATCAGAATTTGCTCCTCACTACAATCTCGTGCGCGGAACAACTATAGAAGTAGAGAGATCCTTCCAATTGGCGAAGATATAGAACTTCATGCAGTATGATGAATCTCCAGCGATCGCTCATGTGTGATGACGGGGTTGCTCAGATCTTTTGTGTAATGTTTGCCCCACGTCCACGTAGCAGATTGTGTAACCCAAGCCTGTTAGCCCTGCAGTTAGCCTATACCCTAAAGGCAGCTCGGCAAAACCCTAAATATTGCCAATTCGATGGTCGCTTGTTGATTTTTGACGAGAAAGGAGGGTGTTTCTGGGTGGTATCAGCACGGCAACCTCACCAGATCGAATACCGATCGGATGGGCTGGTCGAGGCTGTTTGGTTGACATTTTCTTCGGAGTCGATAAAAAAATCCACAACACCAAGCCAAATGCAGCATGACGCCCGCTAGCGTTTGTAGGCTGCATAAAGGGGGCAAAGTGATCGATCACAGAGCGGACAAGAATCGAGACGAGCCAAAATAGCGGTCTACACTGGCGGTCTCGGCTCGGATCCAACACGATCCCAGCCATCCCCATTCTCTCAACCCTTCCCTGTGCTTTGCGCTCCACAAAAGGATCGAAGGCCAATTAACAGTGATATGGAGAAAGGCGGGAGTCGCCATGTCTGTGGCCCAGGCCTACCAAGAGGCGGTATTAATAGTCGACCAGCCAATGATAGATCGTCACGCTGTTGATCCCCCCCCACGATCTGACAACTTGCAGGACACCGTCGGACGCTTAGGAGCAGTTGGTCTGTGCCTTTGATGGAAGAGATTTCGACGGCTTGGGAGCTTGTAAATGCAGTATCCCCAATTTCGCAACTCGTGCGACCTTTGTTCCCGGCCGTGCGGGTAATCTCATCTTGTTGAGGGAATATTTGATGCCGTATCACCACACCTTTCGCCGATCTCACTGGGACCTAGCGGGGTGAGAGATACGAATTTCGAACCGATATCACGAAGAGGTAGAGAAGCAACATTCTCTACTTATATTTTTCCCGCTTCACTGCCAGTGCTTGACCTGAAGATTCTGGCATCCAAATCAGCGACCTCGGTTGACTAGACGAGCGACCAAACGACCACAGCTTTTCCGATTTCAAATTGCAAATTGCTAGCGCTGTCGCCCTCCATCATGATTCTATGCTTTTTACTAGGCAGCCTCGTGGCATATTTCCTGGTCACAATTATCTATCGTGTGCACATCCACCCGCTAAGCAAATTCCCCGGGCCACGTTTGGCTGCTTTGACGGGTCTATACGAGATCTACTTCGCCGCCTGGGGGACCGGCTCGTTTGAAGATGAAATCGACCGAATGCACGAGGAATATGGTCAGTGTCCCTCTCTGTTCCTCCCCCCCCCTAAAGCTCCCACTATCGTGCTCTTGTGCTAACTTTCTCAGGCCCCGTGGTACGCATCACGCCCGATGAGGTGCATGTGCAAGATCAATTCTACAATGCTCAACAGGCGGACAGCTGGATCAAAGATACCAAGGCCATTCATTCTGGCCGACACCAATCGGGGTACACTAGCCCGAGTTTCCAGATCAGGAAGCGATCGATGTCGCGAGTACGATCGATCCTTCAAGTGGAGGTGCATCAGATCATCCGAGAACTTGTTCGGAAGCACCAAGTGCCTCGGGTTCTCAGCTGGCGCCTTCGTTCGTTTGCGTCAATTCCTAGTCTTTCGGGGGGTTCCGTTGATACCGCAGAGATGGGTGATCTAGAAGATGGACATCAAATGCGATCATCGATATCCAATCCGATGGCCCGGGGTCAGTTTCTCCTTCACAGCCCCAACGCCTCCGACCCGGGGCTCTGGGAAGCCGGCGAAGTCAAAAATCAAGACGAGTGGTGCAGGGCTCGATCCGAGTCTCCCGCTTTAAAATAGGGAAGAAGACCAGAAATCAGATCAAACAGAGTTGACTTGAGACTTTCCGAACGAGAAAGAGTCGGGGGTTTCAGGGTTGAACCGAGGGATTGGGAGACATGATACTTCCAGGATGGTTTGGGTGCACGCGAGGAGTCACCAATTGTGGGCCAGGACCAGGATCAGGACCAGAACCAGAATATGAGCAAAGCCAACTGCCACCAATTAAGGTTTCCTGGAGAGATGATATCGGGGAAATTGTGGACCGACTGAGTTGGAGAGTTCAAGGAGAAGAGAAGAAGAGAAGAAGGGAAGAGAGAAGAAGCAACTCGGGGCCAGACCAACCCAAGTTGGTCTTTGGTCATCGCTCCTTCCCCCACTTGCGGAGCTCCGCCGAATTTGCTTTGCTCTTTCCTCTCTTCAGTTCTTCAATTCTCCTCTCCTCCTCACTCTTCACTCTTCACTCTTCACTCCTTTAACACCTTTAACTCCCCTCTTTCTCACTCAATTGCTGTCGACAATCCTCTTCTCCTATCCCCTCCATTAACACTACTCAAAATGGTTCGTCCCTGTCATTCCACCCTGCATTGCCCCCGCCAATTCATTGGTAATCGCGCCGATCTTAACTAACTTGCCCGATCGCAATTCCAGCCTCACGCCGACTCTTCCTATTTCTTTGGCTCAACAAAGGCCGAGATTTACCCTCAACTACTAGACCAAACGAGGGGTCTTCTCTCCGGTCAACGCAATTGGGTGAGTGTCTCCCATCGTGCGTGCGGGTGCCCAACGGGCGTCGCAACCATCGCCAATTGAACAATGCGCTAACAGATTATCGTCATACTAGGTTAGGTGAGAGCCATTCCCAACCAGATCTCAAGGAACACATTTCCAGCTGCCCTGTCTCCTCATAGGCTTCGCGCGCGGTGTGGTGTTTCCTGGCTAATGCCAAGCCCGCAAACTAACATCCACCAGCAACCTTTCTAATGTCTCCTCGTTGCTGTGGCACACATTCGCTGCTCTCCCTTCCCCTTCCTCCTCGGTCAACTGGGCCGGTTTCTACATTCGCGATGACAAGTTCCCCGCCCTCGCGTCACCCGTCTCATCGCCTCCCCTCGGCGGCGGGCCCAACATCGGCAGCGTAACGATCTCGACCACATACGCTTCAACTGAGGACCAACTCCTGCTTCTGGGACCATTCATGGGAAAGCCTGCTTGTCAAGAGATCCGCTTCGGCAAGGGTGTCTGCGGCACCGCTGCCGCTACCCAGAAGACTGTTGTCGTGCCAGACGTGGAGCAGTTCCCGGGACACATTGCCTGTGATGCCGAGAGCCGCAGTGAGATCGTTGTTCCCATTCTTGTTCGGGGCGAGGTTAGTGGTCTTCCTTGTGTGGTGCACAGTGTTTCTGAATGCTGTACTAATGACTCGGCAGACCGTCGCCATTATCGATATCGATTGCGCCCAGCCCGATGGCTTCGACGACGTGGATAAAAAGTACCTGGAGGAATTGGCTGAGATCCTGGCTGAGAGCTGCGACTGGTGATGGATCAACACCAATGAGAAAATGATATATATTAAGACGAGATTCATGTGACATGATCGGAATTCAAATCGGGTGGGAAGGATGGGCGGATACAGGTTGTTGACCTGTTTCCACAAAAGTTCCGGGTTAATTGCATTCGGTCAATCTGCTACCGTTACAGATGGCCTCTTCTTTTAGATATTTGCGTTGGACAAAGCCTTGTTTTCGGGGGCAATGACTTTCATCGCGTTCGATATAAATGTTAATGTTACCTTCTTTCCAGTTAGAAGAACTAAAAAAATTCAACATCAAGATATGATGCATGACGGATGAAACCTCGCTAATCTTGCAGGAGTAGAAGATGAACAAACACCTGATCGTTTCGGGGAAAGTAATATGCAACCTCGGTAAGGATAGTACTAACTTGAACTAGTACTACGACCTGACTGGGCCTTTCTACCTGAAACGCCAGATCGACATTGCGGGGTGTTGGATCCCTGAACCACTACGTCTCACGTCAAAGCGTCGGGGTTCGTGTTCAAGCCGCCTTTTAATCTGAGACTCGCATTGCCGATGATCGACTCAGGGTCTGACAGGTGCCAATATATCGAGATCATCATTAAACCTTCCCGATATGTTAGGTCTATGCAGAGCGATATTCATTGCAGGCGTTGACTCTATGACCAGCCTCCATTTTGGAAGTACCACCGATAGACTTTCTAGCCAGAAAGGCAAGAGAAGACCGAATCGTACCCTCCAGGCGTTTATTAAAAGCCCTAAGTACTATGGTTGCAGGTGTTTACACCTCCTCTTGCCACATACTAACTATATCAGCGATCCACTTTTGATGCTAGTAGCTAGTTAACTACTGGAAACTATCCATGTCCGATCTTCTTCCTTAGTGTATTGAGCATTGCAACGTACACAAAAGCAAAGCTATGGAGGAGGGGATACTCTCATGGCCAATCTTAGAACTTGAATCATACCGGCTCTGGATATGGCCATAATATTGGGATACTATCTCGTACAATCAATTTGAAAATCATAGAAAGCCCCTAAAATCCAACAACAACATTCACAGCATCCCCATCAACTCTCTTCGAACTGTAAGCCACCTTCCCAACACAATCTCCGTACTCATACGCATCACCCAACTCCCCAGTCCCACCCGAAGAAGTCGGCACACCAAAAGTTACATCCGTCTTAGGCAATTGATCACAGGTATGAGTCCCCGAGTTCCAAGGATAATACTCCACAAAGCCCACCTGGCTCCCTTGGATACCCCCAGAGCCAGAGGGAAGCGTATAAGACCCAATATGAGTTTCCGTCCCATCAACAGCATCAACCATCGTACCAGTCCACGTGGTACCCTCCGTATTTTTGACGCGAAGAACGTAGCCGTGTGCGTAGGTCGCAGAGACATCGACAGCGCAGGAAACGCCCGCGCCACCGTCCGCACCGTCCGAGCAATTCGCATCTGCGCTTGTAGTGCCGGCAACGAAGCTGGAGAAAGCGGCGTGGACTACCGAGCCCGAGCCCTTGTCTTCGCGGGGCTGGAGACCTGTGTATCCGACATCGCTCTGTCCCGCGAAGCTGAATTGCTGTGCGTAGTAGTACCCGGATTTGTGGGCTGCGTTGGGCATAGCGATTGGGAAGCTGATGTCCTTGAGACCATCGCTAGGGGCGTTGGATACCTTCCAAGAGATTCCCACGAGGGCGTGGGTTGTTTGGAGGAGGGTTGAGAGGAGGGTGGTTTGTAGGAGGGAAGTCTTCATTTTGGTGGTATCTGTTTGGTTGTTTTTTGAGATTGATGGGATTGTGGTGCTTCTGCTTGTTTTGTATTGCGTTCTTTCGTTTAGTCTGGGTGATTCTTTTGCGAGGTAGAAGACCCCTTTATACTATTCCGGGGCTGCGTGTGGATACTACAAAACACCCCCTTTGCTTATTATTTTCCAAGGTTCTGACAAGTCAGGGGATACTATTTCTTACACTGCATGTACTAGTAGGTTGAAAAAGTTATGCTTTTTCTAGAAAGACTATATTAGGAAATAATAGTAAGAACTTAAAAGTAAATCCTGCCACAAGAAAAAAAACTACTCTTAGAATAAACAGCCTCACAGTATCTTCACCAACCAACCCTCTTCGTACTATAATCCACTTTATCAAGTGAATTTTGAACTTCTTTTCCATCCGCACCAGTTATACTGGCACTCAGAAATAAAACACTTCGTAATTCTGCGGTACATAGTTGTATGGAGCAGCGTAGATTGACTGGAGCTTGGACCTATCAAGCCGAAACAACGCGGTGTTTCAGTCCACGAGCACCAGATCTGCAAACTCAATCCATGTTGCCGCGAGGTTACATGGGTTGTCTGGTGGAACATCACCTGAACGCCTTGGAATGTTCGCCGGAATGTGATTATTATCCGCTCCATCTATTATAACTGAAGAGGTGTGGGATGAGGTATCACATAAAGTGGAGTCTTGAGGTACTACTACGCTAGTAGATCAGAAACGACCGTAAACATTGAATGTTTCATTGCGTTGGCACCTGGGTGCTCTATAGCGTCAATTCTCTAGCGAAGGCTTTTATGGAATGACCGTCATCTGAACATGACATGCAACATGGACATCGCCGTGATAACCTAACCGAAACCGGAAAAATAGTGATGTATGTAGTGACCGCTTAGCTGTCTTGAAGATATAACAGGAAACAATATCGAGATCTATGCTTGTAATAACCTTGAACGATGCAAGCCTGACTGGGTATGTCGTGAAAACGCCGAAATGAAAGAGGTATGTCGTGAAAAGGGATGAGGGAAAGAGGGGGAAGAAAAATAAATATAATCTCTGCTCAGCGAAGTTCACATATTGAGCAGACTCATCTGTCGTCGCATCGGGTTAGGGGATAACGAATCGCCATCCTCGCTAGGACCTATCCCGCTATCCGTACCCGCGAGTCCGGCGTCAGTGTCGATATCCCATTGTTCATCCGCGGCCTCGTCTTGATCATCCCCGGCAGCACCATCCCAGCTTTTCTGTACGGCCCCACGAGTATTCCAGCGGAGAGCACGTTGGACACTGGTGAACCACTCGCCGCTGTCTGATACAACGGTGGGGAAGGGATACTGGCTGGCTTCGATAGTGACATAGTCACCTTGGCGAAGCTCAACTCGGCCCTTGCCATCGAATGAACAATACGCGGTGGATCGGGATGTATTGGGAACGGCGATGCGGAGAAGATGCGAGTCTGACAAAACCATAGGGCGGAAGGAGAGAGTGTGAGGACAGATTGGGGTGAGAAGAATGCCCGGAATTGATGGGTGCATGAGTGAGCCACCAGCGGATAAGGAATAGGCTGTCGAGCCTGGATTTGTTTGTTTTGGTCAGTACGAAAAGTCACTGTCCAAATGCAGCTTCGGATGACACATACCTGTGGGGGTAGAGAAAATGCAGCCATCCGCTTGAACAACGGTCAATAGCTCATCATCTGCATATAGCTCTAGATTGGAGACATATGGCGAAGGCCCCCGGTCAATTACCAGCTCATTCAGAACCTCGAATTGCTCGCCCTCTTCGACTGCGCCGACTCCCGCGCCTTTGCTCCGGTCTTTCCGGTACACGGTACATGTGAATCGCATCCGCAGGTTCACGCGCATGCCGACGTCCCCCATGACCCCATTCAGATGCGTCTTATAGTGGTTGAAATCAAAATTTGTGAGAAAGCCTAGGCTCCCGAGCGAGAAACAAAACACCGGTGGCACTACGCGCTGGAAGAGCCATGAGGTGAAGAGGACCGTTCCATCTCCGCCAAGGGTGAGGACAAGATCGAATTTATCCGGGGAGGTCCAGCAGAGATCGGGTGTCCAGAAATGCAGCATCTGGGCGAACCGCGGTTCCTTCTGAAGCAGGCCGGCGGTATCGAATCGCTTGGAGTTCCGCAGTTTGGCATCCACGTAAACATTGACACCCAGGTCGCTTCCATATCGTGGTGTTGACAAAAGCCATTCGGCCAGCTCACGAGTCAGATGCACCAGGCTGTTGTCTCGTGCCTTGGTGACAATCATGACATTGCGCACGGCGCGTTTGATCGGCCGCCTTTGCAATTGCTTCGACACCTCCCGAACACCCGTTGCAGTCTGTACCAATCTGGAATGCGACAGCCACTCATCATCCGCAATCTCTTCTAGAACCTTCTTTATATTTACTGCATCGTCGAATCTCTGGTGGAAGTAACATGGTGACTGTAGCAGCAGTCGCGCCGTTGCGGGGGATCGATCGAGATATCCGCTCAGTTGGAGATTAGACAGCGCAGTCGACAAATTTTGGGACGAGGCAGCACTATATCTGCGTTCACGCCCTTTGTTCTTCTCATTCTCCTTCTCTTTTTCATCGGGCGGGGATGAGGCTTCGCCATTGGTGAGTAGGCCTGAGAATGGACCTGAAAAGCTCGCGTTCTGATTGCTTTTGGAAAATGCTGGCCGTGATGCCAAAGCCTTCATGATGGTCTGTCTAGGAATGCAGTCGGTCGAGAGGGCTTTCTGAGATCGGTGTCCAGACACGGAGTTCTGGCGAAATCGGCGCAATGCCGAAGAGGGCAGCGACCGGCCGACGGCTTCTTCCTGGACGGGATCTATCTTGGCGGGGAGCAGGGCAGTACTGTTTGGAGTTTTCGAGGGGGGACCGCGAGAATGAATCTCGTTATGTGTCTGAGAGGGCTCTATATGGAGGGCATGATCGCGAAGCAGGGTCGCGCCGACTTTTGAGGCGGATTGGGGTGGGGCAGTAATGGACCTTGCAGTTGCGGTGGTGACGGTGGCGGTCGGAGATGGAGATGAAGATGAAGATGAAGATGGAGAAGTACGCGATGACGAGCGCAGGGTAGAAAGCTGAGTGGTGGTAGTGTCAGATCGGGACGACTCACTGCCGGGCGACGCCATGAGCAGTTAACCTAGGTTAAGTACGAGTCAATACTCGTCACTGCAGGATGAGGTGACCTCGGGGGCTGCAGATACTCGAAGTCAACGGGCTGGGACCGAGCTCGGATGTAACGGGGATTGCGCGGGAGTATGGCAAATCCCCCTCAATGGAACGCGGTGAGACGATTCCACCGTCTTCCACAATTTGGGATCTGCCGACAGGGATGTGGATGTGGATGTGAATGTGGATAGAGTCCCCGATCGCCGTGAGTGGGGGAGGATGTTGGTGTTTGGACAAAGAGGACAGGGATGATTGAGAGGTTGAGAGGTTGAGAGGTTGAGGTTCAGAGTACACTCTCGTCAAAGACTCGGGCTCTGAGCCAAACCAAACTCTTCAAAATGCCGACAACGGAAGCACGGCTCAAAGATGAAAAATAGAATAAAAAAAGTGGAAACCTTTGGGGAATGAGTCCAAGCGCCGGATAAATGAGTAGCGTGGGGAAATCTAAGAGGAAGTGCAGTACATGGGAAGGCTCCAATGCTGACGTCTTCCATTGAGGAGAGGGGGAAGTTTCTACTTGATTTACCGCGGCTCCGGAAACTTGCGTCGTTTCTTATAGTAATTTTCTTTGCTTGTTTGCTTCTTTTTTTTTTGCTTGTGCTTATGCTTGTGCTTCTGCTTCTGCTCTCGGTCCTCTCGAACAGAGTGAGGCTAGGGCTTATTGCTATCATATAGCGTTCCTGCTGCTGCTATTGCTGCTGACTGGCGGAGATTTGCCTGGGTTCGTGCTTCATATTCACGCTTCATTGGCAGCGCCGCCCTAGCGACCTTGGTGCCTTACCTGGTACGACAAGGTGCAGGCGGCGTCAAGCCAGTGCGACCGAGCGTATCGGTCACTTTCTCGTCGGAATGGTTGACCCGAGCCTCGTACATGCAGTGGCGGAGAGGAAACAAGCCTCGACTGTGGTGTGACAGTCGTCACACTCGTGATCCCGTGAAGCGGCGAGTCAGCAACTTTGAATGCGGAGATCAAATGCCCGAGTATCGCAGGAAGTACCTCCTACAGGCCAAGGCAGCCTGGTATTCTTCGGGGGTTCTGCGTCGTGTCCCCGTCGTGTCCCCATTCATGATAATCTTCCTCCCCGCTGCCCGGTGCAGAGCTTGCTCATCGCATTCAGACGGAATCAATCTTCCACGAGTAGTCCTTGTAGAGGCGATCCTCTACAGTCTCCCGAACAAATCCTTTGGGACGAGAGTCGTCCGCTTCATCGCCCATCGCGACGTCTCCATCCGGCCCAGGGGCAGTCATGTCCTGGCAGATGGACAGAGCACGGTCTCGAACCTGTTCCCAAGTGTCGAAATCAAATCGGCCCTCGCTCTCATTGAGAAGTAGGTGGTTCTTAGAAGAAAAGGCGAGGACGTGGAGAGACGCAGCGGCCTTTGCGTCAACAGCGGAGAGGTCGGTGATGATGGCGCCAGACTTGTTCACACCCACTAGGGTGGCTGAAAATGTCATCGACAGAGGCACGGCGGCCGATAGCAAGGCAAGGAGTGATGTATGGAGCAGGGCCGGAAGGATGGTAAGGTACTGTGAGCAAATATCAGTTAGAACGAGATCACACATGGAATCACTCCACGAGAAATTGCTCAGAGGGGTCTTACAGAATCACCACGGTCGACAGTCTCGCCTCCGACAATTGCCAGCGTGATCACTACGCCGCGACGAGGAAATCCTCGTTCGCGACCCAGAACGACCTTGCTCAGCACACTGCGGAGAATTCCCTCCACATGGCGTTCTCCAACACCTGCTGTAGTATTTCCTGGCTTGACGAAAACTTCCACGGTCGCTTCTTCGGGTTTCAGGGCGTCACGACGGGCGGGTAGCTCAATGGGGGCATTCACGGCACCGAGCAGATCGTAGCCGGTGGCAGGACATTTGTAGGAGGCCGAGCCGTCGGAACGGCTCAGGTTCGAGAGTGATGCTGTAAGGCCAACCATTCTGTAGCAGTAGAACCCAGGGGGGGTTGAAGAAGAGTTCAATTTGGTGGAGGAGATTGAGAGTAGACGTGAGGCAAAGCAAAGCAAAGCGTGGGAAAGCACCGGGGGGAGTTCAAGTTTGAAGCGCGGATTTTGCAGTGCGGGCCGCGCGCTGATTGGCCAGCTCCACAAGAAGATGATGAAAACAACAAAATACCAGTAGAGAAGATGTTGGTGAAATAGAAGTCAGTAGTTACGGGTAGAGGACCTATTTGAGGCATTAAATATGTGTACCTAAGAGTAGTGAAAGAGAGGGATTGTTTGGGTTTGCCTGGTGGTGTCTATGTTAACAGTCGTACTACTCATACCATTAGTATATTCCAGATTTACTTGTAGTACTTGTAGTACTCTACTAGCTAGTAGGTACCAAGTATAGATCCTTTACCTATGTCAGTAGAGGCATACCTACTAGTTACTAGATACTAGTAATACCACTGGCACTCCGCAGTACTCCGTACCGGCAAAAGACACGACCACCTTGTATCTTGGCGATAATCCCAAGACCAACGCTTCCAACTAATTGGTCCAAGTATTGCACTGACACTGACTGGCATTGACACACGACCCAAGACCTGTTCCGATGCGCCGAGATCTTGGAAAGTGGCGGAACAGGATTGGCAAGGCCTCCGCCTCAATGCAGTCATGAACTAGATGGAACCATGGATATCACCTTGAAGACGCGAGAACTTGACTATTGGCGAAATCCGTTTGGTCAACATGATTACCCTGTCAATATTTTGTTAGGGAAGTTGAGAATCCACGGCTGGAATCCATCCATCATCGATCGATCGACAAGAAGCTAGGATGAGAACCATCCGGATTGTGGCTGGTCATCCAACCCCCTCATGTCCAATGAATGCCCCGGTTAGCCTCGCTCCAAGACATCTAGCGGCTTGCCAACCGATGTTGTCGTAAGGTATCACATTAGGATAGGACCAGCCAAGCATCTCCGCAGGCATTCCCCAATGACATCCTCGTTTATCCCACCCCCCCACCGCCGCTCACGATACCATCCCCCTCTTTCGTTTGCATACAAATACAAACAGTCCATTGTCACTCCCTCCCTTTCCTATTTCCCAACTTATTCTGCATCTTGAGAGGTCTCTCTGGTATCACAGGGAAAGGAACCATCGGTTTAGTTTGGCTCGCAAGAATTAAAACATTTGCTTGTTATTATCCCTCCTTTCAGCTTCCTTTCAGCTTCCTTCTCCTTACACCTCCTTGAATGGGCATAGAGACAACTCCCGATGTCGAGGAATCGACTGAACCTCCTATATGTCCTTGTACGGAGCCCATTTCACATGAATCACCCACAACCTTAAGCCTTAAGCCGTGCGACCCGAAAGAAAAGCCGGCAACGCCGCTGGCCACCCATAGCTTGCCTGTCCGCTCTGAGCAGCGCACATCGACCGAAACGACTGAAAGAACAGACGATCGGCTCAAGAATGCCCATCTCTTGGAGCCTTTTCAACTCACGACCCTCCTCCAGACAGACCTACAGTACGTGGCTACTAGTTATTCTCTTTCTACTCTCACAGAAGAACTTCCATATTGACACTTTCTCCCCTCGCTTTTTGAAGTAATGGACTTTCCAGCTCCGAAGCAGAATTGCGCCTTGAGCGCGACGGTCCAAATGCGGTCCGCGAAATCGAGAGCATCTCCTTCTGGGGGATACTGCTAAGGCAGGTATCCAACAGCTTGACGATAGTGAGTGCGGGCCATCTTATAATATTCGCCCAGGAGTGGGGGAGAACTGGCAGCTAATGGAATTACCTTCTAGGTTCTTCTGATCACCATGGCTCTGTCCTTTGGAATCGATGATTACATCGAAGGTGGTGTCATAACAGCCGTGATCCTCCTGAACATCATCGTTGGGTACGTCGTAGGAATCACTTATGCCTCCCGGAGCTTGCTGACCAGAATAGCTTTGTCCAAGATTATAAAGCCGAGAAGACGATCCTTTCCCTCCACCGCTTGTCGGCGCCAGTTTGCAAGGTCACTCGGGATGGGAAGGTGATTTCTGTGAAAGCTGAATCACTAGTTGTCGGTGATATAGTCCGCTTGGCGGTTGGAGATGTCGTTCCTGCAGACTTGCGGCTATTGGAGGGCATGAACATTTCGACGGACGAAGCTCTTCTCACTGGGGAGTCTCTACCCGTTCAGAAAACTCCATACACCACACTGGTCTTACCGGATATACCTATCGGAGATAGAACCAATATGGCATACTCTGGTTGTAGTACAACACAGGGTCGAGCCACCGGCATCGTCGTTGCAATAGGAATGGCAACAGAAGTAGGCAAGATTGCCCAACTGCTCCAAGATCAGGGCAGTATGGGGAGTAGAAGCCCACTTCGTCAAGCCTTATACCGTGTCAAATCCTTCATCGCCAAGATGCTAGGACTAGTAGGCACACCACTGCAGGTTAAGCTGAGCAAGTTCGCACTTCTTCTCTTTGCATTAGCCATCCTGCTTGCCATCATCGTTTTCTCGGTCAACTTGTGGGATGTGCAAGGTGAGGTCTTGATTTACGGGATCTGCGTTGCAGTGGCTGTTATACCAGAGTCACTCATTGCAGTCTTGACCATTACTATTGCTGTGGGAACAAAGGAAATGGCGAAAGGAAATGTCATAGTTCGCAAACTGCAATGTCTCGAGGCTGTTGGTGGTGTCACCAATATTTGTTCCGACAAGACCGGAACTCTGACACAGGGAAAGATGATCGCTCGATCGGCATGGATCCCAGGAGCGGGCACCTTGACTGTTCGTCAAACGACCGATCCATACGACCCGACCAGTGGCCTGGTTCAACTGGACGAGATTGACTGGAATTCAAGCCACCCTATTGAAAAGCATCCCGCTTTACACACCTTTCTCTCTGCTCTTTCACTCTGTAACCTCTCGGTCGTGCAGCATGAAAATGATGTATGGTCCGCAGTTGGAGAACCGACCGAAATAGCTTTACATGTCTTGGCTATGCGATTCGACTTTGCCAAAAATACTGTGATCCGTGGGCGGAAACTTCAGCTCCACACAGAATATCCATTTGACTCCGCTATCAAAAAGATGACAATTGTGTATAGCAACGCGGAAGATGGTTTCAATGAGGTATACACCAAAGGTGCACCGGAGGCTGTCATTCCCTCCATATCAACTAGCGAAGGCGAAAAGCAGATCATCCGTGAAACCGCGGATAGAATGGCCGGAGAGGGACTTCGTGTTCTTTGCATTGCCTACAAAAAGACTGCTATCGACAATAACGACTTCGTCTCCCCTCGGGCGTCTGCAGAGAGCGATCTCCAATTCGGTGGGCTAGTTGGCCTGTATGATCCTCCACGCGTCGAAACGGCGGCGGCGGTGCGGAAATGCCAAATGGCAGGGATAACAGTGCACATGCTGACGGGTGATCACATCAAGACAGCCACAGCTATTGCTTCTGAAGTTGGCATCCTCGACCGTGTGGTTGCTTTGGCAAAATCAAGAAAACTAGTCATGGCCGCGGATGAGTTTGACAGACTTACCGACGCTGAGGTGGACGAAATTGAGGAGCTGCCGCTTGTCATTGCTCGTTGTAGCCCGGCCACCAAAGTGCGGATGGTTGATGCTATGCATCGCCGCCAGGCGTTTTGTGTGATGACTGGTGACGGGGTCAATGATTCTCCAGCTCTCAAACGAGCAGACGTGGGCATTGCCATGGGTAAGAATGGCAGTGATGTGGCCAAGGAAGCCGCAGATATGGTGCTCACCGATGACAACTTTTCTTCGATTGTCAAAGCCGTTGAGGAAGGCCGTCGTCTATTCGATAATATTCAGAAGGTACATAGTATCTCCATCGAAAATGCTCCAGTGAATACCAGCTGACCTTTGCTCAGTTTCTCATGCATCTTTTGATTTCAAATATCGCTCAGGTGATCCTACTTCTCATTGCCCTTGCATTCAAAGATACCGGAGGGGACTCTGTCTTCCCTCTTTCCCCACTAGAAATTCTATGGGCCAATCTTGTCACCTCATCCTTCTTAGCTGTTGGACTCGGCCTGGAAGAGGCGCAACCGGACATCATGTATCGTCCGCCGCATGACCTACGAGTCGGAGTCTTTACTCGGGAACTCATAGTTGACAAGATGATATACGGAACTTTCATGGGCTCGCTCTGTCTGGTCGCATTTGTTTGTGTTATCTATGCAGCCGGCGCAGGGACTTCCGATTTGGGAGATGGATGCAACCAAGGCTACAACCCGACTTGTGACGCTGTTTTTCGAGCCCGTGCAACAACATACGCAACTCTAACTTTTCTTCTTCTGGTAACAGCCTGGGAAGTGAAACATTTTTCATGGTCTTTGTTCAACATGGACCCGGTCAGATCTCCTAGGAAGTCCATCCTCTCCACACTTTGGCGCAACCAATTTCTCTTCTGGGCGGTCGTGGCTGGCTTTGTTATTGCCTTCCCAGTTATCTATCTTCCAGTAGTAAACCAAGTGGTTTTCAAACACCATTCTATAACATGGGAGTGGGGTGTTGTGTTTGGCTGCACAGTAACCTATTTGGCCTGTGTCGAGAGTTGGAAGGCTGTGAAGCGGGCGTTTGGAATCGGCAGTGGCATGACCGCGATCCTGACGCTGGAGGATGCAGAAACGAGAGCTGGTCTCGGTACACTTACTCCGCTATCTCTCAGTGCTAATGCAAGTGTGGAGATGAAGTGATACCTGTATGGTGAGTGATTCAACATCGTGGCTGAGAACCGTAAGATTCAACACAACGGGCAGCGACGGATGTGGCACACTTTCTTAGTTACCAACCAGAATGTCATTAGGTTTTTTATGTTCAGGACTGATAAAACAACTTGAAAATGGTTGATATCACTCGAAGACTTTATTGATCTCGGGATCTCTTTTGTTACTAGTACCGACCACTAGAATGAGGCTATCTCGCCCTTGCAAGGCCCCCCACGACCTCTTCGTACATAATATACCACAGCGCCAATGTGATTGAAAATTAGGAAAAGTAGATTTTTGATAATGCATAGTACAGATGTATTATCGAGACCCTTGGATGCCTAAACCTACACCGGTGTTTCCTCTGCTTGGCCCCTGGCAGTGAGACATGTCAGCTGGGAGGCCAGACATTCTGAAGCTTTTACCAGAGCGCCCTAACGACTCTAGCCCAATACTGGCTCTTTTTCAGACATAATTACCTAAAATTTTACATAGTAAAGCAAAATATAACAATTAATCAGCAGATGCGCGCCTGATGGGCGTAAGCCTTCACTGGCTAGGGAATACGATCTTCAAGAAGTGGGTCGGAGAACGGATCACGGTTAGCTCCGAGAGCTTGATCAAGATCTCTTGGATCTATTTTTGAATCTCAAAATATATCCAATATATTGGTAGTATTCCGAGTTCAGCAGAAGGAAAAGTATTTAAGAACCACGAACTGCTGTCAATCACATCATCAACAGCCTCTCAAACAACGGAAACAAAACACAGCAACTCCAAGTTCAATACATTGAAAATGCAGCTTATCACTCTTCTCACTTCTACAATTGCTCTCATTGGCGCTGTCTCCGCCGCTCCTGCTCAGGGGACTACTCGCTACGCGACCTTAGAGCTGATGAGCGATACTACCTGCACTGCTGCACTCGGCGAGATGGGCGTCTACGACACTGATATCAACAAGTGCAATATCATTCCGGATGGGGAGCATGTCCGATCCGTCGAGTTCCGTCTGCAGACGGGTAACTGTGTTTGTGGGTATTGCCGGTGTCCGAGACGATGAGCGCATTCTAACAGTGGACTAGTGCACACTTACAGCGATGTTACTTGCCACTTCGATGACCAGGTTTGGCAAGGGGGCGAGTGCGCTCGTGGCGAGAAGTACTATCGCAGCTACAAACTACTCTGCTAGGTACCGTATAATAGGATTAAACATGAGCGGCGTGGTTGTGTGATGTGTATAAATTTGTCTAGTCTCAATCCATAATACTTGTTTACTTATCAAGATTTTTCTTCCGTCGTTATTTTAGGCAGAAGACAACCAGACAGTAATATTTATATTGTAAATTTTTCTAATCCAAACTGGCTGACGATTGTGAAGATCTCTGTACTAACCATGACGATTCAATTCGGGCGAACGAGGCTGCATCGTGACCGTATAGATTGCACACCGTAGAAGAATCAATGCAACCCTAAATATTTTAATAAGTATCTAGACAGACTGCATTAATCAAAATAACTCCCTATCACAGAGTGGTTGAAATTGAAGTATGTTGGTTTTCTACTTCGCAGACACATGGCCACGTGACCCAGATATGAAACTATTTACGCGTGACGACGGTTCAACGATTTTCATCCTCTCACCAGCAACTAAATCCCCCAGAAATGCCGCCAGCTCCTCCGAAATCATTCACCCTACGCAGACTATGTCAGGCCTGTGCTAGGGGCAAGAGGCGATGCGATCAGCGCTCACCCAAATGCGGCAGATGCATTAGCAGGGGGCTGGATGGTGAATATACGAGCGCACCAATGACCGTTAGAAAAGCACCTCAGAAATGTATTGAAGGCCAAACTCCCCCAACTTCTGCCAGAGAATTACACTCCTATGGGTTAAATAAAATCCCCTTTGCGGTTAGAGATTGCAAAAGAATACGACCAATCGGCCATTCGGTTCTTAGTGAATGGAATACGAGAGCTCCCGAGAGTATTTGCAAAGAGCCAAAAAACACTCTTCATTCATCTTGATGTTAATGTGTCGGAGCCTCCAGCACCCATTCGCAATATACATTGGCTCTGCAAACTACAGTTACAAGCAGAGGAAGCAAATCTATGCCCTCTTTTACGAAGGAAATTGGTAGAGTATACGCAGCATCTTTCACACGCTTTGGGAATGAAGAGCTTCTTGGATATTCTCAGGCTTTGATTCTCACCCAGTGCATTTTAGCCTTGAATGAAGACGAATCGAATGAGTACTTTGAGGGAACGAGCGTGTTGCTAGAATGGGTCGCCGAGCGATTGTGGCAACAAGCTCATATTCAGCTTCCTCCATCGCTTAGTCCTCGACACGCCTGGTTACTAGCCGAGAGTGTCCGTCGTACCATCATCGTCAGCCTGATGCTTCGCAGTGCGTATTCATTGCACACTAGGAACTACTCTGTTCGGACGCCATATGTGGATGTCTTATCATTCGACGTGCATATGGAGCTATGGGATAATGGCTCTCAGCAGGCGTGGGCAGAAGCAGATACGGGATCTCGTGCTGCAATGATGCCAGTGAATGAATACTCCGATGCTCTAGAACACGGCCGAGTTTTTGATGTCTCTCCATTTGCTGCATTGATCCTGGCAGCCTGCAAAGGGAAAGAAGTATCGGGCAAACCCTTTCCACCGGTGAGCTCATATATCATGACATGATACAGACCAAGTTATAATGCAAAAGCCGCGGTTACTATGACATATCCAAGACAGAGAAAGCAGTCCACAAGCACAAACTCAAATGTGAGATAATGGTGTTCCGACGACTAACGTAGATCGCATAAAGGTGAACATCCATGCTAACGTACAAAAAGGGCTCCACGGAAAAAAAAAAAGAAAACAGTGCACGAGAGCTGTTGGCGCATGGGTTACTGTCGCTGAGGAAATTGTTGCTATGGGTACCGAAGTCGCTTGGGTTGCATATCCATTCGCCGTATTGAAAAGATAATTAAATCCGAAGCTTCCAGGTTTCAAATGCTGCTTTGGTCAGGGTCGCAGAGGGGAAATAGCCGGCATTGGAAACGAGACATAAATGCTGCACGGGCCAGTGCTGTCATCATTAGCTGCCCGGGTAGAGCATCCCCAGTGTCAATCAGACAAATCAATTGTCTTCATCGTCCTGGAACTCCACCCAGGTCTTCATTTTCGCTCGCACATGCTCACCGTATAAGACAAACCCCTCATCACCGTCGACAGAACGAACAAGACAGTTCTCTCCCGGCTCAAAGAAGAACGGGACACTGATCCTGCCTAGCGCCTGGCTTTCACCATTCTGTTGGCCAGTAACAGCAGACGCAGAGGTACTCATCGGGGGTGCACGCACACGGTGCATGGTGGCAATAAATCTTCCACCTGATACCTTGGTCATGAGATCTCCAATATTGACCACCAGCGACTCGGCAATATAGGGCGCGGCGACCCATTCTCCAGATGAGTTGCGTACTTCCAAGCCTCCGGTGGAATCTTGGTGCAGCAAAGTCAAAATTCCACTATCGGTGTGAGGAGTACAGCTCAGCTTGACATTATCTGATCCTGCAGGACCTGAACCTGAAGCGACCGATTCCACTGCAGGATAGTGGAGCAATCGAAGAGTGCTCAAGGAGTCCTCCAAATACGATCCGAAATAGTCCGCCGGTTTACCGAGAGACACAGCAAGGAGTGAGAGGAGCTTCGACGCAAGAATCTGAAGCTCGACATAAAGAGTCTCGAGCTTTGGTCGAGCTGGAAGCAGACTCTCCTCTGGCCAGACATTTTGCTCGGCGAGGTTGAACTTTGATGTCGACGAGGTGGTGGATTGTGTACGAATAGGCACGGCAGGGCCCATCTCAAACCCTTCTTTCAGATTGTCGGAGGCCAATTCGGGCTGGGTGGGAAAATATCTTTACAGAAATATGTGCGTTAGTTATGATGCTATTGAATAACCAGATGCAAGGGTAATGACCCTCGATATGTGTTCTGATGGCTGCGTCGGAAAGATCGTTTGGCGAGCTTCATTTTTTCCTCTTGGGGCAATGCAAAGAATTCTCGCGTCATGCTGAATACCTGCTCGTGATTGAAGCTCAGAGGGACATTGGTGAGGTATGCGAAGCCAGTCGTAGTGAACACATCATATAAACGCTGGCTGAGAGCCGTCAATTGCTCTTCGGATGCCCTCTCCGGGATTCCCGAGAGGACCAACATCGACAACGGGCAGCGAAGAAAAAGTGGTCGTCATTGTTATACGACTGTTTGTATGCTTGAATATTGGAGGAGAAATTGAAGGCGACACCGGCAATAATCGCGGGGCAGTGCGCAAGCTTTATAATGAAATTCAATTCCAAGGCAAACCCTCCCCGCTGACACAAGAGATCCACACAGATCCACCACGGGGAAGAGGTCGCGTGTCGTCTGTCTGCACCCCCCTTAGCCAACCATCGGTCACCAAAAAGCGGTGGCTCTAAAGTGTCAGAGACCAATGGACTACCCAGGTGGATGTATCGGGTTTGTGAACCTGGAGAGCGATTGGAAACATAGCGCCGCTAGAGCCTGCGGGTGTTGCAAATCCATGCAAAGGAATCTTGGAATATGCCCTCATGATTGAAACGCACAATCAATTTTTTACACTAATCTTAGCTCTTAGAGTAAATACACCATGGATCTCCCCACTGGCATCTACCCCCTTTCTATCTAGTAGCGGGGATATATCGCACTCGACATGCCCTTCTCGGCATGGGGCGGGGTGTCCCGATACGCGATCCACCGTGTGCCGTGTGGCTGGCGGTTATGATCGAAGGCGCAAGCCAGAGAAAGCCATTATCCATTCTGCTAGGCTCAAATTCCATGGTCTTAACTTGGTAGAATAGCGGAGTTAGCGTGGGGGATGTATTTGCTGTAGGTCCGTGCGTCATGCAGTGCCATGACGAAGCCGTGGCTATGCGATGTTGCCCATCAAGAAGTAATTTCACGGATTTTTGGTGTCTATACAATTGTTACCGGGCATCCTTTTAAACGTTGGAAGGATTGTAGTTTTAGATTTTGATTAAATATGTATTAGAGGATATGTACTAGAATTATCTCAGAACGTACTTGTCAGCAGCATCATGACAGAACGAAATTTATAAACAATCACCACGAGAACGCCTCTTCAAAAAGATCTACAGTCTTCTCGCCTTGCACATTGCGAACAGCTTCGCGAACACTATCTCCCAGGCCACCAGGGCCGCACACACTAACAGCCAATGCACCAACTTGCTCGGCCTTTTCATTTTCCAATAACGGCTGGAAAGACGGCCTGCCGTAGTGCACGTTGATGGGAACATTTGAGGGTGCGCATTGCGTCCATGGTGTCTCTGGCACAGGAATGTACTCCTCAAATGTCTCCTTGTGCTCCGTGACGTAGACACTTATTGAAAGCATGAGCCCGGGGAACTGGAAATATGTCTCTCCTTTAGGGTCAATTATGCTGCTGCTGAGGGAGTCGTGGCTGAAAATATCAGTCATCCAGTTGTGAATCCAGGCCAAATGATCTGATTTGTAGGATTAGTAAGTGTGTCCAAGCATGATATGATGGAATATTCAAGCTTACCTAAACTCCGAATCATCCAGACAAGATGCACCTTGCGAGTTGCCGTCTTGCGAGAGGCAAAGTTGGTTACAACCTCATGCAAATATGACATAGGATGAGTGATGCCAATTCCTCCAGCAACAAGCAGCAAGGTACCATATGAGGCCAGTGAATGAATGCCACCAAATGGTCCCTCTGCCAATGCTGTCACCTTAATCATCCCTTCTGGTGAATCTTCTACTTTCTCCAAAAGTTTCTTGGTGAACCCATCCTGTCCTTTGATGAGGACAGACATGGTGGTGGTCTCTGAACCTCCCAAGAGGGCCGCAATGGAGTCGCTTGAGCTTCGCTTCTCAGTTATGTTCAAAGTGTCTGTATCTGTAGATGACCAGGCAACCGTGAATGGATGAGAAGTCCAGAGACCCAGACCGGGCATGTAGAGATACATGTATTGACCAGGACGGAAATTCCATGCTCGGGAGACATCGACATCCACACGCGCGACCGAGCCTGGGAGTGCTTCCACAGTTGCCGTCGTACGGCGTTTGCCGCAGTTTCTCCATATCAGAATCCCAAGTCTGCTAGCACGCTGTATATGAGTCAGTATGATGTTCATGTACCTTGGAAAGTGATTGAAGAAACATACATCTAGAGACCCCAAAGAATGAGAGTTCCCAGAAGTACCCGCTGTTGCAGTAGGTTTTTCAAGTGATACCAAAGAGCGACAAGCGACATAACGGCAAGGGCAATATGGAGATGTAGAAAAAGCTCATAGAGGGAGTGTCGAGCCGGCGACAATGATTGCACGAAAATGAAAAGGAATCCAAGCAAAGCCTATGGAGACAGAGTTAGACAAGCGATAAGCTGTGGCGACCTAATTCAGTGTTGGACATACCACGAGGCCATAAATGTAGAAGGGCATATGCCATATTGTGTCAAGTATGTAGTTAATACCATCTGCCTTAGGTTAGATGAGTCTTGATCGCCGTAGGAAGATACGTACTCTCGCGTGCCAGACTTGCCAATACAGCAGCCATGTGAATGATTGCATTTGCAGCAATAGTACGCCCAACCCACCGATGCATAAAGTTGAAGGTATCGAAAGAGAGGCCGAGTAGCGGGATCAAGGGGTTATTCCTGCCAGCACTCAGAACCAAACCAGGCATGTTCATCACAGCCAAGTGTCCAGCAGCGTACTTAAGCTGGAACATCTTCTTGGGAAAGTTCTCCCACCAATCTACCGTGACAACCACAAAGATGAAGTTAAGTAAAAGATAGAGTACCAAGAGGATGACTTCCAACCGCAGTGGTACCGATCCCATATGGAGCCTTAAAAGCCGAAATTCGCGACTGTGGCGGGAGCCCCAGAGAGGTGCATAAAATATATGCTTCTTGAGACTCGCATTGGTAGCACCGATTTGAGCGAGCTGGCTCTGGTCATCGGTTTGTCTGGCTGTTTTTGATCTGCGACGGTGTCGAATTCGAATTGCTGTTCTCCAAAAGAATAGCAGGGCGATGAAGCCTCCAACGGAAAACAGAGGAACAGCCACGAATGGGTTCATTGGTGGCTCTCCGGGGCCATTTCCCTTGAGTTGGACGCCCATTGTTCCATTCGACGACCGGGTCTGGCTGTATAGCTCGGAGCAAGGGAGTTGTAAAGGATGCTATTGTCAGCCGCCCAACACCGTGGATGCGCAGTATCTCCTGGGAGGCTGATATCGGGAAGCAGGAGGTGGAAGGGAGGGAAGATTGGTCGATCTGGATGGAAAGATAAATCTTCACAGCGACGCGTGCCAGGGCATCGCCGCCATAAAGTTGTATTCAGTTGTCTTGGCCTATTGCCGCACCTGGATGCCGTCATCGACCCCTGGGGCCTTGAATCGGAAACATCGTCATTCTTCAAAAGACTGAGCCCCACACGAAAACGTGAGTGTAACCGACCGAATCGGGTAGGACTAGATCACAGGCTAGCTTAAGCTTATGCGGGTATTCACGCTGTCAGTGGCGGGTATGGCGTAAAGTCTAGATCTTAGGTTTTAGTTCCCGCGGACCCAGTCTACTCAAGGAGACGAATTGGCGTGCGCAATCCAGCTGATCTCACTGAATCCAGAAAGCTGGTTCTGATGGGTGATTTGCACTGCTAGTCTTGAAACAGTGGGATGGTTGTTTGTCGGCAACCCGAAAACGGATTCGCTGGAGATGCCGTCTTCGGCCTATCCCTTGTTTCCCTCCCCCGCGCATCCGGCCGCCCATCTACATCTATTCCGACCCCATCATTTTTACCCCTGGATTAACTTCAAAGTATTTTGAGATCTTAGGGTTTGCAATTCCAAGCTTTAGCTTATACAAATGGGTGACAATTGAGATCTAAACGTCATTTCCACCAGATCGTGCGGAGCCCCGGAGAACAGCGTGGGCGCAAACCCGATCTTCCTGAACGCAACTGCAACGCTGATAAACAATGGACCAGTTAAATAGTGGAGACAGGGTAGAATGTGACGTTATACTCTCCATCTTCAGTAGGGAAGAGATGGTTGTAAAACTTTAAGTCTAGACCCTGCTAGTACTTCTATGACAGCTTAGGGATCTGTTCGCCGAGGTGAAGAATGAGAGAAGAGAGTACCATTTCCTAATATGTATACAATTCCCTGATTGAGAATCGGAGTCGCCGACTTTAATTGCCCAAGCTGAACAGCCAGCCCTCATTCTATGGATCTTGCGATCAGGCCTTGACGTCGGGTCCGTCCTCGATGGGGCTCTGTCTCTTCCGTGATGCTTCCCATTCGTTTTCTCGTGATGCCCACAGGCGAGCGACAGCCACACTAGGGGCTAATGCGAGACCCATAGCAGTGTGGAAGAGCATCATGGAGCCCAAATTCTCGGAATTAGCATTTACTCTTCGGATATCCCACATGATAAACCACATAAAAGCCATTAGCATCAAATCCAGTAGTAACGCCTTGGCATCATCGCCTCCATACGGTTTCCCCGAGGACAATACCGAGCGTAGATCAATGAATCTCAGTATAGAGAGCCCTTTTCTAGAATCTCCAAAAAATGATACTAGGATCAGACTTAGTTGCAACAATGAGAAAAATTTGGAGATCGGCTTCTGATCTCGATCGCCCCATAGAAGGGCTGGACCACCATCACAGCTGGTGGGGTCCCGCCACAAAACCCCTTTCCTGACTAGCTGGATGGTGAGGGGTAGGGTGGCATGGGAAAGGGCCCATGGGAACGATGGAAACGTGGAGCAAGCAAATGTGTATGCTATGACTGGGAGGTAGTTGACGAGATAGGCAAGTTCAAGGGACCGAGCGGTGGCTAGATCGATCGCTCTTGGGGAGGGGTAGTAGTAGGATTTCATGCCCGTGAAGAAAGCGAATAGAGCCATGTATAGGGGCGCCACAAACTCCCAGCCGACGAACATGGCAGCTATTCCGAATGGAAGGGCACTGGTCCTGATTAGCTCCGAAACGAAATCAGAAGGGGGGTATGTAGTATAATGGGAGTACCCACCTGCGCAATGGGCTTATTGAGAAACATGTGCGATATGACTCGATGGATATAATAACCGTGAGGACTGTGACGGAAAGGTTGTAGTAGAGCTGGACGAATTTTGCCCGTTTCTCTAATGTCGACGTAGGCTTTGCTTGCTGCATGTGGGGATACAGGTAAAACAGGAACGTAGCAAGGAGCAAAGCAAAAAGCATAGTGACGGTGCCTGAGCGACGCTTAGGCTTGACTCGAACCTCATCAGCGAACGGCATAAAGCCACCGCGCGAAGAGAGAGGCAAATGCTTGAGGCGCGGGGTTTCCGCAAACATTTTACCAAGCGCATCAGCCATCACTTCCATGCCCGCGTATTTGATCAGTTTTAACTGAATGAACTTGGTCACCCGCGTTTCCAGAGCTTCCATTTTCTGTATGCCGTGAGACGTATCAACAACTTTGCTGGATAGCGATAGTCGAGCCTGTTGATAGTTCCGCAAGGCCGTGTCCAGACCAGCTTCGTTGGTATTTCCATCTTCTACTATAGCATCCTTCAACTCATTTGCTAGAACAGCAGCGGATTGTATTGCAGTGTTTCCGCCCAGCCCACCTAGGGGATTGACCTGAATTATTAGTTAGTATGGCACGTTTTTGTCACAGTTAGTGTTTTCTACCTTGTGCCAGGAATCGCCTAGCAGCACCATTCGTTTATAAAAAGAATGCTTCAGAATTCCCTCTTCAATGGGGACAATTGAAACTCGAATTCGGCGGTCATAGATATCTCCGAAGTTTAACCCGGGCCTCACCATATCATCACGAGCTAAGGCAACGATTCGGTTCAGATCATCTTCCGTGTAGCGCGGGATCGCTTTCCCCTGCGTCTTTTCTTCGTTTTTGAACGGTAAGAACCAATACAGAGTACCGCCAGGACCGGCTGCGCAGAGATGATTGTGTCCTTCTCCGAAACATTTGAATGCCTGGTCCGGGCGAATGCCCTCTGGGGGCGCCTTTGAGATACCAAACAGGCCGCCATAGTCACAAGTAAATGCTGGTTGAAGTAAGAATTCTGTATCAAGGAGGTGAGGCATAACCACTCACCATGTGCTTCTGGGAAAAGATCATTGCCAGGGCTGTGCTCAGCGGCAATACGCTGCATCTCCTGCCGAACATGACTATGAACGCCGTCCGCACCTACTACAAGGTCTCCATGGAACAAAGAGCCGTCGGCTGTCTCAACCTCTACCCCTTCCGAATGATAAAAGACTTTGACAACCGCGTGTGAGGTCTTGACTTTGGACCTCTCCCGGAGATTCTCAAAGAGCGTCTCGATCACCTTTCTCCGGTCCATAAACCGCATCTTAGAGCCGAACCTGCAACAAATTTTAGCTACCAAGAAAGCGGCCATCTACGCGAACTAGCAAATAGCTTACGATTCCTGAAACCAGCGCCCAAATTCAGCCAAATCGACTGCTGGACCTCCATACCGATCCGTCATAAGCAGAGAATTGACCGGCTCATTTGCGTCTTCGAGGGTCTGGTAACAACCTAGCTGATCAAGAATCCGAGCGCCATTTGGTTGAATCGCGAACCCTGCGCCAAGTTGCGGTGCAACAAGAGCGTGTTTTTCTAGTACCACAAAGTCAATGTCGTACTGCTCCAACATATTGGCCAAGGCCAGGCCAGCGATGCTGCCGCCGACAATGATCACCTTAAATGGCGCCATGGTATGGATGTCGTGAGCTGCAAAGTTTTGGTTGACCCAACGAGGGCTTTCCTGCTTTTTCAACCCCGATTTGGGACGGACTCCGTGCTTGTCCTTGTCCGTTCGTGCAGATTCTCTAGCGTCATATCACGAGAAATTCTGCTAGCTTGGGGGCCATGAAAAGCGGAGCTCTGTTTTGTTGTTGGGACCCGCTGATTTGTTATCGGCGGTCCTTCGTTGCTCCGTGACTCACGCGAGATGTGACAGCTCAGCATCGCCCCGTTTCATCCCGTCGGCATTACGGGGTTATGAGTAGGCAGCCAAGATGTGAATATAGCCCCGAAATACGATCGGGGTAGGTACCGGAGCTGGGGGTTTTCTATGTGGCGGCCAAGACCGATTAGTACACCATTCCACCTTACAATTCACAAACTATTTGGTCGAAATTTAATTTCAGAATGATACAATGCTTTACCACCGAAGGCTATGCTGTGTAGTAGATACAGCAATATCTAGACATCAAAGAATGTTTTTTGCCCAACAAAAGGCATCATAGCCCCAACCTTGAGAAACGCCACTATCCGCCTTGCTCGCAGTGGATTTCCAAAACGGCCCTAGTAACTAGTATCCCTTTCCCATGATTCTTCCTAAGATAATACAACCCATTCTCAAAACGCCAGATATTCGAATTCAAAAACCCATAACGCCAAACTATCATATGATCATCATGAACTGCAGCAGGCTTCAGCTTTAAGCAGAAACCTCCTGGACCTTCTCCGGAACATTAGGAATAGGAATACACTGAGCGTCATCCTCCAGGCTAAGGCTCCCATATCCAGTGTCATTGCTAGCAGACCGTTCCCTGCGCAAAGGCTTTCCGGAACGAGATCCGATCACGTCCTGATCAGCATCGCTCTGATGAGACTGGTCGGATGCACCGCGGCGACGACGTTGGCGTCGCTTTCTTGACTGAACCATCTCCGGCGGTGGCGTGTGCAGAAAGTCATCCACATTGATGCCTGCATTCGCACAGGCAGTAGAGCATGACTTAACTATCACATCAACAAGTGTGGGGGAAAAGCCGTAGAATGCTGGGTTGTAGGCATTCCGCGACCAGTAGATGAGCTCGGCGGCAACTCGGCCCAAGTTTGGGATATCGCGGGGGCACACCGCGAGCTTCCATGGGACACGAGGCTTTTCGTCGGCCTCATCATCTGCAGAGGCAGCCTCGGAAGGCGGCGCGGAAGGGGCAGAAGAATCTGATGAGACAATGTAATCGACATCGGAAGCAAGGAGGTGCATCAAATGATAGACCGCTGAGAAACCGAGCAAGCTTAGCTCGACGGGGTCAATGGGGAGTTGGTTGAACCAATTGATGGCTTTCTGAAGGGTAAAAGAAGCGGGTAGACTCGTGTCACCAGCAGATCGGGAGGTTACGACCGTGGCAATCATCGCACACCGCACCGCGATCGAGATTTCATCCCGAACCGAGACAGGCAGCGAGGAATCCAGGAAGTTTGCGGTCTGATTATGCTTGTCCTTTCGCTTATCTTTCGGAAGTGTGGCGAGAACTGCCCCGACGTTTTCAATACGGCCTTGCTCAAAGAAAACTGCCTTCATGACTAGAGCGCGGGCATAGGCAGCGGAGAGGCCGGGAGCCACATTGAGGGCCATACGGATCTTCTCCTTAAACGCGTCGCGGCTTGTTTTGGAAACAGGACCGCCTTCGCTGGCCTCCAGGTATTTCAGAAGGGCATTCTGCAGAAGATGACTAGACCACCAGGCTGCGAGTGCGTCGACGGAACACTGAATGGCGGGGTCTTCTTCAACCACATCAAGCATAACCTCGTCATCACCAGTGCCTTCCTGTGTAGGCCGGTTCCAGGTTAGGTTCACAGCACGTTGGATGATACTATCAGTCATGACATCTTCGCAGTCTATATCGACGAGAGTAGCGAGATGAGATGGAAGTCTGTCTGGATGTCCCCCGGGAAGTGCATCGTTGATATCTTTCGCGACGCCCCACTGGAATCGGGCAAGAGCACGAGCAATGTCGTTGGAAACTTGGAAACTCCAGGAACCAGGCTCGCCAACCCGCCACAAAAGAATTCGAACATGCAAAGCCTTAAGCATCATTCGCATTGGGCTTGAAGGAAGTGTCCCGGCAGCGAAAATGGTCAGCACGAGGCGGCTCTTGCTAATCTCCGCATCACCACCCGTAAGTTGAGCATCGATGGCGATGTCCCATGTCTTGACACGGCCTTTCTCATCCTCTTCGGTGATCCCAGTGACCCATGAGTAGATCTTCCAGCCCATGAAGCACCGCAAGACGTACTCAAAGCATCGCGATGTAACAACATACCATTCGCGGAAGAACCTGTGTCGTGGTACACCCACTCGTTGCATGCTTGTCAGCCAAGCCTGGCGACGAAAGTCACTTGATGTCGGGGCGGTCGTCTTTGCTTCAACTGCCTTGGCTGGGGTACGCTGTGTAACAGGCTCAGAGTTAAAGAGGTAGACAAAGACAATGAAGGCACTGCCAAAGACCATAATGGCAAGAATCAGGAAGTGCGAGATAGCCCGTGCATGCGGGGAGTACCAGAAACTGTTCATGTAGTACTGCCAGTGAGCAAGAGAAGACGGCTGGAGGCGGTTCAAGAGGTTCAGTGGCATCGCCAGTAAACCCTTTGCCTCCGATTCGGACTTGTCCGAGCCAAAGCCTTCCAGGACCATGAGTCCAGCAAGAGCCCCCAACATGTACTTATTCGGCATCTTTGATCGTCGACGGGATCCCTCCTCTCGAGCCAACGGGCCATTTGAGGGTGAGGCTGACAGGTATGATTCGGCGAAAATTCCTCGAGGTGCGTTCTCTTCTCGGAATCGTTTGAGAGAGTCGGGAATCTTGATCATGCCTTCGGGAGGGCTACCTGAAGTCGGCGGGCTGTCGAGTTCCTCCGGCTGAGAAAAAACACTTGGTGACGTGCCGGCGTTGGAATCACTGGACGCTGTGTAATTGCTGGGTGAGGAAACGGAGGCCGACGATGTCACTGCTTGATCGGCTGCTTTATCGACCTGGCGCAGACGGTTTTTTAGGCCAGTATTTTCGTCTTCGAGCCGCTTGTTGCGAATCTCGAGGTGCTTGATATACTCGGTAGCCTTGGATAGAATGGAAGCCTTGTTGAGCTTGTTGGCGGACTGAGCAGCATCTCCATCGTCTTCTTCCTCATTTGAATCGCCATTTGGATTCTTCGACGTCCGCAGACTCGGCACGCTGTCGCGGAGTTCGGCAATCTTCTCGTTGAGATTGGCTCGGTATCGTTTCTCAATGACATTGTGAGCACGCTTCTTTGCGGGCATCTTCTTGCCGGGCTGGACTGGTCCAGTCACAGTTGTAGCATCATCGTCGCTGCCCGTCTTTCGCTTCCGACCAACTCCCACGCTTGAGATCGGTGACACGAGGCCAATTTGTGAGGTTGGGAAGTTGGAGGCGATGGAGCTTCTCCCAGTTGCATTACGTTTGAATCCCTCGTGCTGGTGTGCTGGGATCTCCATCAATCCAAGCGGGAGGTGCGGAGAGAATTCCTGTTGCTGGAGATGACTGGGGGAACTGGAGACTGTATTTGGAGAGATAAATGGAAGATTGGCAGGCTTTTGATTATTTTCTTCCGAAAACATGGGCTCATCCCATCTCATCCACTGGGTCCAGTCCTGGTTGGAGTTCTCGGCGGTTGATTGGGGTTGGTTCGGCCATCCCCGCCAGAATGGCGGCGGGGAGAAAAGAGTTGGAAATCATTATCCATGTTGAATGTAGTTGATGTGGTGACCTGACGCACACGGCGTGGATACTAGACTCGTGGTGAGTATCAGATCGAATGGAAAGCAAAACCGCGCACGATTGCGAACACTAAGTCGGCTGTTAGTTCGGTATAGTGAGTCGGAGGAGGGCCGCCGAAATTGCCATGCACTGAGGACTGTCATGACAGATTCGACGACCAATAGCGATGAAAATCAATTCAAAAAAGGATCTGATGACTTACTGGGTGCTGGTACTCGTATCAATCAACGGGGATGGAATTAGATCAACCTCCAGGGCAGGGTAGGGAGATGTAGAAGCAAAACTGAACGAGGGAAAGGAGTTGTCAGAGTCATGACCGCAGAAGGTCCATGGGAACGGAGAGCTAGGCAAGGATACCCACATTGCAGGTCAGTAGCGTCGGCGGGCCCTTTCAGCGACCAGATTTGGGGGAGGAGGTGGATGGGAGGTGGGTTCTCGAAATCAATTGGTGTTTCCCTGCAAAGACGATCACTTCGTAAAAGCCGGTGGATCGCAGGAGATTTGGCGCCAAACGAAACGGTAACACGAGGCAGCGAAGATCGGTGTTTATTGAAGAGATGCAAAAGTCGCGGAAGTGAGACCAATCGAGGATCTCCCCAGGCTGTCAAAGTTGACGCCTGCTCACCTTGTCGTATGATTCCGGCTCGCCGCACTTCCGGGGGTATCGTATCGGTATTTGCCGGGATTTGAGAGGGCTGCCGGTGCTTCCAGGCGGGTTCCAGAAAGCATGGCCGTGTTTTACAGTGTAAAGTTACATGTTTTATTACCAGACCAGACCAGGCCCCCTGATGAGTCAGCCCGAGCATGTGACAAGACCAGAAAATGTTTCAAAGTGCCCAGTTGTACTTGACTCGGCAGGAAATGAATCATGATTTCTTCAATATATACTTTTTTTCTATCGATTTTCTGTTTTAATATCCTACTTTCCACTCACACTTCCACTGCCTCCTCCCACACCAAATCTGCGTAAAACCAGGATGCGTGCATTGCCAAGGAGGTGGCCCACTGCGGCGTCTCACGGCAGAATGGGCTGCGCGTTCTGATCTTATCTGATCGTGCACTGGCTCCACTCGCCCAGCCCCAATCCACGTCTACGGCGAGTCGCGCGAATAGGATCACACCGTCTCCCGCTAAAGAACCCTCTTGGTGGATCTCTAATTCAGTGTCGGCGGGTCCCAATTGAATCCGAAAATTCCCTCATTCACCAAGCAGACTACGACAACCGTCTCCAGGAAGCGGGGGCCCGGTAGAGGATGGAGACGAGGCGGCCCAATCTGCGTCATAATTGCTGCTGAATGGAAGACCGGCCCCATGTCGGAAATCCGCCGGTGAGAACTCGAGACTTCTTTTTCAGAACAATATCTCGTCCAAAATTCCAAACCATGGTCCGCGAGAATTCCTTTAGACGCCTCTCGATCTCTACCACCGGAACGCCCCTCGCCCCAGCTCCGCCGTTCTTTCGGTTCACTCGTGTGCCATTATTCGCATCCCCAATCCATAGCTCTCGGTTGATTATCACGGCTTTAAATTCCCGCAAGACTTGCCGATCCTCGCCATCAAAAGGTACAGCGCCGCTCGATGCGATCCCACCCGTGCACGGTCTATCGACAGACGGTCATCTCCATTGGACTTCGAATACCTTATTCGCCTTGCAGCGGTGAACGGAATATAGAATGGATACTGCGCCACGCCCGCCCAAAATAGTATTGCAAGCCCCGATCTACGGAATTTACCAGTAGAAGTGGATTGAGAAATTGTGAACTCCCTGGGAGAGAGGCTTTCTAGCGATACCGTTCCATGCTTCCTGGCTCTGCTGGGATTGAGAATTTCGTAACATTATCAGCAAATGCACAGAAATCCTGGGTGACGGTCTGGCAGTAAGGCTAATTGAATCGCTTGCCATGAGGTCATTGCAGACACAAATATAGTAACACTTGTACCTCTTCAAACACTGGTGAGAATATAGACTGCCAGTGGGCTTGGATTTTAACGCGACATTTATTTAGCATACGCGATAGAACTATAAGCTCGCATGATGTAACTCTACCTTCAGTTCATATGGCAACGCGGGGGGCAACGCCATGTTGGAGATCGGAGCTGGTCCGACTATCGGCGCTAGGGAAAATGTCGATCACGTCAGTTTTCAACTGCCACGAGGACCTTGAAGTCTACCTTGCTTGAATTTTATCTGATGCATATGTTTTTATTTCTTTTATATTCGAATACTAGCACCATTTATGCCTGATTTGTGGGCAACTCCTGGAAACATGCAACGAACCAGAATTAAACATGGAAAATAAAAAATGCCCGAAAGGAAATAAAAGTATTGCCTTCACCGCTGCTTGACGGGGGGAGCAAGCCCTGTTCAATGCTAAAACGGGGTTAGTATGATCGGAAATGGAACGGTCTGGAATAATGCTCACAGTGATATCCTCCCACTTCTCCCAGCCACGCCCCTTAACCTGAGCAAGCTCGTCCATCGTGAACTGCTTGCCGGTAGTGAAGTAGCCGGCATTGATCTTAGCATCGATCTCGACTCGGGAATCGCTGGGGATCATTTCCTCCGGAATAGGAATACGCTCGAGAATCTTGATACCAGAGTCGACGATCGCATCGTGCTTCATATTTGACATGGAAAGCATGCGATCGATCTTCTTTATACCGAGCCAGTGCAGAATGTCCGGCATCAAGGCTTGGAAACGCATCTGTTTGAAGAAAATGGTCAGAATGGCTTCACTTCAAGAAGAAAAAAGGGGCTTGGTATCATACATCCCGCACGCCGGCGATGTTCTCCGTTCGAGTGAAATACTTGTCAGCAGTGTCTCCTCCTCGCTTTCTCGCGTTGTACACGAGATACTTGATCACTTCTCCCAGTGCACGACCTTCCTTGCGGAAGTATATCACGACTCCTAAAAGATATGACGTTAGAAGAGATCAGGTATCCACCGAGGTAAGTACCTACCAGAACCTCCATTCTGGGCTTCTTTAATTGCCTCCTCGATGCCAAAGGCGAGATATGGCCGACAGGTACAGATATCTGATTGGAACACATCGCTACCGTTACACTCGTCATGAATGCGCAGTGCAAGCTTGACATTCTCATCTGAGACTCGTTCCGGTGGGCCAAAGATATAAACCGTCAGGCCTCCAATTGGCGGCAAAAAGACCTTTAGATCAGGGCGAGTGATTAACTCCGGGTAGCTGCCTCCAGTCTGCTCGAATAGAGTCCGGCGGAGAGTTCCTTCGTCCACGCCGAAGCGTTCAGCAACACCGGCTAAAAACCAAACTGGTTCAACCGCTACCTTGGTGACTCGAACCTCGCCGGAGGAATCGACAAGAATATTACCATCGACTTGCAGTCGATCTTCACGGATTGCCTCGCCAATCTCCGCCAGCTTCATATTAGCCCGAGTGATTGCCATAGTGGGCCGAATGTCCCATCCAGCCTCGAGCTCCTCGCGGTATTGGTTGACTATATCATGGCCGTACGGATCCATCGCGACGATTTTGGTCTTGTCGGCCCATGCAGGCTGCCAGTTAAAATCGAAGGTGGGTTGACTGTTCCGCAGGTCCGGCTGGAAATCAGCGTCCAAATCACCCGAGGCAATTGCCAGAGCATTGTAGATGCTATAGCTACCGCCATGAGCGCCGATGGCATTGCGGCGTTTCACGAGGTTATCTCTTCGAGAAACGACGATCGGCCCGCGAGCTTTGGCATCGGGCGCACCCCATTCCAGAGGAACTGGTTCGATTCCACTTTGGCCAGGGTAGGTGGTCAACTGCTGCTGGTTAACATTTCAATGGTTCTCTCGCCACTAGAGATAGGGAGGGGAGAAGGGAGAAGCTTCCCATCCTCTTGGGAGCCCTACGATGATATGCTTGCTGTAGCGATGGGCTGCAGACACCGGTTCGGGGGCTGGCATGGTAGAAGAAGATTCAGATTCAAGAGTCATTATATCCAGGAGATAATGACAAGAGAAGAGACCAGCGAGACTGATTTTACGGTGAAAGACTGGGCTGCAGCAGGCCCCGTGACATTCCATTCCCCCGCACGTTATCGCCTTATCTCTCTCTATCGGGGCCCCTCCAATGCTACGCTGAGTGGTTTGTTGTATCTTAAAATTAAATCTTACTCTATCATCTCCTCCATAGATAAGATAATGTCAAGAATGTCGAGAATTTCGAGAATGTTGATATAAAAACATCTAGAGGGGCTACTAACTATGACAATTCCCTCGAGATCCGCCTAGGTCCACTCCTCCAACCAACCATGGCATATTACTCGATTGGGACTAGCCTTCGAACAGGTGAATCAAAGACTGCGACTCTGTACCTCCGTCACTCCGTCACTCCGATCCACTTCGGAATTCTCGGCATTAAACTCGTATTTCGGAGTAATCTAGTGTAGCCAACGCCGAACCCGACTCTAGCACCTCACCTCAACTCCTCTCACTTCACCTCACGCGACAACATTCAATTATTTTTCTGCTAAATACATTCTGATTAAGTGCTCATACCCCTCGATATAACACACCAATGAGGTACGTGGCTTGATCCGATTGTAGAACTCAATATATGCCAAGGTTGACTTGGATGGGAATAGTTCGCGGCGCCGCAACGGCAAACGCCCCTCATGCGAGCCATGCCGGCGCAATAAGGTACGATGCGATCATCTAGGTGCCCCTTGTTCCCGATGCAAAGCTCGCGGAATTGCACCTGAATGCTTTTATCACCCAGCACCATTAACGCGGCTACGAGACCGGAGCTACGTGCCGCTCACTGAAGGTGTCCCGTTGGACCGAGCCTCGGAGATGCCCGCTGAGTCCGACACACAAGCTCAAGTTGAGCTGGCATACCGGAATAAACCATTTCTCACGGGGTACCTTGGTCCAACGAGCTTTGTGTCATCACTATGTGACGATGTGGACCTCTCCTCGGATGGCCGAAGTGTTGGAATGAAAAGTCCACCACGAGTTCTACCCTCTTTTTGGGTTCAGAAGGTCTCTGATCTACTACTTGCTTTGACAGACTTTGCTCCAATCGAAGCAGTCATCCGCGAATATTATGGATTGAGTCAGGCCTCTGTGATTCCTGGGCCATTCATCTTGAACAGTCTGGCTCCAATTGAAGATATGACCAAGGGTCTTCTTTCTGCCCACAAGGCAGGTGAATCCAGGTCTTTATTAACGACAAAAGTGATCCAGAACACGGCCAAGATTTTTGAAGTTCCATCGTCGGTGGCTGGGAAAGACTTTCACTCTTTATATACCGACCAGGCTATTCGTTTAGAGATACTCGGGGTGATTTGCTCATTGGCCGGGCGCGCAGCATATCTGGGACTCGCTGGGGAAAACTTTAACAGTGAGCAACAACGTTTACAATTTTCGAAGAAGATGCTCATCGCGAGCGATGCTGCACTTCACATTTGCAAAATCCTGACCCCCTTGAACGATCTTACCATTTGGCTGGTGCAAGAAAATTTATTCTTCTGCCTTGCTGCAGATGGTAATTCGAGTGAGTAAAGGCCTTATGCATTTGTCCAAGTCAATTTGTTTTTTCCCTAATTATTTCAAGGTCCCCAAACATGGAACAAACTCGGCGAGCTATCTACGGACATTTTCGCACTTGGCCTCCATCGCAATTCAAAAAATCCAACTCAAACACCGGAATTCCTTCTGGAATCCCGTCGGCGTACTTTTGCAGCAGCCTACAGAGTGGATAAAAGTATTGCAACATTTCTGGGCCGGCCACCTCGCATACCAGCGAGATATGCTGATTGCGGTCTACCGCTCGATGTTAGTGACGAGGCATTTTCAACAGATAATGGGACCTTGAGCTATTCCCTTGATCAACTTGACATAAATGGCTGGAGTACCTGCGGCTTCTTTTACCCTGCTTCTTGGATGCGAGCTCGTTCGATCATATGTGGGTTTCGTGATGAGATTCTCGAAGTTGCATTGCAGAAGGACACTCCTGAGACTGCGGCTACTCTACTGTAAGATCTAAACCCATCCCCGAGGGAAGTCTAATCATCTTACTGAAGTATTCAGTGGAATCTCCAAGAGATGCCATGCATCTTGGAATAAAATACCTGCCCATCTCAAATATACTCCCCAGTGTTGGGAGATGAATCTCCCAATCGCTACTCCGATCATGCTCGTTGTTTCATATTTAGCATATCTATACAACGAATTCTTGGTACACCAGTTCCTAGTCGGCAAACAAAACCCTAGAGCGAGTTGTGCACTATTGTCCGTCAGCTCGGATATCTTGTCTACAGTTCTAATAATCGGAACTCGACGTGATCACGCTGTGGACTTGCGACCAGACTTTACCTGGCTGGTATGCATTGGAGTTTACTTCCAACAAATCTATATCAAGCAAGCTAAATGTTCTTCTAGATTCTCCTTTATGGAATCCCCAGTGCTAGCATCCTTGTCAAAGCCCTCCAAAATCAAAATCGGTCTGGAGAACCACTATTATACGAAGGCTCGAGGCCTGCTCTGATTCGAAGTTTGAGCGTTTTCATCTCTCATTTGGACAGCGTTGCACAACCTGATAATTCTAACTATTCATTATTGCAACGGGCAAGTCAGGTATTTACGAAAATTATCGACGAAATTCTTGAACCACAGGCTTCACTGCCTCAGAATGAGCTGGACGATTTGGGTTTACTTGATTGTAATCAATTGATTGATATGAGTGACTTGGACCTGTTAAATACCATTGAAATTGGTGTCTCTTTTGACCAATGGTTGATTTAATACTATTGATATAATATCAACTACTTCTGTTCAAGATGATAAGATCCGCGGGTAGGCAATTTGACGACATCCTATAACTAGTTTCACCTGCCCACTTGATTCCCAAACTTAACAAAATGTGAAATTTAGTTTCCACTATCAGCAAGAAAGTCTGCAGCCCGATCTGCGACAGTGTAGATGCAGTATTGGTGATGGGCAGCAACTGAGGTTGGCAGTACACTGGCGTCGACAACTCGTAGCTCATCCACGCCATAGACACGCAATTCGGTATCCACGGCCTTGCCCATAGCACAACTGCCGACTGGATGGAAGAAAGTGTTCGCTACCCGTCGAGCACGAGCATCTATTTCGTCTTTTGAGGATTTTGTGGTTAACACAGGATACCCCTCTGGTGCGACCTCGGTCTCGACCACGTCTTTCAGCGCTGTGGACTCTTGGAAGACTTGCAAAGCCCGCCGTATACCAGCGCACATCATAGTTCGATCAACCTCGGTGGCATAATAGTTTGGATCAATCTGCGGAGGAGCGGTTGGATCATTCGAAGAAAGAGTAATTCTGCCTCGAGAAGTTGGAAGCATTCCCAATATAGATGTTGATATGTGAAGAGCATCGAACGGAATGTCCATCCCGGCGTGCACGGCACCCGCTGGCGCATACACGTTCAATGTTTCAGTGAAGCAGTTCCTCTCGTCAAGAAGATACTCTCTTTCTGGGTTAGATACCTCAATACCATCGCTAATTAAGGCATCGGATATCAATTTCTTATCTGAGATTATCAAGAATCACTGGTATGGGTTGGCAGCAAAGCCACGGGCACGCTGGTGATAGTTAGAATTAACCAGCTCAGCAATTGAGTTCATGTAAACGTACAATCTCGGGTCAGGTAAATGGCTACCAAGAGATGGAGGACTTTATAGTAGCCTTACAGGGGTCTGGAGCTATGAGGGTTTCAATCCCGCCCAGCGGCACCCAACTTAAAGTGGACCTTGCGACGATCAAGCGTGTCGACATGCAGTGCTCGAACCTTTTTCTTGTGGCTTGGTGGAAATTGGGAGAAATAAAAAAGTATTTCAAATAATTGAATTAATCATAATCAGGACATCGAAAGGGTATAACAGGAATTATGTGAGTCTCTCAAGGTTAACGATTCGATCAGTGACAAGGTCGAGGATAAGACAAGCCTTTCACTCAAGATACAACCAGCACACGCCGACGGCTACTGTGCCCTTTCATTTCGCTCAGCTTCATTAACAGCGATAGTCTTGGGCTCAGCATCCAGCTCCTCGCCTCTCGGCGTATCCGTTGACGCCTGCCCTTGGTGAGGAGACGGAGTACTCATAGGTGGAATGCCGTTCCCATCTGGTCCACCAGCTGGGGAATACACTTGGGTCTGATCCGGAGGCAGATATGATATATGAGCTGTCATTGGGGCGGTAATACCGAGGGTCTCAGCGGTTGGGTCGCGTCTCTTAAAGAAGCTATTCAACCAAGAGCTGAACTTCGTTCCGGATGACATCTCTGTCCAGCGGGCTGCTAGGAAAGCTTGTTGATCGGGGGTTTTGGCTGGGTATCTCTTCACCGAGAGCAGGGATAGACAGGAGAGGATTGGAAATGAACAGGCGAATGCGTATGGGAAACCGCGGCGAACTTTCCCACCGAGCATAGCGCGCCTGTAGATGAACCAGCTCTCGACGAAACCGATGATGGTGCATAGGCCGAACCAGCTGAAGATAACGGCCAAGGCAATAGCCCACGGTGTAATCCCCCAGGTGTAGTGACACCCGTCAAAGCAACAATAGCCGCCCCCAATAACAGAATTCCCAGCGTTCCAGGTGAACTCCTTGCAATTATAATAAGAGGAGTCTCCGCCGCTGCCATATCCAGTGCTGTCCGAGTCTCCCGAATTGGAATCAGAGTCGGCATAATAGCTGTAGCAGGACGTGTAATATGCCGGCATGTATTGCGAGCTTGCAGAGGAAAATATGCTCGCCGGAATAGCTGTAGGATCCAATAGCCCATTTACCTCTGTGTAGGCCCCCGTGATGTAGGAATAGTGCTCCGTTGTCGTTTTTATCCAGATTGGGTCCACAATGCCATTGGCGTCATATGGCACATACACAGGGATGGTTGTGGTCAGCGATTGCTTTGTTGTATAACTGCATGATGATGGAGCCGTGTATGTGACGCTGACATAGTAATCCACGTAGTGATTGGCTGTAACAGGGACGCCAGCTGTTGACTCCACGACCAAATTGAGAGCCGTGACCTCGCTACTGTAGCCTTCAGTCTCAGTGTATGAGGAGATCACAGATGGGTTTGTGACTGTCGGGGAGATTTCGACCGTCTTCGTGCGCATGATAGGGTCCTCTGTGAGATATTTCCCTGTATAGCCTTCTACTGCGACAGTCTCGACAACAGCAATATACTTAGTACCGAACCATGGCGAGGCTTTGGCTGGAGCCAGGAGCACCGAGACCAGAAGAAAGCAAGCTCTGGGTAGCTTCATAGTGCCAAATGCAGCAATCAATAGTGGGGGAACAGGAATGAGAAAGGAATTTGCGTACTAGTATTTAAACGGGCACCATCCCTTTCAAATAATATGACTCGGAAAACTCGACGTCTTGGCCAGGGGAGCTCGCGCGCCTGACTATACCCACTTCAGCGTTATTTCACGAAATGAAGCCCACAAGCCCAGTGATAAATCGGTCCTAATGGCAAAAGGAGGTAGTCTCAGATGCTCAATCCTCTAGATAGGCTATTGTGGACCCATTCAATCGATATCATTGGCCTCGATTTGTAGAACGAAGACCGCCTATTTCTCGGGCTCGTATTCAGAGCTCCGGGCGTTGGTCATTGGCCTAAACGCGGGTGAATACGAACAAGCCAAGAACCCCAGGAGCCGCTAGGCTTGTTACCAAAGGAACTCAGGGAGAATTTACTTTTAAGGCCGGGGGCTATTTTACACACAGAGTCGCGAGCCTGTGGTGCCCTCTTTTAACTCCAGAATGCCTCTTCGGAGAGTGGCATTTCACATGTGGACCGTATCCGACAGGGCTCAAACATTCGGCAAGTCAACGAAACGTGCTCGCTTCCTCGATGGCATGAATTACCTGGTTTTGTGATGTGACTTAACCCCGAATCATCATGATGCTCTTGTGAAATGACGAGCGCAAATGCCAAAAAGGTGGGGGAAAAAAGAGTAGACAAGGAGGAAATCGTAGAGGAAGCGGTTTTGGATTCGTGAATTGGTATCTATTATGGCAGCCATCCTCTGGGATCATGAAAAACAGATAATAATTCGTAATTCTTCATGCAAGACGTGAATCGACAAGTCCTTGCAGATATGTCATCAAAGGACGGAAGAAGGTAAAAAGCAAAGTACAGCTAGGTCTTTGGCGCTAGAAATTTATTGCTGGTTGGCGGCGAAGTTGGCCTGAGCGCGAGAGTTCTTAATGGTCTTCTTGATGACCTCTTCGACCTCGTCCCAGTCACCGGTATCAACGCGATCGATCTGGCAACCGAAGTGCTGCTGGATCTTGCGCAGCATGTTCCACTCTTCCTGGTTGGCAACGAATGAAATCGCAACGCCGATGCGACCAAAACGGCCAGTACGACCGATACGGTGCAAGTAGGTCTGAAAGTCGGGCTCGCGGGGACGGCCCGGGGTATGGTGGTCGGGGATGTCCTTGTAAAAGATAACGCGGTCAGCTCTGTCGTTGCATATAAGAATGGCCACGCTGGTGGGATAAATGAGGACATACATAGTTGACCACCAGGGAGACGGTTGAGACATCAATTCCACGAGCAAGAACATTGGTGGTGATGAGAACCTTGGCATCACCACTACGGAAAGCATCGATAACAGTGTCACGTTGGCTACCTTCAATACCTCCAGTCAACGACGCCACAGTGTGACCCTCTGCGACCATCCGCTTCTCTATTTCGGCGGCCGAGTTACGAGTCTAGTCATCGATCGTTAGCGAGAGTGTTTAAATCTGAGCAGAATTTGAATACGAACCCGGACGAAGATAATGGATGAGCCCACAGTCAGAAGACCATAGAGCTGAACGAGGTTGTTGTACTTCTCCTCCTCGTCGTTACAGTCAATATAGAGTTGTTTGATACCCTCCACTGTCAACTCCTCGTGCTGAAGTCTGATCTCGTTGGGGTCCTTGGCAAACTTCTTGGAGTACTCGCTAACATGTTCGGGGAAGGTGGCGGAGAAGAGGACGATCTGAGTAGTCGGGCGGAGCGCACTAGACGAACCATTAGCTGCGACCACAAAAAGAACAGAAATTCTTGGAACTTACGACTTGACACGGATACATTGGTCACCCATGCCTTGGAGATCGAGCATGTTGTCGGCCTCGTCCAGGACAAGAACGGCAATATCATTTGGCGCAAGGATGCGTTTCTTCATCATGTCCATCACAGTACCGGGGGTTCCAACAACAACAGAACAGGCCATTCTGGCAGGGCGAGTATTCGAGTCAGCAGGGACAGCGGTTCCGATAATTAGACCCTCAAGGAATTGACCCATGATTTGAATGACACCGACAATTTGACGTGCCAGTTCGCGCGTAGGGGCCAGGATGAGAGCCTGTGGCCTAGTCTGCATATCCGGGGAAAGGTCGAGACGGCTGAGGACGTTGAGGACAAAGGCTGCGGTCTTACCCGTGCCTGATTGGGATTGACCAACGAAGTTCTGCGCGGGGTTGGCCATTAGCAAGGGTAGGGCACGTTCCTGGACCTTGGAAGGTTTGCGAAAGCCCATCTTGGAAAGGCCCTTGAGGATGCGCTCATCGCTATTGTGTCGTAATTGTCAGTTGATTTCGCATTCATTTTGATGGAATTTAATAGTACTCACAGTCCTAGCTGCTCGAAAGTCTTCGCAGAGAACAGGGGGTTGTTGGGATCGGCTTGAAGATCGCTCAGTTTGACCTCCACGGTATAGTCCGGCTCGTTGAGCTCCGAGCCCTGGAGCTGAGCTCCGGCACCATCTTCCGTAGCAGCGGCTGAATAAAACGCGTCGGATATTAGCCATATATCTCATTTATCGGATTGGTTCGTCGCCAGGAGAGGCGTGTAGTAGGTGGGGGAGGGGATATCGACGGAAAAGTTGAAGAAGACTCGTACCGGGTTGGGTGTCAGGGGTGACATCAGGGTTGGTAATTCGGTCGGCAAGAGAGCCAGTGGTTTCGGGGGTCTCAGAAGACATTGTGAGGCGAGAAAGAAAGATGTATTCTTCAAAGACAACAGTCGAAAGGTATCGCGGGGTATTTACTGAAGCAAGCCCACGGCTCTATGGCTCTATTCAGTGGTTGAGCCTTCAAACGAATCAAGGAGAGTAGATGCGCCGCACCAGAAGAAAGTGCAAAGATGAGCACAGGGTGCCAATGGGTGGATTGACAGGCAGTAAAGGTGTAGGTGAGAGGTGAAAGGTGAAAGCTCAAAACTGTTTGGCGATGATGCCGCCAAGGCTTCTCTATGCTTGTCCAGGCAGGCGGTGAACTGTGAGTGCCGTATGGTATGGTATCGCTTTGAGCCCCCCTTTTCTGCTAGTACACCTGACCGCCCTAGTCTCCGCCTTTCGAAGAGGGACTACAAGTATTTATGTGTAGTATCTAACTAATGTAGTACTGTACCACAGGTACATAGAATAGATTGGCCAATCTATCCCATCTTAGGTAGATACTAGTCTGCCATCAGAATTCAGAAGGCGGTCAATAATAATGCAGTGAGCAATAGCCATGTACAGTACTGAGTACATAGTAATAGATCGGAGTATCGGCCGGGTAAAACCAACTTGGACCCCATATCTTACGGAGGTTAAATCCAAGAGAAATCACAAACCGGCGAGGCACGTCTAAAGTTAAACTTGAGAAGTATAAGCATGCTGGGGTACCATATTATAGATCTCCTCGGCCTGTTGTTTTTACTCGTATCAAAGTTGGCCATTGCTCGACTCCGCGGAGCGAGGGGATCTTAGTCAGCGATCCATTAACGCCCCGCTCTCGCCCTGGTGCGATCATCGCTTTCAATCTGATTCGAATTGGTCGATGCGCCTGCGTGACTCGTGGAGCTTCGAATTTCTCCTCATTACCGACAATCCTATTGCCGTACAGGACATACATCCTCCTCAATTCGTGTCCTCGGACCCAGAATCCCGGACTCCACCTCCCCTCGGCTCATGCGTGATTTGGCCTCAACACTATCACATCGGCCATGGCGGCAGCAGACGTGGCTCCCCAGTTTGGGACAGAGCTAAAGGTGAGTCTTGCAGGGTCCCCGTGGACAGTCTGTAGGACTTGACTAATCATTCTGGAACTTCATAGGATAACTTTAAACCAGTCAACGCTTGGGTAGGTCATCCATCCCCCCGGTTCCCCGCAAAGGGAGAGAGTATCATGTCATCGCGCGTAGGCCGAGCTAATGCGACCATGTCACACAGGTATCCAATGGCATCTCATGGTTGGAAGAAATACAACAATTCTATCGCGAGCGCAGTGCTATCGAAAAAGAATACTCCGCCAAGTTAAGCGCTCTGAGCAAGAAATACTACGACCGCAAATCGAAGAAGATTAGCCCGCTGAGCGTCGGCGACACCCCTACCTTGACCCCGGGCTCGCTCGAGAGCGCCTCCCTGACGACATGGACACATCAATTGAATGCCATTGAAGCCCATGCAACCGAACGAGACAAGTTCGCAACCGACTTGGTTGCGCAGGTAGCGGAACCCCTCAAACATGCGGCAACTCAGTACGAAGAGATCCGCAAATGTCATGTCGACTACCACGGGAAACTTGAGAAGGAGCGAGATGCATCATATGGGGAGCTTAAGAAAGCAAAGGGCAAATACGATGGATCTTGTCAGGAGGTCGAATCTCGACGTAAGAAAATGGAATCGGCCTTTGACCATGGTAAAGCCAAGGCGCAGACCGCATACCAACAACAAATATTGGAAATGAACAATTACAAGGTGGGTTCATATTTTTTGGTCTCTTGTGGCACCCATTGAATACTGACGAACATAAGAATCTGTATCTAATTAGCATCAACGTCACGAATAAGCTGAAGGAACGGTTCTTCCATGAATATGTTCCCGAAGTATTGAATGTAAGTCAAACAAACCCTACCCATGGTGGTCATGAGGGAGGCCTATATTTACCATGGTTATACCCAGGGCTTGCAAGATCTCAATCAAACTCGAGTCAAGCGGTTGAACGCGCTATGGACTCTTGCTGGTCAATTGGAAAAGTCATATCTTACAAATAGTGTGAATCACACTACGAATCTTCTCAACGAGATCCCTCGCAACGATCCTCGCCTGGACTCAATGATGTTCCTCCAACACAATGTCAGTCAAAGCCAAGAACCCGGCGATACGACTTTCGAGCCCAGCCCTGTATGGCATGACGACGCGACAATCATCACCGATGAGGCTGCCAAGGTATTTCTACGAAATGTGCTTGGTAAGAGCAAATCATTAGTTCGTGAGCTGCGGGTCGAGGCGGATAAGAAGAAACGTGAAGTGGAGACTGGCCAAAGAGTTCGAGAAAACATTCAACAGGGTAAAGACAATCGCAATGAGGTTGATATTGTCCGATCTATTTTCTATCTGCAAGAAACCTTGCATGAGGTGGAGCGTAAATGGCTGACAGCTGAGGTGGAAACATCCACTATCATATCTGTGGCCGGCGACTTGTCCATGGGAGCCAAGAATCACAACTTTAGGTCCCAAACATTCAAAATTCCCACCAACTGTGATCTTTGCGGAGAGCGCATCTGGGGCCTCTCTGCGAAGGGATTTGACTGTCGAGATTGTGGGTACACTTGTCACAGCAAGTGTCAAATGAAGGTGCCGGCAGAGTGTCCTGGCGAACAGACCAAGGAGGACAAGAAGAAACTCAAGACTGAGCGCCAAGAACAAGCTGGTGCTGTTCCAACCATCGACTTGGAATCACCTGCGACTTCTGCAGCTGCTCCGTCATTAACGCGACAAAACACTATGACCTCCTTGAGTTCAGGCTATGCTGCCAGTACAGCCCGATCAGTATCGGTCTCCAATGTCGCGACCCAGCCTACCCCCGAGAGTCCTGCGGAAGCACCCCCTGAGCCAGTTGCAGAGAACAAACCAGCGGCTGCGAAGAGGCATCGAGTGTTGGCTCCACCTCCGTCGGCTTATACTGCGCCACCTGTCAGCGCCCCCAGTCCTTCCAAGTCAAGCGATCCAAAGGGTAAGATGCTCTATGCCTACCAGGCCACTGGCGATGACGAAGTAACTGTCCAAGACGGGGACAATGTGACAATCGTCGAGCCTGATGGTAAGTAATTCCCTGCCTTCAATCGATATGTATTTCTCCCGCTTTTCATAATCTAACCGCATACTCAGATGGATCGGGCTGGCTACGCGTCCGAGCCGGCTCTCAAGAGGGACTAGTCCCATCTGCCTATGTCGAAGCTGCCCCAACCCCCTCCCCAGTGCCATCGGCTAGCCCCGGAGTTCCCGAAAGACCCGGATCAACCTACTCTAATTCATCAGCCTCCCTGGCGGGTAGCATCGCCAATAAACGCGTCGGGCCCGCGGTTGCGCCCCGCAGAGGTGCCAAGAAGCTACAGTATGTGGAGGCTCTGTACGACTACGAAGCGCGGAGTGACATGGAGTGGACCATGGCTGAGGGCGATCGCTTTGTCCTGGTTACTCGGAACGGTGGGGATGGGTGGGCCGATGTCGAGCGCGGTGGAGTTACGAAGAGCGTTCCAGCGAACTACATCCAGGAGGTGTAGGCTCGCAATTGTATAGTCTCATTGCACAGTACGGGCGGAGGTTGGTGGGTTGGTGAGTGCGGCTCACGTCATTGTGCTTTTTTTTTCCCTCGAGTTTGTTTGGCGCTGCTTTTTTTGCCCTCCAGTATGACCTGCATCAGCACGGAGCGGAGCGTTTGGTCTTGCATCATGGATACATATGCGAATTGAAATACGCCGAAGCAATTCAATTCGTTGTACATTGTTTTCAAAGGATCTTTCTAAACCCCCGGGGCCCTTCTTGGTCCTTTCGTGTCGTCCCACAGCACTATATTACCGAACCTCAGCATATGCGCAAGTCAACAGCTCGTGAGGTCTAGGTAAGCGAGTAATGCCAGTGTCTATACTGATCGGAAGTTTATCTTAATCATCAGTCATTGTTATTGCGTCACAGGTGGAAGTGTAGCAGGGGGGAATCCTGTATCTAGATGTTCAAAGCCGGTCTCAGGCGACCACATATACCGCGACCAGTCCTCGATATGAAAGACCTCATCTGACAATCCTTCTGTCACATCAATGTCCATACTTTCCAAATATCCACCCAGGGAATCATTCAATGTCAGCGAAGGATCCAAGGGGGTATCAAACGGATTGCTGCCCTCCAGAGGACTTATCATCGGCACAGTTTGGGCCATTTGAGCCCCCGATATGGTTGAGGGAAGAAGGCTATACATGGGATCAAAAGTATGCTCAACTAGTAGCGGGTCCAAGGCGAAATCCTCTGGCGCTGAGCGAGCAAACGATTGTATAGTGCTATCCTGTGGCGTGGAAAAATTCCGCGCCAGGAATGTAGTAGACTGCGTCCGAAGACTCGATTCAGGCCCCGACCCCTCTGATCCCGACCAATCTGCCGTCAACGCTGAGCCACGACGCGAAGATGACTCGTGATAAACGGGGGTATGTGACTCGGAGGCAGAGGCACTCGTCGAGCCGGAGCGAGAGATACGCGTCGACGACTGCGAAGATGCGCCTTGTGCGTCTTTGTCGCTCGGTCGAGGCGCGATGGGGAGGAAACCGTGAGGGTTGTGGTGGCGGGGATAGAGTCTGCCGTGCGCTGCTTTCTATAACCAAAAAAAGAAGCAATCAGCACCTTGCCGATCGCGCATCTCGATGGTCCTCGTTGCTTGCCCAGAATGCCCAGGCCGAGGGCGTCAAGATGTGTGTTATTCTCATGACTTCCCAGCTCCCTTTCATGGGTTGGGAGCTGGGTATGTTGTGTTTGCGTTACTTTTGAGGGAGTTTTGAGCTCTGCTTCGCGCTTTGCGCGGGCGTGCTCACTTGGTGCTGTGCACGGGGTTGAATGACAGACGGTGCAGGTAGCGAATGGTCGCCCCTTGCGTTTGATGCGAATCAACGGTCGATCTGAGGGGGTTGTTAGATTGATTTTAGAGGGTGGCTGGGGATTGCGACCACTTGTAGTAGCAAGTTGATAGTTAGGGTAAATGGAGGTATGGGGGAATATCAAAACACTGAGCCATTCCATGAAGATATTCCCAAGTTTCACATACCATGATGTTTGCAGCTGGTCACACGGTGTCCCCGTATGCAAGCTTCACAAGCCCACTTTTGACCGTCGATAAGCATCCCTCAAAGAGATGAAAGAAGTTGATGGTGGGAAGGGCCACCGAGCTTTTATACCTTAGCTACTAGTAGTACACCCATTGATCACCCAGGTCCACCCAACCCAATGACTTTACTGGGTTCATTGTTTCTAGATTTGGGAAAGAGAGATTTTTTATTTTATTTTATTTTCAATCGAGGTAGGACTGAGGGGTCGTGGGAGCTGGTGGGAGCTATGACATACCATGACACCGATCTGTACAGTTTGATTGATCTAGGACCTATAGGGCAAAAGGGAAGTCCCATCAATCTCGTTCGGGTCCACAGCCACAGGATCGCCTAGGTGGGACCAAGCTCATGCACTCGGAGGGTTCTGTCTTGTTTTAGCGGCATTTTTTTCCCTTTTTTTCCCTTTTTTTCCGTTTTTCCATTTTTCCATTATTTTATTTTATTAATTTTTATCTTTTCGTCCTTTTGTCACTAACTATTAGTACCATGGGAGCTTTGGCCAGCGAAAAATTGTGGCTAACATTTGGTCGTACTTTTAACCGGCAGAACGTGGGTCCCTCAGAAAAGCACGGAGCAACGGCTGTCCAGTTTCACAAGTCAAAAAAGTGTAGTGGCTAGTTCTATGAAAGAGGATAAAGAAATAGTTCTACCTAGGACCCAGTCTGTTCTCCCCGAGGGGGATCTGGATGTGTGATCAGGAATGGGACGAAAATTTGTGATTACTACCTCTTTCCCTCTACGAGTAGAAGTATGAGGCATTTTTTTCTCACCTCTCGGCTCGAATATTGCCAGTCCAGGTTCGACTACCGACTAGGAAAATGAAACGACCGGAAAATGACCCCTAACACATTGCTCCCACGGGATGAGGCCCCTCTGATACTCCCTCGGGCTGCCAAATTGGTGATAGACCTGTGTGTCAAATATCCCTCATACGGCTCGGTGCGCCCTCACTGCACCGAGGAGCCCTAAGCTGAGCTAGCCGTCATTTGATACCGGCCGCACGTCCGTCGCTCACCCGTTTTATTTTGTTTTGCTTCAATTGTCGATGGGGCTGGTGCACGGAGGCCATGATATCACCCAGCTGAAGGCCAAGGTAGAAGCCCCAGGCTCTCTCATCCGGCAAAGTTGAGCAAACTGTAAATGGAGGTGGCTGTGCTGTTGCTTTCAACTAGGTGGCGTTGCATTGCAGCCGATTTTCTCGGCAAGCATCGTAGCCTAGAGAGGCCAGGGCTTGTTTCACAAGCCAATCTCATGCACTATGTCATTCTTTTGTCGCAAAACTAAAACTTCAGCCTTGTTTGCCTGGGGTTCGGGGTAGAAAATTCCAATCTGTTTATGTATGTCTATGCGCACTTTCAGGAACCAAATGAACCGTTTCGGAACCTTCCCTGGTTTCCGATATCCTCAAAAAAAAATTGAAGCAAAAGGAAGGGAAACTAAGCTCCGATGCACACCAATCATAGTCATTAAATTACTCCCAAAGTGCGCTGTACCGCCAGATCTCCCACTGGGTCGCGGTGATTTTGTTCCCCACTGGTATGCGCTATTTTCAACATCCATCTGGTACCTGAGGCATTTTTCTTTACCAGTTACCCCCAATAATCATGACAATCCACCTCCAAGCGAGATGAGATCGTTCTCACCGTACCCTGCTAAGGAAATCCCGAGCGGATGCGACTAGTCAACTGCCGTGATGTGCGTTGTCACGATCGTGGCATGCGTGTGATCGAGGTGTGGAGGACAGGAATGTGGAATTTTTCGCTGATATTTCCTTGGAATCTTTTTGACAATTTGAAGGATATTACGTCGAGTCCATTCGCTATTGGGACGACGGCAGTGGCTCTCACTTTGCTGGTATACTGGCATTTTTCTTCTGTCATCTTCGTCGCTACTCGGTGGCATTTCATTAGTACTGGGATATGTATAATGCTTCGGGCAGGGATGGTTCACACTTACTTACGCAACTATCCAGCCAGTCCATTATCGGTTTCCAATACCTAGTGGGAGCTTCCGACCGAGGACACTGGAGTGGCTAAATGTGCAGTTGTAGCAGAATGTGATGATGATGCGAAGAGCACCTGATGGTCTGAAGATCGAGAACGATAGCCTTCGAGTCGCTGTACTGTCAATGCAGAGTCAACCCTTTCCTTGATTTATTCGTGAATCGCATGAAAATCAGACGTGGCAAACGACCCTTTTATATTTCTCATTCCCTCAAAAAGTCGACAATCGTTATCTGCTTCATTATCTCCGCCCCTGTCGGCACAATACTGACATGATTCGTTCTGTTTTGCAGAAAATATTGCTCATCTTCCTTTGTACTACCGGGCCTGTTCACCGACTGGCAGTTGGATGGCCCTGGATATTCCCGCTTGGCATCTTCCAATAGCAATTGTCCGAAAAAGCTTGGATCATTTATGATTTGCATCAACCCTTCTTCTTTCAGCCACAGTCTTTGCAATCTGGAATGCGCTCTTTGGTGAGTACAGATTAATCATATAAAAACATTGTCACATGGGATGTATATGCTGGAATGTATGCAAATTTTTGGCACATTGAGGGAGAGTACCAGTAGCTGCTCTAGGAGGTAATTCTTCTTATGCCTCCCCATACTGGATGCCTATGAAACAATTGCATGAGTAAATTCTCAGGCATAATAGGATACTTTTCCGATTGAATATCCCCTCAAGTATTCAGGTCGTATATCCATTCCACCACATCCACTGGTAATAAGTGTAGGTCATGCATCGCAACCCATTTGGGCTACGCCTACTAGGTGTAATACACAAACCGTCTCCGGCCATGCCCACCTGTACAACACCGCTAATGCTGCCTAATTCCTCTGCATTGTTGTAGTAGTAAATCTCTTCATTTTTGTTGGTGATCCTGCCATCCCGCGTAGGCGAGGCCAGAGGCATACTCTGAGCCCTGAATAACAGATTGATTCTGACAAGCTCAAGCCCGGATATTCAATCGAATCATTATAGCGCACTGGCTCTATTCCTTTTGTGCATAATATTTTTGAGGACATAGAGATACCCGTGCGGTTATAGCGCCTATTGGGGTCCATACAAACGCGATTGAAGCTATCATTTCACCATACTACTAGTATGAAGATCTTTGCCAAAGAGTGAAGACATCCTGGATAAAACTCACACTCGTGACACGGTTTCTAGCAAAGCCAGTCGGAGGGGTATTGTTCTACCTTCCGGTTGGCAAAAGGACAGGTCCTCGTGTTCTGCCAAGACGAATTCTAAGGATTTAGTAGGTCATGCCTTCAATTTTTGGTGTCGGTGAAGTAGTCTATAGTAGCTACTAGCAGCAGCAGAGTACACTATGGCATTATTTGATTTTGAAATTCAATTATCACGGGGCTTTTGCCATATTATCATCCTTGATACCATGCCTCACGAACAGTTCTAACCAACGTTGGAATGATTATGCACAGGTATATACTATATGCTAGAAACTTGTTATTAAAGATATTCATGATTTGGTGCCTGTTATAATTGAGGGTGATGATAGTACTGAAGAGGAACTGAAAGATATAGGATGGCACTTTAATATCATATGAGTGTTACATCCCACTCCGCAGTCTCTAACTGATATAGGAGCCCTGGAGAACGGCTGTCGGAACTCTATGTTTGTAAACATTATTTAAATCACGGTGACTAGTCTAAAGAGAAGACTGATGCGCCAACAGTGGCCGCTCTGGCTATTGCTCCATCTAGGAATCTATGACAGGCAATTGGGCGAGGAGTTTAAGCTGGACGTCTATGGCAAACCTTGGAAGAACCTGTCAGGAAAACACCAACTTCCTTGGAACATGGCAACGACATATGGATGGAGCTCGATACGAGATGGAAGTTAAGACTGGTCGAATGATCAGGAATTACCAAAAACCGCTTCATGAAGTTTTAATACATATTAAATGCACACAAAGCAACGCATGCCTACCCTCTGGCTAATACAAGTTCTACACAATGTATAAATGAACATGCAGTGAAAATTGAGGAAACTAGCCCCGGGATATCAAGATAAGAAAACATAAATACAACCTACCAAGCCAAAGCACCTTTCCGTAGTCTCCGGCTGCCTTAATTCTCTTTCAGTGTCTCCCTCACAATCTTGAGGATAGCCAAGACATCCTCATCCGACATTCGACCCTCCCGCTCTTCGATCACGGTATCAAAAAGTGCCATGGCACTTCCATCCTCCTCGTCCTCGCCTTCTTCCAGTTCCTCGCCATCACCGTTCACATGTTCTTCATCGACATCCATAGCACCATCACCATTAACCATTCCATCTTCCGCTGCAGCTCCGGTATCCCCACTGGGAACACCAAGCCCTAAATTTAAAATCATCACGAGCTCCGCTTTGGTGAGTTTGTAAGGCCGCAGCTTGACAATAAGGTCACGGATAGCATTGTCCATGGGCGTAGAATCTGCAGAATGAGGCGGTGCGACCACAGCGTGCTCGGAGTCTCTGGTACCGTTGGTTCTCAGGGTTCCTGTCATGGCTGCTTGAGACTGTGATTGCGAGGATGAGGGTCGGTTTGTGAAACGAGGGTATCGAAGGACATGGGGAGAAATTCGGGCGATATAGTTGTGGATCTGGGAATCTTTTGTCAGTTTAGGCGATCTAGGAAGCAATCGTCGAGTGGTACGGTGCGATGAGGTATTGTTCGGTGCCTTTCGCGAGGCATGATCGGGTAATGAAGATATACGCATTTGCGTAGCTCGAAACGCAATGATGTCTTACCTCTTTCACCACAGTATTATGGTCTCGTAGATCAGGGCTAGGAACCCAGTTTCGTCGCGCATTTGGAGGTGGGTTTGGAGGGCGGCGGGGTGGGTTGGCCGATAGGTAGGCCAACACCTCCACATTGGTGAGAACAGCAGCTTGGGGGTCGAGAATCTATGTATTTTGGTCAACATAAGCTTTCTATATCTCAGACAGGCCAACTTACCTTCATTGTGCTCTTCGTAGGCGAATATCGAGTAGCGGAGATGAGC